TCATTGATGCCATATCTAATCTTATTATGACGGTCAGAAAGCAGAGGAATTAAACCTTCAATGACTCAGATCTTAAAAAATAAATTTGTCACCAGCCCATCCCCTGTTCCAACACAAACAAACACTTCGGTTAGATTGCGCATCGTCGCTCTACAACCCCAGTCATCTATCTGCATTGTCGACCGCCGCTGCCGCAGTATGTATTGTAGATCCAGATTCAGATCCAAATTCAAATCTAGCAGCGTACATAACTCCTGTCTTGGTATTGACGCTAGGATCCGAGACCGAGACTTGCTTTAGGCATCCTGCTCCTTCCCTACCGACTATCAAGATCTAATGCGACGTCCCGCGTCGGAGCTATGTGTTTGTGCAGTATCTTGAATTGGAGACCTGGGGAAAATGTCTGCCAGAGCGACGATCATTTGCCAGAACAGGCCGCATTCCACCAGTCTTGTGAGCCACCCCCCATACCTGCAGCTCATTGGACATGCAGTGGACTTCATCTGCATATCACTTGGGCAGGGATTCTCTGTGTCCGGGGGGTGTTATCTGTGTACATATGTGTCAGCATTAAATGATAGAATGCAAGAATTCATTCATACATCATACATGTTGTATGCATCAGAAGTGAGTACAGTAGGGATGACTTGAGTCCAAGCGCAGGATAAACAATACCTGCATACATACATAACACGTCAACGGATCCGGTCTTAACCGCATAGTTAGCTGTGGCTAACTGCTTTCCAATTGATTGCGTGATTTTCGTGTTCTGTTTTCCCCTCTCTTTTCATACCGTTGAACTGGAGCCTTGGGAGGTCATTACAGCCACTCGGCATCTACAGAGCTTGATTCAAAGAATGAATAGAATGAGAGAATCCCCCGATACTTACCTTCGCCCTAGCCGTACAAGCTACGTAGCAGGCTGATTTTCAGTATCCCTTGCATTATTCAGACTGATACCCCTACAAAACTCTATCACTACTTGTAGGTAGCTGCGTGGATGTATAGGCTGTACATAGACCGCATATCATGCATGGCGTGCAGAGCACAGGACAGTATACGTCCTGGTTGCTGTAGTTCCATTCTTATCCAACCGTGACCCTGCAGCCGCTTCAGACCAGATAGATTTGCGAGATTGAATATTGGTCTTTTTTTTTCTTTTTCTTTGTCCTTTACCCCCTCGGTTTCAATTTTTGCCGCTGGTACCTGGGTCTATTCCAAATAGGGCTTACTTGATAGCACACCGGTACATGTACACCGGTTCTTGATCTGGTGTGATTGAGGGTTGGAGCCCAACACTAAAAAAATATCGGGCAGGATGCGCCCAACCGGGCCCAGAGGAAAGGAACATGGAGAGCGGGTGAAAAGTTTGAATGTAGCTAGATAAGGCGAATTATTTGCCTGAAGGAATGATTTTGGGAAATGGCTGTGTATGGGGTACAGTATACAGATTGGGCTCAGCACAGCCCCTTAACGTCCACCTGAGCCATTCAAATGTTGGGGAGAAAATTCGAAAATGACTTGTTTTAAGGCTGAGTATGTGTATGTACTGTAACAAAGAGTACTCTGCCAATCGATCTTACTAACAAAACCCACCTCACATCTTATCTTCGCAACGTACATCACATCTACATTATGATAAATTGATCCAACATTGACTTGGAATAATTTGAAATATTTGAATTGAACTGCATTTCCCGTTAATAACAGAAATTGCAACTCCAGAACTCCACCAAGAACAGGCCAGGACGGGCCGAGTCAAAACTATTGTACTGTAACCAGCCGCGAATGCGGGTATCATGTCCATCATCGACTCCACCATGCAAACCCGACGGAATCCCGTCTTTTAACTGGCCTGATGACAACAGTCTATTAAATTCGGACATGATGACAAGCCGGAGTTGCTGCGCGAGTCAACGGTTAGAAAGAAGCAAAGAAGGAATATTCACATCAGGCCCCTCTTGCTGCTAGTCTTGTGTGACTGCCCCGCGTTGGACTCGTTCCAACGGGCCGAGGAAAGAAAAAGGATTGAGAAAAAAAGAATTTTTTTATTATTATTAACGACAGGGGATGAGGTTCAAGGTTCAAGGTTCTGTGTTACTGTTGTTGTCCTTCCCTTCTAGTCAAGTTATTCTTTTTTTAGAATTTTATGCTCAATTTTATTCGATATCTTTTCTTTTCCATTCGTGAGAAAGGAAGCATCAGGTTCAAGTGTTGCGGTCTGATATCATTTGGGAAGCGTACACCGACCATTTGATATGATTGGTATGAGGGGTGGAGGTATGGAGGTATGGATGCCCACATCGCTAATGAAGTCTTTTTTTTTGGAGTCGGTGTATTCATTTTCTGGGACTGAAATTTTAGGATGCCCACCTTTTATTGGTTTTTTTTTTTTTTTTTTCATTTGTGGTTTGTATGTTAATTTTACCATTGATTTGATTAGGTGGATCTACCTATATTTTAAGGTATTTTCTCCGTTGGTGCTAGCAGCTAAACGCATTAGAATATGAAGAATACTGAACAGAGAATTTCCAGGGCAAACCCGGATGATAAGATCATAAGAACATTGCTACAAGCATTCCCAGGTAGGAAAGTGTAGCTACATTAGAGATGACATTCCGTGACACCAACCTTTGAAAGTGCCAGAAATGTCAAATGTCACCGGTGGGACCTTGTATTTCCATGTTTCTTATGATTTCCATTATTTCCATGGTTTAATCCGCGGTTAGAAAGTGCGGGAGTCCCCTGAACCGGGGAAGAGCGGTAATTACCAATACCCGCTTTTCCAAATCATCCAGAAAACCCATGGAACTTCAGAACACGCGTTTCAGCTCAAGATTGACTACAACTGGATCTCGTGGATCAACATAAAGTGTCCTGGTTTTTTTCGAATCAGCAAGTCGGGGAGGGTTTTGAGACCGCCGATCTGAACTTGTGGTGGATCCTCTTAATTCAAATGTTCTTCTCAAGCTCATACTCCATAATCAGCGGTCCAATAGAGTTTGCCACACCAGGACATTGTTTTTGCGCCCCCTTGCAACTGATGGAAAACCCCTGCAACCTACTGTGCTTGGATCTCTCCCGATTGTTATTGATACAGTATAAAGTTCATTCTGATCGAGAAAATCAGAAACGATCGGGAGCAAGTATCGAGATAGACTCCGGCCAGTGGCGCGGATGCGATTTGACAGGACGAGTGTTAAGATTTCCCGGGAACTAGAATCCTGGGAAGCGATCCCTGTCTCAGTGATTAAGCGTCATCGGGAAAATCCCCTTTTCGCGCTGGTAGCGAGGCCAGTTTCAGCGGTGATTGAGTAGAGACAACTTACTTGGTCTCCACACGCGGAGATCCACCGGATGAACTTCCTAAACCTAGTGCTGGAGAACTTGGATTAATTCCCGGGAGAACGGAGCGAGAAATGATCCTAGCCTCAGAGTTGTATCCGTAGTCTGCCAGGCTTGAAACTGAGTAGGCATCTTTTAATTTTAAAAGAGAGAGAGAGGTCAATGGATTACCAACCCTCGTGGCTTGGTACATGACCACTGCATATCGTGTTAGAAATCATAATATTTTGATAATTCCCGAATCGGTTTGTCCATTTTCTGGGTATATACGTTTTTCTATTATCATTGTAATTATTATTATTTTTTTCTTGTGCATTTTGAATTTCCCCAGCTGAAGAGAGACCCACTCGTTCTCTGTCAACTCGGGAGGCAAAAATAAGCAAGAAACGAGCTACCAAATAAGAAAGGAAATAAAGAAAAAAAAAAAAAAGGAAAATAACCAAAAATAATATCAAGATTAAACGGGAGCAGACCTGTCACTTCCATATCAAAGTTTTCATATAATTATTCTAGATAGAAGAAAAAGTCCCGATCTGGAGGATTTGTATAGTAAACTTTCTGCGAGGATCCTACATGAAGGGGACAATCCAGGGAGGGGCAAACAGCTCAGATGATGGTCGATCCCCGTCATTATAACGAATAATTATCCCTCCCCTCCCACCTCTTTTTCATTTGCCATTTTACATTGGATTTTATTTGTTATTTGATCTTGAATAAGTGCCCCTGGTTGACCACTACGGATACTCTTTTCTTATACTCGATCGACCCGACAGCTTGGCTTAGCTTGCACGACCTTCAAGAGAAAAAGAAAAAGAATACAGAAAATCCCAAAAATCCCAAAAATCCCAAAAAGGCCCCCTATCCCATCCTGAGAATCAAAGTACCAGGTACGTCACAGACCGCGTTACCATACCAAGTCGCGTATTGGGATCCACTCGGAAAGTCCATGGTACCGGTACGGATACGATACCACCCCTCCTTCTGATCTTTATTTACCCAAACCTCTTTTTCTCTTTCTGTACTTTCGAACCCTTGCGATCTATCTGATACGGTGGATCCCCAGCTTTTGTTTTTTTTTTATGTGATTTGGTTTTTTATTTGGGACTTTTCCCTGTACGATCTTAGAAAAAGCGCCCCTGGGTCTTCGATCTCCAGTATCTGATTCTTTCTTTGTTTCTAGCCGCGCCATCCCCGACTTACTCGGTACAAAGAAAGCTCTCCACCAAATCCACTTCGACGCGACCTCATTTTTGCGACCCGAATCCTCCCCGCGCTAACAAAGGGAAAGAAAAGAAAAGAAAAGAATACCTCCCCGGTTGTTAATCGCCATACCCGCAAGCCTCTGGTCAACGCAGAGCTTAGCTTTCTTTTTGCGCGCAACATCCCCAAGCTTCCCCTCCACACGGACGTACTTCCTCCGATACTCCTCGATCCAAAGGTCTTTTAGTCGCAACTCCGCCATGTGCATCTAGGTGGATCACCAAGCTATATTGCTTTTTTGAATATCGGGATATCAAAACGTCCGCCAACAACAATAGAGGACGCCGGTATTATTTGCTATTGCTATTGGTCCTTGAAGAGTTTATGCGCCTAGCACCGCTTTCGGATTACATTGAACAACAACTCCGAAGTCATCTTGGAACATTACACCCCCCATGAATCGTTTACAACCCGAGGGTCATCATGCGCAGGCTCCGCATGGGCCCTATGATTCCTCATGGCGTGGGCCATCATACCCTCCCCCCGGCCCTTCACCCTACGACCATCAAGACCCACGCCGTCAAACACAACCTCCCCCATCACCATTTGGCCCGATTCCGAACCGCGAGTTACCCCAGCTCCCACTAGATGGACCTTATGGACGCCCGAATAGCATCTCAAATGGTCCCCCAAATGGCCACCCAGGTCATCCAAATGGCCATCCACCGGGCCATCCAAGTAGCCACCCAGCTGCTCACCCAGCTGCTCACCCAAATGGTCATCCAAACGGCCATCCAAGCGGTCATCCAAACGGTCATCCAAACGGCCATCCGAATGGACTTCCAAATGGTGTACCACTACCAGGACCCCCGCACCATGGTCCTCCAGAGTCTGTTTCCATAAATACCGGCTTTCGCCAACCGATGGTTGGATCCCCGCATGAATCTTCACCGCAATCCGCTCCACCGGAATATCGCTCGCGTATGAGTTACCAATCGAATGAAACACCCATCCCAAATGAATCAACTCCACCCATCTCTGGACCGCCCCACACTTCCCACTACGTTTCACCGTCGGCACAGGCTCCAGTTAATGGACAATATTCGTATGAGCCAGGTTACTCACAGAATCCTGCGTATGGAGCACGCCAGCAGCAACAGCAGCAGCAGCAGCAGCGTAAAGCGGCTCGTGCAACACAAGTCAGTTTTCAAATCCACGTTTTCTTCTTGGGAGAATTTCTCCAGGAAAAGACGAGGCTTTCTTAACTCTTTTTTGACTCTCTTTTACTAACAAATAATCCACAGGCATGTGATCAATGTCGCGCAAGGAAGGCAAAATGTGACGAAGGCCGACCATCTTGTGCTCACTGCACAGAGAATAGCCTCACTTGCGTTTATAAAGAGGTCCCACAGAATAAGTTCGTGTCCATGAACGTGATATGCATATTTTAAAATGCTGACTTTATTTTACAGACAGGATAAGGGAGCTCAAAGCATCATTGATAGATTGGATAAACATCACTTTAAGCAGGTGGAAACCTTGGATAGCCATTCTCACCAAATTGCTATATCGGAAGCAAAGGCGCATGACAGATTTGCTTTAGCGGAAACAAACGCGGATGCCAGATTCGAAAAGTTGAAGGAAATGCTTGAAAACCTTGACAGCAATGTGACAAAACTTCTCATGGGCACCAGTCCCATGCCTAAGGCGGGGATCTCACCAGAGATACTTGAAAAGGCCCTCAAAATCGAACCTCTGCCAAAATCGCAGATCGGTGACGAGAAGGCATCTTTTCCAGCGCCAAGTTCATCTTTCTCAGCACCAGCGCTAGTACCGCCAGTGACGGCCGAGGAACCGGCCTCTGCTGATGATGCGAAAAGGGAAGAAGGTAACGAGGGAATGGGCGAATTGTCGATTCCTGTGGAACACACGACTGCGGCACACAAGCTTTTAATGTGGCCTTCCATTCAAAATCTCCTCAGTCCTCACATGTATGACCCGGATTATGTGATGGTCTTGGAAGAGCAGCGTGGCCTTATCAGTATCTATGGACAAGGCGAGAACTCATACACGGCTGATGATACACTACTGCCTTCGGAACTTAACAAATATGGCAATGATCAAGTGACGTCCGATGGCATATCTAAACTTATTGGCGAGCATGCGTCGTCGAGTGATGAAGGCGCAGAAATTGACCGATTCGGTTTTTTAAACCTGGACGCGTTGACCGCTCGTCGCTACTACCGCATCTACCTTAACAGCCTACACAAACTTCATCCTTTCCTCGACACGAAGGTGTTGACACCTCAAGTCGAAGAATTCATTCGGATCTATTGTCCCCGACTTTCTGACCCGATTCCAACGAATACTATGTGCCAGGAAAACCCAGGTGCAAAACGAAAACGTCCCTACTATGATACAGAGGGTGTACGGGGTGCCTCTATTGACCCTGCTACCACCAGTTCCCGGCCCCGTGTTGGGAAAAACATCGATAACGCCATCGTTCTGTTGATTTTTGCCCTTGGATCCATCTGTGAACACGCCTCGCCTCTACCGGGGCCCATCACAGGGGAACGTATCAATTACCTTGACCAGTTTATCCCTCCTGCCCCCGAACCTTTGCCACCACCCAAACCGAATGCCAAACTGTCAAGTTCCTTTGGGGCCTATTCACCAGCTAGCTCAGATGCACCCATCACACCTGCCCTGTATGCGAACTGCTACCAGCCCCCGGGCAAAAACCAATCAGTCCCCATGTACCAGGAACCAGTCCCGTTAGTCCGCGACAGATTTAACCTTTCAAGACGAGAAATTTCTTCTTCCTATGATGAGTTTTCCCATGCCAAGAATCTTCAGGTCATTCCGGGACTGGCTCTCTACGGATACGCGACACAAATTCTGGGACCCTTGCAAGGAGGAGTGGAATTGGAACACGTTCACGCCGGGTTGCTCGCTGGTCTCTACGCTGGTCAATTGGCTCATCCATTCCAAAGTCACGGCTGGATTTGCCAGGCTGCTCGTGCTTGTCAAGTTCTTGTGCGACAAAAACGATATGAAAGGCTCGGGGAAGAAAGTCATGCTAAGGACCTCTACAATTTTGCCTACTGGACTTGTCTACAACTCGAGAGTGATCTTCTTGCGGAGCTTGACATTCCTGCCAGCGGGATCTCACGATCGGAGGGTCGGATGATACTACCCAAGGGAGAGCACACAAAAGAAGCGCCTGAGCCATCTACGCCACCAGACCACATGATAATGTTTTACTACTCGGCGCAAATCCATCTCCGCAAAGTCCTCAACCGCGTCCACACTGATCTGTACAAAGTTGAAAGTAAGTGGCCTTGTGTGAAATTTTTTTGTCATCTTTATTAATATTCTTTGCAGAGCCCGGTCAAAAGCGGTGGTCGTCAAATGTGCAAAAAACTCTCAGTCTCAACCTCGATCTTTGGCGTGACAGCCTCCCAACAATGATGGGTTGGGAGGATGAAGATCCACCAGCCACGGAAATCAATGCCGCTCGCATGAGGGCGAAGTATTATGGTGCTCGGTATATTATTCACAGACCTCTTTTATATCATGCACTCCACTACGGGAATTATGGTGCGCGCGTGGAAACGGGTACTGCGGGTCCTGCGGGAACTGCTACGGATTCTCCCTCAAGCTCTGTAAACACCCAAGGAGCGCAGCATATGTCACCATCCGTGACGCAAAACCCACGATCCCAACCCATGGCACGCATCATGAGTGATATCGCCAGTACGCCAAATAACACGAACCCTTTCCCTAATGGTTGGAATCCACCCCAGGAAGGGGCCTTTGATCTTACTCAGCAACTCCGCATCGCCTGTAAGACTTGCATCGAGTCTGCAATCAGGAGCACGGAGGCTTTCGATGGTCTTAATGAACGTCTCGTAGTGACTAACATCTTTGGAACTGCTCATGCGTAAGTTCAATCCGTACCATTCCTTTCATACACACACAAGAACATCTTTGAATTAACACTTCTGCCAGGCAATTCGGTAACATGCTTGTCCTATCAGCGACTTACATGTCCCGTCTCAAAGACCTCGTCGATAAAGAAAAACTAGAGCAACTTCTTCGACGAACAGTGGATTTCTTGTTGCGCAATGTCAACATTTCGCCAACGCTCCGAGCTGATGCCAAAATTTTGACGCAGATTTATGAGAAGATCTTTGGCCCAGGCAGCTTCGTGCGTAATGTGCCGTCAAGGCCACCCGTACACCAGCTGTACAAATGAGAGTGTTGATGTCTTGTTCGAGATATCCTTTTTTTGGTTATATTCTATGTTCTATGTTCTATGTTTTCTTTTTCTGTTCCTTTTAAGTGCTTGGCCCCATTGTGGGCTATATGGTGTACAACGGAGTGATTGCATCCTCACACGTCCACCCAATATACCCTTACTTCTTGGATTGTGGGTCTCCTTTTGACCCTGAATTTTACCCGGGTGGACCTGTTTTGCATTTTGGTGGCTCTGATATGCGGTCTGATTTCATGGACATGTGCTCTGAGTGGGAGTTCCAGTGCGGCCATTATATTGCATTATTGATAAATTATCAACATCGTTTCATTGACTATATGTCTGTTCTTCTATTTGGATTGCATTTTGTTTTATCTTTGTCTTTCAAGTTTCGGGTCAACTTCTTTTATCTCGACCTTACAGCGATATTCCCGGTCGGCTTGGTGTTTTATTATTTCTTTTGCCCTCTTTTTGATCATATTCCCCAGAGACAGAGAGAGAGAAAGCTCTTGCCAACTTGGATCTCTTGTGTCGTTCTTTTTTCTCTTCTCTGTTCTTTATTCATCATGCTGTTTTTTCAAGGAGTCTAGGCTGAGCTATGCCACAAATATGGGTGGTTGTTTTAACGGGAACATTCTCAGAATGGAATCATTGTTCTGAATGATACTGATATGGATTTATTCTTAAATATTGGGAATGGAATAATTTTCCGATCTAATATGTACAAGTCCCGCGGATGTTGTTTGTCCACCTGTAACTCTTACCAACATTGATTCGAACACGCATTCTGTGATATTCAAGTATCTTCTGTGTGGCAATACCATAGAAAAAGTACACATTGACTTGGGTCCGCTAAAGTACTAGAGACGGGATTTCGGCCGACGACACAATCTCCTCTAGTCTGTCCAAATACAGTAAGCTGAAAGTGTAAATAGTGAGCATAAGCTCTGTTTCTGTACACAATAGTAGATTTCAAATGCATCCATGCATTTAGTCTCAGCGGACCGAGGTTACCCCGCAGACGCAGAAGGGGCAAAATAGGCCCTGCTGATCAGGAGTCAGTTCACATCTGATGCATACTAGTAGTGTTAACAATTCAACTACTACACAGTGATATTCTCACTCCCTTCATATAACCAACTTGTCAACTTGAATAAATTTGTAGAATACTAGGCTCGTCATGGCTTCCCAGGCTAGGAAATGGCCCTCGAGAGAAGGTATACACACCTCGTAAACGTCAGCAGCCCGAAAATTCCCACTGACACAACCCAGGCTTCACGGCAGACGTACTGGGCCACTGGGTTCAACGCATCGCACTCGACCCCTGGAAGATAGTGCCTCTGCTTGCACTGGCACACTACACCACCAAAGGGCGCGAACTGACCGACTCACGCCCTCACCTCCTGAAGGCACTTAGAGCCTTCGCATCATTGGCGGTCCTAAACCGACTCTCCAGCTGGCTCGAGCGCCGCGCAATCAACAACGGCGTCGCAGACCACTATGACTGGAACAAAGAAGTCGTCGTCCTAACAGGCGGCAGCAACGGAATCGGCCGCCGCATCGCCCAGCTCCTAGGCGACCGCGACATCAAAGTCGCCATCCTCGACATCTCCCCGCCAACAGACGACCTCCCCAACACAGTCCGCTTCTACCAATGCGACATCACCTCACCCGAGAAAATCAGCGAGGCAGCCGCGAAGATCCGCGCCTCCTTCGGCCGTCCGACAATCCTCATCAACAATGCCGGCCTGCTCATGGCCCGCACCATCCTCGATTCACCCGCCGACCAGACTAGACGCATGTTCGAAGTGAATACCTTCTCGCATTACTACCTGGCGCAGGAGTTCTTGCCTGATATCATCGCTGGGAACCATGGGATGGTCGTGACGGTCGCGTCGCAGGCTGGGTATGTTGTTGCGCCTAGTTTGGTCGATTACTCTGCTACCAAGGCGGCTGCTCTTGCTTTTCATGAGGGGTTGGCGGCGGAGTTGGTTACGCGGTACCAGGCTCCTCGTGTGCGTACGGTGCTTGTTACGCAGAGCTTCACGCGTACGACGCTGATTAATGTGTTGACTCCTGAGGATACCTTTTTCAATCCGCTCCTTCATGCCGACACTGTCGCTGAGGGGTTGGTTAAGCAGGTTTTGACGGGTGAGAGTGGTCATGTAAACTTGCCTGGCTCGACTGGACATATTGGCGCGCGGCTTCGGGGTTATCCGCTTTGGTTCCAGCATTTGGTGCGGTGCAGGACTGAGCGGTTGACGCGAGGTGTTTGATTTCAATATGTTGAAGGGTTGCTCCAAGGCTGTAGTTACACCTGTGGGCACATGTGCATGGTACGATAGTATCTCTCACTTGGATGCCCCTCGCTCTATTTTCTTCATTAGCTGGTAGTACTAGTAGGCACCTAAGTTTACATTCCCAGACTGAGCTCAAATTCAAATGTTCACGAACTCAATTTTTTGTTTTTCTCTACTATTGATGGAGGTGATTTATATATACAGCTATGCCTGTGGGCATGTAGGTATCACGTATATTGTGTTATCAAATGACCAAATCCACACGTGCATCTGGAACTATTTAAACAATTTGAATGTTTGAATAATCCATGGATGTATGGTGGGATGAATAACCTTGTAGTGCAGATGCAACGGGTACTCGCCTTGGAGTACTAAACCCATACCTAACCAGGCTGTATTTATGTTGACAGGCAGCTTTAAGCGAGGGATGAATAAGGCTTTGGAACCTTCAATGTTGGAAGTGCGCTGCTTGGGATATTTTAGAATACCTTCACTTGTGCTTCTAAAGATTAAGAAGTCTTAAATAGCTGCTTCATGCTATATAGATTATCTAGTAAATAATCGATCCCTCTGCATGTGTGTAAACATGACGAAATCAATCCCAGCCCCGTTCAAGGTGGCACGTGCACGCATCTACACCGCGATTTTGATTCGCTCCACTTAGTGCAGAGACACTTCATCCTGGTGGTACCCAACTCGATTCCTCACATTTTACCTCGTTTTTTTTTTTCACTTTGGGGAGGATTTTGCATTATTTTATTCCTGCATGCATTGAACCTTGAAAAACAATAAACGATCGATATCAATCTTGAAATCCCCCACCTTGAACCCCTGGAAAGAAGTGCATTTCCCCATTTTTCAAGCTAAAAAAATAGTAAGCAACCTTGGAAAAGGACTCGATCGTTTGGCGTAACCGTGGGTTCGCCCAGTCTCCGCTCGACGATCCACGGTTCAGCTCCCGTTGTTTACCCAAAACAAACCATAACAACGCCATTTTCCCCGACCTTCCCAATTCTAAGGTCTCTCTTTTTGAACGACTCGAACATTCCCAACCTTTTCTCTCTCTCTATCACACATTCCTAACCTTCCACATGGTGGTCTGTGCCGTCTGGGCATTCCTGTGAATTCTTGCCCACCATGTTCAAAGCCCTGATGGGCGGGGGCCGGTCCGATACCCGAAGCACGACCAGCTCCAGCTCTAAAAGTCGACGCAGAGCCGATTCCACCAAATCCTCCCATAGCCGCAAATCCTCACGGGGTGACGACCGTGATCGTGGCTTGGATGAAGAGAATTACCCTCCGTCGGCCTCGGGCAGCAGACGCGGTCCCTCCAGTGTCGCTGGCGATTCTGTCGCATCGACCTACATGACCGCCGAAACCGAACCGTTTGCCAATCCAGATCCTATGATCATCGAAAGAACACCCAAGCGAAGAGACAGCGATCGAGAAAGTAAGAGCTCTCGTCGTCGCACCCGCGACCGGTCGGAAAGTCGAGAGCGCGATAAAGGGACAAGCCGCCGCAGCGTCGGAGATGGGATAGATGATGTCTATGATGAGCGCGACCGTCGTGAGCGCCGGCGCGCACAGCCTACAGGACCTAATCTTCCACCCATCTCTACATCTATGCCTTCTAGCGCACCGGCTGCGCAGTTTCCAACCGATATGGGCGCTCCTGGATTTTCGCAATTCCCCGGCCAATTCGATCATGGGCCATCGCCATCCTTTGGCTCGCCTCATCACGATGCCTCGCCTCCCCATAATGCCTCCCCTCCTCATAATATGTCGCCCCATCATAATGCCTCAACCCCGTATGACCCGCATGTGAGCCAACAATTCCCTGGCCAGTTCCCGACTACAACTGCGGGGCCTTATTATCCACCCAATAATCCCGCTGGCGCTGCCGCAGACTACTACAATGATCAAGGGCAATCTGTGGGTGAGCAGCCAGGAGTGCGACCTCATAAGCCGGCAGTCATCCCTAATAGCCAGGCGCATCTCATGGCTGCCTCGCCGTCAGCTAATCCTCCCCCGGAACCTAGTAGCCTTGGTGAGCTTGGAGCTGCGGCAACTTATTTTGACGATGCCTTCCAAGTTCCCGAAGCACCGGCTACGTCTTCCAGACCTCCCAAGCCTGGTAAGGTTTCTTCTAAGCCCACGAGGCCATCGAAGCCCAGCAAGCTTTCCTCGTCAAGCTCCACCCCGGTAGTTGCAGCTGCTGGAGCGGCGGCTTACGGACTTAGCAGTGCCATGTCCTCACACCATAGCGATTCCCACAGCGAAACGACAGCTATTCACCAGTCTACCTCGTACTCGCAGCCGGCTGTCCCAATTGCCAACGTTGCAAGTGGTAACAGGCCTCCCCCATCTGCCAACGTCCCAAGTGGCAATAGGCCTCCCCCGATTGCCAGCGCTCCCTCTGGTGACAGACCTCCTCAATCCCATGGGATCAGCCCTGGTGTTGGCGCCGGTGTTGGCGTCGCGGCTGCGGGCGCAGCAGCAGGATACATGCTTAGCCATCAACATCACTCTTCTAGCCCCGAAAATGCCTCCCAGTACACTTTCCAGAACTATGAGCAGTCTTCCTCAGCTGGTCTGCCCCCTCATGGCTCTGGCCCCAACAATGCCGTCGTACCTGGAGGCCCCGAAGGGTATCCCATGCAAAACCCTGGCTTCTACCCCCATGGAACTGGCGCACTTGCTATGCGACACCGCCCACAAGGTCCTCTTTCGAAGTTCGCGGACTTTTGGCGTGACCCTGAGGGTGTTGGCAGATTTGAAGACTACACCGAGTCCATTGGTGTTTGCAAGTACTGTTTTGAGCCTGGAACAAGCTGTCTTGATGCTCCTCGCAAGCATCATTATGATGGACGCAGACACTCTTCTGATCGCTACAGCAGTGGTAGTGCCTCCCGAGTAAGCAAAATTAGTCGATACCAATCATCTGAAGACGAGAGTCGCCGGCGCAAGAAGTCTCGCAGGTCAAACAAATCTACTTCTTGGCTTCCAACACTGGGTCTCTTTGCTGGCAAAGAATTCAAAGACTCCTACAGTGTGCGTTCTGGTCGAGTCGCAGATGACCGTGTTTCTACTTATGATGCGGAAACAACTTCGATGTCTGATCGCCGAAGTTCTACATCCCGAGGTGTGATCCGTCGCCCTGGCTCCCCCAGGGAACATTACCCCGAATCGAAATACTCTCATCGAACGCGCTCACGATCACGATCCTCGTCGCCCTCTGGCCGTCATTCATTTGTGAAGGAGGCAGCACTTGGAGCTGCAGTTGGTGGTGCCGCCCTGGCTATTGCGAAATCACACCAGCGGTCCCGCAGCCGCTCTCCGTCTCGAGTTGAACGCCGAAAAGAGTCTTCATCTAGCTCATCATTCCTTGATGTTTCTCGATCTTCACCCAAGAACGGTAATGATTTTACTTCATTCTTCACATCTTCGTCCGACAACCGCAAGAAGCAGAAGAAGCGAAGCAAGCGCAGAGGCTTTTTCTCTTTCAACAACTCTTCATCATCGTCGCATGATGCGGATCTTGCTTTTGGAAATGGATTTTCGAAGAAGTTCAAGTCCAAGAAGGAAAAGAAAGACAAGAAGAAGAAAGAGGATGTGGATGCTGCTCTTCTGGGATTGGGCGCAACGGCAACTGCTCTTGCTGCTTCGTCTCATGGCCGTAGCCGTACCACTGGTCAGATTCTCACTGCCAGAGATCAGCGATCTCGTCATTCCGACTACACATCCTCTGCCGTTGAAGATGAGGAGTGGATTGATGCGGAGTCGGACGACCAATCTTCTGAGAGTGTTTCGTCTGCCCTTGCATTTGGAGCCAGCAGTGCTGAATCCGGATCCGATTCGGGTCGCAGTGGATGGGGCTTCTTTGGATTCAACAAGAAGAAGAAGAACAGCAAAAAAGAAAACAAGTCTTCCTTCGGCAATGCTGCTTTGGCAGCAGGTGCCGGTGCTCTCGGAGGTGCCGCCCTCGCTACTGTTGCTCGCAGCCGTGATAGCAGAGTCTCAAGCAGCTCCGGAAGCTTGCAGCAAGTCTACCCTACCGCTACCTCGGACCCGACTAGATTCGACGCTATCAAGGTGTCTCCATCAGTTTTATCTGGCGAGCCCCCCACCGTCCGCCCTGGCCCTATTCCATTGCAGCAACCGCAGCCTGTCATGCCAGTTTCCCAATCCGTGTACACTACCCAAGGAAATTTCCCCGGCTCTATTCCTGCATACAGTGCTCCTGAAGTGCCGCTTGCTTTGGCCAATCAACCTTACGATGCTCAGCAGTTCCAAGGCTCCCGAGAGCTGGTGTTTGTGCCCGAAGATCGTGAATTCGATCGCCGGAAGCACCGTCGCAGCGACTCTACTCCCGTTTTCCCTATCCAAGAAAGTTCTATCTCAGGCCTTAAGCGTCGATCTACCGCCAAGGAAGCAGCTTCTGTTTCTTTTGATCTTACCGAAAAACAAGAGCAGAAGCAACGCCGTCGCGAAAATTACACAGAGGAGGACCTCCCGTACCAGGCTGTGCAATTAGTCGATCTCGAAGAGAAGGCTAAGCAGGAGGAAGCCCAACGTGAATTTGAGCGTCAAGATCGTCGTCGCAGAGAGCAAGAGGCTGAGGATCGTCATCGCAGAGAATTGGAGGCCGAGGATCGTCGTCGCCGACAACAACAAGAAGAGGACGATCGCCGTCGCCGACAGCAAGAGGATGTCGACCGCCTCCGCAGACAACAAGAGGATGAAGATCGCCGTCGCCGACAGCAAGAAGATGAGGATCGTATCCGCAGACAGCAAGAGGACGAGGAGCGTCTCCGCAGAGAACAAGAATATGAAGATCGTCGTCGCGAAACTCGCACTGAAAAGGATTCGTCATCCTCTTGGGCTGAGGCCGCTGCCATTGGCGCGCTAAGCGGTGTCGCTGCCAGTACTCTTGTCTCATCTCACAAGAGCGATGATGTAGCACACTCAGAAGCCAGCTCGGATCGTTATAGCAAGCGACGTGAGAAGCGTCGCAAGGAGCGAGAGGAAAGCCTCATGGAGTCATCCGTTTCTCCAAGATCTGAAGTCGTCATGCCGATTGAAGAAGTTGAGGAGCCCGTGGTGTATGAAGAGGAACATAAGAGATCGCCTGGCCGTAGCCCCCGCTCTTCTCCTGTCTATGAGAGTTATGCCGACTTCTACGCCCCCGATCTTCACCACAGCTCTGATCAGGACAAGCAAAGCCGTGACTCTCAAGATCAGCCCACTGTCGTTGAAGTGGTCCCTGCTAGTGAGCGTGACCGACAAACCGAAACCTCCAAGGATATTGATGAGGGTGTGCATCAGTTCGCACGAGAGCCTTATGAAGGCTATGATAGACTTCCTTTTGAAGTTCCAACTCTTATCTATACCAAGCCTACTCCGGAGCACAGCGTCAACGGATCCGCATGTGGTGTTAATCCCACCGCTGGTCCCCCCGATGCACCTGTTGAGACCGAGCATGAGCATGAGCGCGAGCGTCAAGTAGAGTCCGAGCCCGAGCGTGAACTCCAACATGAGCCTCAACCTGAGCCCCAACCTGAGGCTCATTTCGAGTCTGAGCCTGAGCCCGAGATCGCGCCCGAGCCGGAATTCAAATCAACTGAGCGATCCACCACTGGCTCTCGAGTTTCTTGGGGCCATGACAAGACTCATGAATACGAGGTTCCATCTTCATCTGAGCACGATCCGACAGATTACGAAATCTCCCCATTCGAGGATCAAAATGAGTTCCCCGCGATGACCTCGAAACGTGATAATGGAAAGAATGTCAGTGACCAGTCCTTCGGAAACGACATTGAGTTCGCTGCTATCGCCGCTGCTGGAGCCGAAGCAGCTGGATTCGATCCTTCTGTTGTTTTCAATGACCCCAAGTATCACACTCGCATATCCCCTCCTGGATCAGAGGACGAGGGAGTCTACAATTATCCCTCGAAGTGGGATGAGGAAAAGTCACAATCTCATGAAATCGTCGAGAGAGATGTCGAGAGTCACGAGCTTGACCAGTCCAGAGATATCAAACCATCTTTCGAGCATGTGATTGAGGATAAGCCTTTCTACTCCGAGCCTGAGTACATTACCAGTGATCAAGTTCCATCTCCCGAGACACGCGAACGTGGCTCAATTGCCCAACGGGTTATGGAAGACTTGAACAAGGAGAACACCCCACCTAACTACGCTGAACAAGATGTCTTCTCCATGCCCGGTGGATTCGATACCCCCGCAGAGCCTCGTGAGCCTGAGCAGTCCTATGATTCTCGGTCCGTTTTCTCCGCTCCCGTTGGGAGAGAAGTTGATACCCCCACGAAGTCCAGAAAACCCCGCCAGAGCGGTGACGATTTTGAGTTGTCGCGTGAGATTGCACCGGCCGTGATTGAAAGCGCTGAAGTAATTGATGATGAGGAAAAGAAGAAGCACCGCAAGCATCGCTCTAAACGCGACAGTGACACATTCTCAGTCGACGCTGGCTCTATAGTCACCGTGGATGATGATGATAAGTCCGAGCGCCGCCGACACCGCCACCGCCCTTCCCGCGACGATGTCGATGATGCTGCTTCTACATTTACTGTTGAAGATGATGATGGAAAATCCGAGCGTCGTAGACGTCGTCATCACTCTTCCCGCGACATCCTTGATGATGCTGCATCCACAATTAGCGTCGAAAATGATGATGGGAAGTCTGAGCGCCGAAGACGCCGTCACCATTCTTCTCGCGACGATAACGATGATGCTGCTTCCGTCATGACCGTTGAAGATGATGACACCAAGTCTGAGCGCCGCAGACGCCGGCACCACTCCAAGCATGGTGATGATGATGATGCGCGATCGACCCGTTCAGCCGCTGATGATGATGGAAAGTCGCCACGCCGCACACATAGTCGTCACTCTTCTCGTGAGAGTCTAGTTGAAGACAAGGATAAGAAGGAGAAGTCTGGTGGTATCTTGCGCAGTCTCTTTGGTTCCCGGGTGTCAGCACCAGCTGGAGGAGAGGAGCGACGTGGATCATCTCGATCTTCATCGCTTGATAAGCGAGTGTCTCGTGATGCTGTCTCTGAAGCAGGAGTTGACGACGAAAGGCGTCGACGAAAGAAGCGATCTTCAAGCTCTAGACACAGCTCAAGTGGTGATAAGTTGGAAGATTACGATTCGGACAAGGTAAGCGCGAAGGATGACACGAATCTGGAGGAGTACAGATCGAAGAGGCAGGAGAAGGAAGAGCAACGTCGACAGCGTTACGGCGACATTGTCGACTCGGGAAGACGTCGAGAATCTGAGAAGGTATAATATTTTGAAATTTTCTTTTTGTGAACTTGTTGATTATGTTGCCCGCTTTTTGTACACTGTTATGTGCCATATAGTTGCTTTTTCGGATGGTTGCAGTCATACCCTGATTTATCCAATTGCACAAAACCACATGAAACCCCAAAACAAACAAACAAACCAAAAAAGAAATTGTACTAAGCATTCTATTGGTATTACTCCATGTGCAGGACGGGAAACAATCCGAATATAATGCCGACAGCGACAAGTCTTTTTTAGGGGATCGCTCCGAAATGCTAGCCGCGGCTGAGCGCGATGAATACGGTGCTTCGGGGCTCGAGCAGATGGCAGAGGTTGCAATTATTGGCGCAGCTAGCTTAGCATTGGGAGAAGATCTCTTTCGACAGCGACCTCGAAGCCGTTCGACATCTCCTCGTGCCGCAGAGAAAGCCCATGATCTGGCTCCAAAGTCCCAGAGTAGACCATCATCTCCGGAAGTGTCCCGAAATCAGGATCAGTCACGACGCATGTCTATCAACCAATCGACAGAGTCGCCAACTGCAGTACCTTTGCATTTCCGCCGACCCCCAATGTCTCCTGGTCTACACCGCTCCGTGCCATCGGAGGCCCCGACTCCTCCTGGCTCTACCGGCTCTCCAACTCAATCTCGCCATCGCCGCCCTAAGTCTGTCGAAATGTCAGGTGAGATGCGTCCACTGTTTTTGGTGGAACGTCATGGCTCAAACAAGGTGGAGCCCGTGGTTGATGAAATGCCCTCACTTCCATCCAGCAAGGCCTCCTCACGAGCTCCATCTGTTGAGAATCTCAGAGCTCTTAACGATGATGATGCTGTCAACAGCTGGGAGCCTATTGATCCCACTCCATTGATTGATAGCGGAAGACCGATGGGTCTCAGGATATCTACCGAGCAAGCCAATGAGCCTCAAGCAGAATATGACGTTCTTGACTCACAACAAGCAACTCCAACAGCAGAGAGCTTTGGTCAAGTTTCAGAGTCAGCCAGAAAGAAGAAGCTAGAACCCGAGTTTTATTCTCCATCAGACCTTCTGCGAGACCCTGCAGGCTACCCGGTTCCATCATCAAACCTCGAGGCTCTTCCTTCGCCCGAGGGCTCAGTGATTGCCGCGAAAGACCTACCTGAAAATGCAGCTGGTGACCAGGAGCATGAGCGTGGACTTGATTCTGTGCAAGAGCCTACTCCCCAGCCTGAGGAGGAAGCTATTACTGCCGAGAAATCGACGCCTGACGCCACCGGTCTTGGTTTTGCTGGATTCGTGGATGCCGCTGTTATTGCAGCTGCCAAGGAGGATAGCAAGTCTGAATCCGCCGACAAAGAGATCTCTGAGCCTCTCGCCCAGCTAGATGACCAACCTGCCCCGGAGGCTGCCGATCATGAGGCCCCCGAGAAGTCTTGGCCTGAGCCGCAATTTGAATCCTCTACTGCCGCTGAAGCCACACTGCCAGAATTTTCCGATATTGTCGATGCTGCAGTTGCTGCTCAGGCAAGCCAGGATATTAAGTCTGCTAGTGAAGATCTTGGTGAGCCTGGCACAGCAGTTGAGGAGCAGCCGCCCGCTCAAGTTGAGCCCGAGCCACTAGTTGAAGTTGAAGTGGATAAGGAGTTGGTTCCCGAATCATCTGAACAGCCTATTGAGTCTGTTGCCTCTCAGCCAGAAGAGGACCCAGTCGTCAACGAGACCACGGAAACAAAGTCTCAGAAAAAGAAGAAAAAGAAGGCAAAGAAGAAGCAGGCTGATGAGAGCACCGACTTGCCTTCTGATCTTACGACTGCCGAGGAACAGATTCCTGCTGTGGATGCAGCGGAAGCCGAACCCCAGTCTATTGATCCTGAATCAACTCCCACCACTGAGACTGAAGCTCCTATCGAGACTGAAGCTCCTATCGAGACGGAAGTTTCTATCGAGACTGAAGTTCCTATCGAGACTGAAGTCTCCACTGAATCCCAGGTTGAGTCTGCGCCAGTGGAAGCTTCCAAAGAGCTTGAAGTCGAGACATTGCCTGAGGTTCTCGCCGAGTCTACTGGAGTCTTAGAACCGACCGAGGAATCACCCCTTCAAGCTGCCGAGCCTGACTCAACTGCCTCTGCAGAAGTTGGGTCTGAAGCTGTGGAGCCCACAACCGTTCCTGAGCCCGAGCCACAAACCGAGGCTGCTGTGATTGAGCCTACTGTGGATGATCAGACAGAGGATTCTGCTGGTCTGTCTAAGAAGGAGGCACGAAAGAACAAGAAGAAGAACAAGAAGAACAAGAGTGTTTCTTCTGTTGCTCCAGAAGAGGAAGTTTCGCGCGATGTGGTTGAGGAGCAGCCACAAGAGACAGTACCCTCTGCAGAAATTCAGACCCACCAAGAAGACCAAGAACCTGTTCTTCAAGCCGAGGATGCTGTCAAAACCGACGAGACTCTGGCCGTAGCGGAATCAGCGGAATCAGCGGAGAAAGCCCTTCCCCAAGATTCCAGCATCACAGAGGCCCCTGTCCAACCCGAGCAAGAGTCTTCCGACTTCCAGGATGCTTGGGAGATGGTAGACCCTACAGCGCCTAATTCTGTTGAAGGAACCACAGAAGAGCGAAATGTTCAAGACATGAGCATGTCAACTGAATCTTTTGTCCCCATCGAAGCACCTACGCCAGAGTTGCAGGAGGGCGAGCAATCTCGACCTGCCGCCACAGAAGAACAGCCGTTAGAGGAAGTCAATGTTGTTGCCAACCCAGAAGAGGTAGCCGAGACAGACTCCGATGCTTTCCACGAAGCCGTCGAGGAGCAGTCTATTCCGACCGAGGATGTGAAGGAAGTCGAGACTGAGCTTGCACCCGAAGCTGTTGCAGATATCGCCACCTCAACTCCTACCGACATCCAGGAAACCCAGCCAGAGGAGATCCCAGAGACTCAATCAAAGAAGAGCAAGAAAAACAAGAAGAAGAACCGCAAATCTGCAGCCTTTGACGAGCCGGAAACTCCCTCTGAGCCCCAAGTCGTGCCCGAGGAGACCTCCAAGGAAATCGAGCCCGAGGAATTGACAGCCAACACACCTGTCGAAGGCCAAGAACTTGCCGCTGCTCAGTCATCTGAAGGCCAAGAGCCTCCTGCGGATGAGACACCATTAGTTTCCGAGGAGGTTTCCACGGACGCACCGCTCCCAGTTTCTGAGGAGGCAACAGCAATTGAAGAAGCTATGCCTATGCCATCTGAGCAAGTCGATGTTGAACCAACACCATCCACCGAGCCAGTCAAGGAATCAGAGGAAAATCAAGACCAGCCTGCTGTCAATATTGAAGCAGACGCCGAAGTTCCTTTGACTGCTGCACAAAAGAAGGCCGCGAAGAAGGCTGCGAAGAAGAAGGCAAAGCAAGAGAGCGTCGCTTCAATTCCCGAAGACACACCGGCCGAGGCTGCTTCTACTGAGAGTCAACTAGTTGAGACTCAAGCTGAGGAGCCTGTCGAGCAGGCGACACCTCTTGTTTCCGATGAGGCTGCTACAGATGCCCCAGTCCAGGTTCTTGAGCAGGAAGAGGTGGCTCAAGAGCCTGAGGCTACATCACCGGAGCAGCTCGATGTTGAACAAGCAGCTTCCACTGAGTCAACCAAGGAAATTGATGAAGCCCAGGATCAGCCTGTCGCTGAGATTGAAGGCGAACCTGAAGTGCCCTTGAATGCAGCTCAAAGAAAGGCCGCTAAGAAGGCCGCCAAAAAGAAGGCTCAGCAGGAGAGCTTGTCTTCTATCGCAATCGAGGAGAACCCGGTTACCGAGGCCCCGGCTGAAGTTGCCCCCACTGAGGCGCAGGTAGCCGAACCTCAAACTGACGAGCCTTTGGTTTCTGAGGACACTTCTGTAGATGCACCATTACCTGTTTCTGAGGAGGTGGTGGCTCAAGAGCCTGAGGTTGCCTCACCTGAGCAGCTCGATGTCCAACAAGCAGCTTCCACTGAGTCCAAGGAAATCGATGAAGCTCAGGATCAGCTTGTCACTGAGATTGAGGCCGAACCCGAGGTGCCATTAACCGCATCTCAAAAGAAGGCCGCTAAGAAGGCCGCCAAAAAGAAGGCCCAGCAGGAGAGCTTGTCTTCTATTGCAGTTGAAGAGAACCCACTTGCTGAGACACCGGCTGAAGTTATCCCAACTGAGACTCAGGTAGCTGAACCTCAAGCCGATGAGCCTTTGGCTTCTGAGGAGACTACTGCAGATGCACCATTACCTATTTCTGAGCAGGGGGTGGCTGTCCAAGAGCCAGAGCCCGAGCCTACACCTTCTGACCAGCTTGATGCCGAGCCAACGTCTACCGAGTCTGTCAAGGAGGTTGAGGTCGAGGAGCTCCAGAACCAGCCAGTCGCCGAGACTGAAACGGAACCCGAAATTCCCTTGACCGCAGCTCAAAAGAAGGCCGCCAAGAAAGCCGCCAAGAAGAAGGCGAAGCAGGAGAGCGTTTCTTCCATTCCCGGTGACGAGACCCCGGCTGAAGTCCCCTCGGCAGAGAACCAGCCAGCCGAGGCGGCCCAAGTCAGTGACCCTGTCGACCCTCAAGTGACAGAATCTTCAGACCCGGTTCCTGAGGTCGAAACTACTATCATCGATGAAACCCAGGAAACCCCTGCCTCCGAAGTCATTCCAACAGAGGTAGCGGATACCAAGGATCCTGAAGCATCCGAGCCTGTTCTGGATATCGTTGAAGAGACTCCTAGTGCTGAAGCTGTTCCCGCCGAGATTGAGCAGACCAAGGAGCTAGAGGCTGGACCTGAGCCGGCATTGGAAACTGCTGTGGAGACTGATACTCAACCAGCTGCAGCTGAGCCCCCCATCACTGAAGCTTCTGGAGTGCCACAAGAAAAGCCGGATGTCGAGCAGCAATCCGAAGAGCCGCCCGCTGGTATGTCAAAGTCCCAGAAGAAGAAGTGGAGAGAAAAGCAGCGGAAACTGCAGCAGGAAAGCATGAGCTCTGTTCCTGAGCAGACACCCGCCATTGAGTCTTCCGCTGTGCCCGAGGCTTCTGCTCCCGAACCAACTCCTGAGCCGGAATCCCTTCCGACCTCTGCTGTGACTCAAGAGGCTATCACTGAGACTGCAAATGAGGCTCCTGTGGATTCTAGCATGGACTTAGATGCTCCCGTTCCCGCTTCCACCGATGCCCCGGCCAGCGAAGAAGTTACAGTATCTACGACCGATGTCGACGCTGTGGATCCGAGCAAAGATGTCCAAGCCGAGCCTCTAGCTGAGAATCCTGTGACCGAAGGGGTTGCTCCTCCTGCCGAGGTGGTCCCTGATCAGGAAACGCAGGTCGAGGCAGCCGAGGCTGAGCAAACCAAGGAAGATGAATCGACGATGACTGCCGCCGAAAAGAGAAAGGAGAAGAAGAAAAACAAGCGCAAGTCCAAGCAGCTTGAGAGCCAGCCCGCTTCAGACGCTGAGCCTTCTTCTGAGCAAGGACCCACTGAAAAAGCGGAAGAATCTGTCGAGCCTGAATCCTCGGCCTCTACCGAGCTCCCTCCTTCAATTGAGGAAAATGCAGTCGCGGTAGAAGACGCAGATTCCGAGCAGAAGGTCGACGAGAAGCCCGAAGGTGAGGATAGCCAAGACACGCCTGCAATTGAAAAAGACGCTTCGACAGTTGATGCTCCAGGCCTTTCTTCTGAGCTTGAACTTGAGCAGGTCACCGGTGTTCCCCATATGGAAGAAGTCTCTTCTGAGCCTGTGGTTACGGATACTAGTGCTGCCATTGAGACAACCGAAGAGAATGCACCACCTTCTGGAGAATCTTCCGAAGACAAGGCTGTATCTGACCAACTTTCTGATGAAGCAGTTGCCAGTGCGGAATTGCCATCTGAGGTCCGCTCTACCGAAGAGCCCGCAGCTGCGACCGTTGAGAGTGCAGCGACTGATCAAGCCGACGAAACCGAATTGAACCTTGCCGGCTCGAAAAAGAAGAACAAGAAAAAGAAGAAGAAGGGACAATCCACTCCTACCGAGCAAGAGCTACTGCCAGAGTCTCAACCTGAAACTCCTGTAGAAGAAGCCTTGGTTGAGTCCACTCCTATCGAGGATGTTGCACCTGTCCTGCAAGAGGAGGCCGCGAACCCCGAAGAATCCGAGCCACTACAAGATAAGACTGAGGATCTTGCAGTTGAGCAGCCAGTTACCGAGGCTGCAGAGACTGAGCCCGAGTCTGTCTCCAAGAAGTCAAAAAAGGATAAAAAGAAGAAGCGCAAGTCTGTCGCTTTTGACGATGAAAGCAATGTGACTCCATCCGACAGTCAGGCAGAACAGGAGCTGGAATCCCAGGCTGCGCCTCCGACCGAAGTTGTTGCAAGCGAATTGACACCTGAAGAGCCTGCTCAGGCACCTGCAGTGGACGAACCCGGGGCCGCTCAAGAGGAAACACCCAAGCAAGTCCTTGACATTCCCGAGGCTGTTGAACCGATTGAACAGACCACCGAGCCAGAAGCTCAAGAACCAGAGGGATCTAAGGAATTGCAAGATTCTTCTGCCGCTGTTCAAGATGAGGAGCAGCCCGAGGCTGTGGCAGCCGCTGAAGGTGAAGAGGAGGATCTTGACCTCACTAATCTATCCGCCAAGGAGCGCAAAAAGATCAAGAAGCAGAGGGAAAAGGAGAGAAAGAAGAATGCCAAGTCCGTGGACTTAACCACGCAAGAGCCATCCACGCCAACGGAGCCCCAGCAACCCGAAACTGAGGCCTCTCAACCCCAGGATAACGAGACTACTACTACAGAGGGCATCCCATCCATGGAACCAGATGCCGAGACAAGTAAATTGGCGGAAACTTCCGGTGTCACCGAGCTTGATACAACTGCTGCAATCGAAGAAGCGTCTAGTAAGGAAGCCACAGAAAAAGCTCAACTGGTTGAGCAACAACTAACAAACACCATAGCTGAGACTCCAGCCGAACCCGATGTCTCCAAGGAGCTAGAGGGACCTTCTGAGCCTACCACCGAAGCAGAGCCCGACTCTGAGATGACCGCCGAGGAGCGCCGCAAAGCCAAGAGGGCAGAAAAGAAGAAGAAGCGCAAGTCAAAGACTCCCGGTGCCGACGAACTTAATGCTGAATCCGACGCCGCCGCTACAAACATCGTTCAAGATGCCGGAAAGGATACCACGGAGCTCAATACATCCGTGACAGCTCCCTCGCCTGCTGAAGATGACGGTAAAGAAAATCAGTCCCACGACATTGGAACGCCCGACGTACCGCCTCAAAGTTTGACTTCGACTGATGACATCGTATCTTCGCAGGTAGAGCAGCCGCAGTTAGATAATCGTTCTTCAAATTATCCTCCCCAGCCCGTTCTTGAGCGTTCAGATGAATTTCGCGAATCGGAGGATGGCGTTGAGAAAGGAAGCGATGAGCCTGTTGCGCCCACTACCCCAGAGGTAGAGGACGCAACGGGTGGAGAAGAGAAGGATATTGGTACTGGAGAAATTGAGGACGAAAATGTTGATGAAACGATAGAGAAAGACTTGGAAAATGTATTGATGGAGGAGGAAAGAGGAGAAGAAAACGTTGAGATTGTTAATTTTAAAGATGAGACTGTGGTGCCAGAGGAAAAGATGAATGTGAATGAAGAGACGACGTCTGAGGTGCTTGATGAGACACCAGCTCAGATCACAGAGGATATTGCTCTTTCTGGTGAGCTCGAGCCGGTCGAAGTTGAGGAGTCAGGAAACTCCAAAAAACAGAAAAAAAAGGACAAGAAAAAACAGAAGAAGAACCAACAAGAGGAGGAAAACATTGAATCAGAGCTCGTCCCCGAGCCAGAGACAGCGGCAGTGGACGAGGGACAAACAGAGGCTGTACCTTCCGCTACCGAGGAAACGGAGAAGGACGTGGTACCGGAACTCGACCCAGTATCGGCCATTGAGGAGCTTCCCGTTGATCAGGATCCAGCCGCCACTGATGTACTCGACCCACAGTCAGTTGAAAACGTCAATACTGCCCTCGATACTGAGTCTGTCGACGAACAGGCCGACAACAACCCCCAAGAAGAAGCACTGGAAAAAGAGATTGAGCCTCCTGTTGCTAATATCGAGATTTCCGAAGACCAATTCAACACCGAGGTTGTGCAAGAGACTGAAGATGTCGACTCAAAGATGACTGGGGAAGAACAGCCGGCTGCAACCGGCGAAGCTGAACCCGTTGAGCTCTCTACCGAAGTCCCATCTCAAGATACCCCGGTGGAACAGCCAGAGGAAGCTCCGGCCCCAACCTCGGAAGTTTCAAAAGAAGCAGCGGCCGTCCCTCCCGTCGCGGAAGAGCCCGTTGATGAATTCAAAGGAATGAACAAGAAGCAGAAAAAGAAGAAAATGGCCGAGAAGGCGGCGGCGGCTGCTGCTGCTGCTGCCGCGATTGAAGCCGAAACTGCGTCTGAACAACAGTCTTTTTTTGATCAGCCTCAAACCACTGAGCAAGTTTTGGAGACGCCCATTGATAAATCTGAACTTCCAGACGATGCTCAGCACGAGTCTGTGCAAGTAGACACCAGTGAGCCATCGGTGCTTATTCCTGTTGAGCCTGCTGCGGATGTCTCCGAGCAGCCAGTACAGGAGCCCGAGGCTCCAATTGAAGTCTCTGAAAAACCGACGGATCGCGAAATCATGGAAGAAGAAGCTGCTGTGGTCGCACCCGAGCTTTCAAAAAAGGAAAAAAGAAAGGCGAAAAAGAATTCAAAGCAGGGAGGTGCTGGCCTAGCCATGGATCTCGCGGACGAACCTTCCGCACCCGTCTCGGAGACTGAACATGAACAGCCCGAGGCTCCTTTGAATGTTGAGGCACCTAGCACAGAAGAGCCAGAAGAAAATGTGTTTGAGACGGAGCCTGAAATAACAACCGAAGAAACGCCCGTGGAGAACCTGCGCGACATTGAGATTGAGCATGCTGAATCTGCCGCTACCCATGAGCATGACAAGCCTGCAGAGGAACCCCGGAGCCAACTGGAAGACGAGTTTGAGAAATCCAATGACGACTTTGTTCCAATTTCATTTGAATCCTCCTTCCCAGCTGAGACCGATACGCAAGACTACTTCGCCGAGCCTTCTCAAGATACCGCTGAACCCTTACATCAGGAATTCCACACCAAGGAGGATGAGAAAAAGGATGAGTTAGAAGGCGTGAGCCAAGTTCAAGCCTTGGAGCAAGATGTGCAACCCTTGAATACCGAGCAGTCTTTCGATGATCCATCTCTACAGGTTGAAGAAACCCCCGTGCTTGATCCAAGGAAGATGTCCAAGAAAGAATTACGAAAAGCCAAGAAGAAGGGCCTTTTGCCAGAAGATGTCCCGGAAAGCCTCGAGGATGAAACGCCAGAAAGCACTACTGGAGAGATCTCGGCACCGGTGCCAACTACTGTTGCTGAGGAAGCACAAACTACAGCGACTCCTCAATTGATCAGAAACCGTGACCTTGGAACCGTGCCAGAAGTTGAATATCTTGAGACATCGGCACCAAACCCTTCCGAGCCAGTCAACGAAGAGCCAGAGTCATCACTCTCCCGAAAGGACTCCAAGGCTTCAAAGAAGGCAAAGAAGGCTGCGAAAAAAGCCCAAGCTTTAGAACTTCAATCGCCAGCTAATGAGACCGACCACCGCGAATTGGAGCTGCCTGTCGAAAAAGAACTGTCTTTCAAGGAAGAGCCGGAAACTGAAGCCCTGGTGTCACGTGAGACAAGGCAAGACGAGGAGTGGCCTACGATTGAATGGGAGCAAGGAAGCTCTGAAAGGCCTGTGCCGGCCCATGATCAAACTACAGAGCCTGAGCCTGCCACCGTTGTCCGAATCCCCGATCCCCCCGAGGCCATCGAGGAGTATGATGAGCATGCCATTCCAACAGCATTGCAAGAGGCCCAGGAGCTGGAGGCAGGATCGGAAGAACCTCTTAGCAAAAGCGCGAAGAAGAAGGCTAAGAAAAACAAGAGGAAGTCCGAGCAAGTGACCTTCGCAGAGCCCACCGAATCTACACATGATTTTACTCATAAAGACACCGAGCTAGCCATGGAATCCAAGGATGAGTTGCCAGCAGAGATCTCTGACTCCCGCGAGATCGAAGTTGAGCCCCCAACGAGGTCTTTGACCCCCGGAGGATCCAGCGTTGCCAACCTTTTTCCTGGACTACCACGATCGGGATTTCGACTGAAGAAGACAGCCGCGTCGGTAAAAGATAGTGCTGAGGATGAGACGACAGAGGACTTGGAAGCCAATCGTGACATCGCGATCCCCGTCTCGGAAGCACCCCCTTATGCGACCACTGAATCTAAACAGATTCCCGAAACCGAAGCCGGCCCTGAGCTGGCACTTGAAGCTACAGAGGAAAGCTATTTCGCCTTGAAACAGCATGATCCGGCAACGGAGGTTCTTTCTACGGAGGAATCTATTCATGAACCAGAACTTCCAGTACAAGCCGAACGTTCCTTGGATAAACCGGCTTCAGGGCCAGTGCAATCAGGATTGGATTTTGATTTCCTACGCTCATCCTCGCCTACTCGCATGGAAGAGCACTCTACGTCTCGGCACCTCCTGCCATCTCAAATGGAGGGCGTCGCTGAAGATGCTTGTGGATTACGCCGAACTCCCTCCGTTCTCCATGGGCGCCACCAGCACACTCCCCGGACATGGAATTTGGAAGATCAAACAATTCCAGCGATGGCCCCATCGCCACCTCGATCTCTCTTTGGACCATTCCATGGAGAGCATGATTCGATCTCTCGGCCCCGGACTCCACTAGGCACAATTGCGGAGCAAGAACCAGTGGATGGATTCAAAGCGACCACGGCTCAGCACGGGACGCCCCGCCTCGAAATTAAGCCTGAGCATGTCTTGCGACCTGTTACTCCAGAGCGTCCTGTTCCCACTGCACGAAGCATTTCCCCTGTGCGGAAATTTACAGACAATTCTCGTGGGCGGGAAGCTTGGCCAACGCCAGAAAATGAAGCACGACGCAGCCAGGAAGATTTGGCAAAAATTCGCAGTGACGGTGAATCCCCTATTCTAAAAACACCTGAGCATGGGATGCCAGTGTTGAGGCCCTCCGATAGCAAGGGCAAGCTGCGTCGCACGAATCGGAGTACGAGTAGCGATCTGCGGGCGGCTAGCCGTGCGCTAGACTCCCAGCCTCCCTCAAATCTCGATCTCGATCAGCTTCCTTCTTCTTCCTCTTACGACCCCGTCACCGACAAGGGCAAGCGTCCTATGCGCAACATGTCGGATGTCTATGTAAGTTGATCCCGAATGATGCGTTGTTAATTTATTGTGGACTTTTTTGATTTTGCTGTTCTTTTGAATTTTTGTTGTGTTTGTTTGTTTACTAATCCTTTTTACAGGAAGGATGGGGCGAGACTCCCAGTTCCCCGCGGTCGCCCAGCCGACCGCCTAGTGTTCGTCATCGCCGAAGCATGCAACACTTACAAGACCTCGAATCTCGTCTTGACCAACTGATCTCAGATAATCGTCTACTCGCTGCTGCCCGCGATGAAGCCGAGGACAGATTGCGCAATTCCAGTGTCGCTCGACGGAAGAGCGACCAAGCTCTCTACACCAGTGGCGCCGACTTGCGCGACCGCAAAGCAGAGGTAGAACAATTAAAGAACTCCGTGGACTGGTTGCAAAAGGAGACGACCCGCCTCACTCAAGAAAATGAAGCCCTGACAGCATCCAATGCTGCCCTCGCTGCTGCCCATGCTGCCGAGGTTAGCAATGTGCGTGAATCGTCGACTCGCGAGCTGGACGACCTACGATCTCAACACGATAATCTGTCAAGTCAGGTCGACAGGCGTGTGCGACAAGAAATTGAGTCTTCCATAGCTCAGAAAGATGCTGAGTTGCGGCGCCTACGCACTGAGCTTGAAGCTGCCCGCGACAAAGTCCAGGAATTACAGCAGCAGATCTCCGCGTCCGTCCATGACAACGCCCTAGTCGTCCGAGATGAAGACTATTTCCACGCTTCGTGCCAAAAGCTGTGTGGCCATGTCCAACAATGGGTCCTCCGCTTCTCGAAGCACTCCGACCATCGTCGCTGCCGTCCACTGAGTGAATTAAAAGACGAAAAAATCGCCGATCGCTTCGATAATGCCCTCCTTGATGGCTCCGACGCCGATTCCTTGCTGTCTGACCGAGTGCGCCGCCGCGACGTGTTCATGTCGGTCGTGATGAGTATGGTATGGGAATACATCTTCACTAGATATCTATTTGGTATGGATCGGGAACAGCGTCAGAAACTCAAGTCTCTGGAGAAGCAATTGGGAGAAGTTGGTCCTCGTCGCGCAGTTCATCGCTGGCGCGCCACCACTTTGACCTTGCTGTCCCGAAGGCCCGCATTTGCCTCCCAACGCGACAGCGACACTGAAGCCGTCGCTTTGGAGATTTTCGGTACCTTGTCCCGTGTATTGCCACCCCCATCACAAGTGGAAGCGCAATTGCTCGAATCTCTGCGCAAGGTACTGCGTGTGGCTGTCACTCTTTCCCTGGAGATGCGAACTCAGCTGGCTGAGTTCATCATGCTGCCTCCGCTTCAACCTGAATATGATACCAATGGAGACCTGGCCCGCCAGGTTTACTTCAATGCATCACTGATGAATGAGCGCAGTGGTGAAACCAGTTCGAACGATGAGCTAGAATCGCAGCAGGCTGTTGTGCGCATTGTACTCTTCCCTCTAGTTGTCAAGAAGGGCAACGATGTTGGTGAGGGTGACGACGAGGTTGTCGTTTGTCCCGCTCAAGTCCTCATCGCCCGCCCTGGCAAAGACAAGAAGCTATCTCGAATGATGAGTGGTGACCGGATGTCGCTGGACGCAAACAAATCCGTTCACAGTGTGGCACCATCCACCTTCACAATGGACATGGGTAGTAATCAGTTTTGAGGCGTCACACTCGAATTGGTTACCTCCTTTGACTTTGTGCTCGTCGTGAGATCTTGTCGATTTCTGTTTTATGTTTCCTTTTTTTTTTTACGTTTCTTATTCTCCCTATCTAATATGGTGCTATCGCATTATGGCGTCCTGACCTCTTTTCTGGTCTCGGTTTTCCTCTAGCGCTGCTGGCCTTGGATTGATACTTAGGTATCTTGGAGTTGATTTGTTTTTTTTGTTTTTTGTTTTTGTTATTGATATCATTTGACCCTATTTCTTTGAATCATGGTTTGAAGATTTATGGAAAAACAAAGGCCGCTGGACATGTATCTACTATCTTTGATGTCTGATGAGTGACGAACTTGTACTTCTGGCAAGCCAACTGTAATAGAATTCTTTTGAAATATTCCCCTAGTCTGCATTATTTCTTACTCCTCTTCTCACCTATTAGCGTCTTGTAGCTTAGTAGACATGAAATCATCTACTGAATTGTTGATAACAATAACTTACACTTGGCTTGTCGTGACGCGTGAAGCGGTTTTTGCTGACCTCATCGCGCTCTGTTTTAGGCAATCCAGTTCCTCTTCCCAAGGTTGCAATAAAGTCGGACTTTCAATGTTTCAACCTTCTCACCTTAGGAGCTGGCATGACTGCAAATGTGAGCCTTAGCTACCCAGGGACCTTTATTTTATTTTTTCATCTATATGTTGTGACAGCTTCATTTCTCAAGCTGCTTGGTCAAGTCTACTTGATGTTCCACCTTGTTTCGCCACACGCGTCATCCTCAGCGGTCAGCTCCAGATCCACCTTTTATTCGAGCTTCGCAATTCTCGGCCGCTGATCCTTCATCTTGGACATGCTGATATTTAGCTACGTTTCGGTGAACGCATTATCAATTTGCTTCATGTAAACGTGAGGCTTGCAATATTGGCAGTTTGATTACTCCAATAAAGTCGATAGGCGTGTGTCCAATCGGCGCATTCTACGAACCCTTCCCGGGGTCACGGACGGCCAAAGCTTACTGTTTAGTTGATCATTGGACGACTTTGAAATAGACTGCGGTCATGGATCCGCCTCAGACACCGACTCCGGCACTTGGGGCTTCTCAGCCATCGAATTCCCACTCTCCTTCCCCTGGCCCAAGGAGGCGCATGCAGAATAACGATTATCCACTTTCTAGCGATAGCAGATCCGGGAATGGTCCAATGGGCATCGCGGGCCAAGATCAGGTTTCGGCCACGTCCTCCGGGGCCCGCCAACAGTCCCCCGCGCCCGATAGTACTGGTAAATCGAAGACCTCCAAGCGCAAGAACCGCCGCCGCAAACCGAAAAATCGCAAACAATCCTTCCTCACGCCCGCTCGAGACACATCGCATGATCGGCCTGGAAGCTCATCGGTAGCGGATGTTGCAAGAGAGCAGATGGAAGGCGATCGGCCAACCTCGAAGGATGGTCAGTCATTTTTCAAATTGGGCAGGAACTTGAGTAATACCAGCTTGGAGAGCGAGGCTTTGTTGGACCATAGGTAAGCTCTCTTCGCCCGCGCTTCAGGGGATGTCATCAATTGCATGGGTTGAAACTTTGCTGATCCCTCTCTTCCCCTTAAAGAGACCAGCCTATGATGCGGCCGCGTCGCGACAGTCGCCAAACCTCTTTCCGTCCTAGCTCTTTAATATCCGGTGCCTTTAGATCTGGCGATCTACGACCTCGAAGTAGCCCCGGGGGAGGAGGACGACCTCAACAATACCATGACGAAGACAGCGACGGATCTGAACCGACCGACCTCACACCTTTAGTGCGCGCTACGCCAGGGAATACATCGGGTCGAACCCGCTATGGAACAGACTCACGAACCAGCCCACTTTCCTCTCGTCCGCGGAGAACATCCGGTCAGACAACATCGTCGCAATGTTCGCCAAATCATAGCCAATCGTACTTCCCCGAACAGGAACGCGATTTCGATATTAACAATCCTCCATCGGTGCCCGGCACTCCAAAACTCGGGCCGGAAATGAACTACGACGATGCAATGATGACTGGTGTTGATTTTGCGCAGTCTATGGAAAACCACATGGACGCCTTCAACCGAGTCAATGACGCCGTTATCAATATCGACGGCATGCCACATCAACATTCGGCACCGTCGTCTGCTCCTGGGTCCCCCTTGTATTCCCCGCATGCACCTGAATTTAGTTCAAGACGCCACACTGTTGCAAACCTAGGTCTTCCTGAAGATGTTTGCTTGCCGCCCGATGGGTCAGAACTGGGAGATGAGGGTCTACATGCACCACGAGATGAGACTGGTGAAAGAAGACGGCGTAGACACCGACGCTGGCCAGACTTATCAGTGCTGGAGGACTGGAGTCGAGAAGAAAAAGAAGAGCGCAGTGGTGATCTACGTGTTAAAAAGATCAGTGAGCCAATGCTCATTGAAGGCCGACTTCGACCACAATACAAAGTATGGCGCCGCGAAGAGGAAGAAGCTCCTTATCGGTTTACCTATTTCAATGAGGAGTTTCCAAGCACTATACATGCACAGACTATATCCGAACTGGTGCAACCAGGTGGTAGTTTCCGTGAACTGTTTATTCCAGATCCTCCAGAATTGGAGGATTCGTCGTCCGATGAAGGAGATGACGACAACCACTCTTCCAATGAGCATAATGGTGGTCAGCCATTTCATATCCCTGGCAATGGGCCCCGAGTAGCTCATTCGCATGAAGAATTGCATACCCAAAACGGTGCAGCTGTCCCAGCGGGAGCATATACTACTGCCAAGAATGGCAACAATGCTACTCCGAGTTCCACAGGTGAGACCAGAGGACAACAACGTTTATCTGTCATTAGTGAGGGGCACCTTGAATCCAACCGAGGGCTTTCACCATCACAGTCAAACGGTGGCATGAAGCCTAAGCGGTATGGTCCTCGACCGACATTTTGGCTAGATGTGCTCTCCCCAACCGACTCGGAGATGCGGGCTATTGCCAAGGCCTTCGGCATCCACGCACTGACTGCCGAAGATATCATGATGCAAGAGGCACGGGAAAAGGTAGAGCTGTTCCGCAGTTACTACTTTGTCAACTACCGTACATTTGAGCAGGACACAAATAGCGAAGACTATCTTGAGCCTGTGAATATGTATGTGGTTGTTTTCCGCGAGGGAGTGATTTCCTTCCACTTTTCACAGACTCCTCACCCGGCCAATGTACGACGCCGTATCCGCCAGCTCATGGACTACTTGATCCTCAGTTCCGACTGGATCTCATACGCTCTCATTGATGACATTACAGATGTTTTCGGTCCCCTTATTCAAGCCATCGAGGATGAGGTCGATGAGATTGATGAAATGATCATGCAAATGCACTCATCTAGCAAAGAGGGATCCTCTAATGATAATGTGCTTCCGTCATTTGCACCTGGTGAGATGCTGCGGCGGGTTGGCGAGTGCCGCAAAAAGGTTATGGGACTCTACCGACTGCTCAGCAACAAGGCAGATGTGGTCAAAGGTTTCGCGAAGCGTTGCAATGAACAGTGGGAAGTGGCACCCAAATCGGAGATTGGCCTGTATCTTGGTGATATTCAAGATCACATTATGACCATGACAGGCAATTTGACCCACTATGAAACGTGCGTCCCCCTCTTCATCCTCTTCTTTTAATTTCTCTTTCAGTTTGAGATGTCGCTGACATGTTATTACAGAATACTCTCTCGGGCGCATTCAAACTATCTAGCTCAGATTAACATCTTGATGAACGAGCGCCAGGAACAGACTGCCGATGTTTTGGGCAAGTTGACTGTATTGGGTACCATTGTTCTCCCCATGAACATCATTTGTGGCATGTGGGGCATGAATGTCAAGGTACCAGGTCAGGATATAGAAAGTTTGAATTGGTTCTGGTCGAGTAAGTTCATCTTATCCCCTTGCTTATTCTCATTTATCGCTAACAAGTTTTTCAGTTACCGCTGGTCTGTTCGTCTTTGCCTTGATCTCATTTTTGATTGCCAAGCGAGTCTACAAGATCGTATAGACGGGCTTGCTTTTTCACCTATCTCGATCTTATAGATACCCTTCGTTTGATTCCATTTGAGAATCCGATCATGTCATGCTTTTCCTTCTCCTATACACGAAGTACGGGGTGGCATGAAGTACCCCCGGGAGTGGATTGGGTTCATCCTACTTCTGTCGTTTCAAAGATATCTTCTTTGTATACTATCTGTTGCTTGGCGTCTTTAGAGTTGTATATACCGCCTATCTTCTAACTAATCAAATAATGTTGAAATTGGCGATACCGACACAATGCACACGTACATGTGTTCGGAATTTCGGGAAAAAATTTATTCAAATGTTCAAAATGTTGAAAAGGATCTCTCTCCTCCACACAAGTTGTTTACCGTATATGCCAGGGATGTCCCATGTGACAACATGTGGGAAATCATATTTTCAAATGCCAAACTCTCGAAAATCCCCATATTCTTCGAGTACTACTAGTATGTATAATCTATAACTTCAATAATTCAACAATAATCTGCACCTTACTTGCAATCCGTGTAGTCTTCAAATAAAATAGTAGATACCTCACATGTGCAAATGGATGTATACTAGTGCAGTACCTGCCTAGTTACACACATTAGGTGAGAGACCCACCTAGGCGCTTCCTATCAGGCGATGATCAACTATGTATGTTATGGATGGTTGGTCTACACAATAATCTTACATAGTCTTTATTCAAGTTTCGATGTTCTACCTGGGATGCAGTAATAATCAACTGATCATAAATCCGGTTCTTCCTTATACCAGTAAGTAACGGTAGTTGACTTCGGCTAATTCTTACTCTTAGGACTCATTATGAAGTCATCGTGAGAGTTTAGTGTGTAATCGAATTACCTGGGTAATTAATGTCAAGTCAACATTTAAAGGGGTTTTGTTAGTGCGTGGTAGTTGGGTTTTCCATGTTTTATTACCTGTAATACCCGCTGTGCGTCATGTTTTTCCCCCAGATTTACCAGATTTCCAGATTTCCACAGTCCCGATTTCCTGCATCTCTTTCCAACTTTACTTCATATTTTCGATGTAATCTCTTCTCTCGCTCTTTCCTCTCTTTACATTCATCTCTTTCTTGCATTCCTCCACTTTTCAATCCACATCATTCCAGTGGATTCCAAGTAAAGGACCGCATATCCCTTCTAGACCCATCCGCGTGGTCCCCTGCAGTGCAAGTGCCCCCTTCAAACCCTGACGTGGGCAACGATCATTGGTCTCTCCTCGGGCCCGGCCCTGACTCCCCATCCACTTGTCAGCCACGACACTTTTTTTCACCCGAGGTCTTGGTCACCGACATCTCTGCAAGCGCATTTGGCAACGGGTTGACGCCACATCTCCTCACTGAACAACAACAAGGAAAACTGGTCCAACGTTGAGCCGGATCGGCGGTCCCCATCAGCCCCCAAAATCCCGCCAACCAGAGCCTGTGATTTATTCGGGACCACCTTGTTCTAGACGTTCTTGTTTTTTTCTGGCTTCCGGATGGAAGACAAAGCATGCGCTTTCCAATTTCGAAACGCTACTCCATCGTGTACCCACTACCCACACCGAACTGCTCGCTCTGCACTCGGTGCAATTAAAATCCACCCCATCGTTTGCAATCCCGAACCCCCAGTTTTTTCCCGTGAGCATGTGGATATCGGCTATTCACTTTGCTGCACTGTCACTCGTGTAACCAGTCCATTATCTTTGCAAAACAACTCTCGCTTCCCATCCCGCGCCAATTTCCCCCCAATTCGCCCATTCGCCCATTCGCTCCTGCTCCGTTGCAAAACAACTCATATCCTTCACCGTTGACCCTTCCCTACCTACTACGTACCTACTGCTGCACCTTGCTTATTTGGTGTCCTTTTTGGGACTTTCATTCCTGCCCAACTTCCCCTGGCTCCCTCTCGGTCTCCTGACTTGTCTGCATTGTGTCAGCGCATCATGCCTGCGGAATCCGAGAGGCCGCCTTACTCCAACGGTGACTCTGGTCGAACCAGAGTCCGAGATGCGGAGATGGCTCCGGGTACCGCGCATCGGTCGGCCAGGGAAGATATGACAGAGCTACCACACTCGGTCATGAAATCCCAAAGTCAGCCCATGTCCCAAGTGCCTAAGCTCACTTCCAATCTTCCTACTTCCTTCTCGCCCTCTACTACCAACTCTGCCGTTTCCTCCCGCGAGTCCTCCCCGACCCGAACCTCGCGCACTTTCAATTCGTCAACGACCAGTCGAGTACACTCCCAATCTCGACGAAGCAGCCAAGACCGAAACAGTCCAACCCGATCGTCTTCCAACAGCAACTCGTCGGGTATACCTATACAGTCTTTCACCTCCTCCCCTGTCTTGCGTGCAGCTGCGCAGCTTAACAACGCGCCCATATTTTCACCTCCCCCTGCTCCTGACCCTCCGGCCAATGTTCTCGGTCCCGAAAAGCCTAACATGCCGTCATGGACGGGTAATCGTCGTACGGAACAGGATTCGACTCCTCCAAACACTTCCCTCAAGAGAATCGCCTTGCCGCCGCCCGAGGAACATGGAATGGTCGAGCGAAGTACACCTCGAGTGGTCACTAGGGGTGCAAGTGGACAAGGGCCCTCCCTGGAGACAGTTGAGGAGATGGCTAGTAATCCCTCGACGCCTTCAAGTGATACAGCCCTTAAACCCGTGACCCCAGAGGACTCTCGCTTACGCACGATTGAAGAAGACCTAACCCCTCGGGCCTCAAAACAATTTATCGATAGCGGCAGTGAGAGTGGCGACACACGCAGCTCTGAAATGACTGAAGAGGGACGTCCACAAGCTACCGAGGGTACCAAGCCCACCAGAACACTCATGCCGCAGCGTTCAACAACCTCGCTAAGTGCCGGTGCACGTGGGAAGCCTGCAGATGGCTCGGTGCGTAACATGATTGTGGAGACTGAGACTGTGAGCTCAATACCACAGGTCTCTTTGGGTGTTGGGGCTGGCGAACGTGGAAATACTGGTCGCATCGAACAGGGTACTCTCAAGAACAAGAAGTCGACGGATACAGTGAGGGCGCCAGTGGCACGCAGCAATCCTCAAAAGCGAAAGCGAAGACCAAATGCCCTTCAGACTGGTCCTACATCAAGCAAGGCTGATTTCTTCGAGGCCAAAGTTGCTAGTGCCGTGGATGAGGCAGATGTATCAGATTCTGACGAGACATTTGTCTACGAGTCGAATCCGATCGATTATCCTCCACGACGATATCACTCTCGGACACCAAGTGCGACCTCGATGGCCAGCCAGGTAGATCAGCTGGCTGGCCGTAGCCGCCTGCGCGATGGCGCCCATAATCTTACCGTTAGACGCAGCATGAAGTTCACCAATAATACTTATAACAGCAGCTTGGACGGTGAGGCAATGGAAGCAGACGGTCGATCTGCCTCCAGGGTAGATGGTAGCGGAACAATCACTCCGCGGCACCATATTGCGCACCATAATCGCACGGGGGAGCACCGAAATTCAATCTTTGATACTGAGAGTGTCTTCAACCAGCCTCAAAGTCAAAAGTCGCCCCGTCATTTCATTAGCGGGCCCCGTCATCATTCAAGAAACACCACCACGCAATCGTCGCCAAACTACAAGACCATGAATAAGTCTAAGAAGGCGGGCGACATTTACGGATACGACTTTGATGCTGAAGGAGCTGACGACGAGCGAACTCCTTTGGTCCGTCCACCACGCAGTAGTCGTAGTGACCGGAACAGTCGACGACCCGGGGGTAGCTCGCGGCAGATTGAGTATATCGCCCAGCGAGAGCGTGGGTACTTCTCACAATTTGGCTCTTGTGTGGTGATCATTATGTTATTCCTCATGATTGCTGGCGGTGCGACATCGTTCTTCATTGCTGCTACCAAGTCACTCCTGGATGTTCAGATTGTTGCCATTCAAAATGTCCTCGCATCCGAGCAAGAAATCATGTTGGATCTCAATGTGTCAGCGATCAACCCAAACATCTTCCCTGTGACGATCGATGTCGCCGAGCTCAATATTTTTGCCAGAAGCCAGCATGTCGGAACTGACAAGCTTTGGCGTGATCATGGATCAGACGAGCTTGCTGGGTTTCCTCGAGTGAAAGAAAGCCGACGCCGGTGGCAATTTTCTCAGATTGTCCGATGTCTTGGGAATATGGATTGTGTTGAGGAGGCTGGTCATTCCAAGTCGAAAAAACCGGAGCACAGCGAAGATGGTATCGATGAGGGTACCGATCCTATCAAGGATCCCGATCATGATATCCAGACCATGTTGCTTGGCCGTGTCATGACCTTCGATTCCCCACTCTCTTTTCCGGCATCTCCTTGGAGTGGCGACGCAGCTACTTCCAAAGGTCAAATTCGTCTACCTCAACCCGGCAACAAGACTGAAGAGGGTGGCACTGAGCGTTGGGAGCGAGTTCTTCAGCACCCATTCGAGCTCATCGTTCGAGGTGTTATCAAGTACCAAATTCCACTCAGCTCTCGCTATCTCTCCGCGCCGATCAGCTCAAGCGTCAAGTATGTGCCTGACGACGAAATTCATGAGCCAAACACCCCTTCGAGCAATGAAACTGCTCATATCAACGACATTGAAACACCTTCCTCTTCCGAGCCTCTCCGCCTTGCGGACCCTGATCCCCAACCGGAACTTCGGTCGGGGTTATTTAAACGACAGTTCACGGCCTAACTTTTGAAGTCCTTTTTCTTTAGCGATAGAACTTGCATCATTTACGACAGCCCTTTTTTTTTTTTTTACTCTTTGGCCCTGTTACATTCCTACTTTCTATTTACTGATGTAATATGTCCGCAAGAAGCAAGCAAAACGAGCCCTTTTGTGTCAATACTTTGCTATCTCCTCGCGTCCTTCTCGCTGTATACCTTTTCGCGATAGCATTTCCCCCCTTTTGATTCATGATGATCTGCTGTTACACAGCGAGCCTTGAAACGTGTGAAGCTGCAAGTGGCCAATTTTCCCTTTGCTTCCCCCCTTCATCCTTTTTTGTTCTTCTCTGTATATAACCCACCCTTTGGCTCCCGAGGCCGTGGACTTGGCTATTGATGAGTTATGATTTGATTTTTTGGGACTGGCAGGTAGAGGATTGCCCTTTGCCTACTTGCGCCCGTTCCGGCTGTCTGCCACACCTCTTTCCTTTTCGGATCCCTGTATATCTATGATGGACCTCCTGTATCTATACCTAGTGTGCTTCCGACTTGGAAGAGCATCTCAAATGAACACATTTTAGGGTGCTTTGGCTGGATTAGGCCGCCTTGTAGTTTTCATGATTCTTTTTGTTTCCGCCACGCGTCTTGTGTCTTGTAAGATCCACTGTTCCCACTTGGACTTTGCTTTTTTCTGATAAGTATTGTCGTGACGTGGCACGTGGCACCATTTTGAACATTCGTACTCCGTAAAGATATCACCTCATTGCCCCTCTTTACTCGGTCCGGTCCGTGACCAAAGTAAATTACGTGAAATCAATCAACATGTCCAGTAACAGATTTCTTATCTGTTCAAAGGTTTCATATCTGACTTATAGCAATCTTTTAGATGTGCCTTCTGTGCCCTAGTACACTACAGAATCCCATTGGTTGTATGGTCGATACAAGCCTGGGACCTATAGTTTCGAATCTGATCTTGAGTCTTAATGGTACTATGAAAGCACAGTCAACTGGTCAACCGGTTAATCTCAGTAATGTTCTTCAGTATATGACGTCATGTTTCCTTACTGTTTCTGCCGCGTCTTCGTCCACTTAGGCATCCCTAGCATCCAGACATCCATACTTGAGATCGTACTCAACATGCCATTCAGACAAGCACTTCAGGGTATTATCAACAAGGCAGACAAGGCCTGGGGGGAAATAAGCCATCAATCCCCCGAGTCAGCCAACCAGCCACCACCTATTCCAACCTCTACCAAACCACCACCAGCCTATCAACAAGGGCAACACTCACAACCCCAAATCTACTGGCAGCCCAACCTACACCCCGAAGCACCAGTATCCACCAATTTCTACCACGAACAAGGCCAACATGGCTGGGGCAACAACGAATCCCAAAACTACATCTCCAGCCCGCAGAACTCCTTCCACTCAAACTCAAACCAAGGCGATGCCGTGATCGTCCGCGCCCTAATCAACCACGGCCATCCAGACCCTGGCCAAAAATTCACCAGCGCCAGACTCTCAAGCCACCAAACCCTCAGCCGACCACGAGGCTGTCTATCGGCCAGAATCACGGCGCCCGTGGCCCGTGGTATCTGGCCCGCCTTTTGGCTGCTGCCTAAAGACCCCTTCAAGTGGCCTGAGGACGGCGAAGTCGATATCATGGAAGCGTGGAATGGCGATGCGGTTAATCATACCTGTTTGCATTGGGGCCACTTTAACGGCGAGGACTGGAACAAGCATCGTGTGCTGGAAACTCCCATTCCTAATATTAGTTCGCCGGGGGGCGTGAGGTATGATTTTATTTGGGATGAGGATGAATCGACGGGCCGGGGGCGTTTGGTCTGGCTGATTGATGGGAGGCCGATTATGAGGGCTGAGAAGCCGCCCGGCACGAGGAAGATGAGCGAGTTTAGAATCCTTATCAATATTGCTGTTGGGGGCAATGTTTGTCAGGGGAATATGCCTGATGATGGATGCTATGAGACGGTGGTTCGGGAGTTGGCTATGTGGGATGCGCCGCCTGGTGGCTGGAATGAGTTTGATAGGGCTTGGAGGGATTCCAGAGATGGAAAGACCATGTAATGGAAAGAGCAAAATCTACATCACAACATTGAAGTTAAATCAAAGAACATAACTCCAGGTCTTCAAATTAAAGCTAGGAATATACTGAGCTACCCATTCATTTATTTCAACATCTTTTGGGCTTGTGGTGTTAATCGATGCAAACTTCAACTGTTTCTCCCTTTGTGCTTCTATACCCTGGGGCCTACTACTTAAGCCCTGTTTCTCTCTGTTTCTAGTGTGAGAACTTCATCACCCTTTTTCTCTCGATTCGCTCTCTCTCAAGTGCTCTGTCTCGCTCGCTCTCTCCCTCCCTCTCTCAGAACTACCTACCTGATACCCACACATTCCATCTCTCTGTGCTTCTTCTTTTCCTTCTTCATCTTCTTCTTCTTCTTCTTCTTCTTCTTCTACTCATCCAGCTCTAGCTCAGCCACACATCATGTCCAACAACGAAAAACCCTCCCAAGGCTCCCTTGCTGCCCAAGCCAGGCAGATCACCCTCCAGGTAGGGGAGCGCCGGTTCGTCACTACTCGCAGCACACTCGAATACGAGAGCCTCTTCTTCAAAACCCTACTATCCGGACGGTGGGATAACGCCCTTCCCGATGGTTCATATTTTATCGATGCCGACCCCGATTTATTCGAGCATATCCTACGATATCTTCGCCGCATGGTATTCCCCGTATTCTATGACTCGAATAAGGGACATGACCACTCAAAATATCATGCACTTCATGAAGAAGCAAAGTATTTCCAAGTTTTCAGGCTTGAAGAGTGGCTTGAGAACAAGGAGTATTTAGATGCTGTGAAAGTGGTGCACTCTTTTGAGGTGACAGAGGATCCATGTCAAGACATACTGCCTGGAGATATGAGAGCGGAGTATTACTTCGCGGGAAGTATGACCAGAAATGTATATGTGTGTCCCAGGGGAATCCTTCTGCATAGAGGCAAGCCCGAAAGGTGCGGTATCAGATGTGAGAACTTGAAAGCAAAGGGGTTTAAAGATGTCTTTGAGGAAGAGCCGGTGACGAGATTTCTGATTGTGAAAAGAAGGACAGTATTCGATGGGAAGAAATGTCTGAATTACACACGGATGTAAGGGCGGCCGGTAAGTACTATCCATGAGCACACCTTGATTGCCAAATTTTGTAGTTGTTCGCGTGGAGCTAATTGACTACATAGAAAGCGATCCACCCGAAAATGAAAATGAAAGCGAGATGGATAGTACTTGAGGTTTCCAAAAGAATGATCAAATCTTGTCAAGCGCTGGCTGGAATGTACGATTCACGACACTCGATACTTGACACAGAAGACCCTTAGAGGTCGAACAGGATAACATCGAAAATGGCCCCGAGGCTTAGTTAACCCCCACAGAGAATTTGAATCAGACCGTTAATCACATTTTTGGCCATTGGTGAGCGGCAACATGTGGATAACTGCATCTCTAGGTATTGTGGTCGCCTGAGCTTGTCCTTCCTGGCGTAAAAATGATCACAGATAGAGCAATCGAATGATTTTGTTTGATAATCAAGAAAAGATGAAAATTGAAGAAAATTGAAAAAAACATTTTTTGAGTCGACAGACCGCACCAAGAGGGAATGAGGGTTGTTGCGTTGTCATTGAGATCACTTTGGATGAAATGACCAGAAGTGGCTCTTTTCACGTGAACGCTCAGAAGTAAGAGTCAAACACGATCCGAGGCAGCTAGAGGAGATTTCTGGCGGTAAGATGGTCAATTCTGGAATGGCGCTGAAATATCAATGGTGGACGTGTGGGATGGCGATGGGATAGTGGTGGAAAGGGTGGTGCTGATTGGGGGGATTGCAATTAGTATGAAAAACGCGCCGTGAGAAAGCATTTAAGCAGCGAGCCCTGGAGTGCGCTGCTTGAAATCGAACTTTTCTTGGTAACATTCACCACAAAAACAGTTCACTTGGTATTGCACGTTCACTCCATGCTATTCAATGTTCAATATTTACATCCATAGACATCTAGATACTACCAGTAGTGACTAGTCCACACCCACGGAATGTCCAGCCTCAGGAACGCGTAACTCCCTAAGATCTCGGGAGCAAAATATCTTCCAGATGTCCAAGGTTGTACTGCGTGATAGTATGTAACTCCGTACATTATAGAAGCAAACCATATCTAAGTACTCAAAAGAGCTTCCAAGCCAATATCATGAATCAATAAATGTTGAAAATAACAGGGGAATCGGTTGTATTTTGGTCTATACTAAAATTGGACAGGCTGAAAGCAAAAGTCATGAGGGAATAAGTTGTCAGTGAGCATCATATAGACCGCATCAGCAGCCAAAAAAAAACCTGACAACATCCCAATGGAATATGATATCAGGTCTATGCATGGACCAATCAGGCAGGTAAAGAAACAATTGAAAGGCAATCGCAATCGCCATGGTAGGACACCAGCCTCCAAACCCGTTGTATATACATGATGCACCGCATCCGAGATTTGAAAAAATCCAAAATAAATCTTCAATATTTGCGCAATGCCACACCGAAATGAAATGCCAAAATCTGGATAGGCGAAGACAAGATGAAATGATATGCTGGCGCTTAGATCAAATCGCTCTTTGCTGGTAATGGAATAGGCTCCAAACGCCTTTCAGTGCCTCAATGCGATCATTTGTGTCAAGCAAGTTGTACCAACGAGTACGTTGGAGTTTCAGAACGTGCCATGGCTGGTCTGGGACAGTAGATTCTTCGGAGAAGTCGCTCTCACCGTCGGTGAGGACTTCCAAGTATCGCCGATGAACACGGAGGTGCAAAATGGCAATGTGATGGTTGATGGCCGAGATCATGTAAATCTACAAAAAAATCAGTTGGGTGCCACACAGTAGGAGAGAGTCACGTTTCACATACATCATCGAATGGATTATCTGCAGCCTTTCCAATCTGCATATACCGCATGCGCTTATCCCAGAGACTAGGACCCGGCTGGATCATCTGCCACTTCTCAACACTGGAAAGCTTACGCATGGCACTCGGCCGGCGCGCAAGGGAAGTCACAAACGGATGCTCCAATTTATGTCTTTTGCGCGCACCGTCGTCCTCCAGGGTCGACATCGAAGGCTTATCCTCCCCAGTACCACCGAGAAGTGAGTCGGGAATAGGGATTCCGTGAATACCAGGTCCATTCATAAGATCCTCCAAGATCCCATCACTAGTGGCCCCGCCAAACCGCGGCCTGGTAGTCCACCACTTGCCCTCTCCGGGTCGAATCTCGATCCCACCCTCACGAGCGCGCTCCTGCGCAGCTAGCAGCATGCCACCCACTTCCCGAAACAGGTCACATACCTCCCCCATACCCGCTCCAGGGGCATCGGTTTCGTTCCGGAAACCAGTTTCGGGACGACACTGCGCGATGAGAACGGGCCCCTCTAGGATCCCGTTTCTTGCGACTTGCCGGTCTCGCGGAGACCGCGCCGACTGCAGCGACTGCCGGACTGGGAAAAGTAGGTTCTTGACCGTAAGTCGGGGCGGGAGGGTCGGGATGTTGACCTGGCACCCGAATGGCCAGGCCGCCATCTCGATGAACGCTCTGACGGTCTCATCACGCACGTCTTCGGGCATCTCACTGCCGGAACCACTGCGGCGGCCTGTATACATTTTCAAGGTGGGGTGAGGCGGCTTTTCACGATCGGCACTGCCGACCGGTGGCGCTTGATCCACGTCCATCGCAGCCGCTTCTGTTACGTCGGGCAGATTATCGATCTGCATCTGATCTGCTTTAGCTGTGACCTCGGCCTCGGACGGCGGCGTGCGCTGTGGTGTTGCCGGGCGTTCAAAGTAGTTGTCCAGACTTGTATCCCAATATTGTGCCATGCGCTCCAGTGCTGTCCAGAACTTGCGTGTTTGCGTGACGCGGACCCGATCGCGGCCCTCGCGGAGGGGTAGTCGGGCGACCTCTCTAAAGACATCGTCATCGTCTAGCAATAGCTCTGCTTGTAGTACATCGAAGCGATCCTTTGTCGGATATGGGAGTCCATTGCTCATCAATGGGCGGAGCTCGTCCTCTCCGGCGGGAACTTCCGGTGTTGATGGATCCCAGGGTAGAGGCGGGGGCTGTGGCTGGGTCTCGGGGAACATTTGACGAATGTCGACATCGTGGTCGACTTTGAGATTCAAGGCGGCGAATCTTTCTAGGCAGATATCCTGGGGCCGCTTAATGGAGGCCAGGAGATCGGATAGGTCATGCAGGGTTGAATCGGCGGGGTGGGGGACTACATCGGGAAGTCGGTAGACGGGGAAGTCCAGCGGGGTTGGCTGTGATGGAGCTTCGCGTTCTTCTTCCGGTGGTGTGCTAACTGAGGCCAGGCCTGCATATTGTAAATTTCACCGATTAGTTTTCAAGTATACAGACGGGGGGGATCTCTTTCGTTGTAGCTCTGACGGAGGGGGAAGCTTACCCAGCCCAGGACCCCAGCCAAACATAATGGAGAAGAGGGAATGGAGTACAATAGAACCTCTCACATGCTCTGGGGGTTACCAGAACTAAATCAGAGTCAAATAAATTCAATATTTTCAGATCCCCAGGATCAGGAAAACAAACCCGAGTATGGTGAACTCTTGTAATGAAGGGGAAGTGGATTTGGGGATTTGGAACTTTTGAAAGTGGGGAACAAACACCTTACCTGGACAAGTGATTTACACGTCAATTTGATGTCGATCTTTGTTTATATGATGCGTCTGATAATGATCTACTGGTGTCTATACTGTCCACTAGGTAATATAAGATCAAGTTGTCTTATTGCAGATTTGATTTATGGATACTACTAGTAGTAAGTTCCCAAGTAACGTGGTGGTTTGGCATTATGTATGGATGACATAAACATGCCCCGGTCGGGATGACTAATCACCACATTTCCCCTTCAAATCGAGACTTTTTGCAACTTCAACTTCACGATTTGTACTATGAAATACTCATAATTAAGAAGAAAAAACCCCTGTTCCTCTTTCCAAAAGTTCAATGTACTGGTCCATTTCTGAAAAAAAGTCAAACCTGTCATCTGTTTCGCCCCATTCTTCACACCACGAGACGCTGTTCTGCAGGGTATCACATTTCCACGGGGTAATGACCGGCCCCTATGTGATTGGCCGAGCGATGCTAAGCGCTGGTCGCTCTCACACAATTTAGTAGCGCCAGCATAAACTTGAAACGGGAAGAACCACCCCCTGGTCACAGAGGGGAAAATCCAAAGACTTGAGAGGATGAAAGAAGCCTCGAGTATTAAAGAAGCCGGGTGACCGGGATCTGGTGCAAATATGCTCCTGTTTTTTATCTTTTCCTTTTGGTCCCTCCAGTTAAGCTTCGCCGCCTTAGTACTGGAGGCGTTAATTCCACAAAAGGGTGGAAAGAAGAACAAAGACACTATAAACCATCTCGACATTGAGTTGGCGGTGCGAGTGTCAATAGGAATATGGCATCTTTGTGTAATCGCCACACCCCCCAAAAGTGGTGGTCCTCTTAAATCATGTTTCTTTCTCAACCTCTTTCTTAACCTTCGCTTTCACTTCGTCTCCTTCTTCCCTTCCCATGCTATGCGAACAAAGACTGCCCCGATCTGTACCCCACAATCCCGCACGGACACGACTACCGCACCCTGCTATTTCGGCCTGTACTATTAGTCGACATGATGAATATTTCTTTGTCTGACTCTTCGTATGTGGTGAGTGTGGCAGGGGTGCGAAAGAAAGACCGCGCAGATTTGGTGGAGGACGTGATGATCACATCGATTCTCTTTGAGACAGTTCACCCCACCTTGATCATCACTGAAGCTGTCACCGTTGCCGACAGACCAACAGTAGTAGCCCCAGACACGTCTTCTCTACAAACTCCTAAGCCGGAGATAGTTCATACCCAGGATCCCATCGCCAAGACTGAGACAAACAGCGAGACTACTACCCACTCGGCTGTTGATTCGTCAGCTACTCAATCATCAACATCATCAGAAAGTTCGGCAGCTCCGACTACCTTGAGCTCGGCGTCGTTGCAGCCGCATGGGCCTTTCCATACGTCTAAAGTCTCGGTCTTTTCTACGATTTCTGATACCCAAACCAGCATTGGGGACTCAACTTTGGTCACCAGTCCTTCAAGCTCAGAGAACCCATCAACCACCTGGCCAAGCAGCCCAGTTCTCTCGACAAGCTCTACCTTGGAAACCATGACATCAGTCATTACCATGTCATCCTCCCAAAGCGTTTCCCCCTCCTCAAGCGTTTCCCCCTCCTCCACGACCTTAGCAAACGTAGTTGCAGGGTCGAACAACTCTAACAACGAGTCGTCGACCGCAGAAACAAAAACCGGCAACCAAAAGTTAAGCGTCATTGTCGGCGGGAGTGTCGGCGCCGCAACATTTGCCCTCGTTCTTGGCATCTTGGCTCTTTGCCTCATCCGTCGCAGAAGACGAGCTAGCCCCCATCGTCGCCAAAACAGCAGACAGGGACTGCTCCCAGGCAGAACCTCCACAAGCTCTTCTTTCCTCGGCCACACCCGTGAAATCTCCCAGCCGTACTTTTTCGACAAAGATGGCAGCGCCTGTATCCCATCGGCCCCCGTGTTTCCCGTTCGTCGCAACTTCTCATTCCCGATTTACCATCCCGAACCCGCTCCAGCCTTCGGCGCGTCAGTTCAAACTCAGCCCCCCTACCTGGAGAAGGTGTATCTGCAGGGTGAAGCACACGAAGTCTTTGTGAAGGACCGGCCTTTAGACCCCGGGTTCAGCCCAGTCTCGCCAATCATTGAGGTCTATCCTCCGTCTCGTTCAGTCTCAAACTACTCCCGGCCCTCGGGCCATGGTGATCCAGGATATCTCGACTACAGCTTTGATTCGTACCCCAATTCTTGCCGCACTAGTACTTATCGGCTCGGCGAGAGCACCTTGACTCTGCCCCATGCGTCTAGCCAGACCGTGTGCTCTGTCGGCACGGCCAAGACACGAGATAGCGTTCGCAGTGATCCATTTGATCTTGAGGCGCCTCCGAGTGTTCGTCACAATAGCTCCCCTGATCCATCCCTTAAAGCGCGATGGAGCTTTGGGTTCTAAGCCCAGTCGCACCGGGCGATTCCCGTCGCGGGGAGACACCCTCCACAAAGCGACGAAAGGACTCGACACCGACGACTCATCGCCGATATGGCTTTTCACGTGCCAGCATTTGCCTGGATGGCAAAATACGTCCTGTCTCATTCTCTTGAGCCTTACCTTTTTTTTTTCTTAGCTTTCCTTGATGTTTCTTTAGTTTTTTTCTGCTTCACGATTTTCTTTTCTACAATACCCATCTTTCAGGTGCATACTTACGGGAGTACGGATTGGAATCTCCATAGGAATCGGCGTTACATTTTTTTACTTTTTTAGGTCTGGAGTCAATCTGGGTTTGGGGTTTGAGAAAATCGAGCGAGCATTCCAATTTTTTTCTTTTTAAGTTTGGTCTTTTTCCTTTTGATCCTTCGTCGTCATCGTTCACGTTGTGCCTCCCCAGGACCTTGCATCATTAATTTATAGTAGAACTCGAAAGAGAACTGTTTAGTAGCAGATAGAGTACATAGTACATACTAAGTAGTACTATTGTAAGTCCGCCAGTCGGGACTAGCAAAAATAAATAAACTCTCATAGATTATTTTTTTGGGCATCCATTGATGAATAGGCATCAGTACAAGCAAGTTTCTAGGCTTTCAAACATTTTCAAATGTTCCAATGTACTAGTAGTTCAATTTCAAATGTTAAAGTCCATCTATGGATGCAATTCGATCCGTCGACTTCTACTCATCTCCTCCCATTTAGCGTGTTTCAAGTATAAACAGCAGATCAAATCTAGATCATATTTATGAACCTAACTCAAAAATAGACTCATCCAAAGTACAGAAACCTGGAATTCCAACCAATTGACCACAATATACAAGCACAACAATAAAAGATGTCTCAATCTGGGTATAAATCGAACGAAGAACCTTGAAAGAAAAAAAAAAACCGAAAACTAAATATTCGTGGCATCAACAGTATTGCACTGAAACGACCCCCAAGGCGAAACCTTGATCGTATCATCTGCAAAATTAGTACAGCCAGGCGCCTTAGTAAACCCCGACGCAGAACTATAACCCTGCGCCGTACCATCTGTATTCGTGCAATTTGATGAAGGATATACAGTGCAAATCGCGTTCGTAAAGTACCACGATGCGGGCGTTGTCATCGTCCCCGCGTCACAATCTGTTGAATCGCTGCCCCCGTTCGTAAACCAGCGGCACCAAGTTCCTGACTCGGTGAACACGGATGAAAGGCCACCGTGGAGGTCGAGGCATGCGCTTTCCTTGCCATTGTTTGATCCGGAGAGAAGGTAGTAGTCACCTTCGCAGCCTTCTTCGCTGTACATTGCTATTTGCCAGGGCTCGTAGGATGATGTCGAGGCGGGTGAGGTTGAGGTTGAGGTGGACGTTTGCTTGGTGGTGGCGGTTGTTGTTGTGTCTTTGTGGGTTGTTGTTTCTGAGAGCGCGGAGGTGGAGGAGGTGTGGGTTGTGGAGGATGTTGTGGTTTCGACTTTGGAGGTCGTTGACGTTGTGGTTGTAGGCTTTGTCCAAGAGAGTCTTGTGATTTCGACCACAGATGTGGTTGAGCTCGCGGTTGTTTCTTTTTCTGAGAGCGTGCTTGTTGTCTTGGTTGAGGTAGCTATGAGCTTGGTAGACGTGGTTGAAGTAGAAGTAGAATGGACTGTCGTCTTGGCCTTGGTCGAGGTAGCTGTGGATTTTGTCGAGGTAGTCTTCACAGCAACGGTCGTTGCAGCAGTTGTACCGGTGGGACAGCTCGACTTGGAATCTACAGTATTGTAGCATAACCCCACTGTCAGGTTGCACTAAAAGAGCGTGTCAGATTTCGCAATAGATACCCAAACCAAAACTCTAGGTCATACCTTGCAACCCGTTGCCAAGCACGGATTCAGATCGTCAAGAGTCGACATGTTACTTGGACGGACGGTACCAGGCACTTGTGGTCCACAGATAGCATCCGGAAGAGCCGCTGGCATAGGTGGAGATCCCTCACTCAAGCAAATGAAGGATCCTTGCTTCAGATCATCACAGCCATTCCAGGCATATGTGGCATTGTTGTATACCTCAACGTCATCGACCGTAATTTCATACCCATCGGCGATACGTGAACAGGTGTCATCAGCCTGCAGGGTGTAAATGTAACAGAGACCATCGCTTCCTTTTGAGGGTGGAAGTTCGAGGGTCCCAGATGAGCAGCAAACAGGCTTCCCCACTGTTGGATTCGAACAGGAAGTTGAGTTGGTGTTATAGTCGGCGAGCTCGGCAGTCGTGATGCCACATTTCGCAGCTAGCGTAGCACATGTGTCACCAGACGTGACAAGAATTGATGAGCAGGCAGCTTCGCGCTTCTGGAGTTCCAATTGTCAGCGATTATTCCCTGTAATGAAAGGTGCATAGTGCTCGATGAGTGTACTAACGTGAATTTCGGCAGCGGCTGTACCTGATATCAAAAATAGCCCGCATAAAGCGAGTATGCTGTGAGGAAGCGGCATTCTCATTTTGATTCCTTGAATTGACAGCACAAAAGAAATTGAACTCGACTATAGTGGGAGGGTGCTCCCTTTTGTTTTCGGCCTTGAAAGGGAAATTCAACATATTACCCAATTAGGAAGTCAGTGATTCTGTTCATTGATGTGGGGGCGAAACCATATGAAACGTTGTAGATGCTAATTTAAGAAAAATTGTCAATATGAAAGCGGGGTCACAACTATGATCAAGGATAAGCCCTTTATTTCAAAAATATAGGGGTGCATTCATAGGGCTGTTAACAAAGAATACATGAGGGTCGATCCGAACGCGCTTAGAAGCTGGCAAGCATTTCTTTTATGTAGCAATTTTCGGATTCAATGAATTAAAGACGACGAGGAAAATAATTTCTTTGAATGTTCAAGTATTTGACATACGAATCTTCCGGTTAGTCTTTCAATGTTCCTGCATTTGCACTTGGTCCAGATGTCAGGTGTAATCCCTGCTGCAATCCATGCGGCTCTGTCTTTGAAGTGGCTCGATAAGTGTCATTTGTACTATGTGGCGAATCATATCAAATACTGAAAGAAAATGTTGCATTGAAGATATCAATATGAGCCGCATCATATAGGGTCGGTTTATTGTACTTTCTTCGCCAAATTCCGAGTACCTATAATAGTATGTAGTGGATTTCCAGTCCCAGCTCTTGGCTTTCCCCTTCCAGATTAGCTCTCTCCTTGCCTCTTTTTGCTCACTGTGTAGAATTGACCCCACCACTGTAATCCTATTCGGAGAAGACTACGTTCGATAACAAAGGAGAGACAGACCAAATATGGAGACCACAGGGAAGCAGTACTGGCTATGGAATGCGGCAAAGGAAGGAAGGAAGGAAAAGAGGAGAGGAGAGGAAGCACACATGCAGATAAATACACAACATTGAAAGGAACTAATGTATGATAATAAGGGGGAACATTGAAAGCACATGCCCCTAAGGAAAGACACTCTTACAGCACTGCTGAACAAATCCTCAGATAATGGCAATCAATAAAGCGAACCACTCAAAGTATGAGTGTAGGATTTCCCATTATGAAAGTTGCTAGGGGCTTGGCGATTCTTCCTTACTCTTATATAATTAAATAGATATAGAAGAGAGCCCACACCCCCATAATTGATACTGTGCTTCCAATCTTTCAGAGCCGATGGGAACTCCACTTGCTCCAAGTCAACAATCATGACAGTTCCGATATCACACAGAAGAAAATTATCCAGTCGCTGGTCTAAATACTTTGCACCGTGCGAATGTAGGGCCTCCATGGCCTTCTCAAGCTGAGGTCGAAGCTGCTCCGTAGATATGGCCGATATATCACGAGCAACATCAAGCAGAGTTTTCCCAGTTACTTCGGAAAGGATAATAACAGGACAGTCGTCAAAAGTCCCTTGAATAACAAATCCTTGTAGGCTCTTCAATTTCTCGTAAGCTTTGATCTCTTGTTGGAACTCATCTTCCCAGCCATTCTTTCTTTTCTTAAGAATGATAACACTCGGAAGATATTGTAAATCCTGGTGTTTTTCAAATATTAGGCGATACACTCCCCGAGATGGATGTAGCTGCTTGACAATTTCTGCCGGAATGGAGATGCTATCGAAGTATAATGATTTCTACTTAACACATGTAAGCGACAAGACGTAGCTTTTAGTTCATAGCCACGGACCTGAGATTTTGTTTCCTCCAAAAAGGGGTCCATGGCAAACTTTCAAATGTTGAAAGCTGGAGAAGATAAAGAGTTGAAATTAATAACATTTGAAGGGATAAATCGTTCTTTCAAATGTTTACGGTCGCGGCTGAATGACTCAGCTGACCATTAACAGTCAACTAATATCCTCGTGCTGTGTGGGTTATTCAGGCAGGATTGTTTTTGATATCAAATTCCAGGAAGCCCCTGCTGCACTATGCATATAGAGCTCCAGACTACCAGACTACCGCTTCCTTCTCCTTCTTCCTCGAGATATGAGGTTTAAATAATATTGGCCGTGAAGAGGTAATTACAAATTCCACAGGTAGCATTTGAAAGGACGATCACTCCTGGTAGACTTAATATTGATCCAAATCACGACACACGGAATAGATTTGACCTAAAATTCAGGTGCCAATTACTTTGGCAAATTCAACAACCAAAAATTAGTAAAATCGTCAAGAATGAATGATCGTGAGACCATTTCCCCAGAGCCGTTTATATATGGTCCACTCCAGCCCCACATCGGATCCCCACTTGCCACTAGCGCACTGATCCCCCGCTTTTACGTACGCGTCAGATCAAGGCAGGAATCGCTCAGAGAGGGCAAAAATGGCCGAGAAAGAGGGAAGAGAGAGATGGTCATACTGTGGATCTTCAAGGATTCGCTGCTATTTTTCTCTGTTTAACTGGGCGTTCAGCTCTGGACGATCTGCACAGTATATTGACGTAAAAGTCACGTAACGTCACGTTATCTCCTACAAGATAAATGCAATAGCCCGAAAGATGCAACAGATAAAAGAAAGGGGGGGGGGAGATTAGTGCAAATTGTGATAGTCTACTGGAAATTCAACTCATCACGTTGGCTATCGATAGTATCGTGTTGGAGGGGGTTTGTGGGCCGGAAGTAAGACAAAAAAGGAAAGCCCCCGAGGGGGCGTAGAGCCTGAACAAGGATCAGGACCAGGGGGAGAAGTCAATCTAATTCCATTTCTCCGGAGATTTCACCAGGAACCTCAGGGCATCTTGCATGAGTAAATAGCTTTCTTTGTTATCTATGGATTTAGAGAGCTTTGGTTAAACTGTAAATAGTAAGACTGGTCGACTGTCCTAATTGTAACCCGAGCTTGCATATCTCCTGCAGCACCGTGCAGGTCCGGCGTGCGACCGAAAAGCCCAACGAGCCCTGTAAGCCAGGTTCTTCCCTCATCGCTTCCCATCTATTGGCCCGTCTGCTGCGATGATCCCTTGATCGAGGCCGAGGTTCCTGCAAGCGAAATGTACCTGGCTCATGAAAGAGGAGAGAAAGAGGGTCCAAGCTGACGCCTCATACCAACAAACAGGCTTGATTTTCCAAATGTTCACAAGACAGCTTAACTTTGTTGGAGATACCGAGGGCCTGGCGCAGAGGCTGTGTGGTTTTGATGGTTCTGTCCAATGCGAGAGTTTCCGTATTCTACTTCCCCGCATGAGAATCGCAGATCCTGACTTTTCAAAGTTCCCCGTGGGGTACTAACCGGCCGGCCAATGATGCAATGTGCAATACCAAAAATGCAAAATCATGCAGAGAAACACGTTGATAAGAATCCCTTGCAGATTAGGCTTTTGGGCTGTTGATTTATACTCTGGCGCATCTCCCTCATTTGGAGATTTTGTCTTGTCCCTTCCCTTTGCACTCCCGCCCATAGACAATATGCCTATCAGCGAGAAATATGTACTAGGCGCAAACAATCGGGGTCCTTTTCTCACCCCTGGAGATGGAGGTCAGGGGCTTGAGAAATTGGATTCAGCGGGGGGTCTTTCACTGGCCAGAACCCCGACACGATCAGAAAAGCTACGACGCCATTGGAAACGGTTCTGGCTCATCTACTGTACTGCGAATGTTATTTTTCTCGCAATATTTCTTCCAATTTTGTATGTCTCTGTCCTCAAGTCCTCAAAGGGCACAGCTCTCTCCCCTCTCCCCTCTGGTACTGACTCTTATCAAGCTTCCTGGTTATTATCCCAGCGATCGCGCAATTGGTTGTCAACAAGTCCGACCTCATACTTATCAACGCAGTGGTCAATCAACCAAAGCCAGACTCGGTGATGTTGACCTTGGAGACAAAAGTCGACTTGAAGCTTGCAATTCCAGCGCGCATTGAGAATCTTACGCTGAGCTTATTCGAACGCGCGTATGGCGTGGATGATGCATATGCTACTGTGACTATTCCCGGACAAACAATCAAGGGTAATCACAGCATGGGTGTATCGGACCAATTTACAATTCTTCAAAATATGACTGCCTGGGAAGACTTTGTTCACCAAGTCGTCTTTCAAGAGGAAACCTCTTTGGCACTTTCGGGTCAGACCAACGCCTATCTGGGGGTTCTCAAGTCTCATGTTCACTTGAACAAAAACATTGTGACACCAAGTAAGTCAATCATTTTTTTTTTGCTTTTTTCTTGTTCGCTCTCTCCTTGATTGCTTCAACTTCCCTTAGTGAACCCTTTATTGCGAGTTTTTCTTGGTTCGTGCGACACGAAGAGAACAAAGCATTTCCTAATGAAAATCAATAGCGTTAAACCAGTTTAGTGGTTTCGGAATCTCCGATGCCACCCTCGTTCTCCCCGCCGAATCCGACGGAACAAACCTGATTGGCAATGCGACCCTCCCCAACCCTTCGGTCATTAGTCTCGAAGTCGGCACACTTACAATGGACGTCAAAGCTGGAGATTTGGTCATTGGCAATGCGACTCTGACAGACGTTACCCTCGTACCGGGTGACAATACCTTCCCCTTGCGCGGTATCCTCGACATTTCCACGGTGATCAAGAACTTGGCCACCGTGCTCAAGGCCGAGGCGTCTGCTATCAAGAGTGGCAATCTAAGCATCAATGCCGTGGCCACTTCGGTCGTATGGAATGGTACTCTGGTACCCTATTATACGGATATCCTGAAAGAACTCACTCTGACGACAGAGATCGGATTGGGTGCCGTTTTGAAGAATACTATCGCCTATCTCAAGTCGGAAGGGAATCTCACAGACGTACTCAAGAACCTTACTGGTGATCTGAATTTGTCGTCCCTAGAGTCTCGGTCATTGGACGAGAAAAAGCGAGGTCCTGTTGATCTCTCTGGGTTCATGCGGTCGAATTTACATGTCAAAGACATGTTTAAGGATATTGATCCAGAGGAGGGAGATTTGCTTATGAACTCGTTAGCTTCTATATACCCCTAGGTTTGATGATTGAGCCTCTCTTTATGGGAAGCGAGGAACATAATAATGCGCTACGAATTGTTTTGTTAATTATTAACTTTACCAAATGAAAAAAAATTTATTTAAAAAACATTTGAACATGATATTTTGCAAGAAAAACAAAAAGTAAATTGCTCACATCCAGATTTGAACTGAAGACCTCGGCATTACTAGTGCCGCGCTCTACCAACTGAGCTATGCGAGCTGCTTATGTCATGGCACATCCGGATCGTTACATATTCGGATTTGCAAAAATGAGGCATCAACAAATTTTAAATATTCCATGTTCAAGTAAATCCTCTGGAACCAGCCAAGATTATTGCAGCCGTCGCAGTGGCCACTCCATCATCATCGCCACGGCAATAACTTCAGCAGCACAGAAGCCTAACATCATAGCCAGTTGTCTTTTAAATCCCTCCCCAAACGCAGCTTGAACCAACAATTGATCGGCCGAAGAAAGAGTCTTAACCAATGAGACATCTTTGAGTATACGAGAAAGCGTCTCGGCTGAGATTTCCGTCGCCAGCCGACTTTTCGCCGTGGTATTTAGAATGTTCGTTGCGATTGAAGTTCCAAGCGCACCACCTAAGATACGCATTTGTGTAACACCCCCCATGCCGACCGCTGTCAAGATATATATGCATTAGCGTTGTCCATTGACAAGCTTTCATGGTTCAAGCCAAGGTTGGAACGACAGAGAACAAGAAATGACCAAAGGAGACTCACCTAAAACGCGTCGGTCTACTATGGCTGGCACAGTCATGATGAGCGAAGTGAGACTGAAGCCAGCGCCCATTCCAACAAGGACTTGATATCCGTATATGCGGGCAGGAATATGTGTGGTGACCGGCACCGAGTATAGCAGCCCCGTTCCTAGGATTTGCAGTATGCTTGCGAATAATACTTGTGGAATGACTGGGACGCGACCTTTGGCTAAGAACATGCCCGCCAGTCCGGACGAGACGCCAATGCCCAATGTGAATGGTAAGACACCTACACCCGAATCGAACGCGGACTTGCCATTGATACTTATAAAGCGAAGAGGCAGTTCGATGACAAAAGTGACGAAAGGAATACCGGATAGAAAGGCTTGGCTTTATCGAGTAAATATGTCAGTACTGTTTCTTGAAGGCGAATCCCTCGAAGGGCGAATCAAAAACTCACAGATACATTCCCATCAGCACCCTGTTCTTCACGAACTGCCAAGGAAAGACGGGCTCCCGCGGAGACTTGGAGTAATCCATATACCATTGCCAAGTGATAAAAGCGATGAATATGACGCCTGCTAATACCAAGCAGGTAAGAGCCAACGCGGAGTTCCAGGCATAATCAGTACCCGCTTCCTCTATAGCAACGACAAGCAAGACACAAGTAGTCAACAACATAAAGAAGCCCGGATAGTCGACGCGGTTACGAATATTGAAGTCCTTCTTGAAGAAACCAAATAAGTTCGGAGAAGCCATTGCGGCACGGTCGGGAAAGCCAGCCGGCATGGTGATAAGGATCAAAGCTAGTGCGATAGCCCCGACAGGTAAATTGATCCAGAAGATCCAGCGCCAGGTGGTACCGTCCGTGATCGCACCGCCGAGTAATGGACCTAGCAAAAAGCTGAGCGCAATCGCAATAGACACGAATCCATTATATGCGCCGTATTTCTGTGGCTCGACCATCTCCACTACAATGATCGGAACCATGCTGAAGATACCAGCACCTCCGACACCTTGGAAGGCACGACACACGATACTAAGGGAGGAGATGGTTAGTGATAGCTCACTGTGTACAATTGACAACTCTTCATGATGGTCCATGGATAATATCAGATGGTAGAAGTGTGCCACTCACAGCTGAATTGGTGTTTTAGCTCCACCGCATGCTGCGGAGAAAGCAAGGAAAAATACAATAGCACCGCTTAGCATCAACTTGCGACCTAGGAAGTCACTCAATTTGGCCCATATAATAAGAAAACCTGGGAATTAGGTGGTCAGTAAGACGGGACTATGGCGGCAGTGAATACTAGGCTCAAAAAAGATTTACTGAAATATGTTGCCAAGTAGCTGGACACAATCCAGCTACTCTGATCAAATGCATTGAGATCGTTTGATATCGCCGTTACTGAAGTACTGACGATGGTCATGTCGAGGGCAGACAAAAAAACACAGAGACAAAGTCTGAGGCGACATATTAGCTTATCTTTCAGTCGTTTCCCAAGTATGATGGTTTCAAAGGCCGACACAAACCCGAATGTTAAGCCCCCAAGTCTCCGTCCTGCCAGCAGTGGAGAAGGTGGAGATTGGACATTATCCACGTCTTCATCGCTGCTACTTACTTCCTTCTCTTGCAAAGATCCTTCTTTTTGATCATCTGCGGTCGTGTGAGTGTCCTGAACATTTTCAGAAGGGCTTTGAATGTCCGCCATTCTTTTGTCAATGTTAAAAGGAGAAAAGAGAAAAGAAAAAGAGAAGAAAAAAATGTGGGAAGTCTTTGAATGGGGCGCCCTTCTTCAGTCAGTTGTAGCGATGTACTACTGCGGGGTGTGTAAGGCTCTAGACAACTAACCCTGCACGGGGTTGCCGGAGGCTGAATTCTTATAGGATAAGAAAAGTCCAAAGATTCCCCGTGAGCCTAGTCTTTGTCTACTATCTTTTCGTCATGATTTCTATATGGACTCGATAATACTGTGCGGTCAAAGGATCGAGAGTAAATAATTAAAACATGAGCTGCCAGTGAGAAGTGGACAAAATACGGCCAGCCTGGCCGTTCGGTGCGTCGCATATCGTAACCTTCTTAACAGGGCAATCCAGATGCTGTAGGCACCTGAGTGGATAAGCCAAGAGACCAGTCAGAACGAAATCGAATCAAGCGGGAAGATCATCATTTCTGGCCAGTGCTCCGTACTTAGCGTTGTCTTGCAGTGTTTAGCGTGGAGAAGAATAAGCAAACACAAATGATCCTGAAGGGATACGGAGTTATCCGTCCGTCAAAAGTATGAGCTTAACCTAAAATAGAGTCTCAAGCACTTCACACTTGACACTTCTGCTTTCTCCGTACTAATATCCAATCAAAACTGCCCAAGATTATGGCGCTCTTGTAAATTAAAGTCCAGACCACTTTCCGGCAAAGTAAAATTATGGGGCTCATTGTCATTTGGCTAGAGTCATCCTATCCCGAACTTCATACCTCATGCGGACACAAAGACGGCATTGTACTACTTCCGTACATGTACGCGCTGAGAGGGGGGGGTTGTTGGGGGCTAGAAATTAGCGTGACTACATTAGCCTAAGCGATCCAATTGGAACACACTGCATCAATTGACCCCTGCTGTCCACGTAACATCTGACCAGTGCTAGAGCGAGTTCTTACTCAAATACCATGTAGTACACTACTAAGCGTCCTGTGGGACTTTCCACATGATAGTCAAAGATAACAAAGAAACGTGTGCCTCGTGTGCCTCGGACTGGATTGTTGAAGGCCCGCGGCCCCGCACTGCGGACGATCCCGTCAGGGACTAAACCCATTTATTCCCCATTTATTCCCCATTGGTTCCTTTACCCGTTATATTTAACCAAATGCATGTCGTGACTCGTATTCCTCTTAAAACTTCCCCATCTTTTCAATCCCTTCGCCTTGTGAAACCCGACGCAATGGGCTTCCCTTTTCATGTCACCGAACACGTCATTGACGCCCAATATATTCGAGATAATGCTCGCGCCACAGCGACCGCAAATGCCCCCTTGAAGCTGTGCATTAAGCAATATACACCTCTCGATAATACTAACCCCCAGCCCGGTGACGTGACCTTTATCGCCGCTCATGGCATTGGATTCCCCAAGGTATGTTTGCGAATTTCCACCAACTTAAAATTTCACAACTGATTCAGGGATAGGAATTATACGAGCCTCTTTGGGAGGGTCTGCTAGCTCGGTCCAAACAAGATGGGTTCCGCATCCGCGCGATCTGGATAGCCGACGCGGTGAATCAAGGGGCCAGCGGCATTGTCAATGAGCATATTCTCGGCAACGACAGTGAGTGAAGCGCAGAGAGATCCGGCGAAATAAATGGCAGTATACCAATAAGTTCCAGACACTTGGTCCGATAACAGCCGCGATGTCCTTCATATGATATCCCATTTCCGCACCGAGATGCCGCAGCCAATAATGGGTGTTGCCCATAGCGCGGGTGCAGTGTCACTGTCAGTCCAGCTCTTAATAATCTCAAAATTCCATGAATTCCCACTAACAAGCCTGACATCTTCAGTACCTTTGCCGCCCTTTTCCACCCGAGACTCTTCGCTTCTCTCCTCCTCGTCGAGCCCTTTATCTCCGACAGACCGCATGAGGGTGGCGGGGCCGAAATAATTACAATGGCGACTTTAAAGCGCGACACCTGGCCTTCGCGCGAAGCCGCAGCCAAAGAGAGTCGCAAATTCCTCCGTGTCTGGGATCCGCGCGTATTCCAGCGTTGGACGGAATTCGGGTACCGCGAATTGCCCACTGCGATCTATCCGTCGGCACCCGCCACCCCCGGCGCTGTCACACTGACCACCACGAAACACCAAGAAATCATGTCGCTCACATACATCAATCAACGGGAAAACATTATAGTTCATGTTCCCGGAGAAAACCGCGACGAGAACGAGGCCAAGCAAAGATCTCCGGTCCCCGAGAGACAGGTTTACCGGACTGAGCCTATGATTGCCTTTAAAATGCTACCATATCTTGCACCACCAACCCTTTGGATCAGCGGGTCCCGGAGCCCGCTTTACACAACTGGTATCCATGAGGAGGCGGCGAAGATCACTGGAAAAGGATTCCAAGGCAATGTTGGGGTGGCGTCTGGTGTTGTCAACCATGTTGTAATTGAAAAGGGTAACCATACGCTTCCATTGGAGAAGATCGACGCCACGGCAGCGGCGATGGGGCCTTGGATTCAGCGGGAGGTGCAACGTTGGAAGCAGAATGAAGCTCAGACATCGCAAGAATGGGGGCCTCTTTCTTCAAAAGAAAAATCTACCATTCCTTTGGAGTGGATGGAAACGTTGAAGATTGCCAAAGCCAATCTTTAAAATCCGAAATGCGGTTCTGGAGATATAACAGCTTGCGGATTTGATTGGATAGAAATTAAACATACCAGTCTGTATGGTTTTGCTGATCGATGACTTATCCTTCTAGAAGTTCCTTCCTCAATGGTAAATCTCGAGCCCCAGACCGTAGTAGATTATATCAATGTGAACCACACGGGTGCCTGAGTCTCATCGATACTTCATTGAATTGATCGATAACCCTGCACAGATGATAAGTTCATGTGGGACCCCCATTTGAAGGGCGGATCTACACCTACTTTGAACAGATGCGCATTGACCTCCCTCAGACCGGACCGCTTGCCCGCACCTTAGGACTTGGAGGCTAAAGAAGCCGAAATGTATCGAAAATTTTTAATTGAGTATGCAGACGGACCACTCTGTGTTTTCTCGGACTAAGAATATCCACCGATGGAGCCCTGGATCCCTACCTAGGCCAGGCCCATAGCCCCGAAGTGAAAACCGGGAAACTCCACGTGATATCACATGAGCATACGCTTATCACACCAGGGCATGCCCAAACCCCTTGCCCAGCTGCCCTCTTGTCCACACACTTCGTCTCTTTGGCACACTCTCCTAGAAATTAGCAGAAAGTTATTATTACCACTCAAGTGCTGGTTACAATGGCCACCCTTGTCGGCTTCCAGTCTCACGAATGTCAAATTGCGGATGAGAAATCTCATGGTGTAAGCCTGCCTAGTGACTGAAGCTAGCAGTGACATTACCTATTGACTGATTTACAGAGCAGCGAATATCAGATAACTAAGTTGAAACATCGTCCAGTCATCGAGCAAAGGAGCAACCAGAAGCTTCTTGCGATTAGTGCATTTGCTGAAGTTTACCTCCTTGACGGTAAAACCATCAGAAAAGCGCCTCGCAGCCAAGGCGAAGATGATATGGAATCCATCATACGTGAGGCGACTATCTACAACATGATTGACGATCATCCTCGTATTGCCCAGTGCACTTCCCGAGGAAGGACCGATTTCGTTGACGTCAAGTACTATCCGAAAGGCGATGTCTCTGAATTTTGTCAGAAGAATGAGGTTTCTGCTGAGCTTCAATCAAAGTGGTTCCGACAACTTATTGAGGCAGTGGAAGTTATCCATCGCTATGGAGTGATCTACTCAGACCTTGCCTTGCGCCAGTTCTTCGTCGATGATGAATTAAATATACGCCTAGGTGATTTCAACTCATCCCAGTATCCCGAGCACCCTGCCCTTGGGTATGAGAAGGCAACCCATTGTTTGCCAAGGGACTACGCACAACCGAACACGGTACTATCCGATCTTTTCGGTCTGGGCTCTACTTTGTTTGAACTTGTCACTGGGAAGGCCCCATATGCCGAACTCTATCCTGCTGAGTTTCGGGACATTGCTCCATCTGATATCCAAATCCTTACGCGAGCACAGCAGCGACGTGCCGCAGATGCGGAAGTCGAAAAACGGTTTCGGAATTTGCAATTTCCTGATGTATCTCATATTTTTCAGGGTGATATTATTCTGGGTTGTTGGAGCGGCAGATTTTCTTCGGTGGAAGAGGTGCTCCGGTGGAGCACAAGTATATATTGAACCCAAGATTCATTGTGTCTAATTGAAAATGATCGGAATACCGCTCTGTGTCTTCTCGAATTAAGGATATCATCGATGGCGCCCTTGAGGTTTTCGCTCCAAGTAGCGAGTCTCTGGCTTATAGAGCAAGGCGAGTATTGCTTGAATCAGACTTCGATGTTGCATGCAGATGGAAGGATAGAGAAGATGGAATAAGCAAGGAAGGGGATAAGGACTGTCCCATAGTTTTGCATGATTTCTCGATATGCCAAGTAAGGACTTAGCCCATGATCCACTGAGTGCTTGCTCGTGCGGGAACTCACGTCCTCGGGCTGTTGCGCCATGGATAGGCTTCAACAGTTTGGAAAGATGACACCTCTCCACCAGGCGATGATAATCGACAAAATCATCATGCAAAACGAGATTTTCAAGGAAAAACGAAGAGCTCTGCTGCTCGTCTCGATAGACCACCAGCCAGGCGACTGGGAATCCTCTTCGATTGATCCAGTGTGAGAAACTGGCTGGGTCATGATGGAAATGAGAGGCAAGAAATCTAAGAACTTGATGTAAATGTTCGCAGGTGAAGGGGGAGAGCTCTTGCTTTATCGTTGAGTGAGAATATCGGGGACGCGTCACCTAGCTCGTGGGGTCCCACCTCTTGTCTTTAACATATTGAACAGTTCCAACCAAAGATTTCCAGTGTCATTCGATAACTCAAATGCTTTCTGGCATGGATGTTTAGGATAATTTCTGGATTTCCGTGGCAAAATTGGCCCAGGTTGTGGAAGGCGACAAAGGCAGTGCCAGCAGGCGAAGAGCTAGTGTAAGCCGTGGAGTTAAAGGTACTGAGTGCGTCGAGATAAAAGATAAAGAGGGTCCACATTTCGTTTTTGCGCGCTGTCAGCCGTGGCCCGTGTTCGTGTCGACGCGAAGGAGGCTCTAATGCTAGCGCGGAACTGGACTAGCGTACTCCTCTTATGTACACAAATACACAAATTGCCATTATAGGTACTCACATGTATTGCTGTTTGATACAAGTGGCTCAAGGAACATCTGAGTCCTGTCACATCTGTTCCGTAGAATCCGTACCTATCGGCTAATTTCCTAAATGGAAAGTGTCCAGATTCGTGTTTTGGTCCTAATCGCGACTAGTGGCTGACTCCACCCGAATGTCTCTCGGTTAGATTGCTCCTCACTAAACCACCACTTTAGCCCATGAAATACTAAAATTGCCTGTGATCATTGGTCCTGTTTCTCGCTGTTAGCTCAAATAAGCGGGTGGCTTGGCCATGGGAATTTTTCTTACTTGATCTGGAGAAAAGTAGGTCGGAGCGGCCGTTAGTGCCTTGCTATGAGGTTCGTTAATCTCCACCAGATTCATGAACCCGAGAAACAACCCTGGAACTCGAGGTGATTGATTCGACAGCGCCGGTATACTATACCGCTCGTAATAAATCAATCTGGCATTGGGGGCCAAGTCGTTAATCCAGGGACATATGGATGCACTGCCCCAAGGGTGGCTCCCGTTTGCTGACCGTCGTTAATTTGTAGCAAAGCCCCCTGCCAAGTACCAGGTGCCATGTTAGTGAATCGAGCCACAATTCATCTAGAATATGATGTTTTTGAACATTATTATATGTAAGTAGTCTACTTATTAGTACAAGTATGTCTGATGTGTGTAGGGATTATTTACAATTTGTCACCCATTTCACCTGGCAGGGTGTAGAGGTATCTCCACCCATACAGATCTGACCCCAAATGGCTAGTCATAATCACTCCAACCGTCTCAATAGGCCAGTGCAAGGCCTCTTAGGCAGTTACACCAACGCAGACGTAATCGCCCACCCAAAGGCTTGCACAACCTGACCCGACAGCGGGGTTCCAGGCGTAGAACTGTGCGAACGTGATGCCGTAATCAGCAGCGATGGCAGCGCAAGTATCACCAGAGACGACGAAGTAGAATTCATCGCAAGTGGAGACCATTCCAGTCTGGATGGGAGACGGAGTAGTAACACCACTACCGGAAGTAGAAGTGGTTGTTGCCACTGCTGATGTAGTGGCCACACTAGAGGTAGTAGTGGATGAGGCGACACAGACATAATCACCCACCCACAGACTCGCGCACCCAGATCCAACTGCAGGGTTCATGGAATAGAACTCTGCAAAGGTGATACCGTAATCAGCAGCAATGGCAGCGCAAGAATCGCCAGAGACCACGAGGTAGAACTCATCACAAGTGGAGGTCATTCCAGTCTGGATAGGAGCCGGGGTACTGATTCCAGTAGCAGAGGATGTCGTCGATGTAGTAGCGATGGCGGATGAAGAGACAGCGACAGATGAGCCAACACACACGTAGTACCCGACCCACAGACTCGCGCAAGAACTTCCAACCGCAGGGTTATAAGTGTAGAAATCATCAAGGGAAATATCCTCTGCAGTGGCAATGGCGGAACAAGTATCTCCGGAAACCACAAGATAGAAGGCATCACAAGTGGAGATTATGCCACTTTGAACAGGAGACGGAGTAGTGAGTCCAGATGAAGTTGGGGTAGCAGTGGTCGCAACTTGAGAAGTGGGCTGGGATGTAGGGGTGGGTGTCGGGGTCGTAGACAAGGTGTATGGAGTCTGCGTGAGGTTGTCCACATCAACGCAATAATAGTAGCCCGGCACCATTGAACAGGCACTGGAAAGCAGATACACATAGGGGTTCTATATTAGGATGGATGGTCAGCTCTCAATTGATTAGACCTTCGTCCAAGTGAGCTTATGAACGTACCCAAGCATAAAACTCAGTTGACGTGATACCAAATTCAGCTTCAACCTCAGCACATGAAAACTCCGCTGAACCCAGTGCCCATGCACTACAGTCCGACACGGCGCCTGGAAATACTTCCGCTCCAGCTGGGGGTGTAACAAGGTAGGCTTGAGTAGCCCCGATGGCTGCAAAAGCCGTGATCAATTTTGTGAAAACCATGGCTAGAGAATCAGTCACCAGTGACAGTGAGTCAGTGAGGAAGAAGATTGAGTGTCAAATCCTGCGACCTTGACAATGCAGCTCTTTCAGGGCTCCTCAGCTTATATGTAATAGTCAGACGGATGTATGGAGAAAACAGGGTCTCTCCCCTCACCAAGAGAGATGGACTAAGTGAAATAAAATGAGACAGCAAAAAGCAGAATTGATCATTGGCTGTTGCTGTTTTGTTCCTGCATGTTGGAGAGCCCAGCGAACGCCACATTGGAGCAAATCCATACAGCGTAGCCCTACGGAGTAGTCCGTACAGCATCAAATTTCCCGAGCCGAGGCCCCCGACCAATAGAAAGTGGTTTACATTGGATCTAGGCCAAGTAGAGACACGCCAAGCGCTAAGATTTAGTTCAATATGGATGCTCGTCCTGGACTCCAAGGGTCGCAATGAGGCTAGGAAAAAAGGGTATTAGCCAGCGCACGTCCTTGAAGATAATGCTACACCCTGATGTCACGTATCAAATAGCTGTACTAGCATCAATATAATTTCCCAAAATGTCGTAAGAAAAACAATAAAAATTACTGAAACATTTAGCTTAACAAAGCGACCAAATAAACAATAGACAGTGTAAGATCCATGACCTTTGAATAAACTGTTCAAAATTCGAAACTTGGACAAGAAAAGGTTCGGGCAGAGCCCCAAGTTCAAAGTGTGGTAAAGGAGTCCCTCATTTCCCCACTCCGTGAATCCTTTGAGCTCTGCCTCGCTAAAAAGCCCCTCGGCCCTTTTCAGGTACCGTGGAACTCAAATACCAAGATTGAAATTGGCAAACCCGAGAAAAAAAAAAGGATACTCAGTTTAGGCTGCAATTGTGGTTCGTTACTTAGTGGGCCTTCTTAGATGAGCCTCTTGTTGGAACAATTCACCACCCGGGTGAGAGCCGCAATGGATACCGGCAGGGGCGGAGGTTTATTTATTTTATTTTATTTTTTATTTTTATTTTTTTTGGGGGAAAAAAAAAGAAAGAAAGGAAAAAAGCCGTAACGAAGGGAATGGAAATTTCTTTCAACTTGTCCAAGTAATGTCAACATCCGACAAATTCATTTGAGATTCCAAAAAGAAAGCCTATGACTGGACAGCATGATGTGCACACTCCGCACCTTATTATGAAGTTGACCGGAAGTAATTGACCCATGACCGTAGCTTACTGCAGGTCCATAACACCAAGGAGGAGGCGTTATAGGTAGGCAGGAAGCTACGGTCAGTACTAGATACATTGTTTCCTCAAAAGCAAGATTCACAATTCCCCAAGCAGTCCTGGGCCACTATTTGCAGTTGACCTTGTGCTTCTTCCAGTCGCCTCTCTGACAAACCCGCGAGCAGTAGTAAATGCTCTGGCACTGAGCACAGCGGCGCAAAGGTTTATCCAGCGATGGAGTCGTTCCACAACCAGCACATTTCTGGTCGACATTCTCGCGACCCTGATCTTCGGGAATACCGCCCATGCCAATTATAAGCTCATTAGAGAATTGCTTCCACAGGGTATCAGCCACGTCGTTCTCCATGGAGTCTGCGACAGACACGTGACACAGATCCGGTCGAACACCGACAGCCCTCAGTCTAGCGGAGACAGCCTGGGCGAGGCCCGCATCAGGTGTGCTCCAGCTGTATGGAGCCCATGGCACACCGGGGTCGTCCATGGCAAGAGGCAAGATGCTGTTGTCGAATGTGGTGAGGAAGGACTCAAAAAGGAGGGGCACGATCACTTCTGCTTGTGCTTCGAGTGAGAGTCTTTTGATGCGGGTGCGACCTTCGCAATGTCTTTGGTTGATGTAAGGATTGACAAGGAAGACGGCATCCCCCTCAACAATGGGAAGGGTTCTCACGGAGAAGTGGTAGTGATTGGGAGCCTGCGTAGGCCCGCGTTCAGGCGCACGAAGGCGGTTGAACTGTTGGGCCTGGAAAGCTACTGCGTTCGACATTTTGGAAAGAGTCGATGGGACGATGGTAAGTTCAAACGCACAGATGAATTTTTTATTTTCCGTGGCGACGGCGGTGTAAAAAACCACTGCAAGTGTGAAGTTGTAACTTGTCTCAAAGAGTACTGATTGGAGGAGAGGTGATGCTGAGGCCTGTGATTGGTCAATCCGTAATGTTTTGCTCGGTTTGTCGCGTCATAAAAGAACTTCAAGCTACGCGACTTTTTGAACCTCCGAGTCAGAACCGATGTCTCGCGCTTATTGCGAATGTCGATGAATGCCATTTCGTATTTAATTATCGATTTTCTTCTGTCAATACCCTGGGCCACGAAGGCACAGGCCTAGAACCTACTCAGAGCGACATTGCCACATTAGAACGTATTTGCTTATTTCTTATCGTTAATCTGAGTGTGATAACCGTTATCCGCAGTCTTATCGCAGTCTTATCGAAGTGTGTTGGCTGTCCTTATTTTGCTTGATTTCTTCTCACATAGTCTCCTGTGAGATACAGTCCGACGGACCCGGGACCCTTGCTATCACCACCTGTTCAGCCACCGGAGATATCTCCTCGACTGGGGATGAGGATACAACAGGGCTTTGATCGACACCCTCCACGAGACTCCAACCATACAACATCATCTCACCCATACGCTTGCTGAAATCGGATCCCATAATCCCGAGATGTTTCATAGCTTCCTGTGTGAATAAAAACTTCTCCCGCCGTCTAAACTCCGTATAGACCTTACAACTCTGGCCCAGCCCAAAGATCGATGTGTGCGGACCCCAGGCTTTCTTGTCATCAGCCAAACAGTAAGGAAGAGAGCGGCTGATCTCGTCGGCGTAGAACTCCGAAAGCAAATAATCCTCGTTCGTAGCGACTTGAGCAGGAGATAAACAGTAGGCGTGGGACTGGGCTTGGGCGATCAAACCCTGAAGTATAGACAAAGCAGCCCAGTACCCATGGTGTGCCCTAGCATTGTCCAAAGAGGTGAAACGGTATGGTGTGCCGAAGAGATAATCTGATGGAGGACAATTGGTGATAATGGTATCACAAGTTACAGGACGGCCACCGAAAAAGTCGACGTTGAACTCGTACCAGTCGAATAATTTTTGTCTGTGCATTATGCAGTTGTATAGCAATATTTGATAGCCATCTAAGTTGGATGCATCGATCACACTGAGATCTGTCATGAAAGGTGACATCTCCGACATGAGTTTTAATAGCTCATCAATGGGCTGCTCTTCCCTAGAAGTCAAAAACAAAGGGAGTTTATCGGCGGTCGGATCAATCGCTTCCTTCGCCTGCAAGGGTGATAGTGATTGCAACTAGAAGAAGCGAATTAATATAACGACTCGATAAGGAGAAAGAAAGACACATACCAATCGCATTCTATGGAATGCCACACATAGCAATCTAACTGTAGGATTTTGACTCGCACGATACTGACAGTATTTCAAGATCCCGTTGGTTACTGTCATCTGGTCGAGCCATACTTGAAGACCTTGGGGGCAATGAATTGACTGAAAGTATATTCAAAGTTAGCTTTGAAATATGGAAAAAGTGTCATTTAATGCAATGAACATGCCATCAATGTGGATAACATACCACTAGCTGTTGAAACACGGCCACAGTATATACGAGCTCATCGCTGTAAATATTGCGCTTCCGCTTAAGGTGATGTGACATATGCCGTATTGCACCGTTGTATAGTTGAAGTCCATGATAGAACATGTTATTATCGTTGTTCCTTTTGCCCAAAAATATGCAGCCCACTGCAGTAAGAGCCTTTTCAAGCATGGGAGGCTTGTTTGGAAGTCCGGTGACTTCTAATAGTAGGCTGTACCATGGATCAATTTCGGTACTTCCCGATAAATCATCAGGAAAGTAATTATCAACATATACCGAGGAAAGCTGCTCTCGCTTCAATGGGCCATTATGCACTGATGCGACTGAGTGTTGTATAATCAACGGCCTCGCACGGCTAAGATATTGTGCCTGGGTCTGGGTCGGAGTCACGATATTGTGTTTCGAACCCGCCAATTGCTTCTTATTTTTATCTCCCGCATGCGCAGTCGGGGTGTTGTGGAGAAAGATGCGGTATTGATCATATCCGGGGCATTGAATGCCACGCTTCATGCAACGTTCACATTCTGGCTCTTGTTTATCGCACTAGCTTCAACCGTTAGCACCGATATCACGTAATCGAGGGATAAAGACGCCAACCTTCACTTTGCGTTTTTTACAATTCTCACACCCGGTAGACTGCCACGGTTTGCCGCCCATATTAATGCACGATAACTGGTGTTCTCGGGACGGTGGGGAATTTGAGAGACAATGGCTTGCGAAAAGGCGTTTAGGATGGGGGCCAAATGCTGTTAGCCGAGGGGGGAACCCACAGCTTGGCCCCACAGTGTGGTCCACCAACAAACAACCATGCCCAATGATAATGCCTGGTCCAAAGGAAGGGTGAACCCTGACGAATTCAAGGCCGCCTGGTGTTTTTCAGGGGTCAGAATAAATACTCAATATGATCATTGGGATGGTGTATGGAGTATTTGAATTGGCCGAATAAGGATCATAACAGATCAAGAAAAACGAACAAAGTTGAACAGCATGACAAAAAATAATTAGTGAAATTCTGGAAGTAGCTTGGCAACATAGCATACAACATGCACTGTTTTCTCAAATGTAAGTCCGCAGATATTCCCCAAGAGCCATCATTGCCATAGCCTGTCCATACGGCATAGACGTAACAGCAATATTTCGATAATGATCTAACGTATCGCCCATGCCAGTTCCAAAACTTGTATTTTGCAATTCGCCATTCTCATCAATTGAGTCCAGCACAGCTTTGACAGCATTTTCTGCAACGTCGCGGTATTGATTTCCAATATAGCGCTTGCGCATACCTTTCAGAAGACCAAAGGCAAAACCTGCCGTAGCAGAAGCTTCGATGTAAGAGCCTTCGTCATCATGATCCAGCAAAGTACGCCAGTAGCCCGAGGACTGTTGCAGACGCTGCAAAGCATTGCACTGAGCATCAAGTGTATCTTCCAGATAGGTCCGAAGCGGATCCACAGAAGAAAGCTCCATCATCTCAATAATCTCCGGAATAACTATGGTAACCCAGCTATTCCCGCGAGCCCACTTCGCACCTGCAAAGTTGTGACCACCATCCTCGAATGTCCACCCATGATAGAAGAGACCGCTTTTAGGGTCACAAAGATATTTCACATGAATCAACAGCTGTTTCTTCGCCTCCGTAATATAATGGTCTCGACCAAGGATCTTGCCGATTTTCACAAGAGGTAGGACAGTCATCATCAGTGTGTCATCCCATAACTGCTGCTTGTGCTCCATCGCGTAGGTTTTGTGTTGCATACCGCCGTATCGTGTTCGAGGGAGCTCGTACATTGCCCACTCGGCCCATGTGTCGAGCCAAGGGAGATAGGTTGGGTTTTTGGTCTTCTCATAGACAAATGCCAATGTAAGAAAGACTGCCATGGTGTTGATGTTTTTTGTTGTTCCTCCCTCGGCGAATCGTGTTGCAAACCACTCTTCAATGATTCTGAGGAGTGATTCATCGCCCGTGAGCTCATAGTACTTCCATATTCCATATAAGCCGATGCCATGAGTCCACTCCCAGCCCTTCCAGGATTTTGTATCGATTATGCGACCGTCTTGCAGATGAAGCAGGAATCTGCCTGTCTCGTCCTTGATGTTGATTTGGTTATGTATGAGGCTCTTGATTGTGTTATGAATATCCGGGGCTTGCGGTCGACAGACTGGAATATTTTTCTCGTTGGTGGCCATGGTTTATTGTTTTTCAATGTGCAATTTGCCGAGTAAGAGATGAAGGTAGCTTGATTAGCTTTCTAGCTCGAACCTCAAAGTGGCTTGGGCTGATACCGCCTTTTCAAGTCCGTAGAAAAGAATACTTTCTTTGCTGATCTGCAGTCCGATCACTGGCCCATTTGAAATCCTCGGCCGCTATTATACCGAGCCTAACAAAGAGAATGAGTTTAAACGGGAAGGAAAGAACGAGGGGAGTGAAATGGCGCTCGCTTACAACATATGATCCTTTGACTCCGTCTATTTCTATTAGTATTTCTCCGTCTTGGCGAATCTTAATCAGTCTCGGCATTTGGAATCTGGGGGTGGAGAACGCGGGGTCAAGCACTAGCCAAGGCTGGAGGATCAGTGGGGACATCGTGCGTTGTTGATATTTTGAAGCTTACATTCTTGGCATGTGACATGTCACAGACTCACAGTCAAGCACAGATACACAGTATAAATGGGGTCGTGAATCTGCCGATATGCCTCCCAAGCGGTACATGACTCTTTTCAGTGACCAAAACTCCCAATCAATCTTGATCGTTTGGGTTTTGAAAGATTGAACAACAATGTCTGCTTTGGGAGAAAGCAAAACGGGCGATATCAGGCAAGAGGCGGAGCCCATGCACCTAGAGCGCGTCACTAGCGATGTTGAGGACTTGAAAGCTGCCCAAGTGGGTGATCGTGTTGATGATGAGGTACAGAAGTATGCTGCCATGGGTCGCGTGGAGATTGACGAACCTACAAACCGCCGTCTTCGTCGTTTGATTGACCGTCGGGTGTTGTCAATCATGGTTTTCACTTATCTGGTTCAAGCACTCGACAAGGGAACGTTGTCTTTTACTTCCATCATGGGCTTTCTTGATGATACACATGTTGACACAAACCAAGTAAGCCCCTCTCAACTACATACAAGGGACAAAAAGCTAACGCTGGATTCCAACTACCAGTACGCATGGCTCTCGACAAGCGTTTATATCTCCATTTTGGTGGTCGAGTATCCGACAAATTGGATAATTCAACGAGTGCCTATTGCCAAATACCTTGGATGCAACATCATAATTTGGGGGTCTATTCTCGCTATGCATTCCACTGTGAAGAACTTCGGGGGTATTCTTACAGTGCGGATCCTGCTTGGAGTTTTTGAGGCATGCGCTCAACCGAGTTTCGTTCGCCTGTCGAGTATGTGGTATAAGCGTTCCGAGCAGGCACAAACTGTGACATTCTGGTTTGTTACCCGAAATGAACCGATGGGAAAAATTGATACATTTCATACTAATGCCTAGATAGGTATATGATGAATGGATTTCAGCAAATGATCGGTGGTCTCCTGGCATATCTCTTCAGCCTGATCGGTGCCGACAAAGTGCTCAAATCATGGCAAGCTCTCTTTATTACCTACGGTTGTTTCTCAGTCCTTTTCGGCGTCTTTGTTCTTATATTTATGCCGGACTCTCCTATGACAGCCACATGCTTCTCGGAAGAGGATAAAAGACTCATGGTGGAACGCGTGCGAGATAACCGGACAGGAATCCAAAACAAAAAGTTTCGAAAGTACCAGGTTCATGAGGCCTTGAAAGATCCTCAGACGTGGTGCTACTGTGGAATTCAACTCTTTACTACGATGCCGACCAGTGGACTGGGTACGTTCGCCAACATCATCATTAAAGGGTTCCACTTTACAACCCTCCAGACTCAATTGCTATCTATGGTTCTGGGAGCATACATCATTCTTGTTCTCCTCACATCGGCATGGTTGGTGAAGAAAACTGAACAAAACTTGATCGTTATGGCTGCTTATTGTATACCGTGAGTTCTACGGGCCGAGCGTACAAAATGTTCTTTCCTATCCACTCACTGAATACTGACACGTCAATACGGGTAGCTCGTTTATTGGCACGATTGTTCTTATGACAGTTCAGAACACGACATTGGCAACGAAGACAGGCTTGTTGATTAGTTATTATATCACACTGTCATTCTGGGCGGCGCAAACCTTGACATTATCGTTGATTTCCCGCAATATTGCGGGCCAAACAAAAAAGTCCACTGTCATTGCAGCCAATTTTATATCTTGGGCAATTGGAAATGCGATCGGTAAGAAGACTCACAAGTCCATCCCAGTGTTCGGCATTGGCTGATTATCCTGCAGGGCCTCAAATCTTCCGATCCAATGATGCACCGCGATATTTTACAGCTTTTAGTGTTCACCTTGGGTGCTACACAATTTTGGAATGTATCTTACTGTACCTCAGGTTCCATCTCAAAAAGCAAAATGCAAAGAAGGATGAATTAGAGGGGGTGGATGAGGATTCTCCTGTTGGCAATGACCTCGATGGCTTTGAAGATCTGACAGACAAGGAAAATATTCGATTCCGATATGTTTACTAGGAGGAACCTCAGCAGACTGCCTTTCGGCGCTAGCAGCCAAAGAAGAATTCCAGAAATCATATGAATGATTGAAAAACGACAGGGTATAATTCACAGGCTTCCGTTCTGCCCTATTCCAGCAAGAATCTTCCAATATGGAAACATAGAGCGACTAGGCTTAGAAACATTGCAAGGGAACATCAACAACTTTATCCCGGATATAGTCGGCGAATCCCTTTCCAAAGCCATCCAACCGACTGGAACTACTCACACCACGGCCTAGAATCCCGTAGACCACAAAATGCACAGCGTGGATGCGAGGAAACTCGACACGTTCAATGAAGAAGCCATCCTTCCAGTCACTGGAGATAAGCTCCCGCATCCGGTCCCGGGTCATATAAGACCGAAGCCAAGACCAGTGAGCTGGGTCTGTGACAAAAAAGCCGACGTTAAGGTTTCCGCCCTTGTCCCCCGATCTGCCCAGAGCGATATCTCCTAGTCGAATCTGCTTGCATGGACCTTCAAAATGCTGCGGGGCAGGAGTATCATAGTTCTCACGAATCCCAAGCTCTTCATATCTAGGAGGGTGACCTGTCTTGTAGGATCTAATTGTGTCAGCATCATCGACAAAGTTGATCGCCTCGGTGATATCAGATTGCTTGATCAGTGCGGGGTAATAAGCTAAGAAGGGCAAAGGAAGTGCAGTGCGCAGATCCATGGAGAGATGGTATCCTGTATCCAAGTTAGTCCCTTGGAAGAAGTATTCTAGACGGCAATGAGACGAAACGTACCAGAAAAGTGCTTGAGTGAAATATTTCCCATAGTCTTTACTACCGCCAGCACGGCCTTATCATTGGGAGAGGCAACGAAAATTCGAAGATAAGTTGTACTCTCCAACTGGGAGGAAGGGTTCGGACAAGGCGTTCCCACTCTGTATTTCGAAAATTTAGTATGCGTTCTCCAGCATACTAGTAATGTAGATTTATAGCCTGGCTTAAGCTTACCTCTGAAATTCAAGAGTCTCGAGTTCGTTTTTGGCTTCAACTGGGAGGAAATGTCGAATTTGCTTCTCGAGAAGATTCCACTTTTCGGTAGTAGCATAGCCTGTCGCATTCATAAGGATCTGTGCCTCATAACCTCCTTGGTAAAAGACGGCAAATTTTGTAGTCGACGGTGGTGGGCTGCCACGAATTCCGGAGACGTAGACACTGGAAGAAGTGCAAATATTAGTCTTACACTCTTTACGGCGGAGGGCACTCGTGAGTGAGATTAATGTAGCTTGATTTCCACTTACCGGTCTTCTCCCGCATCTTCGGCTTGAAAATCAGCGATATGAGCGCTGACGTCGCTGTTCAGGTATGCAGTTCCCTGCAACTCGTACAAAAACTGGGAGCGGACAGTGTCCACATTCACCATCCCCTGTGTACCAGGGTGCTTGGTAATTGTGCAGGTTCCGTCCCCAGCAATCTCTGCAATGGGAAACCCCGGAGAAACGAGATCATCTGACGGATATTTGTCGAACCCGGAGAAGTTGCCGCCAGTCACGTAGGCAGAACATTCGATAAGATGTCCTGCGATCAAGGAGCCCGCCAGTCTATCATAATCAGTCTCATTCCAATTATGCCAGAACCACGCAGCAGCAATTACAGGACTGGCGTCTGAAACTCGACCGCAGATAATTATGTCTGCACCGCGCCGTAGACCGTCGACAATTCCACGAGCTCCCAGGTACGCATGAGCGGATACCATCTGAGTGGGTTTATCGTTTGTGGTGTTTAGAAATGCATATGTGAGATCCGGTTGGACGATGGATGGATTTCCAGAGTCAAGATGAAGCAGCTCCTCCTTTGTGCTGGGCATATTGGGACCAACCAGGGGATACAAATCATCACCGGATAAATATGCAACTTGAAGGTTGAGATTTTTTTCGGAAATCTGGGAGAGAAATGTCTAGATTAGTTGCCCAGGAACCATATCTGTTTGCGCTAGGACTTACCAGAGCCTTCGTTTTCATAGCCAGGGCTTTGGGGTCCAAAGCACCGCCGTTGATGACCACCCGTATGCCTTTCTCAGCTATTACATCGATTGTCTGACGGAGGCCTTCCCATGCAGTCTCCTCGTAACCCGGGTGCTTCCCACTCCTCCACGTCAACGCATTATTGGCTAGATTGACCTCTGCGAGTTCTTGCATTAGCTGCTGATCGAAATGCGTCACCCCATGACCCATTGGGTTTGGAGATATGTATGGATATGGAGGATAAATATACCAGCAAGATAATCACCAGTGATGAAGTCAACATCCCCAAGAGTTGCCTGGCGATACATTTCGTATGCGGGATCACCTGCGACGGATAGTACGTTAGCAATGAAACCTTTTTTTGAATGCAATGAGCACAGTTACCATGATATCCGGAGCAGTTGGCCACCTTGACCGGTCGCTTTTCTTCGTAGCGTGTCATTGTCGAGGAGTTGTTGGTTGTCTATCGCAGGAAATGAAAGATTCGTTCCATGAGGGAATGGAGAGGAGTAATAAACGAATGAACAATATGATCTGATCCATGGTATAATGTGGGGTAAAAAAAGGCGCCACGGCTTGACGGCAAGCCAGCCAGGTCTACGGGTGGCGCCCACTGTACAGGGTGGAGACAACCTTGGAAATAGTTTGCCGTGGGCCACGGCCCACGGCCCGGCTATCCCACGGATGACTGAAAACCAATAGAAAGTTGGTATAAGCACCAATACCCATAGTACTAGACCATAATAAGTGATCCAGATGTTTCGTTCTAACCACAATAATCAGAATGGGGTATCTGGATCCGCATACGGAGGAGAGCGGTGTGCTTTAAAGTTTCCTTGATTTCCCCTCCAAACGCACTATCTTTCAGTCTCCTGAATCTTTTACCATAACAATCCTGCCATTATGTCCAAAGCGCATCAAACGATACCCGGAACCGAAATTTACGGCCCAGGCACCTTCATCGACAAGGAAGTTCTTCCAGTGCCCGAAGATGCTCATCGGGTATTCGAATATCTGGCTTCTAGCACACCTGGCTTCACGCAGAACAAAGCAGCATGGGATACAGTTCGGTTCGAAGGCAAAGCAGAGCCTATGGTCCCGGGACCCATCAAGTCTCCCGTGGTCTCAGCTGCATTGCATGCCATGGCAGGCCTGGTTGGAAATGAACTGCTAGAGCTTCGAGACGGAACGAAGGTGGTTGACAACAAAGTGACGGTGGACACAGACCACGCCGGCATCTGGCTTGGTTCTGTGTTCACCACATACATCAACGACTCGGACGTTTCAGCCATCGCACGTTCGGGTAAAATGGGATCACTCTTTGCCAGAGACATGGAGCAGGGATTCGGCAAGGGAATTGCGGGTCGCACCACGGCGATCTATCAAACAAAGGATCCTAAAGTGTGGTACCAGCTTCATGGTTCCCTGGATGCCAGAAAGACACTTGAAACCATGGGAATTAATGCCGATGTCACCTTCGACACGGCACAGGGCTACTATGATTATATCCAAAGTCATGTCATTCAGTGGAGCCCCGATGAGCTTGAAATGCATAACGTGCGTCATGGCCTCTGTGGAAGCATTTGCTATTCGCCGGATGGTTGGAGAAAGACCGAGTTCGGAAAGCAATTGTCCAAACACCCGCTAGTAAATGTCACCGAGGCGACATACGCGAGGCCCACACCTCAGGTCCCCATGCCTAAAAAGGCATCTGATCGCCGACCACTTGCTGGAATCAAGGTATTGGAAATGGTGCGGATCATTGCTGGTCCCCAAGCGGGCGTTACTCTGTCCTCTTATGGAGCCGATGTGATTCGAGTTAACTGCAGTCGATTGGCTGATCTGAATGTATGTTGAGACGCCACAATGAGCTGACTGATTTTTTGACACTAATTATGTCTTCTTGTTTTAAAAATAGGTTCTGCAACTTACACTGAACGCCGGAAAGCGCACGGTTGATCTTGATATCACAAAGTCGGAGGATATTGCACTTTTACAGGGACTGATCGCAGACGTCGATATCTTTATTCAGGGATTCAGATGGGGCTCACTTGGCAGAAAGGGCCTTGGTCTCCATGATCTCCTGAAGATAGCAGCCGACAGGAACAAGGGAATCATTTATGTCGATGAGAACTGCTATGGACCGGATGGTCCATTTGCGGAGCGTCCTGGTTGGCAACAAATTGGAGATGCTGCATCAGGAAGTTCGTATGTGATGGGTCGATCGCAAGGTCACAAGGAGGGAAAGAGCGTGCTGCCCCCACTACCTGTCTCAGACATGCTTACTGGAATTATCGGCGCACTGGGTGCAATGATTGCAGTACGAGAACGTGCTGTCAAGGGTGGCTCTTACCACATCGTAACATCCCTTGTAGCTGCCGATGCCATTTCTCTGGAGAAAGAAGTAGGATTATACCCACCTACTCTCGTTCGGAAAACAGAAGAAAAGTTCGGATTTCCTCCAATCACACCCGATCAGTTCGTTTCTGAGGTTCTGATCTCAGTCGTTGATGGCTGGAAGAAGGGACTCCCCGGATATCTGGACGAGGACTCAGAACTCATGATGACATTTGAGGATGGTTATTGGGGTCGTCTATCGCTTCTGAAGCCTGTTGCGCGACTCGGAATCCAGGAAGCCACACCGAAATGGACCTCGGCCCCGGTACCAAACTGCCACCACGAGCGGGGAATCGACTGGGCTTAAAAAAAAACATGCAGTTCAATTTAAATAGCAAAAAAAGACGCGATGAGTTGATTGTGCTGTTTGTGAGGTGGAAATAGTGGCCAGTCTCGGTAAATTGTCATGTCTTTGTTGTACTGTTACATATCAAATTCCAAGATTATATAAAGCCATCGGGTTTTCCTTCATTGATACCTGGTGATGGTAATAAGCCAGTAAAGGTATCCTGCCAGCTCCAAAATGGAGGAAACGACCACTGTGCATTCAGCAAATCAGCCATTGGCTCGATATGAGGGTCAGTAGCATGTTGAAGCAAGGGATCATCGGTATAAACTGCAGATTCTGCATGAGAAATAGAGTCAGTATTCGTGCGCCAGGAATCACGATCGGTTCTTGAAGCAGTTTGTTGTAGTGTATCGGATCGATACTGGTGAACAGCTCGTCTTGCAGATGATTCTAGGTCAGAGCAAACCCCTAGAATAAAGTCCACATATGTACTTGGCTCCTCGGATGAGATATTCGTCAGGAAGACAACGGTGTCACGGATCATCTGAAGATCATCGGTGACCAGGTTATGTGAAGGATCGGCGGCAACCTCCGACGCCAAGGCCACAGATGCTGTAGCAAAAAAGTAAAGAACATTCCTTGAGGGAACAGAAGTAAGCTTGAGTTTCCATTCGTAGAGTCCGATTTTTGATGACAAACCATTTGTAATTAGAGCCGAAGGAGCGAACTAAAGGCAGTAGAGCTAACGCAGAGCGTGCTGCCTCGATAGAGCGACGGCAGATATTGACAGTATAATCATCCGCCCTGTGGTTATCGCCTGCCAATATGATATCGGTAGAAGCGGGTGTTTTTGGCAATTGTCGGAGGTTTGAACAGCAAGAATGGTACGCAAGATGCATCCGAACAAGATGCCGCAGGAAGTAATTTGGCTCCGACCTGAAAATCAGTTGAGGTCGAAGCCCTTCAGGAATAGAATCTCTCCATGCGAAAAGAGCTTCTTCGCAATCCATTGCAGACTTTATTATCATCTCTCGAGGCTGTTGAGCCGCGGCAACCATATGAAAATGACGATAGAGGCGTCTTTGAACAAGGGCCAGATGAGCAAGTAGACGTAAAAGGTTTACTTCGATGCCATCAATGCAGATTAAGCCTCGTCGATCGGGAGGCAGGTTGTCCGGTAATGGAGTGTTGTAATCTTCCATCTCCTGGACGGGCGGACGGCCAACTCTTAGAGAAATATCTGCATCTAAAATAAAAGCGATCCAAAATATCCTCCGTCTCTGCTCGATTTCGGAAATTTTCATACCAGTTGTCGTATTCCGGTGCAGACCAATAGAATGTGATAGACGCATTGCTGCCGCAGAAAACATGAATAGGGCCTGGGCATTTGGTGTTCCTTGGAAGTATAGTGCCAGTCCCAGCAATGCCTGGATAGCCGATAAATCTGCATTTCGCAAGAACAACTCGACCACCACATTGAGAGCATTTTTGACATGTCCGAGGGAAACTCTCCAGGAATGACTGTTGTCAGATGCCGTTTGTGCTCTTTCCCTGTAAGAGAAAGCGAGAACAACATTGAGCAATGCCCACGATGAAGGACTTTCATCAGGATTCCAGGAAAATTGTCTTTCGACAAGTCTGAGAAAGGGCTTGTCATCGACGAGTGGAATCGCCTGGTTGAATGTGGTAAGAAATTCATCCACCAGGGCTAGGGTGTCTTTTTTTGATGGTAAAGCTTGGGTTGTCCGCTTCTCAAAAGGGTCTTGAAGCACTCTAGGAATCCAGTTGGTCAATGGCCAACGCTTCGCACTGCGCTGAGCCGCCGTTTCCCCGGATGTCCTACTGTCCGTCGCCCCATTCTGACCATCTGGTTCAGAATATGGCGCACCGAATCCTGAAGAGGCTCCTAAGATATTGCATGAACGTTAGATCAAGCAATACAAGAATCGCTAGGTCCCTCAATGTCTAGACTTACCGTAGAACCTCATTTTACCATCCTGTGACTGAAGTACGTAGGATGGGTGATCGGACTCTTCATCGCTAGCCAAAGAGACGTCTTCGTCTCGCAAGCGTGGGCGTGGTTCAGAGGGGAGATCACTTGTCCTATTTCGGGAATGATGCGATTCAAAATTTTGTCTATTCACATCTGGGGGGAATTCGAATGAGGTTTCATCTCTGAGAATTTTTTGAGTGGGCTGTCCGGTCTCTCCCCCCTGTCTCAACTGATCTTCCATGCGTTTTAGCTTTTGTTCTAGCCCTTCAACATACGCCCTGCAAGGAATGTGGTATTAGTATCATCCAAGCTTGACTTGGGATTTTCGAAAGGCGGATGTACCTGCTAAAATTCGGAGACTCGTTTGAGGTATCTTTAAATGCACAAGCAAGACCAAACGTATGGCACGAGGAGCAGATAGGGCGTTTGCCATCACACTTGACTTTCTTACGTCGACATGTGGTGCATGCCTATATGAGCATTAGCAGAGTGGTTGCTGAGAATAGACTGGCCATTCTGATCTAACTTTGGCGCATCGCATCTTCTCTACGCGAGACGCTTGGACTTGATTCATGGTTATATCTTGATGTTCCACTGTCGATGGGTGCCGTTGCAAACTTTGGAACAGATTAGGGGCTGGCAGTATGCAAGTCAAAGGAAGTTGGAAAAGCCTGAAGACAAAACACTTTTATTGGCTGTAGTTCAGTGTTGGATAGGATCTCGATATTTGAGAAAGGAAAACAGAAACTCCAAAGCTCTAAAGGGCTATTGCCCAGGTCACCAGGTGAACGGACATCATTTTTGCCGGTTGATGCCGAGGCAGTAACTGCAGCCTGTAGGGAAGCTCGAGGGCGGTGTAGATAAGACTGTGAATTGATGGTAAATCCGAAGGCGGTGAGGCTAAATTCTACGACTCCGAGCGGCGAGTACTATGTGACATTTTAAGCTAACAATGCAGATAATCATTAACTACTAGTAACCATGAGAAATTATCCATACTTAACCAGCAATGTCTAAAATGCTAACTATACTCTGGAGTGAACTTAGATTTCACAATGAATGACTTGAACAACCAAGGGGGTTGGTTTCATGACTCAACAAGACTCATGTGGATTCACCTGATTTGAATAGGTAATAAAATGCCCAACCAATCAGATTGGTAATTTCAATCGCTATACGAGGATGAGTTTACTGACATCTGCAGTGCCAGCAATTAACGGACTGTGGGCCGTGGCTTGCCGCTTAACAGTGAGCTTTTTCTCCATTGCGGGCACTAAATATGGTTTAGCGCAAGACTTAACTAACAACAAGAACATTAAAAGCCCACCCATCCTTCAACTTCTCAATATACACGTCAAAATGGCCAACACTAAGGAGAAAGACGAAATTCGCGATCAGATCGCCAGGGAGATTTCGCAAACTCCCTTCGAATGCACCTCACTCAGTCGACTGTCCGGCGGCACAGCCAATTTCGTCTACCGGGGCGTACTTACTTCATCCGGGGATTCCATCATCGTCAAGCATTCTAAAGACCATGTTGCTTCTAATCCAACGTTCAAAATTGATATAAAGCGATGTGTTAGTTGATGAAATGACAGCCAACACCAAAACTTGAATACTAATTCCATGTTAGCACTTCGAAGAAGCCATTCTGCAAGCACTGGATGGCTTTCAGTCCCATGGAGAGAAAGGCCTCAACGTCAAAACACCCCGCGTGCTTTACTTTAACAAGAAAACCAACACACAGATCATTGATGATTTACCTCAAGCGCTCAATCTAAAGGACTTTTTTCTTTCGGATTCACTCGAAAGCGCGTCAGAGTCCGCATGCCATGAAATTGGGTCATCACTTGGAGTGTGGCTACAATTATTTCATAAATGGGGCAATAAGCCCGAACAGGCGGAGATCAGATCCTTAATCACTCAAAATATTGCGATGAAGCAATTGAAATTCTATATCAATTACGCTATGCTGGTGGACACTATCGCGACGTTTCCAGATATTCTGGAAGGGAGCCGTGGGACTTTCGAAGAATTGAGAGATTTCGCGACCGAAGAAATGAAAAAGAGTGACAAAGATTCCAATATTGGAATTATTCATGGTGATTTCTGGACTGGAAAGTAAGTTTCCACAATCGTTTTTCGCTCTATGGCTGCTAACGATCCCAGTGTTCTTATTCCAAATGCTCCACTTGCTGAATTACCTGCCACTACCCTGTTTGTGATTGACTGGGAGCTTTGTCAAATCGGGCCCCGTGCCTTAGATCTCGCACAGATGATTGCCGAGCTCTACGAGTTGAAGCTGTTCAAGAATGTTGATTATGGATTGTGGGTCATCAAAGGGTTCATGGCGGGCTATGGGCCTCTTACCAATGAGAAGGCTTTTAGAACGGCGATTCACGTTGGGGTCCACCTTGCTGTTTGGGGGAGTCGAGTTCAAGGATGGGGCACCCTGGAACAGGTTACAGAAGTTGTCAAAGTGGGAAAAGATATTATTGTGCAGGGGTGGAACAAGAACAAGAAATGGTTTGAGGATGGCGATTTAGGATGTCTTTTTTCTGAATAGATCCCGCTATCTAACGAACGAGGAAAGATTCCGAGTCACTTATCTCATTCATTACTGAGCGAATACAATAATTGGCACATTTTCAATGTTCCATATTTCCAAATCATCATTATAACCGGAGCAATCGTTTTTTAGTAGAGTATGAGGCACCTGCGCAGTGCCTGGGCCAGGTGCATACATTTTGTGCGAGAACCGCCACTGGTAATTGGAGCCCCAGACCCACCCGACAAGCCTAAATTCTTCACAAGCGCGCCCATATACCTGTCCCCCATAGAGCGTAGAGTGGTGAAGTTGGTGATGAAGTTTTTGTTGAGAGCGCTAGTCGGAAGTACGGCATCTTTACCGGTGAATAGAATGTCTATGGACGGTCAATATCGTGTCGCATACATGACGAATATTGCTAGACTTACAGGTCACATCAACGTTATCATGGCCGGAATTTCCATTTAGATTTTCTTTGGGGAAACAGGTCCGAGCCATAAGCCAGGAGGCCTCCCCGATAACCTGAGGATCATCACCGTCGGAGTCGCCGTAAATACCGTAGAACATTTTCCCATTACTATATTCGGTTAATATTTGGGCTTGTCTGTTTCCTGGAATCGAATTCTCACCAAATAACTGCACCGATGTTGTTTCCGGGAAGGGCAGTGCGGTAGGTAGTCCCGAATTTGTCGGGTACCACGATCCACGGTACTTCATAAGCGGCAAGAGCACCAAAGTTGGTCTCCGACTGCCCATCTTGGTTTCCCTGCGCGGAATGATCAGTTTTGCTCGAAGAGGTCTGCCATGAGGCGTATCTACCTTGCACTTGTAGTCGATCCCATCGCAATCAACATCCATATCAGCGATCCAAACAAAGGCAGCGCCCTATATGACAGAGTTAGTGATGACCCTCTTGGAAGGCTTAGATAATTACCAAGGAAATCTACCTCTGTAAACTTGGTCCAATCACTGTGGATCAAAACTTTAGCAGCACCACTGTTACTGTTGATAGGATACGTTGCATCCTTCGCAGCAGTACTAGCTTTAGCAGAAGCACTTTTCAACGAAGCGACGGGGATGGACGTGGCAGCGGCAAAATAGCTGGAAGGAGGGCCAGCGGTTGGGTTGTTATATTTTGAGCCATCAACACTCTGGGCGGAGGTCAAAGAGAAAGCAATAAAAAGGGCCAACAGGAATGAGTATCCAAGTACCATTTTTCAAATCTTGGAAAGTGATGTCTGATGTTAAAGAAAAGACTGAAGAATTTCGGTCTCTGATTCATCATGTGACGGAAACAAGGTTCTCTTATAATCTGGAGAAAGTTTGAGGATCCTTGGTTTTATGGTTATAAAAGGTTGTACGGATAGTCATCGCAAACCATGCGGTGAGAGCTCGCAGGATTTGAATGTTCAATTAGAACCCTGCACGATGGCCAAAGCTAACCCGAAGGAGTGATTGCTGCCTTTCAAGTGTCCAGGGGTCTTGAGAGCAAATCAAATGCTGCGAAAGTTCATGATGCTTTGCAATTCCGTTATTGGGAAGCACGGTGACAGAAGTAAATACTTAGAAGGTCAATGAAATCAAGTTTTGAAAAAAGAGACAAACATTGGATGAAATTCGCCACGTTCGTACTCTACCTCGATTGACTCACACAAAGACAAATTAACGATTATCTTCCAAAGACGGATGGCCGATTCGAGTGCATGTCGATCCCAAACCCTGGACCCTGTTACAGCCCCTAGTGCCCGCATTTCCCGTCGGTCTCCCAATCCGGCCCCGCTATTAGCTCACGCGGACTTGCTCCAGAACCCCGGGAAACCAAAAGTAACCCTATGCAAAGCGGAAACAAGCCCACTTGCCTTTCGCAGAAGAACCGTAAGCAAGTGATTGGCGCAGGCTAAGCAATGTGGCATTTAATCGGAACGAAAGCTTATGCCAAATAGCGTGGCCTCGGCGCGGCACGGTGCGCCTCCATGCGATTTGGACCAGAATCACCAAATTCACGGATGGGGTCTCGATAGGTATAGAGGATGTAGGAGCCAGACGAAAAAAGACACTGAGTTGTGCGACCGAACGCCCTGGATCCGGGGTCATTGAGGTCTCTCGATGGGATCGACGTCGCCTTAGAGGCGCTAGGGCGGGGGATGGAAGTTCTTCGCTTGGTGATATTGAGGGGGTTTGCGCGGGAGCGTATGTTTGGTAAGATTCTTGAATTGTCGCATATTGAGTAGTATCCTGTGTTTGGATTCGGGCTTGCAGGCTTGATACGGTTTCTTTGAAGCACGAGAGAACCTGAGATTTGGCGTGCTGTGGCAGTGTGCATTTGACTTTGTTTTTTCTGTTTCAGATGTAGTGTATTGCTTCACTTGATCGCTTCAGGCTAGTTTGAAGAGCTTCCAAGGTTCGAATGCAATGCAACCCAAACCGCACATCGTCAGGGAATGTCGTTTGATCGTCAGGCTTTCGATACTGGTTTAATGATAGATATGATAAGATAGATACGATAAACAAACTTTTGTGGCAAAGGATAACCTCGGTTACTCACGCGGGAACTTTGTATACGGGCTTGGTACCTGGTCCGCAAGCCATGGTCGGACTCCGATCGGGTCACCGGTCTAAACGAGATGGATTTAAAAAGGAAGGCGGAAGAGATGAATGATCGACAGTTGATGGTATTTGGTATTTCCCATGAAAATGTATGTAAAAAGAAAGTATGAAGAAAGTGGTATGTAGTATGTACATGGAAAGAAATCTAACTCCAGGCCGCTGCGTTTCATCAGAAAATGCTCCGTATGCAGAGTCGTCCGGCAGCCAAAACAGAAAGCGAGATATGAAAGTAAATATGAAAATAATAGACGTGAAATGGTTTGAAACAAACCGATTATACAGTACTCATTGGCATGGTATTGAGAGGCAAGGCCTCCACAGACTTTTCATCCTGCTCAAACATGATCTTTTCAAGCTTCTGTGTCATCTTAGCACAGAACGGGTCCACATAAGATGTCCACATTGACGCGCAGAAGTAGACCAATGCGATCCACGCTGGAATCGAGATGGCCACGACCCAAGGTGCGCGAATGGGAATCCAGTGTGGGTTGAGTGGTTCACCGTTCTCGTCGAGAATAGGCTGGCCATTTCCATCGACTGGTTCACCATCCCAGGGCTGGCCGGTGATACCGTAGAGCATCCAGCATAGCACTGTGCGGAGGAGTGTGCCGTGGACGAGATAGACCGCGAAACTTTGTTTGCCGAGCCAGAGAAGGAGACGGTTGGAGAGGAAGTCCTTTGTGGAGGGGGATATATAGATTGCGAAGATTATGAGGTCAACACCGATGGCCGAGTAGCGCTTTCCGATGTTGACGTCCGGGGGGAAGATGTAGTGGGCTGCCTCGAACATGTAGTTGGACCATGTGGCCCATTCGGGGTGCTCGCCGGGGTAGGAGCAGATAAGGAGACCGGAGATAGCGAGAAGGGTGCATAGGATTCGGCGGAACCATTTGTATTTTTCGATAAATTCTCTGAATGTCATCTGATAGGAAAGGTCGGCAAGGGCCATGCCGTAGATAGCTTGCATTTGGAATGTTTCTGTTTTGTTCATGTCAGCCATACGTAAGGATGAGTTCATAGTCGGCGAAACTTACCGGTGTTCTTAGCCGCATCCTGGTGGAAGTATAGCAGCATTCCGAGGTAAATACCCATACGCCACCGGAATTTAACAAACTGAACAGCGCAAATCATAACATAGACAAGCATTGAAGCCTGGAGCAATGGTAGGAGGGCCCACTGGTGATCGTCATATGCCATGTATCCCGTTGTCCACACACCCAAGAAGTTCTCAAACAGTCGCTTGAACTCTTTCCACAGCGAATCCTCCAGATCAGGAGCAGCATAACGACACCACCAGCAATCTGAGCGGTTCGCAGCAATAAAAGCACCACATTGTGCCATGACCCATGAGATGATCAAGGCAATTGTGGCGGGGAAAATAAGACGGGGAGGACGACGCCAGGCACTCTTGGCAACAGACGTAAATGAGCCCAGATGGTCGCCATTTCGGGCTTGCTTCATGGGCTTCAAGGCGCAGACGTAACCTGTGAGAAAGGCGAAGATGGTGACACCCAACCGTCCCTGCCAGGGAATTCGCAGAATGGGCCACTGTAGGATGCGTGGTGGGAGATCCACATCATCCCGAGGCGAGAATAGATCATAATCCCATGCTCGAGCAAGATGGGTCATCACCACTAAGAACGAAGCAATACCCCTCAAACCCTGAGGAAGATATTAGCATGTTTTGATTAGGATTTCTCACTTCAAGCCCAAAGAGAACTTACATCAATCCATTTCACACTCTTTTTGGGATCACCCTTTGAGTTTGGATCACCAGACTTCCACGGGAGGTTCTCCAGAATCCGAGTATAGAGGTGACTCGGCTGCACGTAATCCATGATTGTTGTATTTCAAATGCGCTGAAAGTTAAAGAATGAAGTCGTATGAATGGATCAAATCATCGATGCAATCTGCCTCTTAGCCAGAAGAGAAAGAGAGCGCAAAGGGAATGTTGGAATGTGAGGAAAGGACTGAGGGGGTCGCAAATCGACGTGAAGGAGAAAAAAATGAGTGGAAAATGGGCAACAAATGACTTCAAAAAGGGAAGCGCCAAGATCAAAATACGCCTCGTACGACAGAGTAAGAGAACTAGTCTGGGCAAAGAGGAAGGTAGAGTGGGGAAGGGGGAGGCTTGGGGGGTTTTGAATTATTCCACGTTATGGAGTACAAGAAGTAGGGCGGGCGATAGGAGGTTCCCGGTGGGTGGGGATGCATGAGACCCAGCACATGAAATCCTTGGCTCGGTCTTGAAATCCAAGATGGGGTAGATCAATTGCCAGAACTAGATTGTCACTTGTGAGATGCAAGAGATTTATGCCGCGGGTTTTCCAGATGTTACTTTTTATAAACCCCACTGCGCATAAGAAGTGCAGGGTGATGCGGTAAGTACGGCGGGTAGTAAGTTCTATGTGCTGTGAGATAATCCATGAGCCTGTTCAATTGCAGAAGACACTGATGATTCATAGTAAATGTCTAACTTTGAATTATAATCATTAATTGGAAGCCTTAATAGAAAGATACCCCGTGTCAATACAGAATACTACATACAGTCGGGAATACATCCGTGCGATCCGTCCTGATCCGCAATCTCCTGACGCCTGTTAGTTCTTGTATAGTCCATAGTGTAGTTCTCTCAATTGCTCGAAAATGGCTATTAAGCCCGAGTTCTCCGGTGGATTTGATTCTAAACCAAAAAAAAACTTCATTACCCAAGCCCCCAGCTTACGAGTCCCTCGCAAACAAAAGAGATGTGTACCAATCAATCTGAAGCTTGACCTCGCCTCCAGCTATGTGCAAAAGCCATCGCAAATGACGCGAGATTTCATTTTGCTGATCGTAACCGCCAATACTGAAATTAGGACTAAAATAGTTCAAGTGGTATAATAAAATACAGGAGCCGTCAAAAAGACAAAAAGACAGGCGCCTCGGAGTCCCGTGTTTTGAAAACGGCAAGCCCGTATCGATAAACGTGGGGTGTGGTGGTCATTGATTGATTCTACCAAATGATAAAAAGCCCCTAAAGAAAAAAAAAAAACAGGGTCCTCAGGGTCTTGGCTTTTTTTGGGGAAATTCTGGAATCTCTGCCCTATGATCTATTTCAAGAAACTTCAGCTTCTTTATAACCATTTCCCCGACAAGGCTACCTAAACGAAAAAAAAAAACGTTTTCGTAGAGGACTCAGCGGATTATGTCTCACATAAGGACCACAAATGTCAAATATGTCAAATTTACGATACGGCAATGGCATGAAGTGGTGGTGAAATGACGCCATTTACCTTGGGATTAGGTCAAAATGGATCGGCGATAGTAGAGAGGCAAATCGATGGGCCCTGAACCCTATCAGAGATGTATCAGGGTTTACCGGTATTGAATGCCAGATTGTGTAATTTACCGGTATTTGAAAGGGTATCTTTGCGCTCGGCAAATCAGCTTTGCAGCTCATTTCATTTCCGGGGAATGCAGGGTAGAATGCTATTTTGGAGGTTTGGAGGTGTTTCGTGTAAACCAAAGGCATTTTTGACTTTGACTTTGGTTTTGTTTTTTTCAATCATTCAAGTTATTCGTTTTCTTGAACGTGATTGTGAACTGATCTACAAGGCTGAATCGCGGACTCCGTCAAGTAACAGTTTGAGATGAGCATTATATCTCTGACAAGACAGAAATCCGTATGTACGCCAAGAGTCCAAGACAATTAGACCGGTCGGAAAAGACCCACGTTAGTCAAGGATAGTGCTTGGCATCTCCAATAATGTGCTGGGCTTGGAGAAAATGTGAAATGAAAATAAGAAAAAAAAAATTAAAAAAAAAGAAAATGTCAGCCCCCTGAACGAGAACTTTGAGACAAAAAGAGGTCCGCGATACGCAAACGACAGAATGATTGGGAGACCAAACCAAAAAAGGGAAACTATACTTCGTTTCGCTCAATTTTCGGTTAGATTGACAGGAAATCTGACAATGAACTCCATTGCGGGGAAGACAATCAAAATATTTGAAACATGAGACCCAAGACCTTGTCAAAACATGCAGCTGAGCCCTACGAGAGTGCAGTTTGCAGGATCGATTTTCTGACCAGTAAAGTTTCGGGTACTAGTTCCTCACTGAGGCTCGCAGGGGAGGATTCCCCCTCTGCCCCTTCGTTCTCGCCTCCGATACGTCCAAGTGGGGACCCGCTCCAAGGGTCCAACTGTGTAACTTGGGCGGAAAGATTGGATAGAAAACATTGACAAAGATCGTCGTTTGAAACGCTGCAGGCCGAGTGGACATGCGTTGGATTTAATATGCAAGTTTGCAGGGAAATCGTGCGTCCTGAGTTGTGCTTGATTTTCCTGTTGCCTGTCGCCAAGTTGAGTATGGAGTACGGTGTCTCCCCCACTTGTGTGAATCCAAGGTTCTAGTCTTCTCCATCTTGTCTTTTCCTGTCATTTCCTGTCATTTCTGGGGACGCCAAGGGTTCTTCGACCTCCAAATCTCCACCCCTTTTTTTACGAGAAATGATAACGGATAAAAATGAGGAATACCAAGCCCTTGTCCGAACGTGACCTCCCAACGAATCATGCTTCATCTCTAACCGAAGTTCCGAATGCCCAGCGGCGGATGAAGGCGCTCGTGGCCTGCGGCCCCTGATAATTATCCACTATCCCCTTGGCAGGATCCATTTTCCATAAAGTGATTCGTACAAATGCAGCGCGCCACTTTCGTTGGTCCAGCTGTAGTTCTTGGCTCGGGAATAGACATGTAACGTAAACCGGGAACGGGCAGGTGTATCGTTCGTTTTTTTTTTCCATTTCTCGGTTTTCTCGGACTTTTCCCCTGAAATGAGATAAGTGTCATAGAGGAAAGTGGGAAAAGTGAATTTCACTCAGGAGCGAGTGAGAAATGAGAATAGGGAATTGCAGTCGCGCATTGTGGATCCCATCACGCCATCATTATTGCTCTTGACCACATTAAACCAACACCAACATTCACGAATGGAGATCTGACCCTCGTGCCTTTCTTTGATCTCGTTTCCCCCCCCCCCCCTTCATCGTATCAACGGGGCTCTTGATCATGAGAATTGCATTTCTGGCGTGGGCTTTGTTGGGGTCGTTGGCTTCGGCCACGATCTTGCAAAATGGCCAAGTGAAGGAAGATCCGTACCCCGGACAAGTTCCTCAGATTGCTCTGGATGACTCCTGGCACAACTATGCGCCTGACTCCCCGGAAATTGCCTACAAAGGCCGATGGGATAGTAAACATATTTCATGTATGTATAATGAACTTCTTTTATTTCTATCTGATCGCTTCTAACTCATTGGTATAGGGTGGTCGTTCGTTTCTCCCTGATTCTCTCGTAACCAACGCCCCTTGACTGCAACTCTCTCTAACTTCACTTCCAATTCACTAGAGCCCCTGGAATTAAGCTTCAATTCTCGGGAAATAAGGTACGTCTTGGCATGATTTCAAACTTCGATTTTAATCATCTAAGATTCTTACATTATCACTTTCTTTTTTTTAGCTTGCTATTAGCTTTGGGCCTTCCACAAGCGATGGCGTGCTGGTTGCATACAGGTACATAATATGGTCTTGGCCTGAACCGCCCTTCTAGCCTCATTGCTAATAATTTCATATAGACTTGGATCCCTTGACTGGCAGTTTTCTAATGTGACTGCTGATGCCACTTATCAATTTATTGGGCCATGGACAGATTTGGCCGAAGATTTGATTGATGTGCCCAAGGAGTTTGAGATGAGAGGTATGTATTAGATATAGAAAGGCCTTTGTTGAAACTTTTGTGCAATTGCTGACCTTGACATTTTTAGTGACGAACTGGGGCATTGGATAAGTAACATCATTCCATCAATTGCTTCTTTCGCTGACCTGTCCTACAGTTCAGATTGCCGGAGTATCTACTGCTAGCGCGGCCGAACTCACCATCCCATCAAGACACGCCAAGAAGGTGGAAGTCATCGGTGGATCGTGAGTGTTCTACTCCTTGATTGAATTCAACGCATCCACTAATTCATTCGCTATAGAATTGCTTCGGGGCAGTTTGGTTCCTATGAAACTCTCTCGTCCTGGGGTTACCTCTTCGCAGCTGGCCTGGGAAATGTTGAATACACTCTCACTGTAAGTTTATTGAACCTGGAAAATTGGCCCTCACCTTTCTTTCTTTTGCTAACCGCATACTATAGTCATACGCGGGTGTCTGTCTCGTTGACAACCAATGTTACAACGGCGAGGCCCACGGAATGGTAATTCTTCTTGTCCTCTCCAGCTCAATACCAGTAACTGACCTACCCCAATAGACCTGGTACTGGCACCGCGCATCAGACCCCGGTAGTCGATCTCGCGCCTTCTACCCCGATGAACCAGAGATCTTCGACAACTCTGCAGAGCAACCCGCCGATCTCGTCATCATCCAACTAGGCGGAAACGACCATCGCTACCCGAACGAAATCCCTCCCCGTGATTTCTACCACGCCTATGTGAACCTGATTGAGGATATTCACCACACATGGCCCCATGCAGTGGTTCTCATCATGGTAAGTTTATCATGCTACATGCACTCCTTAAATTTGAATCTGTCCTGACTAACCTCCACAGTCTCAATGGGGTGTCTGGGAAAAGAAGGGTTTCTCCTACATTCCGAACATGGTCTACGAACAAGAGGCCAGGGAGGTTCACCAGCACTTCAAGGATCGAGGATTCGTCTACTACTTTGATACCTCTGGTATTCTTCAGCACAATGATATCAACCCGAAGAACCACCCGACAGATGTCGGCCATATTAAGCTGGCAAGCCACTTGCTCCAGTGGGCCCGATTAGTGATGAGGTGGAACCTCGAGCCGTTGGGAGAGGTTCAGCACGGCACGCTTTATTGGAACGACCAACAGGAATACTGAGTGCTATCACACAAACCATAGCATATTGTACTATATTTAACACAAGAAATTTCGGCACATATACATATTCCATCGGCAATATAATGCTTTAACCCAAGGGGGTTTTCTTTAAATTCAAACCTCAAGCGTGTCACTTCCAAGCTTTCTTCGAAGGGAAGCCTTCCTGCTATGTATAGATACATTCCAAGGGTTGCATGTGAATAGTAGACCTCAGAATTCTCACCGAAGCGCAGCTATTCTCTTCAAAGAAAGTTGATTCCTTATTCCCTCTTGCATCCAACAAGGCAAAGCCCTCACAAGTGGCAAAATCCAATGGCTCGATGGAACGAATAATTGCGCTCCAACACCGGACAGTATCTGCTTAACAATCGCCTCAGCGACATCCCTCGGCTCAATAATTTGTCCTTCGCGCACACCGCTGTCGACCATCCTCTGTATCATAGGAGTTCGAACCCAACCGGGATGAACAATCCTACCAAGAAAAAGGATTAGCGCAAGAGTCGTCAAATCCATCAACTACTCAATAGACCGAGTGACTCACGAATTGCGCACCCCAGGTGCCCTATACACATGCCTCAGCTCCTGACCTAGCCCCTCATAAAACGCCAGCGCAGCCGATTTCGTGCACGCATAGTCCACGTTGATGGCGCTGGTCGTAAAAGAGCCTAGACTGGCTACGCTCACCACGTGGCCGTGGTTCTGGGATACCATGGCCGGAAGGAATTCCTGGACCAAGAAAAAGTGTGCGAGGATGTTCACGCCGAATGTTCCTCGAAGCTGGGACTCTGAGAGCTCTAGGATGGGCTTGTTGAATTCGGTTCCTGCGTTGTTGATCAGAACTGTAGGGTCACCGTGTTCTGCACGGAGCTTTGCTGCGACTGAGGAGGTTTGCGATGGTTTGGAAAGGTCGACTTGATAGAAAATTGTGTTTTGTTCTGGTGGTGTTTTTAATTGACCAAGACTGTGGCTGAATCATGATTCATACGAGGATAGGTATGCAATATTTGGCTTTCATACTCAGCTTCTCCTGTGGCTCGTTGATATCCAAGATGATGGTTTTGACACCCATGTCTGATAAGAGCTCGACAATTGCGGCTCCGATTCCGCTAGAACCACCTGTCACAACGACGATCTCCAGTTTCGAGTCCCAGGTCCGCGTTGATGGGCCATGGTTGAGGGCTTTCCTAGATAGATATGAATTGATTCGAGAACAGAGGCTGACGAAACCTAGAGCTCCAAGTCCTAGTGCCAATGGTGTGGGAATGGAAATTTGATGGTTTGGCGTTAGAAGCCCAAAAAGTGGATTGGGCATATCTGGCAGCGGGAGTGAATGTTCAACGAGGTGTTGATAGCAATGCGAAGGGAATATAGGGAAATTGTTGGTCGTTTATAAAGCCTGCAGCTTAACCAAATTGAAATAATTCTTCGAAGGATCAAAGACGCGTGGTTCTCTTCGATCCTGCGCAAGACTGCGTGGGGGCCGAAGCTTTGATTCTGCAGAGGCTCAAAAATTTATTATATTTGTTTGGTAAATAAATGCGAGTTTGGGTCGGGCTTGTGCATTTATTTTCCATTCTTCAATCAGGGTGAAGTTGAAAAGAGTCACTGGGTTTGACGAGGGATTGAGTAAATGGAAAGAGCTGTCAAACGGCCGCTTGACAGCCATTGACTGTTGATCGCTCGGTCCACTTCGGTGTTTGGCAGTAGCGTTGATCGTCGATCCCGAATCCCGATCGCATCCGCATGTAGATTGTTTCCCTAATCGATTGATAAATCGCCAATAAAGCGTTCAATGGGCTTTAAGATGGCAGAAATGCTACTTTCAAAAAATAAAACGATTGAATCTGAAAAATTGTGCAACTTTGTTCAATGATGAGGAACTGAAGAAGAGAAGTAAAAACACGATAAGAAAAAAAGTATTTACAGGCCGCTGTCCCAGGTGGAGACTCAACTCTCCTGGTTCATGTCAGCCATCAGCTTAGCTGCAGCTAATTCCACTGGGGACATTGGTGCAGCCACTGTAAGTGGTTCCACCAGTGACATCAACATCAGTCCAAGTCCAGTCAGAGCATGCATCGCTTCCACAAACAATGACGACGTCGTAACCGCCCGATGCAACGGCATCAACACCGGAGATGTTCTCAATAACAAGGTCTGTGATGGGGACACCGCTGGTGGCAGTTCCCTTGAGATCACCGCCATCGTAGTTTTGCTCGATCAGGATACCGTACCTATGATTCGCCATTAGTTTAGCCGCAGACAATGTATGGATTCTTTGTTCACTTACTTGGAAATATCCGAAAGTGTGATCTCGCTGTAAGTAACACCGGTAATGGTGCCAGTGTCTCCCTCGGTGGCCTTGATGCGGATACCTATTTCGCATTATTTGTTAGTAACTCGCGTATAATCGGAGTGCGTTTTATGGAGTTCCTTACCGTTGACGGATGACTTGACTTCATTGTTGTAGAAGGTCACAGTGTTGACAGTGTTGTCGCTACGGCCGCCAACACTGCCAATTGACAAACCGTGTCCACCGGAGCAGACACCGTTCTCGAATGTGATATCCTGCAACCAAGTCAGTTCCTGAATTTATTTCGTGATAGAGAGATAACTATGGCCATCTTCCACTTACCGTTCCAGAGTTGATAGCGACACAATCATCCTGGTTGTACACCTCTGCACCGGTAATAACGACACTGGTACTGTCACCAATATCGAATCCGTCGGTGTTAGCTCCGAGGCTGGCACCGGCCTCGTTGTTGATAGTCATATCAGTGATGGTCAATCCATCACATCCATCAATGCTGACAGCCTGCACGGGGGTATTTTCGATATACAGGTCCGTGATGGTGGAGTCGGTAAGATCGTGGGCGTAGAAGAACTTGGGCTTGGTCACACCACCATTGCTTCCTTCACCGTCCCACCAGCGGGAGCCATCACCATTGAGGTAAGCACCAGAAGCACCCTTAATAGTAATGCCAGTGCCGGAGATCTGGAGCAAGGGACCATCCCACTCTTCGTAGCCCCAGGTGGTCTCGCCTTCAAAGATGACCTGTTGATGGAAGTGAGTAAAGAGACCAAACAGGGAGAATACATGCCAGTTCTGCTACTTACAGTGGTATCATCTTCCAGATCACTGAGATCAAGGGTGGTTCCAGAAGGCACAGCGACAGCCGACAGGATAATGGTGGAGCAGGACTTCTGAGAAGCACTAGCGCTGGCAGCTCCACTGGAACCTGAGAATGTACAGCTGGTAGCTCTCTTGGCCAGGTTTGGCGCAGCAGTGATGGCAGGCTCAGCAACAGGTGAAGCCACCACACAAGCAGCCAAAGCGGCCACCACGAGGGGGGCAATGAACTTGGACATGATGAGTTGAGAAAAAGGTTGTTTCGATGACGATTGACTGCTCCTTTGACTCTCTGTCTCTTTCTCTATCTCCTATATGTTGGCCGAGGATTCACCCCGTTTTATAGTCAACATGACCCCCATTGTTCTGCACCAGACGAATTGATGAAGAAGTGTGATGTCCGAGCGCCCTGAACAACAACGCACGCTAAGCAATCGATTATCCTCCAATCCCGGCACCATACTGACAAGACGTGAAGTTGCGATTGGTGGTCAAAATGTCAGAGATCATTGAGGATCAGATGTCCCATTCTGGATTCTTGAATGTAGGCCAAAACGGGGCATGATGGGGGATTTCTTCAGGAAATCCAGGGGAAGCAACGAATAGGAATAATATCCTCCGCGACGTGAAACCTTCATGGTTTCAATTCGCGTTGGGCTAAGGAACGCCACTAAACGCCATCAAATCCGGAGCAGAACTGGATCCGTAAGTCACTTCCGACCAGTCAAGGCTTGTTGTTTCAAGCCTGTTAGAAGCACGGGCCGTACCGCGATTTACGTGTCCTGTTCGATTCTGAACTCTGACTCTGGACGGGCTTTCTTTTTGCCACCACTCCTTTATTCCCGGTCGGAAAGGCAGGTTTATCCGTTCAGTGGGATGGTTTGCAGAAGATGATTGATGGAGAGTAGGAGAGCTTCGATCAAGGGGGAGAACACGGGACTTGAACTTGAAGCGGGGCTGGGTTCATGCGGGGGGGTTTTAAGGGGTGCCACCGGAAATATTAAGCTTGTATCAAATTGAATATCTGCTCCATTCGAATGTTTTCAAATAATGCCACTTTTAAAGGGGGAGATCCTGGAACATCCACTTCACTCGAATTCATCGGGTGTATCAACTGGTTTTTTTTGCCAGCTACCGGGAACAGATTGATCCTAAGAACAGCACTTGAGTTGATCTCTAAGATGTCACAAGCTTAGAAGATATAAATCATTTATGAATTTTACTTATGAAGACCCTGACATGGACTGAAAGTACTAACTTGTGTATGTTCTTCCAATATTTGAAGCTTGTGGGGTAGATATTCTGGGCGATCCGTAGTTATTATTATAGCAACCGACTTGGGCGTTTTTGGCTGACATTAATTAACCCACCGCGTCATTCTCTCCATAATTTACCGCCCATATGAGCGCCACGCGTCCACCCAATGCTTAGAGCCGGAGTCACTGCCGGACCGGGGGGGTAACTAGTAGAACAAGGGAATAAGCATCGCGTTTTTATCTCCGATGTGGCCGAGGGATAACGGGGATCCGTCCGAATACCCGAGAACAATCTTGGAATATTAGAACAATCCTCGGAGAAGATGAAAACGATAGAACTGTAATCTTGGAAAGCTTTTCCTTTCAATGTTCACTTCACGAAGTGCATATCATGCACATGTGTACATATATCAAACACCAGTGGACCCAGGCCCACCTATTTCAACAGCCTCTATAATTAGCCTGTCAACTGGTTGTGCCCGAGGCGTTTCTATGTTGTCGCAGACAGGCTTAGTTAGGGGCACTGGCCTCCAGGTTTATCTAAAAATCAAGGGCTTTGAAATTGCAGCAATTATAGTAGAACATTCGAATATTCCAACATTTCAAGGTTTGCACATCGACGGGTTAATCCTTGCCCCCACTTGTCAAGGTTGTAGCCTCATGCCCCCACTCACCACACTAACTTGAAGTCAATCCATGTCCAGACGAGCCTCCATCTGTGGCTGAATTTGTACACTCATTCGAGATTGGAATGAATGTTTGAGTTGATTCAGGTCATTGCCAAGTTGAGACCCTGTTCTAGGTAATTGGGCGATGAAACAGGATTCGTGCAACGAGTGGGGCTTCAAAGGGTCAATGTACAAGCACAAATCATACATGAACTCAATCTTGCTATGTCATAATGAAATAAGAACATGAAAGAAGATTCAATGCAAAAATCTCTGATTTGCACATACAAGACACATTCAATGCTTCTCCACTTTAAAGGCAGAGAAAGCTGACATGAAGTGTAGCTCAATGACGTCAATATCATGCCCCTCTTCCTTGAGCCAAAACTGCATCCGGATTCCTGTCTTCCGTCTTACTCTTAACACTTTCAAAGCTTACAATAAATCTCTGTTTTCTTTTTCTCAATCTTCAAACTCTTCGTTTAGAATACTTCCATTTCAATTAGTACCTTCAAAATGCCCGGTCAAACATTGCCCGTCGACTTGAAGCAATTCAAACAGTTGAAGCTCGATCCTAAGAACACAAGTCTCACCGCTGAACAAAAGCAAGATCTCTTGCATAACATCAACATCTTCAGAGATGCAATCATTGCTTTCACCGCGACGGGTGCCGCCCGCGGCGTCTCCGGCCACACAGGAGGACCCTTCGACACAGCACCCGAAGTCTGCATTCTACTCGCCTTCATCAATGCCAACCCCAATGGATTCGTCGACGCTCTATTCGACGAGGCCGGTCACCGTGTCGCCACACAATACCTTCTCGCAGCCTTAGACGGCAAGATCGAGCCCGACCATCTTCTCAACTACCGTGACGCCAACTCCAAGCTCCCCGGTCACCCCGAACTCGGTCTGACACCCGGCGTGAAGTTCAGTTCCGGTCGTCTCGGCCACATGTGGGGCATGGTTAATGGTATTGCAATGGCCAACAAAGATAAGAATGTCCTTATGTTGGGCTCCGACGGATCCCAGCAAGAAGGAAATGATGCCGAGGCGGCTCGCATTGCGGTCGCAAGGAACTTGAATGTCAAGTTGTTTGTTGATAATAACGACGTGACCATTGCTGGACACCCATCGCAGTACCTGAAGGGATACGATGTCGCTAGCACCCTCGCTGGTCATGGCCTGCATGTTGTGCGGGCTAAGGGTGAGGAGGTGGATTCATTGTACGGTGCCATGTGCGAGGTCATTACTCGCAAGGGCCCTGCCGCTGTGGTTGTAGACCGAACAATGGCTGCTGGAATCGAGGGCATTGAGGGTGAAACTCATGCCCACGATGTCATTACTGTCGATATCGCCCGCAAGTACTTGACCAAGCGCGGTTACAGCAAGGAGCAGCTTGCTTTCTACGATGATATCAAGGGTCGTTCCAACCCACACCAGTACCAGGGCTCTACCAAGGATAAGGGCGCCAATCGCTCTATCTTCGGTGAGGCCGTCAATGGAATCCTCGATCATCTGAGCAAGGAGGAAGCCGAGCGCCGTGTTATGGTTATTGACTCTGATCTTGCGGGATCCACTGGATTGAAGGCCATTCAGTCCAAGCACCCAGAAGTCTTCGTTCCCTCCGGAGTGATGGAGCGTGGCAACTTCTCCGCTGCTGCTGGCTTCGGGTTCGGTAGCAAGGGCGAGCGTCAAGGAGTCTTCTCTACCTTCTCTGCCTTCCTGGAAATGTGCATTTCAGAAATCACCATGGCCCGCCTGAACAACTGCACCGTTCTCTCTCACTTCTCGCACAGTGGTGTCGATGAGATGGCCGATAACACATGCCACTTCGGTTTGAACCACTTCTTCGCCGATAACGGCTTGATGGATGCGGCGACCACCTCGCTGTATTTCCCTGCCGACGGTGACCAAATGACAGCCGTGGTGAACGAAGTCTTCTGGAACCCCGGCATGCGTTTCATCTTCTCCACCCGCTCAAAAGTCCCTTATATCCTCAAGGAAGGAACTGATGAGAAGCTCTACGGTCCGGGATACAAGTTCCTTCCCGGTAAGGAGGAGACAATTCGCACGGGAACTGCGGGATACATTGTTTCGTACGGTGACATGCTCTACCGATCCCTTGATGCCGTTGAGCGTCTGCGCCAATCCGGCCTTGACGTTGGTTTGATCAACAAGCCTACTCTCAATGCTGTTGATGAGGATGCCATCCAGCACTATGGATCTACTCCCTTCGTTCTTGTTGTTGAGTCTATTGCTCAGAAGACCGGCCTTGGCTCGCGCTTGGGAACTCATCTTCTGGAACGCAATCTGACTCCCAAGTTCAAGGCCATCGGTGCCGTCAGGGAAGGTAGTGGTGGACTGTTTGAGCAGATCTATGCTCAGGGACTTGGTCCAGATGATATTGCTGCGGCTGTGAAGAGCCTCGCTGGCAAATAGATATTCTGAGTTTCTTGTCTTGTGAAACTTATGACGAAGCGAGTAAATTGTTTTAACGATGTTGTCAATCCCAATTTTCAATTAATTTAAATTCACATTCCATCTTCTTTGCGTCTCTAATCGGATAATCCTACCACGCGCAAAATTCGATGTTGCTTAAGTAAGACATAATAGCATGTGCAAGTAAATCCTTAGCGTTATCAATAGGACCACAACCGCCAACACTTCTAGTAGTAGCAGTACACTAATCCCGATCATCAGGATGGAAAACCAGAGCTCGAACTTCAATACTCTCCCTCCCGGCCTCATGCTCCGTGTCCGGATTCACAAACGCAGTATGGGGCACCCTCCTCGCCCTCCCATCCGTCTTAGAATCGAAGCATTTGATTAACGTCACCAAATCCGGCGTTTGCGCATAACGGTAGTACCACTTGATATTTGCATCAGGCTTGACGGAATACGTTTCACCCTCGCGATTGGGGTAAATGAGCTTCAGGGGAACCAGATCGCTGTCCGGCACGCTGTGAGCATTTGCTACAGCAAGGGGATCCTTGAGAATTGTTTTGATCGGACGCCAGACATTGATGATCTGGTATCGACCTTTCAGAAGCTCGGGAGCATCTTCTGGTAGATGGTAAGTGACACGGTTTTTTGAAGCTTCATAGGATTGATCGATGTGTACACGCTGGACTGGGCCACGGGATTGACCGCCGGTTCCTCGGCGGATTGTGTGGTCGAAGATGAAGATTCGGGAGGCTCCGGTACTATATGTCAGATGCGAAGACGGTTAGTGAGGGTAATACATGTATGGTGGGAGGTGGAGATGCATAATCAGATTGGAACGTACGCATCTTTGAGCAGCTGCTCTGTTTCCGGGTAGTAGGTGCGCTTTATCTGTTCGTCGTCCAGAAAATCTGTTTCTTGGCTTTTGTGGTAGTAAAATTGGAATCCTTGGCCGTCGAGTGAATAGTCTTGCTCATGGCCGCTGACATCATGAATGGTGGCAGGGAGCACGACTGCCTCTCTTATGTATGTTTCAGGCTGGTTAACATAGCTCGGAGCGAGAGGAGAGCCATCTTCATTTTCTTTGAGGAAGTTCAGCGTCGTTTGAACGTGGTGTGGCTTCTCAGATATCGAAGGAGGGACTTGGGGCTTGTCTGCTAGGAGAGCGGACCCGTGGCTTGGGAGAATTTGGACAGCTGCGGATGCCATGTTTAATCGTTGGTGAGACTGTTGACTTGTTGCGGGCAGTAAATTGAGTATGAGAGCACTTGAGATCTACATCCTCTAGGACCTCATAAAAAAGATTTTATATACTGCCTAGTTTTGCGGGGTTGAGGGTCATATTTGTCAGGCCAGCACGCAATTATCGTCTTACATGGAGAAATGCTGATAAATTCAATTTTGTCGCAACGCGAAGAATATGCAGATGACATGTGCAATGGGCAATGGGTCATGTGTGTCGTCGGGGTGGTGCTACGTGGATTAATAATGTGCGTAATTTATAAGCACTTTGTTGGTTGAGATCTCAGCGTTGGAGGTAGAAAGTAGTAGGCTGGAGAAAGATGAAAATAATATGGCAAGCGGTATCAACTCGAGTACAAAAGAAAGTTGGGAATGATTGCTCGTGTGATTTGCGCTACAGATGGGAACAAAATCATGAATAACATAATTAAAAGCAAATTCGTAGATAAAACTATCGACTCATGAAGGAAAAACCAGGTGTATGCCTCATTAACGTACAGCAGGATCTCGGAGGAAACCATCAGGAGGTGTCCTGCAGTGATGCGTCATAGCGTTGTCGTATTGCGCTTGCTCGCACAAAGCCTCGGTGAAATAATCAAAAAATAGAAATGAGAAAAAACAAAAAAGAAACCCATCGTACACCGGCATCATGAATGAAGGACGAAACGCGAAAATGAAAGAGAAAATAAAAAAAATTGAAGTGAGTCTCACACACATGTGGAGATGAGGTATGGAATGGAATCCAAAAGGGGGGAATAGTAAACAACCTATTGTGACAACTGGACATCATAGACAGAAGAAGAGAATAGGGGCTTTTATGCATGGTGGTGATTCTAAGGCAAGCTTAGAACATGAGGGATCGAGTCTTCTGTCGGCGAGCTTCAGCACTAGGCATCTCGGGTTGGGAATAAGTATGCTTGTGTCTGGGACGAGTGGGTTGGGGCGCCGGCGCCGGCGATCCCGCTGAAGAAGGGGGCCCCATAATTGCACTGGCTCTGTGCGTAGCAGTGGAGGTAGGGGTAGGAATGCTGCTGGGAGGGAATCGGTCGGCAGTTTGGCGGCGAGACTTCATGCTCTTTTCCCGCTTGAGCACAAGATCAGCCCAGGCCTTGATTGGACCGTTGGAGGTAGATCCTTTGCCTACGGCCTCGGACATTACGCGGAGCCATCCCTCCTTGGCACTCGGGCTGTCCGCGTAGAAATCAATGACTTCGCCATTGCCAAAGCGAATCCGGAATCCTTCTTCGACAAACATGTAACCATCTTCCTCCTCAGCAAATGCTGATTTCCGTCGGCCACCGGTCTTACCAGTGGGCTCCTTTTGCATGAGGGATGGACGATCATCGATGAGTTTAGCAGCCTTAGCCAGATTGATCGTCGCACGGGGTTGGCGGGTTGTCTCGTGATAAGCGGTTAACTTCGATCCTTGGAGCTTGAAGAAACGACGGCGCCAGAACTGTTTTATCCGTTAGTATGCGTCAAGATAGAACTGTATTGAAAAGAAGTCAACTTACTGGGCAATCTCCACCCTGTTGGGAAAGATAACCTTCCCAACTACGGGAAGCAACACTCTCGGCGTCACGCATCTCACGAATACAGGCATTCATGCTCTTGGGCATATCATCATCGTTTCCACCCTTAGGCTTCGGGACAAACAGCAGCTGCAACTCCAATTTACCAATCTTGTAGGGAGGACGACGCTGAGCAGTAATACTGGTGGCGCTCTTCTTACTCTTCACGCTGCTGGGTTGTTCGTCCACAGCCCACTCGTTGAAACAAGGAACGTCAACGGTGTAAGGACGGCCATATGCGTGTTTTTCGTGATCACTGAGAGCAACGTATGAACGTGCAAAGCTTCCATCACGCGCAACAACATTGCGCAGGCGCTCCCATACCGGGGCGTTCACGTCCTTGGTTTTTGTCTGTTGTGATTGCATCTGTTGCTGCAGATCCAGCTCTTTGCGACGACGAGGTGATGCAAACACACGGCTAAGGGTGGAAGCCTTTTGGCGTGGAGAGCTTGCCGCTTCCTGAGGGTAAAGCTTATTCTCGTCTACCTTCATTTGGAGTGTCAACTGAAACTCCAAATCATTTTGCACAATAAGCTCGAATTCTTGGCCGATTGGTGCTGATTTCCCAAGCTCAAGCCATGAGGTAGTCACACAGTGGAGACCATTGTCAAGGGTGAGAGAAAAGTAAGATCGTTCACCTATCAATTGTTAGTGATTGAGTACCAGCAGCAAAATGTAGGGAGTAACATACCACGCGGGAGAGGTAGATCCATGTACTTGATTCCCACCACTTTGACGAAAATGCGACCACGCTCTTCACCATCCTCGTACGCCTCTTGGCCAAGCGGCTCGTTTTCATCAATGGTGGGGGGAGCTTCATGCACATTGCTCTGGCGCCCAGGAAGTGGAGGAACTGGTCCTCCCAGAGGCTTCTTCTTCGGCGCTCCACCTGCCATTTTCACACTAGGCTTTCTCGGTTGTCCATTCCAAGGTTCGGTTGTCCAAGTCTGTTGGCTTGCCTTGCGTGGGGATGAACCGGCTGATCGAGTACCACGGGGGTCTTGCGTCGTCGAATCATCAGGGATGGCTGGCTCCTCCTCGCTTCGGTTGCTGGCAATAACAACCTTGGTGTTCTGACGCATGAGGTATCCTCTCTGTTTTGGTAAAAATGTGTTAGTCGGTGATTTGTAAGGCATGCAGTTGGGAAATCCTCGGGTTTGGGTCTCCTGGAAGTGGACGGGGGAAGAATCAAGAACGGAAAGAGCGAGGTCGAACGCCACCTTTTGAGATTCAATCACACGGTCAAACTCCTTGTTAAGGCCGAAGCCAAGGCTTTCTTCCTGGATGCTGAATGGAATATCCAACTTCATCAAGCTTGATTGACGCTGGCTCAGATTGGATGGCAAAGCTAATTGTGGGGCGGCATCGACCTTGGAAGCTTCTTTTTCTGGTTCCTGGGAATCGTTGGAGGCCTGCTTCATTAATGGTGGGATCTGAGGGACAGGGGGTATATGTTGACCACTAATCTTGCGACGAGTGGCTGCCATGGAATCCATGTCTGCTGGAGTCAGTGATGGGCGGGTCTTCAATCCAGCACCGGGGGCGCGAATTGTAGCGACTGGCTCGGGAACGGACTCATCCGAGGAGCTTTCGACGTCGTGGTCTTCTTCAAACTCCTCCTGTTCATCGTCATCAAATGCTTCTTCTCCCTCATCCTCAACCGGATGACGGATCACCGAGTCTGGTGTAGATGGTTCCGAAATCGGCTCCTCCTTCATCTCAGGAGTCACCGGGCGACCAAGCGACTGGCGAATAGAGGCCAGATCCAGATGGTGGTCGGCCTCGGATTCGAGGCTTGCATCTTCTTCTACCTCGTTACATTCGGGAGCAAGAGGGCTCGCCGCACCTGCAAGCGGGGTAGACTGGCCTGATCCGTTGCTATGCATATTTCCAGCAGCTTCAGCGGCTGACTTCAAGGAGTAGTTGCTATCTTCGTCGTACTTCGCACGGTGATCTCGAGAGGAGAGGCTGTGATCTGATGAGTTCTGGTAATAGTCTGGGATAGCGTAAAGATCATCGTCATGGGCCTCTTCTTTGATAATCACACTCGAAGCATCGTCATCATCGTCTATTTCCAATGACGGGATAGGGACATCAGGGTCGTAATTGCCATATTCATCGGGGCTGGACGGGATGTGAGAGTCTTCGTCGAAATAGTCGTCCTCCTCATAGCTGTCGCCCTTGCGAATGTCCCTTAGGATTGAGTCCCGAGATATACGAGGTGGTGAGAAAATATCATTCGCAGCTGGTTCCTCAGCATCATCGTTTTCATCGGCAGAGTTCAGGTCATCCTCCTTTGGCATCGGGCTAACAGCTCGTTCGCCTGTTTCCTCTTCTTCGCCATTTCCATCCGGCTTTTTCTGATCTTGCATCATCATAAGGGAGAGCCTATCCTCCAGTGACATATCCCCGTCAATGTCCGCCTTTTTGCAGGAAGCCGGAGCAAGTGGAGCTGGAAGTCCCCGTTGACTACCGCTGCCAAACTCAAAAGCATCCAACGTCTTGCTTGCTGAAGAGGGACGTGAACCAGATGCACGGGATACTGATGGCAGTGGGGGCAGAGGTGGCAGGGGACGTCGCTCCCCATTTGAATCTAATGACTCGACACGAGAGTGGTGGGAAGATTCACCTCCGCGTGAAAGTGGTCGGTCCTCAACAACTTCATCGTCGACTGTATCTGCGAAGGAATCTCCTTCGTCATTGACGCCGGGACTCATGAATCGCCATTCGTCTGGTAGAACGACCGGTGTCTTTTCAGTATCCTCGAGGGATGCGTCAAAGCTGTCATCGCGCTCCACAGATGACTCGTGTTCAAATCCAGCATCTTCGTAGTCCTCCGAATCATAACTGTTTTCGCGGGACTCGGAAGCCAATGATGATGGATCCGGTGTTCGCATTTCATATTCGTTTACTTGGGGCGGTGCAGCATCGAAGGTCACACTCTTAGCATGTCGGTGGCCAGCACTATCATACTCGGACCAGATATCGCTTTGTGGGTCGAAGCCCTTACCGTATCGAGTGGCCTTGGAAAGTGAAGATTTGCTCGGCGATGGCTGCTCCTTGCTTGGGGAGTGTGGTCGCGTTATTTCCTCAACGTCTTCGTCTGTGAACTGCGACTTGGCGAGGTTCATTTGGCTCTCTCGGTTAGGAGACCGATCGACGGCCAAAGGCCTGTGGGGCACAGAAACCCGCGCGGGATCATATTCTTGGCCACCCTCCCTAAACATGTTGTGATTCTTCACTCGCGACACACGCTTCAAGTCCTCGAGGGATGGACGCCTAGCGGGTATGAAGACAGACTCTGGGTCATAAGGCGCCCGGTTCTCAGCGCCCTTAGAGAACGGCGATGGTGATTCACGGCCCTTCCAAAAGAGGTGTGGGGAGGTTCCATTGTTTAAAGGTGAGATATCGTATGCGGTCTGCTCACCACCCGGTGTCTGTTAATAATAGTCAGTATGATGAGGCATCTGGGCTTCGGCGACAATATCCTCATACCTTAGAAGCCTGGTTCGAACTAGGTGAATTTCGCCTTTGTGCCATCGGGCTCACTTCAGACAGTGGCCGTTGAGCGAGTCCACCAGCCATTATCGGATTTGGTGTGCGAAATCAGGTAGGTGATTATCGCGTAAACAAATAACCAACACAGGCGGTGACTGTTGGTGTGTCAGCTGAAGTTCACCACGTGAAAGTTCGAGACTAGTCGTTGACGGTAGGGAAAGTGGTTTCAGACGACGACAAGACATACCTTTAGTCAATGGATATGAAAAGTCGCGTGGAAAATGTTTGCTCCAGAGAGTCCAGGTACATACGCCGTGAAAGCGTAAAAAGTCGTGACGATCGTCTCAGGAATGCAGGTTCGTCACCAGCACAATGCCTCTCGACTCTCCAAACCAAGAACTCAATGAAAACAAAGTTCAAAAGCGAATGAATAACGAGTGGAGGAGGATAAGAGGAGGGGGTCGGATCTCGATATCTATTCCATGGATCAGAAAGTGGATTGTTACCCCAAAGCAAGTTGCGCTTGTTGACAGTCTTCCGGGAGTATCCATGGCAACGCGTTTCAGGTGGAGAGACGCTTTTCCGGTTTGATACGCGACGGATAGATGACTCATCCACGATAAGGATCACATGACCCTTGAGCCTCGAATATCAGGTTCAGTGATCTACACTAGTCCCGGATAGGCATGGCGTTGAATTAATCCTGAATTGAGTGAACCCGCGATTTTTCTTGGTCTGGAACTTTACTGACGAAACCCTCATCCTCTTATTCTTTGTTGCCGTTCATCTTATCTGCTTTCTTCAGGCAGAATGCCTCTGCCCATTCGTTCATCAATATGCTTCCTGTGTCAATCTAAGCCGACCTCTTTTCCTTCACCAGCGGTTCTCTCGACATGGCAAGCCACGCGAACCATGGCCACTGCGCGTTTGCGCCGCAAGGCCTCTCGCATGGCACTGTCGCCTGATGTTGCAAAGCACACTCTCAAGAAGCCACGTAACTCCACTGCTGGGCCCTTTGCGAGCATGAACCAAACTGAGGCCCGTATCCCGGACACACCACGATCCCGATCTCAAGCTGCCCTCAGACGTTCCGGCCGCGGCGATGACCCTAAATCCCAGAAGCCCGAGAGTCCTTTATACAAGGCGTTGAAGATGCAAACAACTCTATCTCCCGTAACCTACGGGCGTCGAACCGCTATCAAATCGAAAATTGCCAACGTTACCAGCTTCGACCATATGCCTCTCCTTCCTGCGGTTCGGCAATCGATCTTCACTCAAGCTCTACCCGGTCTCGCGGAGATCGTCCCAACACCGATTCAACGACTCGCCATCCCACAGCTCCTGAGTCAGAAACCGAATAAGAAGACTGCTTCGAAGGATGCCGATGATGACTTTCAATACGACCAGTTTCTATTAGCGGCTGAAACAGGATCCGGAAAGACCTTGGCCTATCTGCTTCCGGTGGTCGACGCAATCAAGCGCGCGGAAGCACTGGATAAACAGGAAGAAAAACTCCAGGAGGAGCAAAAAGCGAAGGAACGAGAGGAAAGATTAAGGACTCGGACATACGACCTGGAGCCCGAAGTGGCCCCTATGACCAACGAGGGTCGTCCCAGGGCTATTATTCTTGTCCCCACGTCAGAATTGGTAGCTCAAGTTGGAGAGAAAGTTAAGGCGCTCGCGCATGCTGTCAAGTACCGATCGGGTATTATCTCCTCGAACCTCACCCCCCGCCGGATCAAGAACACCCTTTTCCACCCTGATGGCATTGACATTCTTGTTTCCACCCCTCACCTCCTCGCCTCTATCGCAAAGACCAATCCCTACGTGCTCAGTCGTGTCAGTCACCTCGTCCTTGACGAAGCTGATTCTTTGATGGATCGTTCTTTCATTCCCACTACCATGGAAGTAGTGGATAAGGCAGCCATGTCACTCAAAAAACTGATCTTCTGTTCCGCCACTATCCCCAAGAGTCTCGATACTCAAATTCGCAAACGCTACCCCGATGTTAAGCGCCTGACAACCCCGAACCTCCACGCCATCCCTCGCCGTGTTCAGCTGGGTGTTGTAGATATCGACAAGGAACCCTACCGTGGAAACCGGACTCTTGCCTGCGCCGATGTCATTTGGTCAATTGGCAAAGCAGGTGATGGAGCCGATGGCGAGACACACGGTCCTGTCCTTTCCAAATACATGGGGCCCAAGGTCAAGAAGATTATTGTTTTTGTCAACGAGCGAGAGGAGGCGGATGAGGTTGCACAGTTCCTTCAGACCAAGGGTATTGATGCGACTTCCTTATCTCGCGACTCCAGCTCCCGCAAGCAACAAGAAATCTTGGCAGAATTTACCGAAGTTGATCAGCCCCCATCCTCAGAAGACATTCTGATGGCGAAGAAGCAACACCGCATGGAGAAAGAAATCCCCTTGGAACTTTCCGACCGGAGATCTGAAATGACCCGTCGTCTCCCCAATACAAGGGTCCTCGTTACGACAGATATTGCCTCTCGAGGTATTGATACATTGGCCGTGAAAACAGTGGTGCTCTACCACGTGCCTCATACTACGATCGATTTCATCCATCGTCTAGGCCGTCTCGGTCGCATGGGAAAGCGTGGTCGTGGTGTTGTCCTGGTTGGCAAGAAAGACCGCAAGGACGTTGTTCGTGAAGTCCGTGAGGGTATGTTCCGTGGACAGGCCCTGATCTAGATGTAGTATATTTTGATCACCTTGTATAAATATGTACCATATATGGCGTTGTGTGTACTTTAGTAAATGAAAATACCCGATACACATGATTGATATGTCTAGGTGCAGCATCTGTGCACATCAATTCATCACGCCGAGATTAAAGGCCACATGCAGCCCGGGAGGCAGGAATGTCAACTGGTAACTGTGGATTTCAATCTGGATTTAACATCAACATTGAATTGATTGGTCAACTCAAAACATTTGTTTGAACCTTCCAAAATTGTAACCTTAGGTCATGTGTACAATGGCGGCACCTGGGACCTTATGTATGTCAAAGGTACTAGGACTAAATAGTACTGATGTGTATACTCAAAGCACTTGAGCACTTGAGTAGTAAACAATCGAATGCACATGTAGGGGGCAGTAGTTGAGCACTTCAAGTTACATCGTACTTGTTGTTTCGGTCAAATATATTTCAAATGTTTGCAACCAACCCCTTCCCCGGGAACATTGAAAAACTTTGAACCAACTCACCGCGACAAGCATGCATCGATTTGAACCTTCCAGCTTGGCAAATAACCATTCAAGTGTTTTTAATTGCTGGAATCTAATTCCTAAAGTCAAAGTCGCCTTCAGGTCCCCGAAAGTAATCTTGGAAATATGGTATGGAAAGAGATGGTGCTAACATTTGAAGGTTTCGCGACAACAACATTCAAATTTACTCTTTTTTTTTTTGAAAGCCTTTGAGGGAGATCGCTCCTGAATAAACTGGAGACATCAATGCATTGCGAAGATCTCACATTGATAAGTTATTACAAACCGTTTGATTTGCTTGACGAACCACCAAGGTATCAAGAGCATGATGCAACAGAAGACTCGACAACGGAACATTGAGCAGAATGATCACTGATATGAATTGCTGATTGACTTCGATATCCACCTATTTTCATGGACATGCTATTACTAGTATGCATATAGCCTGCTTGCTACACTGTTAGTATTATGAGTCATAGGATACTATTGAAGAAAATGAGCTTTAATTCCAAGATTTCACCTTTTAACATTTCTGAATTCCTTATTTATAACAACTTGTAGATAGGTCTTTTTTCCATGGGATAAGTGCCATACCAGTTCACAACAACATGGACTTGGGGGGTACGCTAGTACGCCTCGCTTATTAGTTTGGTCAGTAAAGCAGGATTATTCTTGGAGCCTACAAAGTACAAAAAAGCGTCAGCATAATTTTACGCTAGTCGTCATTGGTGCGCATTATTCCAAGGTCGGTGGTGGATGCTGGACGCGTAAACCCAAGTCCGCGTCCATCAATTCACCAAGTATCCGATCGGCTGTAGTCGGGACTCAAAACGTGAATTGAAAAGAAAAAGAAAAAAGAAAAGAATTCCAGTCTCCAAATCCAATCCTGTGCCATCTCTAGATATCAACTTACAATCATCCGGTGTTCGTAGTTATCCTGTGTATCCCAGCACCGGACGCGTCATCACCTAAAATCCTTCAGATTCTCGAGGTTTTCGAGATTTCCTCTCTCAAGGCTGACGTCACTCCCTGTGAGTGACAAGGACTTTGGAAACATTTGAATTGAAATTTGCCTTGGCTTGTTTGGCTATTTGCCATCAATATCACTATGAAGACCCTGCCATGTTTGTTTTTCTGGCTTCTGGCGCAGTGCGCATATACATCGGCCGAGACGACAGAGAGCAGCACTGATAGGAGCTCAACAACCACCACTTCTTCATCCTCATCCTCATCAGACACTACCACTGGGTATATCGTTGTTACATCGGAAACCTCCGTCGCGGTTCCTACCGGCGACTACATCAGCTATACCACGACTGAGATTGTGTCATCCGCCGAGCTCAATGCCACGGCCTCAAGCAACGCTACAGCCACGACCTCCACAACCGCGACAGATGTTGTCCTCGTCGGAACAGGCTCCAACAGCACAACAACATCTTCCACGGCCACAGCAACAAACACGCAAGCATGCAACGGCTACACCGAGTTCTGCGAAAGGAAATATTCCAACATCACGATGGTAACGGCGCACAACAGTCCGTTTGTCAAGAAGAACAACATAGCGTCGAACCAAGACTACGACGTCACAATTCAACTGGATAACGGTATACGAATGGGTGAGTGCATTATGTTCCGATTCCATGCATCTTCGCCTAACAATCTATAGTCTCTTTCGAGGCACACTATTATGAAGATGACATCTATCTCTGCCACACCTCCTGCGACCTTCTCAACATGGGCACCCTAGAGGCATACTTGACAACCATCACAAAGTGGATCAAGAAAAATCCCTACGATATCGTGACTGTCCTAATCGTCAACTCCGACTACGTGACTCCTTCAAATTTCACTGCACCCATCAAGAACTCCGGGTTGATCGACTACGTATACGAGCCCTGGAGTATCCCGATGAGCCTGGACGACTGGCCTACCCTCTCCGAAATGATCCTCACTGGGAAACGCGCAGTGGTTTTCATGGACTATGAGGCCGATCAATCGGAGTACCCCTATCTTTTGGATGAATTCTCCCAAATGTGGGAGACGCCGTTTTCACCGGTCAACCGTTCATTCCCTTGCACGGCACAACGCCCCGTCGGTATCACCGAGAAAGAGGCCAAGAACCGCATGTACATGGCCAACCACAACCTAAATCTGGAGATCATCTTTGATGATATAGACATATTGATCCCAGACTCTGCAGAAATCAATGTGACGAATGCAGTCTCGGGCTACGGAAGTTTGGGGGTTATGGCTAATAACTGTCGAAGTGAGTCTTTTAGTATGACCTTTTTCACTGATCTTTCTGCTAACATGGCCAGGTGATTGGGATCGACCGCCGAATTTCCTTCTCGTCGATTATTACAACGATGGTAACTTTGCTGGTTCGGTTTTCAAAGTTGCTGCCGAGATGAATAACGTTACTTATACCGGCGACTGCTGTGGAGCATCATCGGATGCTATGAGGATCAGCAGCGCTTTAAGTGTGTCTTCTTTGGTTGCTCTTGTGAGCATTTTCGTATCATACTTGATGTAAATTGCTTTTGTACACGTGCTGCCAGAGCACAAATGCCCTTTAGAGGATTCGTTAATCTATATAAAGGAGAATAGAGAACATTAATGATTTATGGACTATAGAAACTCATCAAGTGCTGACCAATATTCATTACATCTGATCGGAGATAGATTAGCTTAAATTTAGGGTATACAAGACCCACCGGCTAATATTAAAGGTCCACCGATTGACCACAGATCGCGGGTTCCACACAACGGACATCCCGCCCATTACTCCCGAAGTCCGTTATCAGATCAAGCTCTATTCTTGGAGATCCACCGAGCCTATTGTCTATTTGAATGTCAGGTGTTTCTTCCATCTTGGACACTCATTACATCAATACGCAGCTTTGCTTGATGTGGTAGCAGGGTGTGAATATTACAAAGAAGTTATATACTCAATCTACGCAGTTCCAACACGGATGGAAATCATAATATTCATCAGTCACGCTCTAAACAAGTACTTGTCATTTTGGATATCATAATTGTAACAGGAAATAACAACCTTGGAAAAGACAAGAGCTCACATAAGATCTTGCCCAACAAAGAATTGCCAAAGGCCATATTGATCTGGCATGTCCGGCCCAGCACCCGGGTACACATTGAGGAACGAAAGATCAGACTGGCTATCAGCAGGCGAAGTGTTCAGATTCCAGAGTGTATTAGCATAATTCGGATGGGTGTCGTCCTAAAAGGTTTTTATGTCAGTTGAATGAAGCCATAGTGGCCGTGCTTCAAGAGTCACACATACCTGCATCTGCATGCCGAGGGCCGAGTAAAAGCCAGCACCGAGATACTCCTGCGGCACCGGTTGTTCATGCCCGTTAATCGGACTGTCATTTGAGAAATTGTGTTGATTATATGAGCCTGAAGTCGAAGACGGAGCTGTGAAGTGTGTAGACGACGTGGGTGTGGATACTGGCTCGTCAATTCTGGTGTTGCGTGTGCCGAGGGTCATGTTGCGGGAGATGCGGCGGAGTACTTCGGAGAAGGGAGCGGGTTTGGGGATTGGTTGTTGCTGATGACCTAGGTTGAAAGTGCGAGCCTTGGCTGATCGGCGGGATTGGCTCTCAGATATAAGATCGCTGTGGCGAAGCGGGACAAGGTTAGATAAGAAGAAGCGTTTTGAAATGGAGGCTCCTACCTGATGATGCGGAATGCAGACTCGACGATCCTTCGCAGTGGGGTATTGCTGATCTCGCCGAACATTGAGAAAATCTCTCGTACCATGTAAATAGTCCGTGTTCGTTCGTCGATTTCCGCAGGCGGCAAATTACTGATATGAGGTTAGCTCTGGTATTGATATCCAGTGTTTGATAGAAAGACTTACTTGTCGATGGACCAGAAGAGATCTAAAAAGAGAACCATAGCTGAGCTTAATGTGTGTGAATACACGAACCTGGACGTGGTGGGACAAGCTATTAGTTTTTTTGGTTCTCGAGCCGAGCCATAATTGTCTCGTGTATCTTACCACAAGGAGCCACTTGTTGTCAAGTCACGTAGGTTATAATGACAATCAACCACTATACGTGCAGACTTCAGACAATTGTCTCTGGAGTTTGCGAACTTGGAGCCTTTTGCGTAACCGCGTGAGAGGAAGGGTCGATTGAGGCGAACGATGCGAGAATGTATCTAGGGAGAAAACCAGTTTAGCAACTTGACGAATGGGGAGATGAACCAGAGTGGAGCTGCGCATACCCCTTCTAGAGCAATATCTGGTGATAAGATGGCAAATTAGTATTTCTCCATGCAAGAAAATTTGGGGCATTTGTACTTCGCTGTCGGCGGATTCTAGGATCACTGCCATCAACCACACTATTTTCTCTCTGGAAAGCTTCGCTGGAAATCATATCGGAGTCAACTTTCTATACAGAGTTCATCAATTTTGGCACGACTCACGGCAAACCTTCCAAGATCTTCCGGTATCCAGCGTCCAGCTCCAGGACTGGATTTATCAGTCAGTTCTGGATCTCATCCTTCGTTATCAATCAGTAGACTCACCAGTAGAATATGAGAATTTATCAGCGTAGGTGATAAGCTTGTCAAATGTCAAACGCAGCATATTTGCAATATTCCACTTATATACCTCAAAGGAGCTGGCTGTGACGACATGCGCAGGTCGAGGTGTATACTGCCATTCTGTGGGTGATAATTCCCAATCATTGACATTATCGACACGTTGTGATGTACACTGATCGAGGTGAATGGTGTAGCAGCGAAAACGTGCTGATGCGGACATCCAATCAGCCCATTGCAGCATCATCCAGATTCGGAGTCCCATGTGGCGTTTGACAGCGTTCTTGCCAGGGGGCCAGGCTGGGTCATCAGGTGGCATTCTATATAGAATTAATAAGCGATGAAAAATAAGCAAAATTCTGTCACTTTATTAACACTCACGTCTCTGGGTTGTTTCCTAGCCTGTGTAAGCCCAACAGTTGAGCCGTGCGAATGGCCAAAGCGTTCCAATTGAGCATCGTATCTGCTTTTCTCCAGGCGCTTGAAAGCTGGAAAAACTGGTTAAATAGAATAACTATCCTGTTCGGAGTTAGAATCGATGCAAAGTATAGACAAAGGGCCCAGAAGCTCCAACTTACTGCACCGTCCTCACTCGAGGTGTGGACATTGCATCGCCAAGGTAGAGTGCCTTCATGCTCACAGCATGGTATTGGCTAATGAGCTCAGATAGCCTCTGATGCGTATATCCATGGAATGGATGGCCTGGGGCCGTTGGGGCCGTTGACCGATTGTCAAGTGCTAGCGCCATTACCATGAAGAAGACAGACAACCATAGTGGATCAAGCTCATTATGGCGTTGTTGTGCCATTGTCTCCCAAAAGTAATTCATCTCTGCCTGGAAAGAAGGCCAACTTTGGTACTCAAAACATCAGCAAGGTGTTGGTGGTTGTGAGAATTTGACAATGAATCCACTAAAAAACTTACTGTAAAATGCGAGACCGCCAATGAAGGATGTTATTGTACTGTTCAGCTAGATAATAGCTTTGTCGTAGGGTTGGAAGGTGTTCGAGAATACTGTTCATAGCATCAAACCTGTTCTTGAGGAGGGCCTGTGGATTGTCGTCCTCAAAACCTCGTTGTTGCATCAACAAAGGGTTATATCGATCGAGTGCAACGTCCCACGGAGGTGCCATCACACTAGTGAGGGCCGTCGTATATTCATGGCTCTGCTGCTGATTCTGATCATGTTTGCGACGTGGATCATCTTTGGCGGTCCCGGCCAATGCTGCCCCAGAGGCAGGGGTAAGCATGTTGCCTCTCCAGTATTCATGAGAGGTCATCGACCCAGATGTGGATCCAGGCTCATTTGCTTGAGGGTTGAAGGCAATACTCTCCAGAACCACGGCTGCATTCTCAGCTGCATCGTCATAAAAATCAGTCACACCCTTAGAAGCAGCCCCATTGGAGTGAGCATTTGAAGTTGGATTTGAATTGGAACTCGAAGTTCGTGAGTCTGGTGCAGTGACAGCGTTGGCTTCTGCAGTAGTCGATGCTGATTCTCGGGGCACATTTGCTGCATTTTCCTCTTGGCTTTTCGACGGTGATAATTTGATAGAAGGTTGCTGAGCGTTAGTGACTGCTTTGGCAATCTGCGCAGGCAGTACTAGCAGCGTCTCCTGGAGAGTATCGAGACGTTTTTGTAGTTCATCGACTTGAGTTTTTAAAGCGAATGGTTGTGGTGACGGCTCGACTTTCGCGTTTTCCCATCTACACGAGCCAGGCACACCTCTCTTCACGCAGGCCATGCAGGGAACATTGCGATCGCACTTTATTTTTCGCCGTCTGCATTCCGAACAAGAAATGGCCATGCGTGGCCTTTTTGAGTCGCGCTTATCATCGGCATCTTCCTCATTCCCACTGTCATTGTCATTGAAGGACCCCTGGGATCCAAGCGATGAATCGAACGGATGCTTAGGCCCATCCAAATTTTCAGGATGTACAATATTGGCGAATGGTCTCTTGCCTGAGGTATCAGCCCAATCCTGTGCGGTAGAGGCGGAAGTTACATGGCTGTGAGGGTCAGACGCCTCTCCAAGAGGCGGACCGAATTGCTGAAACGGTCGCGCTGGATTTGAGTCCCACGTCCGATCACCATCGATCAAGTGCGCAAATGATGACATTGTGCATTGGACGTGTGGGTGAAGGGACGGAGAGTCCGGGGGAACTGTGTCTCACGGTCGGCTTCCGTGGCGCGCGCAACCAGAGGTTGGGCGAATTCAGGGCCCTCTTCCGCGATAAGCTGCAAGGGTCTAGCGGGATCTAGCGGGAGATTTTGGGGGTATCAATGATAGGCTTAATTCGCCCACGCGGTCCTTCACACAGGTTGCAGAACATGGGGGAGAAAGGGGAGCTTCGGTGAAAGCTCGGTGATCGATACGGAGTGTCCGTTAGATTTTATCCATCGCCCCACAATTTACATCATGCTCAAGACTCTTGGCTCTTTCCACACACGGTCGGAGATCGTTGCTCAAAACGACTATCGGATTCTTTTCACGGTCCGACCATAATCCTTTTCAGGAGCCAAGACTTGCCCCATGGACTCGGCACTCGATTCACGGCTAATATGTATTGATTGACGAAGTTTTTTCCGTGCAGTAGGAATGCCAAGGCTTGTACGGGAAAAGGAATCCATAGTTTTCTCCCGTAAGTTGTTTCATCAGGCTTGAGCAACTGGCCAATTGAAGAGTCAAATTTTAAGGGTATAAAAGAGATGAATCACCAGCGAAAATTCCCCCTCCGCCTAGAAATCATAATGCTATCGCTCGATCGCTTGTAGATTGTCAATCTTTGCAATTACCCCAAGGTCATTATGAATGACTGCTGCAGCCTGGGCCCTGCAGAGAGATGAAATCCCTGCCCTCGGAGATAACAATCCACCAATTACTATTTAGCGCTAGTGTGTCGATCACCGAGAATACCCGGAGAAGGCTGAAACGAGGGTCTTCTGCTTACACCCAGTCTCGTTACTTGCCAGGTTTCATTCTGTTGCAACATTAGCCATATTCCGCAGTCAAAGAGGGCCTCCGGATGGGGAGAGGAGGAGGCTAGAAATGATCTTTCGTGGGGGCAAATTCCCTAATGGCTCAGATATTTCATTCGAGCTATTTCATGACTACATGTATTACTATTGTCTTCTGGTGATTTTTAACGCCGGGGGTAAATCAACCAGTGGCGCCACAGAAGCTGCAAATTATACAATGAATGCAAGAGACTTCGGGAATCTTCTGCTCTCGGTATTCCGTACACAATATGAAGCGTGCTCAATGGTAACAGCCTTGGAAGTAAGCGTGAGAAAGGGCAATCGAAAGCGACTGCCGGCGGGGCTCCACCGGTCGATACTAATTAACCCCTGCAGGCCTGCTGCCCTGCACTAAGCTACGGCCCGCACACAGACGATTTCAACCAAACCTTGAAACATCACTCGGCACTGACAATCTTTCTTCATTATATTGGTAGAATTCATACAGATGGGAGCCTTGAATTAAGTATTTTGCTCGCGGAATTATTTCATTGCAGCTCAATTAAACGCCATGACTCTTCTAAGGGTTGCCTAGTTAATAGGTGTCCAGGCATAATTAGATTAGTCAGCTCAGACGCGTTTTGAATCCACCAGTTATTCGCTCCCTGGAAGCTTGAAGGACTTAAAATATAAATTCCGCGTCTGGCTCCCATCCCTCTCAATTACAACCAGTTGACTGATGAGTGTTATAGCGTCGTCAAAGTGAATGTAATATGGTAACGTGGCCCTAACACCCAAGTCAAAGAGCCCACTTATCGTGAGGAGAAGAAACAGGAGGCAAGAGAGACAGTATTATTATATAAAGACGAATCAATCGCATGAATGGTGCAAACTATGGGTGCTGATGTCAATTGGTTACTAGTATACTGTGGCTGTCATTCTCTAATTTGCTTCTACTTTCTCACTCCGCAACCTCAACAATCAACTTCGTGCAGCTCACTCCCTGGATTAGTCGGTCCAACCCAGCGTTAATTGCCTCCAGGCCCTTTCCTATCAAGGTCGGCTCTGGACTTGGCTTTATAGCTCCTTTGACCAGATTCTCTCCCAGACACTTCCCGATCCAATATTGGAACTGCTTCAGCCTCTCCTTCTCCACCATCGACGGCAGCACAAACATGGTCTCTATCCCGCTAATAACCTCTGCATCCAAAGGAACCACGGGCGCTGACCCGATCTTTGCCACCGTTGTCTCCATGGACTCTTCTTCATTCTTTCCAACAAATGCTTTGAGTACGGCCTGGCATAGCGCCAGCTCCCCATTAGCAAGGAAGCAATGCTTGATCACCAATTCGTCCTCCTTGGCAGCCGAAACAATCGCGTCAACAACCTGCGGGTCTTTATAATCGAACACCCGGTCTGCGCCCAGTGACTCCACATAACTTTTATTCGCCGATCCGGCCGTAGCGTACACTGCCGCAAAAGAAGAGTCGGGGTCTTCCCGCAACAGTCGGGCTGTCTGTACACCCATGGTGCCGACGCTTGAAGAGGCTCCCCAGATGAGGAGAGCCTCTTTCTTCTCCATCTTGCTGATTTGCTTAATTTCGTTCCCATCGGCGTTGGTGCCGGTCGAGCCAGCAGAGACTAGGCCACGAGGGGAGGATTCTCCCACTCGTGGGATGCCCATAACATCCCACGCGTTGAGGGGTACCTCGATGGCGACAGGCAAGGTTGCTGCGTGGTTCCAAGAAATGCCCTCGCCCGGAAGGCGTACAGCATGTTGCCATGGAACGAGGCAACGCTCCTGGAACGTTCCATAGTCTGGCCCCCATGACTTCCAGAAAGAGCCAGAGTAGGCGACGACGCGGGTGCCCGGCTGAAATGATTGGGTTCCATCGTTGCCGGAGGTGCCGGTGGGGACGTTGTCACCGACCTCGAGGACCAAGCCTGACATTTCAAAGCCGATGACTGTTGGGTATTTCGATATGAAGAGACCCTTGCCGCGTATCTGGATGTCTGCAGGGTTCAAAGCTATGGTTTTGACAGCGACGAGGAGCTCGTCCGGTCCTGGCTTTGGGGTGGGACGCGTCTGAAGCTCAAAGGGCTGGCCTTCGGCTACAAAGACGGCAGCGAGGTGGGTGGCCATTTGAAAAAAATTAAAGGTGTGCAAAGTGAATGATTGTTTCCAGAAAGGAGATGGTATAAAATTCAAATACTGCGGAAGAGGCCTTCTATTTATAAAGTTCAATTCCAATTTCAAGCCGCTTACTTTTTGATGTGCGAATGCTCACTAGTGATCCCGGCCCCCTCTTCATTGACTATACTTAAAGGGTCCACAATGGCGGACATAGCCAACCAGAGGCTTTTCTACCCAAAAAAGAGTTAGTGCGGTGCGTGAAACTTGTTACTTGGAAGGTGCGTTTCCGAAAGGATTATGACTCACAAATGATGATGCGGAATAAGTCTACTCTTATTAACCCCAACGGCCCCTCCATAAGCCATTGATCTCCTCCACTTTAATATATTTCGAAATCAAACTATTCGGAGGAGAGAGACTATGTTCGAATACAAGGGAGAGAGCACATATGTGAACCGAAGAGAGGAAATCTCTGCTATGGAACGGGGCGAAGAAAGCAAAAGAAGAGAAACAAAATAATAAACATGACTAAATACACAAAGGGGACTGGGATGTGATATGTAGGGGTGTATAGTACCCCTTTGGGGAGACAACTCCCGCCCAACACAAACTAAACCCTCAGTCAAATGCAGCATATTCAACAGCCATCATTCAGGCGTTCGCGGGCGTAGATTCCCGCGAAGATCTAGATTCGGCTGCCTGAGCTTCGTTTCCACTACTATCAGACTCGTCTTCACCGCTCTTAGACTTATCACTACCTCTTGCAGTCTCCGTACTGGCCTGTGTCAAGTATGCTGTGGTATTGGTTGCTGTGCAAATAAGCTCATTTACCTGTGCCGAATCCAAAGCAATACCTGTATAGTCATTGGTTAGCTTTTTTTTCGCTGACATTAGAAAGGAAAAGTACTCACGATTCCCCCTATACACGATGTGTTCGATTTCTTGATAGGTGTCATGATATGCGGTATTGAAAGCTGCATACCCAACTTTTTGAGGACGGTTTTCATCCATTGCGGGTCCATAATTATAATTCCAGGTTTCAAAAGTTGCTTGCTTTGCTTCCTCTTGAACATCCAAAACCCCAGCATTGATCAAATTATTAGTATACTGACACCTGCACATGTGTGACACACCTGTGTTAGCAATCATAAAAAGAGGAAACCCGAAAAGAAACCTTGGAAACTCACATAAAATCCTTACACCCCACCACATCCTCATCTTCTGTGACAAACCCGGCAAGAAGCATTTTTTTATCTTCAATGACCCGAAGAAAGTCCCTAACTGTCTTTCCTTGGTTGTTGGGGTTCACTGGAACCTCCATGACCTTGACTGCATTCCTATGTGGTCCAGCGTATGTGAACGTTCTGATATCCAAGTCCCCAAGACTGCATCTTTTGAATCCAGGATGGTTGTACTTAAGGTTAATGATGATTCCCCTGCTATTGATTGGTGTACTACCTTTGGCGTTTTTTGTCTGCTGGTTCTTGAAAATCAGCCTCATAAAGCAGTGATTTGGTCGAATGTCATCTTCGTCAGACTCTAGGTCAGCATCGTGGGCCTTATCTATAAATTCAATAAAACATTGCGACACCTTCTTGGATCGGATATTGTGCGGCAAATCTTCCATCTTGAGAAATACTTCCAACACGTATGTGCGAGATTTTTTAGCTGGTCGCTTTTCCTCACCGACAGGAGAGACCTTGCGCTTTTTCTCATTTTCCGTGGTGGCCATGTCTGAAATGCTTGGATTGTTGATGTCGGCGGTTTTCAATTATTGATACTCTGTGTAGTTAAATGTTCAATGTTCACTGTTTATGAATGATTTTGATGGGATATCAAAGCTATGAATGTCGAGGATATGGATAAGGTATTTAAAGACTCTGTTTCTCTTGAGAGGAGTTAACCTGCTGATGTTGGAAATCTAAGATATCTTGATTATTTGCTACATTTAGATTCATGATCTTCATGCAAAGAACTTGAAACCGAGGTTGAAAGCAAGTAACAATAAGATAAAAATACTCTTTACATGCGGGGACCTGAAATTAGGTGGCTTTGTTGGCTTTGTGTTAGAACAAAGATATATTAAATTCTTTCTTTCAATGACTGCTGCGGTGAGTATGAGAAAGAGTTTCTAACAGTGAAGGTTGAGAGATCGAAATTCTACCCGTAAACACTAACAATCAATTCGAATCTACTGTAAAAGATTTATTCTTCAATCATTCTATAGTAGTAGAATTTCGCAGCCGGTTAAACTTAGCAATTCGCTTTACACCAAAAAAGGTTATATCTAGAAAGTAATTTACAAATCATTCAATCAACATCAGTGGCCGAAGCAATCGCCCTGGTGGCCTCTAGATCTCTCTGTAGCTCTCCAATTTTCGAGTCCAAAGCCACTACACAATCCTTCCCAAGCGGCATGCGAAGATAATCATGCCCAGTGACAGTGACCTTGATTATTGCACGCGCAGCTTTTTCCGGGTCTCCCTTAATATAATCCGGAATTGATGTAAGCCCTCGGAAGCTATTGACCATTTGCTCAACCACGGTTCCCTTATAGCCTTCACTGAAGCCATTCTCAAATCTACTAGACATAATAGCACGATTTGAGAAGGGAGTGCGAAAAGCGCCCGGCTCCACAATCAGCACTTTGATTCCCAAAGTCTTGACCTCGTGAGAAAGAGACTCGTGGATAGCCTCAATCCCGAATTTACTCGCAGAATAAGTTCCTCGTCCAGGGCGTGCGATAAAGCTATTCCTCGAACAATGCTCCCTGTTAGCTATTGTTGGATTTCAAAGAAAAGGTGTTGATAGATTAACACACCCAGCACCACTGCTGATCAGGATGATATGGCCCGAGCCTCTTGTACGCATGACAGGAAGACAAGCACGCACGGCGCGAAGGGGGCCATAGAAATTTACTTCCATTTGATCGCGGACTTCGGCCTCACTTGGGGAGAATAGTATCCAGTCAGTGGGTTGATAATATTTTTCAGCATCCCAGGTGCCGGCACATACCATGTGTCTTCAACACCACCGATAAAAGCATAGCCTGCGTTGTTTACCAAAACATCCACATTGTGCTCCTGCGCACACTTCGCGAATTTATCATATGCACTGTTTTGGGCAGGATTCAGACCTATCCATACACCCCCACTGGCGGAGAATTCAGGATAGGCTGCTTCGGCATTTTCGACGTCACGCGTGGTTCCAATGACTTTGTATCCAGCCTTGAGAGCCTCTGAGGCAAGCGCCTTGCCCAGTCCTGATGATGCACCAGTTATTAACCAAGTCGAGCGTGTGACGCTCATGATTGAATGACTTGAAGTATAAGAAAGGTGTTCAATGTTATTATTTCAAATACTAGTTGATCTTTAATTCAATGTTCAATAATTTTTGCAAGCCTGATCTGGAAAGAAACCTTGGAATATTCTCAAGGTTGGTTATCAATGTCGTGGGGACCAAAGAAACCGTCGGAGACACCCGGAGTTAAGAACTTAACCCCTTGCCCAACGAGAATTTTAGCAAATGACTAGACCCTGTCAGAGAAAAAAATCCGGACTTAACAGAGGACAAGCCTGCTCGAGTTGCCATTGGGTAATTGACCATTTCACGTTCGACGTTCCTCTGAATCAAATTAAGCGATATAATTCATTTCACTGTCCGTTCTTGTACATACATAATACGACCATAGGCATCGGACTAAGCCCAGGGCGGTGAAATGCCACCAATGAACTGCTTCGGTGCTACGGCAGAAAGTCTTGCAGTTCAAGAGCGGTGACCCTAAGCTTGCCTAACTTGTTCCGGGTCGCGACCCTAGCAAGTAACCTTACTAACTCTCAACTCACCCGATTTCCCCACCATCTGATTGACTTTAGGTATGGCGGCCGATAGAGGCCACCCCTAGGTCAAATCCCAATTTCAACTTTCCGACCGGCAGAGAGTAAATTACGAGTAATTCCAAATTCATATTAGTTTTTGAACTCCATTATGTTCAGGCAGTTCAGCGCTGCATTATACGATAAATCCTTGAATTCTATTATATATTAGTAATGCTATATTATATTAACTACTTCACTTTCTCTAGGTAAATTATCACAATAACTGGCAAGAAAGAGAGGCTGAGATCTTAGTCATATAATCCATTCTTAAGTCCCTTCTCAAGACTACTCTCAAGTCTACTCTCAAGTCTACCCTCAAGTCTACCCTCAAGTCTACCCTCAAGTCTATTCTCAAGTCTATTCTAAAAGTGACCCGTATTCAGATCAAATCCCTTAAGATATTCCTGTACATGATAAATACAATACAGGCGGGAAACAGGGCGGTGAAGTTAGAAACTGAAATTGGGATTTGACATAGGGGTGGCCTCTATCGGCCGCCATAGCTGGGGACTCTGATTGACTTTATGTAGGTTCAATCGCCGCGCTGCGCGCGGCGACAGCACTTGTTTCTTTATACGAACAAAGAAAACGGAAAAAACAAAACAAAAACAAAAACATACAACAGTCAGGATTCGCATGTGGTCACCCACCATACTACTAACTGACCGGCGTGTGGCTTAAGTACGGCTGAGCGGACGGGAAGCCCTGTTCTCCACACCCTATGGTCGTATGTACTTGTAACCCAGCAGAAGGGGAATATGTAGTGCCGACTATATCAGAATAGTGGGAATTGGGTGAGCGCCGCTTTAGCATCACGCGACCCGGGTGATTAGGGTGAATACTCAATAGACAGGGCGAGAACGGGGTGAGGCCGGGTGAGAAATCATACTTGTTCCTGAGCCTTATCAATCCTTTCACACAGACCCTCAGGGTTGTCTCCAGAGGTGACATTCTCAATCCACTCTCGTATGGCCCGCGCCTCGAAAACATTATCGCAACTCCGTACTGCATAATCAAAATCTCTTTCGCGCTGGGATTCCTCAAATACATCCACCCATCCAGGTTCCAGGGCTCTCATCGTATCCATGAAAACGCCACGAAGAAGAGTAAGCTCATAATTCTCCAAATGCTCCAGGTAGAGATCGCAGGGTTCTCCATCTTCTTCATGGCCGTATGTTGTTCGATCGGGCTCTGTGCGTCTATTTGGCCCTTCCAAAAATGCGGGATAATTGCAGGCAGCCCACAAAGGAAGTGTTGCGACACATTCCCAATCTAAGACAGCAGCCAGCTCTCCGTTGTCTTGGACGAGAATGTTTCGGCTGGAAAGGTCATCATGGACGATGATCGAAGGTTCAGGGCTGTCTTCAGGGTTGTCCTCAATGGGCTGAAAAACCAATGATAGCAGATTTTTCAGCTTTCCAATGATGTCCAATGTTCTTGTGGCATCTTCCTTCCTAGCTTCCTGCTTAGGATCAAGATCACTTGATGGTAAACTAGAGAGCTTTGATTGATGGCTTTTTTCTTCTAGTAACAGACGGGACAGCATCCAGTCTTTGCTAGAATTGAATGGCCCCCGGTGAACATCTTCTTGAATACTCGGCCCCCAGAAAAAGTCCATTGAAACGATTCTGCCCACGTCGGGAGGGCCCGGGATTTTCGATTCATTCAGGGCTGATGCGTTGGAATACACCGAGCCCTCAGCAGGCCACATACCTTCATCTAGCGGGGAGCCATCGGCAGTATATTGCTTTTCATAGATATTCCCAATCCGCTGGAGTTTGTTCTGAAAAAGCCTAGCGGAGTAAACTACGAATTGTTTGACTAGGGTCCTTTTCGCAGGAAATGACAAAGAGTGCCATGCATCTGCTAAAGGCGTCCCCGACGCTTTAGTCATGAGGATCCATTCAAATCCAATTAAATTCGCCCGAGAAGTTTGGTAAGCAAGAACCCGAGGAATCGGGATATCTGTGATGTGAGAAATCCAGGCCATGGTCGAAACTTCGCTCATAGTCTTGTAGTACGGATCAACTGGTAACGCCACCCGCATAACGAAATCCTGATCATCGACTTTCGCGACGTAAATTCTGTTCAAGCCACCTTGAGCGAGAAAGGACACACTCACTGTGCTTTCTGGGCGTAGCGACAGTATTGTGTGCTCGATTTTTTCAAGATCGGGTTCAATTGTCCACTCAGGCTCCAGGCCAAAGAGGTGTTGAACCCAGACGACTCCCTGAAACTGGTCCTCTAGAGAATCCTTCATCGTGGGGGGAGATGCAGTTTTCCGTAGCTATAATTTGGGTATGGAAAGCTAAGTTGAATTTCCCACGTCAGTACGGCCTGAACCTCAGAAGGGCCCGTATAAAGGGATGCAACAACAAATCCCCAAATCTGGTTTCCATTGAAAATCTACGCCACCCATTTAATTCATATTTCATGTAGACAATTTCAAGGGTGTTCTTGATTTATATCATATATGTAGCTTCATCAGTTTTATCTGCTTTTGCCCTAAGTATGTTTTTTTTTAATTATAACAAAATTCTATCATATCTCTTCAGTTCCAGCTTACCAGATGTGTTGATCAAAGCCTCGCTTGCTCATTCTGCGAGAGCATTATTCCCATAGCAGATACCATTTCTTTCACCTCCACTGTAGAACGAGGTAAATTGTGGATAGCACTGTGCTGGTAAGAGACCCGTAGTCTTGGATTACAGAAAGACTCAACCATCTTTGCTGCCTCGGCAAACATTGGGGGGTCATTATTGCTCCAGCAGTGAAGCGTTGGAATATTCAAGCGCGTTCGGTACACATCAGGTTGGAGTACACAGGGGACCTCTAGAATGTCGCGACAGAGAAAATCAGAGCGGGGCCGGCCATGAACAGGCTTCAGGATATCAAAACACCGAGCTGTCAGGCTAATCGAAGATCGAATAGGCTCTGGAAGCCGACATATCTCAGCATCCTCACCAGAACGAATTCGCTGCTGGTCTTCTGGTGATAATGATCCATGGATCATCTTTGTATAGGCAGGATCTGCAGAGAGAGGTGGCATAGGCGAACAGAATATAGCGAACTGAACCGGAAGGGGTCTTAGAGGGTAAAGAGTCGCCTTCTCAAGTAGATAAGATATCAACAGACCAGCACCGGTGCTGAATCCGAATACACCGTCGAAAGGTCCGTGTTTGTCAAAGGTGTCATCGATCAAATTGTGGGCGGCTTTCATGCTCGCGGTATCAAAGTCGAGACTATAGCAAAGGTACGGACCAGGGAATGATTTGGCGATTCCTATAACATTGAATAGGCAAAGTCAGTGACGGCATCGAGATGGCAGGCTAAGCTTATTAGACCAACCTGGATCCGCTGGGCCCTCAAGTTGTCCCGCGACAAAATGGAACTCCCAGCTAGGGTCGCAGTATTTTTGAACTTTCGCTAATTGGGACTTCATGATCTCGGGACTGGTTCCGAAGCCATGGCAACATAAAATCTTCATTTTGGCAGCGAGGAGGTAACACTTTGCAGGGCGAAATTTGAAATTGGCGGTTTAGGGGTTTAAGAGAGAGCACTTGAGGATGAAGATCGGACTTTAAATCTGGGATTGGCCTTTTAGTTGTATAGCTTCCTTGGCAGTAACCTACTAGTACGTGGCGGGAAAGGTGCTCTCGTAATATTTAGCTTAATCTATTCTGCAATGATATTCTCACGGCAGTCATAGTAGATAAAAAAACAAAATGATACAACACGCGACCTGCGGAGCCAATCACATCTCTCAGATAATGTCGCTGAAGAATCCTTGAATTGCTTTTGCGCCGGGCCTGGAGGGCAAGTGGATGCAAAGAAGTGGAGCCATAAAGCCGACCTATGGCAAGAAAAGACGAGCTTCGGGTTTGCCCGAAACTTGGGGTACGACCTACCAACTTAGTTCGCTGCGTCCATCACAATCTTGGTGAATGATTAAATAGCCAGAATATCAAAAATTTCCGCAAATTTCTTCTGTTATGCAATACCTGCCAATTTTATGTTTCGAGAGGGGAAACCCACAAAATACTCCGCCGTAGGATCAATGTGGTGAGATCGGCTATTAATACCAGCTCAACCGATAAGCGATCTAAAGGATTCTAGGCCAAATAAGAATACTTCTCCGAGCCACTGATGATGGGGATGGCGAATTTTAGGCGATTCTCAGCTGCATTGACTTACCGCCATTTTATAATTAGTGGTACCTTGAGGCGACATGTCATTCGCTATGATTGAACTGGTTAACCATTTGGCCCTGAAGAGACATGATTAGAGGTCTGAGCCCAGGGGCCAGGGCCAAGTCCAATATCTACTAGTACCTGGAAGAAAGCAAGAAGAATAACTTTGAATGAGCCATCAAAAATAGCATTGCTGCTTGGTAGTTTCCACGTACAAGTAAAGAGCGCCCGCGGTCCACCCGCGCGGCGCGCAGTATTGTTTTCTACTCAATACCGGTGCGTCAAGTATAGAAATTTTGCATATCTGTACTGTTCCTTCCCGTCGCTCGAGACAAAATCGAGGTATACAGGCCACTCGCATAGACATAGGTCGAAAACCACTTCGGGGGCAGCGATATCGTTTACTTTTTTGACCCGAACGACCAGAAACCATTCATGGAGATCCAGAACAAGGCCGCTTCAGCTTGCCCCCAACAGTCGCTCTAAAAGTTTTAGATTGCTTCAACTACACTCCCAAGGACGTCTACGCTAAACGAGACCCCGAGGCGTAAATCCAATATTTGATCATATACGGAGTCACGTTCGGACAGGCCACAACCGAAACCGCTCAAGCATAAGCTGCCTATGATAATAAGGCGCCAAGCTTAGAACAGCATCTTACCCTAGGCATGCTCTGGGTTTGCAACCTCCCCGAGTACGAAGTAGGTGTGCACTACCTTAGTCAGGTATTGAGTATTTACTCTTCCAAAGCAACTAGCCACTATAATACACTGCAGGAGTACTGCTTCTAAGGTTTACGGTAAATAGTACATCGGCTTTTCCCAATTCAATTCCTGAGTATATACGTGTGTCTAGGTCGTGATGAGGCTACAATCCCCGGGTGCACTTACACTTATTATGTAGTGAGAGTACAGCTCTAGGTATCAACATCTATCTGGAAAAGGACCATCGGAGTTGGTCCGATGTGACGTAGGTAATTTACGTTACGTAACAACAGCGGGCGCCAAGCAATAGTAACTTTCAAGCATACACAGCTCTTCCAGTTAGCGCATTCCCGTTGCATTCAAATCAATAATTGAAAGGACAGGTGTTCACGAAGCTCAGGTTTGAGCTTCTTTAAATATCCCCCCAGAAACCGAACAACAGGAAATACGTTATATATCCGCAAGCGCGGATTTACCAGGACACAACTTACAAGCATGCCGACAAACAAAACCAGCGACAACGGATTACGCATTGAACCGGTCACTCAAGCCCAGGATATAATCGATGCCTTTGAGGGCGTATCCGAGGCCTTTGGTCGCCAGGCGCAAGATGGTGTCTGGATAGCCATGACACCGGGGTGGGATACACCCGAAGGTCGAAGCCTCGGAGCCGCCCGGATGGTGACCCGCTGGCGCGGGATCACCCAAGACATGAGCGGCAAGCCAAGCACCGTTTTTCTGAAAGCCACACTACCTTCCCCGGACGATGGAGGGAAGCGCATAATTGTTGGCTGCGCAATCTGGGTTCAGGGTTCCAGTGTAGCGGGCTACGGTGAACCAGCCGTCAAAGAGGAGGATCTTTGCGACGCCATGAATCTCGAGGAGATTTACCCGGGCAATAAATCTGAGCAGCGCTACTGTTGCCAAGTTGTTGCCTCTATGCATAAGCAGCGCGGTGAGGTCCTTGAAGAAAAAGCGACCGAGGATCCGCCGGCGGTTATGATCCTCGACTTGTGTGCTGTTCATCCGGCGCACCAGCGCAAAGGCATTGCGAGAGCGCTAGTGCAATGGGGCTTGGATGAAGCTCGACAACGTGGTGATCTGGAATTGATTCTCGAGGCGTCTGCTATGGGACGTCATGTGTATGGACAGATGGGATTTGTGCAGGAAGGACCGGAGATTGAGTATGTTGTTGACGACGAGTTCGCATCCCGCAGCAGACCTTCCAATATCTTCATGCGCACCCGCGGCTCTGTATAGATTCTTCAAACCACAAACTTTGGTCAGCCTTGAAAATATAATAAAAAGGGGGGCGGGGTGGTGAAACTAACGGAGCTTCACCATTCATGCAATATACACCAGCACGGTGCGATGCTGTCTTATCGCACGTGTATATCAAACAATTATAGCGCGTCGTGCACCGTAAGCGCGTCGCAATAAATCCACCGAACCTTGGAATGTTGTTCATGAATTATGATGGGCCGTAGGGTTGGAACCCGTGCTTACCTGGACACCTGGACAGGTTCCAGGGAAAGTTTACCTAAGTGGATTTCGTACTTGGTTAGCATTGATATAGCATACTCGGGCTTTCAATTCGTAAGAGTTTAGGTACCATAAACAGCACTTGTGCAGGGAATATAGTGAGTCATTGAGAATGTTATTATACACAATACTTAAGATGGGGATGTACTCGGTACTCGAGGAGATTAAGATTAAAACCGAGAACTTGGTGATAGCATAAACTTAGTAATTGAGATAGGCATTGTACTCTCATCAGCACCTAGCTGCATCCTAGCTGCATAGCGCGTGAACCTTACGTGTAAGAAATCGATATATCCCACATGCATGTCGCACAGTGTGCCAAATACCCGAAAATAGAAGATCACAGATCACAGGCAGTGCCCGCCCCAGCTACTATTTCAGTTGCAGTGCTCATTCCATTTGAGTTGGGTATAACTATAATCTCATCCGTGTGGGGTCAAAACGAACGTTGATGTCTTGAGTGCAGGACTGCCCACATGTCTCAGATCTGACATGCATAATGCAGCTCAAAACAAGAAGTTACCTGAGCAATATCTTGCACTTATTGGATTAAACATGCTGTCATGAAGCCCCGTCATTTGCTATTGAAATAAGAAATGTGAGTTGAATTCCGGGATAATAAGCGCCAAGGTTCGTTAAGGTTGGGGGCCGTAATTACTATTCACTTCTTCGATGATGTTGCTGCATGATTGCATCAAGGGGCCCAATTCTGAGTCGCTTCCTGTCGTTTTCTAACATCCAAATTTTCGATTCGGAGCGTGTTCATTTTTTCAGAACTAGGAGCTTAAAAATATCTCCCGAAACCTCCAGACGTCAAATATGAAGGTTCACGTTCAGTACGCAGCTCGTTTTTTTCTATGTTTGAAAATTACCAGCGTCGGACTTGGCAATAGTTCATACCAAAGTCACGTATTGGACCCCAAATCCTGCAGGCTGTCATGCATGAAATCCCATTGCTTTCCATAATTATCTTCACGCTCTAATTAAATGATGCACGTGGAACGATGCATGTGGGTGTCAGCCTATCAATCTGATCAAGTTGCAGCACTACGTTGGACGATGAAGAATGGGGCCGAAAACAAGGTATGCGAACTATCAATAGAGTTGACTTGGTATGACTTGGGGAATCTTCATGGGGGCGATGATTGCTGTAAGAATGGAAGCTTCGGGGCTCTCTTTATCATCCAGGCCTCGGAAGCCCCAGTGATGTGGTCGGTATAGGAAGACGAAATATTTCACATAATGGCAGTGGCCACAACAAACCCTCCACGAGAAGCTTCTCTGCTCAGCATTACACCCTTAGCAGACCTTGAAAAAGCATGGATTGGCCATTCTGCTTCTTCAAGCACTACCGATATCCCAGACGAAATCTATTCACCCTCACTGGGCTTGAGGTTATACTCCGAGTCTCCCGTTTTTGAAAGAACACCCTCACGAGAATCTATCTTTTGGACGATTTATCGACAACTTTTCTCCGCTGTCCTCCTTGCCAATCTGCCCATCTTAATCTGGATCTTGGTTTGTGATCGAAATATCAACCGCGTGATCGATGCTGTGGCGGTAAACTTCTTGTGTTGTGCTCTTGCACGCCAGCCCTTCGTGGTGAACGGTTTCTTCATGACTTTCTGCTCGATTCCCAAATCTCTTCCGCTGTGGGTGCGACGCAATGCTGCCAACATTCATCAATATGGAGGTGTGCACAGTGGATGTGGAATCGCTTCACTGCTATGGTATCTGGCCATGGTTGTGCTGATGACCCGCGACTTCTTTATCGCGAATACCCATTCAATCGCTTCCACCGTCGCCCTTACTCTCTCCTACATCATCGTTTTGCTCCTTGTCGCCGTCATTGGCGTATCATACCCAGCTTTCCGCACCTGCCATCCCACTGTCTTCCAGTTGACCCACCGATACTGTGCCTGGCTGATCGTGGCCTTTTTTCTCGCCTTCCTCGCTGTCTTCGCCAAATCTGCCTATCCACAATCTCAAGGAGAATATCTAATTCACCTCCCCGCATTTTGGTGCATCTGCCTTTACGCACTTGTCATTGTACAACCTTGGGCTCGTTTGCGCCAGATCCCTGTCCGTACCGAGGTTCTCTCCTCTCACACACTCCGTCTGCATCTCCCAGGATCCACCAGTTTCGGCAAAATTATTTCACTCTCACGACACCCACTACACGACTGGCACAACTTCGCCACATTTCCGGATCCAACGCCCACTGGCTCCGTCGATTCCACGTTCTCATTGATTGTTTCACGCACTGGCAGCTTGAAATCTTCGATCATTGCCAGCAATCCCACAACAATATACACCCGCGGACAGATGACCTATAGCTTCACGCACGTCATGCGCCTCTTCCATCGCATCGTGCTTGTCGCTACGGGTAGCGGCATCGGTCCCTGTCTCTCATTTTTGGCAGAAAAACACAGACGGCCTGCTTTGAGACTACTTTGGCAGACACGGGCGCCCTTGTGGACATACGGATCGGGTATACTGGCACAATTGCATGAGCTTGTTCCTGATCCGATGGTTGTGGATACGGAGAAGTGTGGTGGGCGAATCGACTTGGTGCCGGTGATTGCGGATTTATACCACGAGACGCAGGCGGAGATGGTTTGCGTGATCAGTAATCAACGGTTGACGGAGGAGGTGGTTTATCGTTTGCGAAATCGGGGAATAGCGGCCATGGGGCCTTTGTTTGATTCTTGATTCTGCCTAGGTGAGCAACTTGTATGTGGAGCTATTGGAAATTCTTCACCTCATACCAGTGTAATGTTTTATGGATGTATGATATATGCTAGTTTTTATTTTCTCGCGATCGATCCACCCCCATCATTACTCGGGTACTTGGGGGAAAATCCATTACATGATCCCCAGTCGGCAGTTTAAATCTAAGCACCTTAAATATTCAGTTCGATACTCCATATAGAAAAGCTAGGAATGGTGAAGATATTCGAATGCAAATCTAAAATTACGCATAAACTCAAAGAATCTTCTCGAGGAGCTCGTTAAGCTCTTGCGCCACAAACTCCGGGTTATCCTTCTGCACAAAATGGCCCGCATTCGGCGCAATAAGGGGACCCTTGGCATACTCCGACTCCGTAATCTTCACCAATTCCTCGTTATAGCGATGCCAGTAAGGGTTGACAAAACGATTTGTCACCGGCTTAGGCGGACCCATCTTCAACGACTCCTCAGCAAATGTATCAAAGTCATGACCCACCACCGTCACGTATGGGCCATGGCCATCGGGGCCCCGAAGCAAAGGTCCGTCACCAGCTGGCAAAAGCTGACGCAAATTGCGGCGACTTAGCCCCTCCTTGTTACCAACATCAGGATGGAATATGCGACGGACACCGGCCCGCACCGCTCGGATAGCTTCTGCAGGGATAGGGTGGATACTGGTGGGGTCGAAATCTGCAGCATCGGGGTCGGGAAAGATGGAGATAAAGTCCGAATTTGCCAAGATACTGTCAAGCAGCAATAGAGCAGCCACTGTACCTGGGAATTCCTGGGCGTAGAGACGGGCCAGTGCGCAACCGATGGAGTTGGCGACTAGAACCACGGAGACGGAGTCAACATCGGAAATTGCTAGCTTCTCACTTGTTATTTGAGTGATCAGTTGGCGGAGGTCCTGCACGGTAGCTAGGCAGTCGTGGGCATGCGTGGCATCCTCTGCGTCGGCGTCCTGGGGGTCGCGATCGGTGGTTTGACCTTGACCGAAACGATCGTAGGTCAAGAAGCTGGGAATGCTGCTACCCTCGCGAATTGTTTTAAGTTGAGCAATGACGGGGTGCCAGAAGGCCTGAGGAAGTCCTAGGCCGTTAAGGAAGACGACGAGTACGGGCTTGGTGGCATCTGTGGAGGACTGGAAGCTGTAGCTTAGCTGCGCCGAGGGCTTGGTGGTGAGGGTAATGAAGTTCATAGTATCTGCCATTTCAAACGCCGGGGTGGGTTATGTGGGTGACGGAGCGCTGCTGGGTGAGGTATTTTCAAATTTGCAAAGGTGGAAAAGAAGAAAACAAAAAGTGATTACCCAGCAGATGAGGGGTGCTGACGCTAACCTTCACTAAAGTCCTAACTAGACCATGTTGAGTCTTGACTAGTATGTAGTAATGAGTCATCTTTGGTGAAGGCGTTCTTGTTTTTGGGGGCCTTTTTTCAAGGCGCGCAAGATGGTATTTTTGCAACGATTATACCACTAACCCAATTCGATCGGGAATCTAGAGATTGATGGACTAGACTTACTCCCAACATACTGGACAAGTGCCATTACGCTGATACAAAGGGCATTGTCGTCATCATGGCCAAGCAGATGCATTGGTGATCAATCACACCAGTTACACTGCAGCATCGGCCAACCGATAATTTTCGACGCATTAAGTCATTGTCTGCCCTCCTTTCCCCTTTACTACTCGGCTACTTGGGCAATATTTTGTCAGATGATTTCCTCGGTTGGCATTAGGCAGTTTAAAAGCAAGATACATACCTACTACTATAGTTATCTTTCAGGTTTAGTGACTCTCAAACATAGAAAACGAGAAGAAAACTTGGATTGATTCCCGAAAAAAAAAAAGAATTTGATGGATATTTAAGCAAAAACAAAAAGCACATAAGCAACCCGATGTTCTGTCTAAGTTACTTGGTCATATAAGTCTCTTCCTGGCACTCTACGGGCAATGGAATATCCGACCTTGGTTTGCTGGAAGGAAAGAGCAACTTGACAAGCAAGGATGGAACGTGTTTTTTGTGACCAAACACGAGCCCCATCTCGCGTACTATCCCCCTTCTCTGCTCTGGGCTAAAGCCATGTCCATCTGTGAATAGAATCAGACCAGACTTATCACGGTCACTCAGGGCATTCCATAGTTTCTCCGTCTTCTCTTCTTTGAAATCAAATGAAGTTCCCACAAGTTTGAAGATTTTGTTCACAGGATGTACGTCCTTGGAATGCCAGTCCAAAGATGACCACTTAGGGGTGATTTTCCAAGGAATGCGGCGCTCACTCGCGACGTATGGCATTATGTCTTTGAAAACTGATAGTCGATCTTTCTTGCCACTGACCGCATGAACAACTCCGCTCGTTCCACAGGCCAAGTGCATAAGAATTCGATCCACGACAACATCCACAGGAACTTCATCCAAGGTCGACTCATAAGGTGTGGAAGCCTGCGAGGCAAACCGGAATTGCCGTCCAAATGAAATGTTAATGCCAGCTACGAATCCCGCTGCCGGCGTTGAAGAAGCCCGTGCATAACCAGGATACGGGCAGCTTTTAGCAGGCGAGATTATCGAAGGCTTGACGATCAAAAGCTTTTCCAAGAGATGTTGCTCCCCGAACTTCTGCAACAAGAGTCTCTCCGTGAGGTTTTTGGCATACGAGTATGCCCAGGGAAAATCAAAGGTCTCCCAGACCTTGTTAGTGCCCGTGCGTTGTATCTCGACCCATTCCTCGGTCGCACCTCGGGTGATATATTCCCACGAGTCTTTTTGTGGCTCGGAGACCCTGTTTTCGGTATCAAGCTTGTAGAAGGATTCCTCGATAGTCACGTCGTTTTTTCCGGACAAAGTCCAAAGATGAGCATTGGAGTAGGCTGTTGAAACAAACACAAAGGTATGAAAGTATTGCATTTGCAGGGCGATATCTGCCAAAAACATCGTTGGTGACATCACTAGCTCGGACATCTTTCTGAGATTTTTTGAGCCCAGGCTGATCGAAGATGCGGCATGGATGACAATGTTCACTGATTCTTTGAGGCATTCCCAGTCTAGATGAGACAAGCCGAGGCCGGCCATCTTTAGGTTGCCACTGACAATTGTAATTCGAGGGTTATGAATAAAATATTCACAAATCGATTTAGATAGTAATTTCTGCCATTGTTCGTGGGCATTTCTATCGACATGTTGGTTAGTTCCAGGGTTGCGAATGTTTTTTTAGCGATCTTGTGATCGAATTGTTCAATTTTGGACATACTTATAGCCACCTCGAGAAAGCACAAAAACACGGCGGGGCTTGGCTTGAGTGAAGACTCTGTGTAAAATTGCAGTGCCAACAAATCCTGTTCCCCCTGTCAGGAAGATGGTTTTGTCGTTGTAAAAATCCCACATTTTGGTAGGTATTCAGTATGGAATCCAAGGCGTGCTCAGTTACTCTGAAAATCTCGAGGTCCACTTGGAAAATTTTCCACCTGAGCAGTCGTATGCTCAAAGCTTGCAGGTATCTGAGGTCTGATCCAATGTTGTGAACATTGAGAGGACTGGAGTAGATAGACAGAGAGATGCGTACATTTATAATCGAATCCTTGAAACGGTCTCTTGTTCTGACGGTTTTCATTCGCTCTAGACACATGCGGGCATCAATTGATGTGGATGCAGACCCGGCACTTGGTTATAACTATCGATCTGCTCACCTGAAAATTCCATTTTGTTTATTCAAAAGTATGAATGGTGATGATTTTATTCAGAAGATCGATCTCTATATGTATCAGGCGCATTACGTGGATCCATCGAGGTAGTACAATCAGCCTAATTGGTAAATTCTTGCATATTGCAGCTGCAGGTGGTCTAGATAAGGTATAATCATTGTCCTAAAGGGGACGAAAGATCCTCCCAGGACATATCAAGTGTTCAAATATGTATGTATATCTCAAAAGAGGAGGACATCGAGTCGACGGTTCCTTCCAAGGAAAGAACATTCGAGATAGAACTGCAGCTCCTATGCACTTGATGAATTTAAGGCAAGTGAGGCGATCATGTTACTCGACAATTAGGCGAGTTACAAGCTCATGCTATCGGCTTGTGCAGCAAGGATAAAATGAAAAGCGCGAGAAAGTACTGTGGCCAGTGTCTTCAATGTTGGCGGGGCCTAATCCTTTTGTTGAATCATGATGCCAAAATTGAGAGAACAGACATCAACCATTCCAAGTGGCCGAGCGGAAACTCAGCTATCACATCTTCCTTGGTCTAGTGGTCATGATTTCCGCTTGTCATTAACACCGATAAGCGCGGGAGACCGGGGTTCGATTCCCCGAGGGAGAGATTTCTTTTTTGCTTTTTGCTTTTTGCCAGTACTTCTATGGTAATCGAATCATCATAATGCAGGAAGTTCTCACTTTGAGTTAGTTAATTCAGCTTTGTGAAAGACTCCAACGTCAAGGCTGGAGTAAATCTTTATTTTGTGCAGATCAAGTGGCATGAGTCATGAGGCTGATCCTGTCAGTGACTCAGTACCGCGATTCAGGCCTAGCGTACGTTCAGTGTTTGGCCGGGCGGGGGCTGTTTAGAGCCGCCATGTCCATGGAGAGCCTCACCCTTTTAACCCACCTCAAGACTTCAACATCGCTTCCAATATCATCCAAAGCAGATCTACAATTATGAAGATATTAATGCTTCACGGTGAGAGAGTTTACGCGAGAATTTCAATGCATTTGACCGAATATACCTCTGACCCGCATCGCAGGATCCCGCCAATCGGGCGAACTCTTTAAAGCCAAAATCCAGGCCATAGAGAAGTTGACCAAGCTTGCTCTCAAACGCGACATTGAATTTGTGTACCCAACAGCTCCATTTCCCCTGGAGGTCTTAGGTGAAGGATCCGAACTACGCGACCGACACGGCGCCTGGGCCTGGTTTCAGTTCGAATCTCTCGAAAGCATCCATGGTGGCCTAGAGAAGACTCTGGATCTCATCGCGTCGATTCTCAAAACATCCGGGCCGTTCGATGGGGTTATTGGATTCAGTCAAGGGGCCGCATTAGCAGCCATGGTCGCCGCCCTCTTGGAGAAACCTGGCAGGGAAGCGGAATTCAGTCGCTTGCAAGCGGCTGAAGACGCGATCCCATATCCAGTTAGTTTTTCCGAGTGTGAACATCCGCCGCTTAAGTTCATGGTGGCTATTTCGGGGTATGTGGCTTCACATCCGGTCTACCGGGCTTTCTATGACCCGCCTATTGTGACGCCAAGTCTGCATTATATTGGGAGCTTGGATACTTTGGTTGACGAGGACGCGTCTATGCGGCTTGTGGATTGCTGTCAAGACTTGGCCAGTGATGTGAAGCCGACTGTTATTCGGCATCCTGGTGGCCATGTTGTTCCAAGTGGAAAACGGCAGCTCGTTGGGATTGTGCATTTTATAAAATCGCAAATGGAAAGTTGATGATTTGGTCACATGAAAACTTATATTCTATTATAGACAGTCCGAAAGCCTAGCTAATCAGATGTTTTTTATTGCTGAAGCCGAACAAAACTTGTATATTCATCAATCATTACGAGCAATAATCTGCATTGGTGGAAGGGTTTCCCCACCAAGTCGGGAAGGGGTGCGATGCTCCACTCGCACCAAAGACAGCAAACGAGAGAACGAAGATGACAATCTGAGATCCTCCGTCCATCGCGGCTCCGATAAGATAGTTGTACTTGTTGTAGATATGCGGCAGTCTGCGTCGAAGGTAGAATTGAGAAAACACACCGACTGCAATAGAAGACCAAACCCATGAGGTGTTACCGTAGTAGTTCACTCCGGTATAGACAGCAATCATGGGGGTATTGATCGGCCAATCGCGAATACGGGGGAAGACTTTGATCAGGCCCCAGTGGATCACTGGAAGCACAAGTCCGATGACGAGGCCCATAGGCACGATCCAGTAATTGCCGTTCAAGCTGTACATACTCTTTGCCATGGCCCAAGTAATAGCCTGCGAGTTCATGCTTTGAAGGGTCGAGCCACTCCAAATACTGTTACCCTCGGCGCTGAGGAGAACTTCTCTTTGACTATCGACAATTGTGGTCATCACGGCGTAGTTCAGACCTGCACCGAGGAGAGTTCCGTAAATCTGAGTGCCGAACATCACGCGGTGGGGGACCTTTGTGTACTGGCCTACTTTGAGCCAGTTTGCTAGATTGACGGCGAGCAAGATGACCTGGTGAGACCAACTTGCGAAGTACAAGTTGGCAAGTGGTCGGCCAGGGTGGACGGCACCAGCAACCATCTTGGATAACTGGCCAGTTCCAACACCGGTTCCATACAGACCGTAGAGGATGCAAGAGAAAGGAGCCATGAACGCACCCACAAGGAGGGAAATGATGTATCCCCAGACTGGAAGAGTTGTTTGGCCCTTAGCTGTGACAATAATTCCGGCGACAAAGGCTAGGGCGAAGAGCGCGATATACCACCATTGTGGCACTTCCTTATACTTCAACATTCCCTGGTAGTGAGGATCAGGCTGGCTTCTGGTCCGCGCTTGCTTCCACGCAAGGACCATGTCCTTGCTGTAGAAAATCAGGACGTGTGAGATCAGTGCTCCGATGGCAAGGTTCTGTACGAAGTATCCCCAGACGGTGCTGGAAGTCAAGAACGGCAATCCTGTCTCCGCCAATTTGGCGTCATCAATAATTCCCTGGCTATTCAGGATCGAAGTTGTCGAGAATGTAGTTCCGTTGCTTGAGAATAGTGATGTTGACATGAAAGGGAAGTCTTTGGCGTTCCAGATATTGCTGTAGTAGAGACCGAGCATGGCAGGGTACCAAATCAAATAGCCAATCCACGAGTTGATTTGTTGTTTGAAAGGAAGCGACAAGTAAGTGCTCTGGATGTATTGCCAATCCAAACCAAAGTTGAAAAGTCCCAATCCCTCGTTCGAAGAGGCACCTCCGAAGATGGTTGCAAAGATCGTCCGGGTTTTTGTTGGAGCTTTCATTGATGCAAGACAGAAGACGGAAACACCTCCGGCCCATGGCACAATATAGGAAGGGAAGAATTCCCAAACTGCAGACAAACCGAGTGCCCAACCAAACTTCTTGAGTCGTTCTTTATTGAGTTTACGATCGAAATGAAGGTTTTGGAAGAGAACGACTTGCGGCAAGGTGGACCAATATACCATCTCAGCAGGATAGACAATCAGCGACCTCAATGCACCGGCCAAGACAAAACCGCAGAGGGAGATCGAAAAGGTGGCGAGAACAGCAGTCGAAGCGGAGATACTCGTATCGTAGAAAAGTCGCTCGATGGCGTACACCTCCACACCAGCCAGACCGTTGTTACCAGAAGAAGCGATGAGAGACGCGATAACATGCTCTTTAAGTTGGAACGGTTGTCCAGAGTTGAGAAACTTGAGTGTGGTCCGTAGCCAAGGTGTCTTGAACCTGTCGGCACTTGGTGTTAAACGCGCCCATGCTTCTCCGAATACAAAGACAAGCACTATCAGAAAGATTAGAGCGATGAAGGAAACTAATGTTGCATGGGGGTAAAAACATACACTGCAAAAAAGTAGCCGAGACTTGAACTTGGACTGGTTTGAAAACGTAAAGCATGGTGATCACGCTGGACAATGCCGTAAACATGGTGCCCAAGGCAATGGAACGGAAGGTCAACGATGGATCGCCATCATCTCTGGTTGAAATGAGGAACTTGGAAACGTCAAGTCCTGGTTCGATTAGTGGAATGTCTTTCACGGGATGGTTCTAGTGTGAATTACCATTTCGAATAACTGGATGCCCGTTGACATACTCTTCATCACCATCGGCAAGTGCATCCTGAGCATCCTTTTCTTTGGTCAGGCTATCAGCGATGTTCTCATCAGATTCCACCACTTTCTCTGTGACGTTTCCTTTCTTATCATCAACTACAACTTCGACAACCCCCTGGTTGTTGGAGCCGTCAATTTCACCCATCTTCGTCTAGAGGGCACTCGAACGCGAACAGCCCAGAACCGAAAAAAAAAGAAGATTGGTGAAGAGAGAAAAAGAAATCCCAGACTACGCAAAGAAGGGGAAAGTACTCAATAAATAGAATTCTACGGTTCGACAAAGGCTCGGACACTATGTGGCGCCAATCGCATCAGAACCCGACATGCACACCTATAGTTTCTACAATTAAGGTAATGATGCGATCTGTAACACAAATGGTGTATTACCTTCGCTTCCAAAGTTTTCAAACTAGACTAAAAGTAGACTACAAAGGATTGGTTTACAGTAAAGCATTCCCGCAAAGGAGGGGCAGAGTAGGAAATACAAGGGCGAGTTACATTGGTTATCTAAAATCATTGACAAATGAGAATTGCGCAATTAAAGCCTGTCATGCCGACGCCAAAGCCACAACTGGAACTTGGCAGCTCTAAAACCCCTTCTACATGAGCCGGGTGGGGCTCCTCACCGGTAAATTCGACCATTCGCCTTTTAAAGGGGATTTAGTGCTGCAGTGCAGGGTAGTAACCCACCTGCAGACTTGCCACTTCAAGGTTGTTGTCAGACAAAGTATTGTGGGAAGCACCCGTACGTGAATATTGGCGACAACCCTTTTTACCCCAGAATTTCTCAGCTGTGGGTTTATTAAAACTGGGGGCATCCTAACAGACATGTTGAATGGGCGTGCTGTTTTGGTGGGGTGCTGGTTCAGAATTTTGCGTATTCGCACCGAACTTGACGGCCTTTTAGGGCCTAAAGAAGTTAGCCTTGGGGAAAAAATTTTCGCGGGCGACACATGCCACTATGGCGCCTTTTACCACCCACGAGCTAGGCAGTATTAGCGTTGCTCTGAGAGTCTGGATTGCCGTGTCCGTCGGCAAAACCACGGGATTCCGGGGTCCAGAGACCGACACGCGTCAAGGCCCTAATCGGTACGGAGTCTTAAGTAGTAGTGAATATGCGCCTGGTGTTTACTTTGCATAAAACTCTTGTCCAAACTTGCTTTCAGTGGAGCCGTGATTTATCCACGTCTTTCATTTTTCCATTCATAACTGAGAGAACAAAGAGGAAAAGTCTCGAAGATTCATCGAAATCCACAAATTAGGCTATTTCCTAGACTACTCGTAGCAAAAGCTATGGTTTTGCTACCGCTAAATGTCTTTTGGTGGAGCGAATTGATCCGGATTCCGGGGCTCGGCTGGATCCGGTGGTGATTTGCCGAGGAAGATCGCGCCTTCACATCCAATTTACCGCGAACCTTGTCGCGTCGGATATCCCCAAATACACGAAGCGGATGCATCTTCCTGGGTAGCTGAATACGATGTATATCTTCTGTTCGACAATTGGGGCATCTCTGTTGTGATGTGAGTCACAGATCACAGATGGGATGTGGTTTCAAAGCGTGTTTTCCCAGCTGGCTTGTTTTCTTTCTCCCTCTCTCGCTCTCAATTTATTATCAGTTCCCGGAGTCATTCTTATTTTCAAATCTTCCACCCCGTATTCATATGCGTAACACCGCCTGTTGCGTTTACATAGCAAAACATATCGCCTAAATGGGGGACTACGATCGAGGTAATCCGGTCTCTTCCTCGAGGCTCTGGCCCCATGGACTCCGTTGCGGATTACTTCGGAGTTCTGTTATGCTGCCCAAACCTTCAACTAAGCAGTCCCTACCTTATTTAGTACGGATTATCCGATGTTATGTTATATGGATCCAGATTACACCTTTATCTCCCCACCACCTTTTGTTTATTGACTTTTGTGGATTAATTTCCAAGGCTTGGATCTAGCACCAATTAAATTAAGCCTTGGGGGAAAAAAATTGATGCCAGAGTGTCGCAAAGTATTTTGGATAGAATCGTGTATACTACTAGTTAGCTCCTAACATTTGAATATATCATGGGGTTGAGCGGCCTTGGTGGGTTGCCCCTTTGGGACCGCTAGTGCTCTCCCCTTCGCTCGCAGATTTAGCTTCTCTTCTCTTCCTTCCTTCTCTTCTTTTTTCCGCTTTGCCACTCCCTCAATCAAAGATTCAATGCTGCTTCCTTTAGGTTTCATTTTTTTGTTCCTTGGTTGTGTCGACTCAGCAGCGTTGACCAGAATTCTTTCCAAAATTTTGATTAACAACATAGCCCGGACTCTTAACTAATCGCTGGGGCCAGGGCCTAATGGAGCTGCCTTACATGAATGCGGCCCGTAATTTTTACCAGATTTTTTTTTTTTTTGGAATCTAGGAGATCCGGATATCTGGGCCGACAATGAGATAACGAAGATCTCTTCCAATTTGCAAATGTCGCCTTGTTTGATGATGACATTGACCAGTTAATGAACGAACAAATTGAACAAGCTTTATCAGGCTGACACCGTCAGCCACCACACATATCACAGTGGGTCTTCGCCTATGATAAGTCGCAAAGCAGATTTTAGTGCGACCTAAAAGGGTTAGACAGAGATGCAATGGATTCATCGGCGGTGTATTTACACGATTCCATTGGCCTAGTGGATTTGTGTGTGGAGCCACCTGGATCCACATGGTCTAAATCTGTTGATCTTTCGAACTTGATCTTTATGAAGAGGCTGGGAAGATGAATCAATCCTGACGTCTGCGAAAATTCTGTTATTTATCTGGCTTACTCCCCGAGAGTTTTAAGCATTCTGCCAAGAAAGTCAACTTCTACGATCGACGCGGGTTTAAGCCAACATGCATTCAATTTTGCCATTATCAGCCGCATTTTGGGCAGCATTTCTGTCTCTGGCTACCGCTCAATCATACACGAGCTGTGACCCAATGGATAAAACCACCTGCTCTGATGACCAGGGAACCACAAGTTCAGAGCTAACCTACGACTTCACGCAAAGCTCAGATCTCGCAAAATGGACAACGACTGCGGGAACGGTAACGGCGAGTGATAATGGCGCAACGTTTACTATCAGCGAAAAGGGGGATGCCCCCACTATCGAGACCGACTTCTATATATTTTTCGGAGAGGTCACAATTGTCATGCAAGGAGCTCCGGGGACTGGCATTGTCAGCTCTGCCATTTTAGAGTCGGATGATCTCGACGAGATTGACTGGGTGAGTGCCCAATCCAAAAGCCTAATTAATCGACCAATACTAATATTCTTGATCCGAGCAGGAAATTCTGGGAACCTATACTGCTAAGCTTCAAACGGATTATTATGGAAAGGGAGACAGTGGTTCCTATGACCGCTGGACTTGGGTGGAGGCTACTACCCCCCAGTCAACTTTCCATACTTACAAATGGGTTTGGACCGAGACCGAGCTGACCTGGTCGATTGATGGAACTGTCGTTCGGACCTTGACATATGACGAGGCTGTACATGACGATGCCTCACGATACCCGCAAACCCCCATGAGCGTCCGCATTGGAATCTGGGCAGGCGGTGATTCCGATAATGACGAAGGTACTATTGAGTGGGCTGGTGGCGAGACTGATTACTCCGACGGCCCATTCACCATGTACGTCAAGTCAGTCTCAATCGTCAACTACAATCCGGCGACATCGTATCGATACACGGACGAGACAGGTTCAATGGATAGTATCGAGATTATCGGAGGTACCTCGGACACAGATACTACTGCCACTTCCACTGGATACTTTTTGAGCGCCTCTACCGGGACTTCAACGGCTCCAGCTTCGGTGGCTGCTGAGTCTGGTCTGTGGCGTTCTCACCCCTCGAGCTCTTCGCCAAGGGCTACCATCGGTCCAACGTTTTCTGTTGGAGGCCTCGGTGCTTTGTCTATTCTCATCATCACTTTCATGGTGATGATCTGTCTTTGAACTTGTTTATTTATTTATGAAGGTTTGAATTTAGCGTGCATATTGTTAGAAAGGGAATGCCTGGATATAAGAAGATTGTATATTGACCTCAAGATTGAGGAATCATGCACATTCGCATGTTACGATGTATTTTATGAGTTGGATTGAATTGACGCATTGATTTTAGAGCACTATCACAAATTAGATTTCGGATATTTGACTAATATTGGGGACTATTTGTTACTCGTGCGTGGTTTTTTAAGATATGATCTCGGGACTGATATACGGGTAAATGCAAAGACTCAGGGTTCCGTCACAATTACATTTTGACGACTTGGTTCGGAATCGGCGTCTCCAACAATATACCAGCTGAAAGGCGATATTAGTGTATTAATGTTAAACTAAAACAACAGACTACCTAATCATAGAACATAGGGTGAAAAATAATTCAAAACATCAGCAATAACTTTCCCAGAAATTGAATCCCGCAACTATACCAAGATTTCTGAGTCCAAACCATGGTTTAAACTCTACTAGTATTCATACACATCTCATCTATGTCTCTTGCCCAAAAGCTGGAAACGGGGGAGCAGATGTCCCATCGCAGGAATACTGTACTATGTACGGTGAACCTGTTGTGCTCGAACCGAGAATGACGGTACCATCAGGGGCAGTAATGGTAATGTTCTCCAACGAATTGGTCTGCGCATTGGCATAAACAATACGGAATGGATAGTACTGGCCCGAAAGAAGTGGCGCGGTGAAAGTGGCTGCTGGTCCACAGTAGTAGTCGGTCGCATCAGCATTAGACTCGTCCCATCCTGAAAAGGCTTTCGGTCCTCCCCAGAAGAAAATGATATCATCTACTGAGGGAGAGTTGAAAACATAGTTTCCAGAAACCTCGGCATAGATATAACCACGGTGATTAAGAGCAATGTAGGTCGTTTCAAAAGTTTCAGTGGAACCATAGATCGAGATATCCGTACTGCCGGTGCTGTCCAGGAAGAGATAGGTAGTCGTGCTGGTGTAAGAAGGCGTCATATCCTTGATCTCTTCCGGGGTCCAGGTATAAGCTGAGCCGCTGCACACAGCAGTGTTCAGGGGAATCCCATTGTCTTGGTAATATGCCCATTGAACGCCCTCGTTTCCGCAGGTGGTGGGAATTGGGCAGAGCGTAGTCGTAGTGGTGGCTGTCTTTGTAGAGGTGTGGGTTGTAATGTCTGACGCTGGAATGTTGAGACACTTGCAAGCTTGGCTGATTGCAGAAGCTGGGTATGGCAGCAGGGCCGGTGGTGTAGATACCTGGGGAGCATCGGTGATCTTTGGAATTTCCAAGGTTAGTCAGGCTCATACTTTCAAAAAGAAATTATGTGTTGACTAGTATGTGTAATAGGTAGGAGCGCACCTGGGAAGCTGCAAGATCCATCCATATGGCATCGGCCATGACCTGGTGCGTTGGATACGTATAATCACAGCTGGAGTGCGTCTTGGTACTGCAAGTCCCAATATTGTCAGTAAATATTCACCTCAGGTCAGGCTCCAAGTAAGTGCTTTTTCAGATTGGTGATACTTGTTCGGGAGCACTCACGTTGTACTGGTCGTAGTTGTTACAGGTGCAAGTACGGACTCGCAAAATGCAGTTGCTGAAGGGCTGTCATGTAGCAACTCTACCTCAATGCCAACCACAAGGCATTCGATTGGAGTAACACTGTTATCTAAGATTTCTGCGTTAAGAGCATCTGCGTAGACGATAGCGGGGAAGACCAGACTTAGGAGACTCCATTGAAACCGCATGGTGGGCAATTGACTACCAGGGAAGTAGTTTTCCACGAGAAATTTAGAAATAAAGTGAGTTGAACTGCGAAGCTGAACGAAAAAGGCTACTATTTTATAGATCGAAGTCAAACATCACGTTTAAGTTGACCATCCTTGCTTCGGCAGAATAAGCCTTTCTCAATGAAAGAAAATTGAAATCCTACCTGAGCACTCCGGCATCTTGTCAGATATTTTGGCTACCCAATATTTAACAAGTTTTTGTGTCAAAAAAAGTTCGTGGCGGCACCCTGGGCCATTCTTTTACCAGAACGACTTGATTTTCTAGGGAATGTGCGACGAATCGAAGTAAATGGTACATGCTTTATCCACCACTGACCTTCTGATCGTGGACCATATTGGCCAAGCGCAATCAATAATGGCTAGACATTAAGAAGACAAGACGCAATAATAAGCATTTTGCTTCCAAAACTGATGGCTCAATATTCAAAGTCAGCTACCTACCCACTTCTCGTAATCAGTTTCACTATTGACTCAAGTGGGGCGGATATCACAAATTCCAAGCTACTTGTCTACGAATACCATAGTGGCTTGAAATAATATTCAGCATTCAAAAGCAGATTTTTGCTGAGAAGGAATCTTTTCGTTCCCATTCGTTGGCTAAAAATGCATAAAATTTCGCGCATTCCAATACAGCCCGGCTGGAATTTTGTAGTCTGGTATGCATTCTCCACAAACAGTAAAGCTTAGACTCGCAATTTGACAGGAAAAGCTTGGTAATTTTCATCTACCCCAGATTATTTGAGATTACTCGATATGTAACCTCGGAACCAATAGACGACCCAAATCGAACTTTGATGCCGATGCCTCATATCACGCCCTTGACGTTATTTTGGGGAAATAACAAGCAGACCAATCACGATTTCCGCAGCAGGTATGGAGCCGTCCTGAACCCATAAACCCTTTGCTTATTCTGGGAGCATTAAAAGCTCGCATTTAACCTTAATCGCCCGGGCGTGGATTTTATCCCCTTAGTCTGGGGACTTTCGAGCTTTAATCGCAGTTGGCGCTCAGCTTGTCTGGAGGAATTACAAGGCACACTGGCTTGCACATACTTATTCCCATCCAACACATAACCATGGCATGACCCTTCTGCCTCGGGCGCATAATTAGCGGTCATTTAAATATAGTATTGGGACTTGCGTAAACTACTTACTTATGGGGGCCAAAATTCACCGTATCATATTGCGACGAATTGTCACTCCTTATTCCCATGCAACTTAATCTTGTTTTTTTTTTATCACTGCAACGGTCAGTATACTGCACCCCAGGATATGTTAAAATTATTATTGATTAATCTAGCATGACCATGACCCCAGAATCAAATCAAAAGAAAGAATGCATCCGATTTGGGATAGCGTCGAAATAAAGTGGGGGACACTGGGGAGGATGCCTAAGTCACAAGCGGCAAGCGATCAGATCATCAGCAAAAAGAGCGCCTGAGTTGAAAGTACAACAACATTAGACCTGAGGAGACCCAAATTCTGGATTTCCCTTACTAAAGCAGACCATCATCTAGTTGGTGCAAATTGGTCTTAGATTGAGTGCTATCTTCAAACACACTTTTTTGCCAATTTTTCTAGTGATGTTACTCCGCACGCTAATTGTATTACTTGGCAGACGGTACTAGCGCGTTTCGAGCTCGTGGACAGACTACATTATCAATTAGCCATCTCCAGGCTGGCTTTAACCGAAATAAAAATTATAGCGTACTAAATAAATACACAACGGCCCCAGCCCTGTTGAGCGCAGGGGCTGAAGTTACACAAATCCAACGTTGATCCTGGAAACATTGAGAATTTAACGGCTTCTTGATATCTCCGAATCTTGATCCTACTCAAGTGCTGACCATGGAGCTTTATGATTTTTTTAGCCTGCAGGTTACATTACAGGGAATACTGAAACTTCTTTCTCTCCTTACAATCGCGTACTGGATACTATGGATTATTTATACGCGATTTTTCCACCCACTAGCACGGTTTCCAGGTCCTTTTTGGGCGTCGGTTTCACGCGCGTGGATTGTATGTTCCGTCGCCAGCGGTGACCCTCATGGAACGCAGCGACTGCTGCATGCGCAATATGGTATGTGTCATGTTCATCTTCGGAGGGGAGTGATGTTTAACTTCATATTAATCTACGAAACATAGGCCCGATCGTAAGAATTGCTCCAAATGAGCTTGCTATCAGTGATCCGGAGGCTATCAAAGTTATCTACGGAGTGAACTCGGGCTTTGTGAAGGTGAGGAAATCGAGTTATGAATCCTCGATCAGTTTTTAATTTTGAATAGAGTGATTTCTACCTGTCCTTTAGAGCACCATATAGTAAGTGGCTTTATACATTAATCGCGAGCAAAATCTGATCTTCCAAAAGCTAGATACCCAGATCATTTTACAGTCATGGATCACAAAATCCATGCTATGCGACGCCGCATTGTGAACAGCACGTATACGATGCCGGTCATTTTGCAATCTGAAAAGTATATCGATACTTGCACAAACATGTTGCTGCGGCAATTTGGGCAGTTTGCCGACGAGAGGAAATCGCTGGATCTCTTTGAATGGATGCGAATGTGAGTCTTTCCCGATATTAAACTAGGATTTTGTGTTGACACACACTTAGGTACGCGTATGACGTGATTGGCGAGCTTTACTTCAGCAAGATGTTCGGCTTAATGGAAGCCCAAGGCGACAACCTTGGTGTCATGAAAGCTACGGATACATTGATCCCTGCCATGAGCCTTTCCGGCGTCATGCCCACATATGTTCGGTCTTTATTCAAGCTCAGTGGAGCTTTTCTTGCCGAGACCCGCCAAGCAGTTGGAGCTCTAGATGGCTTGGCAAAATCAGCAGACCTGGCTGTCAATAAGCACATCCAGAAGTCTGCAGAAGCGACAAGCACCTTATCTCCGCGCACCGATTTTGTGTCGAAGCTGTTCAAACTTCACCAGGAGCAGGGCGAGAAACTTGATTTTCAGATTGAAGATGTGAAGCTAGAGGCATTTGGAGCATAGTAAGTCTTTCCCCCGGGAATATGCTATGTATTCGAATGGATTTTCTGAATCATCAATCTAGCTTTGCTGGAAGCGACACCACGTCTATTCACCTATCCACGACACTCTACCATATTATAAAAAGTCCGGCGATTTACGGCACCCTTATCAATGAAATTGAACAGGCCACGAAGCGCGGAGAGCTTAGCTCACCGCACATCTCATATCACGAAGCATGCAGACTGCCATACCTGAGTGCCTGTATCAAAGAAGGTGCACGGTTTCATCCAAGTGTGGCGCTTACAATGCCCCGAGATGTGCCTGCGGGCGGATGCACTATTGCAGGGCAGTGGGTTCCTGGAGGAGCCCGAGTGGGTATAAATCCGGCTGTTGTGCAATTAGACGCCGGGGTGTTTGGATATGATGCACACGAATTCAATCCAGATCGCTGGCTAGCACCGGATGCTGACAGAATGAACAAATATATTCTTCAGGTAAGTTTGTGTTTGACAAACATTCTGGAATGTTCAATGTTGAGTGCTGATTATAATGAACCATGGTAGTATGGCGCTGGATCGAGAAGCTGTATGGGCAAAAATGTAAGTTTCGACATCTGTGTGGTTTGAAAGTTTCAAAGCTAACTCTACTGATAGATTGCCTTGTGCGAAATGTATAAATTGATCCCTGATCTTCTTCGTTCATACCGTCTCGAGCTCGAGAATCCCGATTATGCTTTGGAAACTAGCGGACTTTGGCTTCACAGGCCTGGCTCTATGCAGATACGTGTTTATCGCCCAAATGATGACTAGGAGCAAGCAGAAAGATTCGTCGCGTTGGAAGCAATCTAATGCCACATCAAGATTCAAAAAAGAAACATTTTTTCTAGTCCAGTTCTAGAGGGTAGGGTGCTCAAGTGCTCAGATGTTGCTAGGCTATGCGCAAAATATAAATATTTGCTCAGTTTGTTTGAGTTTGCCCCGTTTGTATATGGATGAGGCTGCGCGCGAAGTTTCAGTATTTTTGCTCGCTTTGCTCGGTTTGCTCTGTATGTACTATGTGGATTGCAGATTGTGAGGTGAATATCCTACCAGGTTGGAAGTATACTACTATAGTACTGACATCAGAGGTGCAATGAATAGAGTAGAACTGAGAGGCTTCCTTTCTACACATACATAAGACATCCACAAATTCATTTTCTTGCGCTGGGCGGATTGTAAATGAACCAGTAAAACTTGAGTAGATACCAGTGAGGTTGAGCTATTGTGACTAATGAGATGGCGGGAATTACGAAGTGACCATGCCTTCGCACTGTGGACTTGGGCAGTGTTCGTGATGGAAACCCCACGCGCTTACTAGAGCTTATCTCCACGCATGCCACTCTATAGTGTCACGTTTAGTCTTGCCGTTCTTCATACCGCTTGTTATATGCACGCACTCGCCTACCTCCACCTCCCTTTGTACACCTCGTACAGAATGGATCGGGTGGCGGATGACTACTAGTAGTTTTATCGTGTTGGTGTGTCGTTCCATGGCCCGGTCAAGAGTCTTATCGTCAGCACTCTTCTATTTATTATATTGAAAGATCCAAATCTTGTGAATTTGGAACTCATTTAACATTATACTAGTAGAACACTATTATTACCAAGTTACCATCAAATGTCATATTTTTTTGTTTGGAACTTCCATATTCGCTCTTCGCAAGCAAAATCAAAATCAGCCCTGGAGGACAACGCTAGCATCCCACGAGCTTCAAATTTGACATTCTTTGGCCAATATGAATATTTCAATTGTACTCAAGCTGCTCCTTATGGGGTTTCCATGGCAAGTGGGGTATAGCCATCCGTCCGCCCATATTTTCCCCGAACAACGAGGTATCATGCAACCACAGCCAGACTACCCTCTTACCATGAAATCTTCAACGCTTGATAAGAGAGCTTTTCCTAATGCTCCCGATCAATACACCCCGCAGAGTGAAGTTTGTTCTACAGACAGACCATCCATCCGCAATGGGTCAATGTTATCGACCAACGAAACCAAATGGCTTGAGCAACGACGAAATTTCACCGTTGATGCAATGATAAAATTCCTAGCTCGACAAGACTTGGGCTCTCTGAATGGGTCTTCGTATATTGAGAAGAATGCTGCCAATGCATCCGCGCTTCCAGTCCTTGGAATTGCAGCATCTGGTGGTGGTTATCGAGCACTCATGAATGGCGGGGGCGCCTTGCAAGCCTTTGACTCTCGGACAGTCAATTCCAGCCTTCCAGGCCATTTAGGAGGTATACTGCAGTCCGCTACTTATCTCACTGGGCTGAGCGGGGGCAGTTGGTTAGTGGGGAGCATCTATTTAAACAATTTTACAGACATCACGTCACTGCGAGACAGTGGAAATGTGTGGATGTTTCAAGATTCAATATTTGTTGGCCCGACGCAGAGCACAGATTTCGATGTTCGGACGTTCGAATATTTCTCACAAATACAGGATGCCGTAGCCGGAAAATACAGTGCTGGCTACAACACTTCCATTACTGACTATTGGTACGACTGAGAGGTTCTCTATAGTTACCTGCCCTTTGAAAGCCGATGCTGACATAGCAGTCAGGGGTCGGGCACTCGCCTATCAGCTCATCAATGCTACTGAAGGTGGTATCAGCTACACCTGGTCATCCCTTGCGTTAAGCACGGATTTCCAGAGGGGGGCTACGCCCATGCCCATCATTGTAGCAGATGGTAGGGCTCCTGGGCAAGTTCTCATACCTGATAACACGACAGTGTTCGAATTCAATCCATGGGAGCTCGGGACGTTTAATCCACCGTTGGAGGCTTTCGCGCCTCTTCAGTTCCTCGGGTCAAATTTTTCTGCTGGAAAGCTTCTTCCAGGAGAAAAATGCGTTCGGGGGTTTGACAACGCGGGATTTATCATGGGAACATCATCTTCGCTTTTTAACCAAGCATTCCTGATGGTTAACAACACTGAAGCACCTCAGGCAATAAAGAATTCTCTTAATCGAATCCTCGGCTCAATCGGAGAGGCAAATCAAGATATTGCCGTATACGAGCCGAACCCCTTCTACCTATACACCAGTCAGTCCGAATACGCTAATTCTACTGTCCTAACGCTAGTAGATGGCGGAGAGGACCTTCAGAATATACCACTAGAACCTCTGCTACGGCCGCAGCGCAAAGTAGATGTGATCATAGCACTGGATTCCTCCGCCGATACCAATTCGCGGTGGCCTAACGGTACTTCCATGGTCGCTACATACCAGCGCAGTCTAAGTTCATTAGGCCACAACAGCGGGATCGCCTTCCCATCCGTGCCGGACCAGAATACCTTCGTCAACTTGGGGCTTAACCACCAACCTACCTTCTTCGGCTGCAATAGCTCAAACATGAGCAGCTCGGCGCCCTTGGTCATCTATATTCCGAACTCACCGTACATCTACCAATCGAATGTATCTACGTTCGACTTGCAGTATAATACCACAGAACGTGATTTCATTATCGAAAATGGCTATGACGTCGCTACGATGGCCAATGCAACAATCGACCCGGACTGGCCGACATGTTTGGCCTGTGCGATCTTGAGTCGAAGTCTAGAGCGCACCGATACCGCCGTCCCAGAAAGATGCACGATGTGTTTTCAGCGGTACTGCTGGAATGGCACCACGAATGACACAGATCCGGGCACCTATTACCCCCCTTATGCACTCTCGCAAGCATAACTCAGCAGCGCAGTGGAGTACGATGGGTCTAGCTTAGTTACTGTCGGCTTCTGAGAGTCACCCTCTAGCAATTGTATCTTGTGCTAGTATTTCCGCGCTTTGTTTATGAGACTATGTATAGTTGGCCCCTTCCAAGGGGTTTAATAGTTTCATGTCTCGAAAGTCTTTCTTGTGCAAGTGAAAAGCGTTCAACAATAGTCGAAAGTGATGATATTTCTTTCCTGTAGTTCCACTACAGAAGCTGGTTCTTGAATCATAATCGGGATTTTTTCAATCAGCCGCAATTCTACCTAACATTTGAGCATTGCAGTACAATTTATTTAAGCCTTGCTGCCTCTGAATGTGGGCCTACAGGCACGAATTTTGACTAGCACTTGAGGTCTTCATCCACATGTGCACACCAGTGCACACTAGTTGGACATCAGAAGCTTAGAAAGACTTCCAGACAGAACAAGTCCATCAACACATGTGCATGTGGTTCGTATGTCATGACATACCTAATCTACTTGTTCGACTACGATTCGAACTCCGACTGCATGTGTGCAGAATACCTATGAATTTCAGTTGAATAAAGAACTGGATATAGTCAATTGAAAAGAAATATGCCGGGTGGCTAATATACAAAAACATGAAATCAAGGTTCGTCGTTCATGATGCCGCTTCCATTGAAAAGACTAGGGCACCGGTTGATAACTTTGTTGACCCCATCTCGATTGTCCCCACGGTTTCTGGGACTTTTCTACCCCTGCGAGCTCGGAGCCTTGGTCATGGTCAAGAGCTCGCTGAAGTCGACCCTGGCGTCGTTGTTTGATACACCACCAGGAGAACAGAGCAACTAAGAGTCCGCCTGCTGCAGCCGAGCCACAGTAGACACCGATGTGGGCACCTGTTCCCAGATCGTCCCATTTTTCGGCCAAGGTCTTCGCAGGTGTCTTCTCAATCTCCGCCTTTGCAGTCGAGTTTCCACTGTGGTATCGTTAGATGAGATCATTGAAAGCAAGATAGGTTTTCAAAAACTGACCTGATTACTTCAATGCTGTCGAACGAGCCAGATGTGCCGTTATATTTGTACTCCTTTCCAGAGGAGAAATCCTGCACCCGAATCTTCTGTATGCTCATTGTGAAAGGCACATCGTCCCAATCAACAAGTCCGCCGCCCCATGCAAGATTGCCGGCGGAGGAGCTGGCAAGACCAACAGGCCAGACACTAGCCTTGACTCGGCAGGGGGTTTGCGGATAATTCTTGCCGTACACCGTCTTGGGCTCGGAATAGTTGACCGTTCTCACGAGATCCCCATCAATCCACCACTCGAGCCTCTCCTGGGTCCAGTAAGAGGTATAGTTGTGCCACTCGGTATCCGCATTCTCGACATAATGGTATCCGCCCCGATCGCTTGTGGTCGTGTTGCCTTTGCCGAAGAAGTCGGACTGCACTCCACTCGTGTTATATCCCACCCATTCCCAGTCAATCTCATCCAGATCATCTGATTGCAGGATCACACTGCTGATTATTCCCGCCCCCTTGGCCATTTTGACGTGTGCTTCCATGACACCGAAGAAGATATAGAAATTCGAAACTAAAAGAGTGGAAGCATTCTCGGTTTTGATGGAGAAGTCGGCGCCATCGCTGGTGTAGTCGGCTGTGCCGGTTTGCATGTCCCATAGGTTGGTGTCGAGGGTTGAGTTGAGCCACCATGTGGCCTCGGTGCTGAGCGCGTTATCTGCCGGACATGTTGTGTCTGAGGTAAGAGGATTACAGTCGGTGGCAGTGGTGATGCCTAGTAGAAATGTAAAGACAGCGAAAAGAACGTAAAAAGGAGAGGACGCCATGACGGCAACGATCTGATAGGGAAAGAAAAAATTTGGGGTGGAATTAAGCCAGATGAATCCACATCGTTTATTATTATTGAAATGAATAAAGGAGGCCTGTTCAAAGCAGGGAATTGGTTTCTTTATTTAATTTTTAGGGGTTGCAGGTACCCGCATGCATTTTGGAGTGGGCCAGTAGGAAAACTGGGAAGCGATAAATGGATCGACATGGGGAGCTAATTTAGTGTAATGGATAGGTCTCGGTCTTGGGCTTGGCCATGATAGGCAAATCGATATGGTGAGAAGCTCGGCATGTCTTGGCTATTTTTGGTTTTCAATATTGTGGAATCTAGTGGGAGCTTTTGACATGAATGAATAAACAGACTTTCAATACGCCCCGTCAGTAATGGAAGAGAAGATGCCCATTATTCTTTCATCTGTCAACCTGAGAGTCAATAATTTCAAGGGTCCAGTGGCTTCAGCTCAGTTATGACTAAGCGGTGATGTAGCTCCCTAAACGGGGTTAGTGGTGGGTCGATCCCCCTGACAAGTGACGAAGTGACGAAGCGAAGAAAGCGAAGAACCCTGCCAAATTGTGGATTAAACCTCAATGCACAAAACCCGACATTTGTCCAATCAGGTACCTTGTAGAACGTAATCTCCGTTCAAACGGTGTCTGCCTATATCTTGTGCACACTTCTCCGTACTGCGTACAGGGGGCTACAATGTAACCGGGGAGACTTGTCTTCTAGAGCGGGTTTAGGACATGCAGGATTACGTTCAGTACAAAGCAGTGTACATGTGACGTGGAGGATATTCGCACTTGCAGGACACTTGTAGCTTCCATTAGCTTATTGGCTATCAAATCTCAAATCAGAAATGGTGCACAGGTTAACTGCTTATCTTATCAGTACGTCAGAAAGGCCTCCAGATCAAACAATGCAAACATGTATCGGCTTGTCGCGATGAGCCGCCGGGTTCCATCTGCCAATCATTCATTGGCGGGAGCGGATAGTATTTGAGCCCACGAACTCCCAAAAAAATAGGGGAGGTTCGGGAACTTCTTGAATACTACTATGCTTTCGTATGTCAAGCTGAGACTGTGGAGTTAGCAATTTGGCAGCCAAGATGCTGGGCGCACTGGTTTTCGCATAGCATCGATACCCTTCAAGCCGCACTCGGCTCGAAACAGTTTGGTTATCAATGGCGCATGTCAGCCCATCAAGCATGATTTGATGCACTTGGTGAAGCGATTATGTGGCTGTGTCAGCTCGGGTCCCAATAATCCTCGATGGACCAATAAAATCGGCTTAGACATGATTCATGTCAGCCACATGGTTTGTCGAATCCCCCTCGAAGCGATTCATGAAATTAACCAAGCTTTCCGAGAAGAGCATTGATTTTTACCTGAAGGCTGAAGTGGCTCTTTCAGAGCCAGGCCCAGTATAACTATATGATGCTCCCGTCGCGAAGGGATCGTGGGAAATCAGGCAGAGTGGCCAAAAAAAGACACGGTATTGAAGCATGGGATAGAACGCTATAAACTCCTGCTAAAATGAAATACTCTCCCTTCGAGGCTCTTCCTCGTGACAAAGGTCTGTGTAAATTATTGCCAACGGTTTCGTTGCTTTCAGGCTATTCGATTGGATAACCCTGGTTTGCCCAACCCTGCAACATCTCTCCGCTCAACAGCTTTTGGTCCTTGATTGTGGGGGAAAGAGCCGTTTGACCTCGGACATGACGTGATTCTCTTGTCTCTTGCATCGGTGCTTCATCAACTTCTGCATCGAACTTTTCGTTCAGCTCTACGCCGTCCGTGACGAACTCGTATGTGCGGGACTCTGCATTCGCCCATCCGGTCCCTATACAGTGTTATTTTGGGGCCCCAGTGCTTCCCGGGCCGATATGAATCTCCGGAGGTGAAGTGATTTTGTCATACCATCGTATTTGCAAGCATCCTCCCAATCTTCAGTCAGGAAATGGAGAAATCCCCCATGGCTCACAACTGCAATCTCTTTTTCCGGGCGAGCCTTGAACCAGGCCCTCACATCGCGAGCTCGAGCTCGAATCTTCTCTCTTGTTGGTTCATATCGGCCAGTCTGTCGCAACACAATGAAATCCGTTTAGCTTTCGTTCAATCTGCATACGCAAACACTCTGCTTATTACCTTTTTTGTCCAGTCGTCGTCGACCAGACTTAAATCCACTGGAAGATTCGCCTCCTCCATCTGCCTTTGCAGATCGACACGCTCAGTACCAATGTCACATGGGAAATCACTGACTTCTTGGAGATCCGGAAGTGCAATCATTTTCAGCCAGGGCTTAGCCTCAAATGCGGGGCTGAGAGCTTCCAGTCCTGTGTGTATTGCACGTCGCATGGGTGAGGCAACTACCAAGTCAATAGAGTCGCTGAAGGTAATCTCGCGCCGTAGTTCCTGGCATTGTTGTCTTCCTTTTTCGGTCAATTCCGGGTCAAGGAGGCTCCAATTTTCGGGGCCCAGGTTGTGGTAACCCTGATGCAATCCAGTTAGAAAATGAATAAAGAATGGAGGTGGGTCGGAATTCATACCTGCGCGTGTCTAATGAGATGAAGCTTTGGTGGCATATTGACGATGTCTTGGGTTGAGATTGTGATGGAGAAAAGAAAGATTTGAAGTTCAGGGTTAATGAGATCTGGCCCACTGGTTATAATAGATGTTCACCGGGGTAAGGATCATTAGCGCTTACCGCTTCTTTGGTACAAGTCTCATGACAAACCAGGATTAAATTCCTGGATTTCCATTGCTACCGCATCTTTAGATAGAATCGGTATAGTCGATACTTGGAAAAGCCCCCCACGTGGCTCCACTTTTAACTTTAATTAGCCATCTTGGCATCCCCTTTGGGACTAGCGTACTCACCTATCCACCTACCAACGGTGCATGTTTCGCGATTCCAGGTAGGGATTCGTGCCATGATGCAGATGATTGTTCCAAAATGGGAATCTCAACAATCTCGACTCCGGACTCACCCGGAAATGATCTGAGCAACAAGCGGGGAAATGGGCATTCCATTTCTTGGAGCATTCACCTTATCTCTCGCTTTGACAGCAAAGGTGTGCACTAGTTATGCCAGTCAGACCCTCCATCATCCCAAAACTTTTGATTCACAAAGAAATGCAAGGCCTGCACTTGGATACACTTGTTTATCCGGCGTGGTAGGATGGTGTCCGTGGGTTGAGGTGACTTCTTCGAGTTTCAAAGCGAGTCGATATCGTTGAATTTGAATCCAACTCGAATATGGATTTCCAATCGATGTACTCTTTCGACGACTTGTCTTTGGTGTACTGAGTCAGTGGCTCCCAAGGTCGCGGCTCCAGCGGTCACGCGGAGTACCAGCTTCTGCATGCACTCGCGCATGACTGCTCGATTCCACTGCACTATAGAATAAGGTCGTGTCTGCCTGCAGGAACTTCATTCCCCTTTCTCTAGTATAGCTTCGAACCCAAATTTCACCTCGAAAGCCCCAAAAAGCCTCCATCGGGAGATATGCTCCTAGCAACCAGCTGTTTTCTAGAAGAAGCTGGTTCTTCGGTGTTCTGATAGACAACAATCAGTGATGAAAAGGCTGCTGTGGACTGCACAAGGAGTACAGAAGTTGAGGAGATTTGATCTCGCATGGCTTCACCATTACCTATGCTTGCAACCATACTCACATGCATATAGCACATCTTCTAATGTTAGATAGGCCAGGCAGCCTTTTCTAATATTCTGGTCTCGCTACTCTATAGATCCGTTCAATCATTTCAAAAGCTGTTGTATGGTCCATGACACAGATCCCCACAACAATGGAAAGGTAGATAGATGGAGTGAAGGCGGGTTATCTGGTGACAACAGAATGGAATTTTGGAATATTCAAATGAAGGTTAAGGGATTGTATTAACATTAAATGCATTAATTTTCACCTGCCCACTATTGCTCTAATATAAAATTTATACAGGCTTTGTTCTTATTATTATCACCCTCTTGCTCAATCCCCCCTTCCTCACTCTGCACTTGATCATCCGTCTGCGGACTTTCTGTTCGATCCTGTCCAGCAGGCCCCCTCCTCTTTTTTTCCCGTTCCCGGGCCATGTACAGCTCCCGCTGGCGCTTACGGGATGCAATCTCCCCTTCAAGAGGGTTGCAGGTTAAGGAACGGGAGACACGTTCCCACAGTTTGATCAGGCGTTGCTTTATCCGATCATACTCCTCCGTTCCCACCTCTGCCTGCGTGATCTCCTTTTGACACGCCATAAGAGCCTTAGTGCGTATGGCTGGGATCTGAATAGTGGATTAGCGCTATCTTCGGATTCATTTGCGTAAGGGTTTCCATACCATCACACAGGTGCTCCGTCGTTCGGAGCAATATACGCACTTCCTTTGCCGGGATCCAAAGGGGATTCCGCATTTTGGCACTTCTTGATCTGCCTTGATATAGCTCGGCCACAGTCGGAAGCACCGAACACAGACTTCACCCATAGTATGACCTAATGCTAAGCCATATCCGGTTGCCCCGCCTGGTGCATGGTCCCATTCATCATCCCATTCGTCAGATGTATCTTCAGCCACCGGTGCCGGTTTAGGGGTAGCCTTTGCCGGAGGTTCTTGAATGGGTGCATTCAGATGCCCCATCTTACGTTGACAGCAGCAGCATTCGCATATTTGATTCTGCGGGGTGTTATCCTGTTCTAATAGTCGACTGGCCAGTAGTACTTCTGCTCTCGCTTTAGAGCGGGGGCCCCCCTTTGTGACCACTCGCTGAAGGGACGCTTGGAAATTCAAAATTGCTTCTGCCAATAGCAGGTCCCCTAGTGCATCTTTGGGGGAGGTTACTGAGTCCATGTGGGGATATCTCTGGGCTGCGAATCTTTCTGTAAAAACTTATATTATGCATGTGATGAGCTGTATTAAATTTACGGAGGCGGCAGAGATTATAGCGGTGAGTACAGGCAATTAATTTACCGGGCTTTCTTTCTCCCGGGTTTCGTCGCGATCACTTACCCAGCTGAGTCATCCATCTATATTTGAACAAGGAAACATAGTAGTTAACTAGTAGTATTTTCCGGTGTCAGTGAATTATAAATAAATTTCATTGAACAAGAGATAATTCTGATAATACATTTCAGCTTCATGACAAGATGAAAGACGACAGGATGCTGGCAGCAAGTTGCGAGAAAAAGATGGATGAAACCCCGAAATCTAAGAGAAATAAAGTGGATGAATGGAAAGGTGGATTATGGATATGTAAAATGAAGGCGGGTTATCTGACGACAACAGAATGGAATTTTATTTTGGGAACAATGAACACCAAGGATCAATGGATTCCAATAAAAAGGCATTGATTCCTTTTTAGCTCAAAATCTGGTAAGTCCACATGCTTCTATAATAGCCTTCGAGGCTTTGTGTTTCCTCATAATCCTCATTGTGCCCATTGTATCTATTTCTGTGGTATCTTTTCTTTATTCCATTATCTCCTTTGTCTACAAATAGTAGACTGGACTCGGCTTGTGGTATATAAAGGCCATCGAGGCACCACAAATCGAGTCCAACAACAACCTTCTCCATCATCACATCTTTCACATCTTCATCAATCAACAACAAAACCTCCTATTCTACCATTATTTTGATATCAACCACCCACTCCTATTCACTTGCCTAACATGTCTTATAAGCACGGTAGGTTTGAGACCGACGGCAATGACCTGCAGAAGCAGATGCAAAATGCTCAACAGCCAGGATGTAAATTTCCCCGAAGCACAGTCGACCTGGATGATCTCAACAAAGACGAGTGGACTATTAATTATACTTACGAGCCTCTTCCCCACGGACTAGCTTGCTGGACTGGGCGACTTGGACTAAAAGCAAGCATTCCGGTTCCGGAGGGTCACGAAGGCCCATACCGCTATGTCTGCCTGATCAAGCGTGAACTTCCACCTATCAGCTGGGTGGGCCGCGTTGGAGAAGGTGTCATCGTCTTGGACATTATTAATCGGGTAGATGGAAACACTTACTACATTAGTGACCTGACTAAACTGGCCTATCAGGAGTTCTTTGACCTCGATACGCTTCGGTATGTATTTGCAACTTGTGTTGTGAACGGTGAGACCACATACCTTCTGAACGAAATCTACAACGCTCACGATATCGTCCCTTTCTGCAGCGCTGAGTACACATGGGAGGCTTCTACTGCGGAGTTTAGAGCCTTGATTGGCTGCGGCATTGGTAAGTGTGTTTCTACATTCATTCTTGCTGCCTATGGTCAAGGTGTCAAGCAGATTACGAAAATCATCACTTGGCGAGTTGATGCAGAGCTTGAAATGCTGTTCTACATTGAAAATGTTGCTTAAAGGCTGGTTTCTTTTAGGATATCTAGGTATTCATTTTTTTTGGTTATTCAAATGTTGTTTCTATTCGTTTAACCTTGGGGAAAGTGCAGACATGTGAAGTTTATAGAATCCAAATATTTGCTTTTATCCAATTCAAATCAATTTGATATCTAAGATTGTGATATATCTATCAGTTTATTTCTAAATTTCCAATTATATTCAGATTTACCCACAAATGCTCTCCGAGAAGGAACTTTATATTTTGTAGATTGTAGCACTGTAGCCCAGCGTCGAAAGATGTCGAGAAGAGAGTCAGGGTGATTCTGTAATTACCATTTTCGAGTAGAAGTCCAACCGCAGGTCCTTGCCAAGGTGTGAAATTTTTTAAAATTCTTATCTCATCTCATCTCATCTTCCAGATCACTCTTTACTACTTGGGTGCCTGCGGGTTTTTTCGTCTCAGAAATTCCCCGTGAGTAGTCCTTAGCACTTGCAAATACCGAAATCAAGTACGCAGTACCTAAATTTCAAGGTTGGATACATCCAGGGCTACTACCTTACTTGAGCCTAGAGACATCCATACCTGCGACAAATATTCTCACAAGAATTTAAATCTCACCAACATTTGAATGTATCCAGAAAACTTGTAACCAACTGGTAGCTTAGTATTACCTGCAGCGATTACCGAATTCATCCCAATGTACTTTCCAGAGCACGTCATGGTACACAAAATTGCGAAGCACTTCCCCTCATTGAAACTGCGGACGAATGCCCCAAATATCTTCAAGATTTGACTTAGAGATATCGCAATCAAAATAATTTAATCTAATGAATACAGAATGACAAGCATCAAATCAGTGGCTATCATTGGGGCAGGAGCTTCAGGTAATCAAAAATCCAACATCATAATCGTATCTCTCGCTCAGTTTCTCACCCATACTAACAAGAACCCTTATACAGGCGCAGCAGCAGCCGCGGCCCTCACAGCGGAAAAATGGTTCGATCGAATCAGGGTGTTTGAAAGGCGAGAAACCGCAGGAGGAACATGGTAGCGAAAGCCCCGACTCAACACCAGAATGATAATTTTTTCTCACTTTCGCATCAGGATATATGACCCAGATCCAGGACACCCATTTGATCTCTTTCCAGGCAAGCTTCCAGTTGATATAGATCCGCCATTGGAGATTCCACACTCTCTCCCTGCGAGCACTCCACACTCGACACGAGAACGATACGATAGAACGCCTATATATGAGAATCTCACGTTAGTACTGATCAAGTCACCACCCTTGGCCTGCTCGAGCTAACATATTGCTTTCATGGCTTCTCAGAACGAATGTACCCGATATTGCAATGTCCTTTTCGGATCTCCCGTTCTCGCAGGGACCCTTCGCTCCACACTGGGTTCCGAAGCAATACATCGAAAACTACTTTTCCAGTCACCAGACAGACAAATATCTCGTAACCAACACAACAGTTGAAGGTATTTCGAAGCTTGAGAGCGCAATTACAAGCAATTCTCAATGGTCGCTCACCTTGAGACGCTTCCATCCTGTGAACCAACAAGACGAATGGTGGCAGGAGGACTTTGACGCAGTCATCATCGCTAACGGGCACTACTCTGTGCCCTATGTGAGTAATACAACAGAAATTATCCGGTCTCGAGCTGACAGCCATCTTTCGCACACAGGTACCCAGCGTTCCCGGCCTCGAAGATTACAAGACCATCTTCCCAGACAAAGTCATCCACTCCAAGCAATTCCGCTCCGCTACAGACTTCACTCAACAAAGAGTAATAATTATAGGCAACTCAGCCTCCGGACAAGATCTGACAACATCACTTGTCCGCGAAGCCGCTCACCCCATATACCAGTCCCGCCGATCAGCAGGTCGATGGGACGGCGACGAGCCTCCACCAGGCGTGGAATGGAAGCCCGTGATTACGCGATACGAGCGATCGGGGGAGATAGTGTTTGCAGATGGGTCGACTATACCCGGCGATGAAATTGACAAGGTCATTTACTGTACCGGATATAAGCCTTCGTTTCCATTCTGGAATATCCAGCGAGGTGGACAACCACTTTACGATTACAGCGAAGGTCGATTGGTGGGCAGCTATCTGCATACCTTTTTCAGGGAACTTCCTTCCATGGCTATTATTGGTTTGCCAAGGGTCTTGACATTTCGTTCCATGGAGTATCAAGCTATTGCTGTTGCGCGGGTGTGGTCTGGTCGTGCCGTCTTGCCTGATAAGGGAGAGCAAAAGCTCTGGGAACGGAATCGTGTCGAGCTGACGAAGCGGGAACGACGAAAGTTTCATGATATATCGTGGGATGATGGGGAAACGGTGCAGTACCTACAGGCCTTATTCGATCTTGCGGGCCTGCCGAGGCTGGATGGTTCGGGGAGATACCCGCCTGTTCTGGATGAGAGAACGAGGTGGGCCATTCAGAATATCAAGAAATATCCTGAACCAAAGAGAAAAAAGGATCAAGATGAAGATGGCTACGTGGTTTTCAGCGCTGGGGAACTCAAGGATAGTCTTCATTTTATCTGATTTATCATGCTTCTCTGATTTATCATGCTCCAATCAAATCGGAATATCCTTCCCTATACTGCGCCAAAAGTCGCATCTCTTCTTCAATTCGACCAGACGAACGTTCTCAAACCCATGATCAACGATGACAAATTCTTCGCCTGTTTGCTGCAGCTCCGGTACGCCGGGCTCCGACGAATTCGTGAGTTTGTGCGCATTTGGATCACCTGTCTGGAAGAAACTAGCGAACGCGCCGGTGTAACCTTCGTAGACGACGCGATTTGTCACTTGTACTGAGTTGACAGAGTCCCACTGTGTCTTCTGTCAGCAAATATTCCAGGTTTCGAGCTCAGAATTTTCAGGAAAAACGAACATAAATGGCATCACTCCCGTGTGTTGCCGGCGAGATCGAATATTCACCAACGTATCCCTTTCCCGGTGCCGCTGACGCCACCCAATAAGCCGGGCAGGAGAGTACAACATCTCTATAGATGAGTCCCGCGCGAATATAAGTAGTATTATATTCTGTGATAGTCTCAGAACTACCATTGACCGGATAATAAGTGTTCTCCACAGCTTCAATCTGTTTCTTTGACAGTCCAGGCAGGAACCCGGTCAACCACTGATGGAAACTTTCAGCTGAAGAATTGAATCCACCCGTCAAATCAGCATCAGCCAATCCTGAGGGAATGAAATTTTGTCCTTCGTGAGTGTTGTACATCCCCCAGACGAACTCTGTATCCAGGTCCCCTTTGTTCACAGCTTCGGTAAGTGAATCAGCCAGGAACTCGCCATCGATGACCGGCGCCCATGTATATGAGCTGGTGGTGTAAGTACTATCATCATCAATGATGAGACTCGCGTCTCGAATAGCCTGCACATCAACCGACTTCAAGCAAGCGAGGGTCTCATCGTCATGCTTATATCCAGCGCAACCAGTCAAATTCGCCAGCTGGTTGTAAATCGACTCAGCCTGAGGCGCATCGTAGGCATAAGACTTTGGCCAGAAAGGAGAACTAGCAATTGCTTTTGAAAAGAGCTTCGGGTTTCCATTGCGCCCATTCGCTAGCACCTGAGCAACCACAGAGCCTCCGCCTGCGGATTGGCCCCATATACTAACGTTGTTCGGGTTCCCGCCAAATTGGTCGATATGGCTCTGCACCCACTTCAGCACGTACTGCTGGTCTAGCAAGCCCGGATTGAGGTCCGAGGTGGAAGATTCCTTGATCGATTTGCCAGGCAAGAAACCGAACGCATTTAGGCGGTAGTTGGGGTATATCACTACGTAATCGTTGAGGGTGCTCACGTTGAGAACGGGGTATGAGTCGGGCGGCATGCCGAAAGCAGCATCGCCTTCGATGAATGCGCCTCCGTAGAACACGACAAGGACCGGCCTTTTCCCATCTTGGGATGAATCCCAAGGTCGAGAGAAGAGACCCAGGTAGAGGCAGTCTTCAGAACCGTTCACCGTGCGCTGGGGGCACATATCGAATGTCTGGTCTGTGTCATAGACGCTTTCGTTGATCTTGAGAGGTGGCTGAGGCGCGCGGAAGCGGTTTTGACCTGTTGGGGGTGCTGCAAATGGAATCTTGCGGAAGTATGAGAGGTTGTAGGAAGTGTCGTAATATCCCTGGAAGCTACCATAGCTGAGATTCACCAGTGGATCATCGAATGCGCTCGCGGTGGCTACCAAGGCCAGGATATGCAGGATAAAAGGTAAGAACTTTCCCATCGTTGCAGATTGGAGAAAACCACAACTGTCTTCTTCAAATGTTTGTAAATGATTTTGTTGGGCTCTTGTTCAGTAGACCCTGAAGGGTGCTTTATATGCCCATTTTGGGGAAACCGCGAGCCAGAAAAGCAGGTTCCCCACGGAGGAAATCCCGCAACGACGATGCATGGGGTCTCGCGCGGACCATCTCGAGGTATCTTCGATCAGGGTTCTGATATTGACAAGCAATGGTATCTTGAATCCCATTGGTGCAGTTATTGTTGGCGTAACCCTAGAAGTCGCGGGGATCAAATGCGGGGATGCATGAATGACGATTGCTACTTCGGTGTCGATCAACCCGACAAAAAGCCCACACCCAAGGACCAAGGTTTCTGTTTACCCAATGAAGAACTATTCTTGTCCGTGTAATAAATGTATGTTTCCAAATAAACTGAGCTTAAAGACTCCAAATACCTATGATTCCCTATCCGATACAAGTCCCTAAATGCACCCTTAACCAACCGTCCAAACACCATGTTCGATGCGTAAAATCAAATGTTACAAATGTTCACTTCTCAACTCATCTCATTTTGTAAATGACGCTCTTTACATCGTCATTCGTAGTTCTCGGGTAAGGCGGCGGCTGGCGCGGGTGTTGCGACGTGGCTCGGGGGCGTCGCTGGTCTCTGTGTCGGTGCGAGTATCGGAGAGTTCGGGCGTAGGGGTGATGCCAAAGCTGACGCCCCGATCACGGCGTGACACGCGAGCCTCGGAATCTGGGGAGAGGAATCGATGGATCGTGCGGTGATCCATGACTCGATCTTCACCATCACTGCCCTTGTCTGTCTTGGGCCACTGGAATCCATACAGTTTAGAATGCCGCTCACACCGAGGGCACTCCCGGCGGGTCTGGTATGAATTAGACTGGACAAACCATACGTCACATGTTTGGCAGTCTACCCAGCGGTCATATTTCTGGGCGAGGAGTCGTGAAGTTTTGGTGTAGTCGCCGGGGGCTCGCACGATGGGCATCTTGTCCTCGACAGAGGCGATAATCTTCCATTGGCGACGGGTTCGGCGGGCCTTGGGTTTATCGCTAATATTTTCAAGTGCCTCGTCATCGAGGTCAGCTGATTTCGATCGCTCCGACAGCAAATCTTGGTCACCGTTCGCCAATGTGCGAACAGCATCTGGGTGTCCTGCAGAGATCTTGGTACCATCCTGACGAGCTTCGATATCTTCGACCAAAGTCTTGAGACCCGGCTCGATCACTGAAGTAGGAACGCTTGATGTGGACGACCGGTTGGATTCCACTGTAGCAGATTCGGGAGATCCACAATCGATGGGAGAGATAGTGGTTGTAATAGTGGTCTCGATGGACTCGATCGGGGCGGTCTGACCGGTGATCGCTGGGAAACTAGAATGATCAAATCCTAGGACAGTGGGTATGGCCTCGGGAATATTATCGACAATCAACTCTTGTCTCAGCTTAGAATGTCGGTCGCCCCCTATGTGGGTCACAACGACCGTTGAATCGAAACCAGAGTCAGGTGTGGGAGGAAGATCGGTATCCGGGGTTGCAGTAAGCTCAGTGAGAGAGATCTCTTCGCGCAATTTGGAAGTTTGGCGCTGGAATTTGGCCTTCTTGCGGGGGGTAGAGCATAATGTGGGGGGCGATTCCACATCCAAGTCAGAATCTCGTCGGCGTTTTTTGCTGGGAATTTCTGCCGACGTCTCCTCGTCCATTGAGACCGGGGTAGACTCCTTGCTGTTCGTATCCGAGTCCGAATGTGATTGTGGCGCCCAGCCGTTACGGGCGCTACGTTCGCAAGTCAAACACAGACATTCACAATTGTCAATACCAAAATAATCCTCTCCATATGAGACCGTAATTTCTTCACCTTCGTAAATGTTACGCGTGGCCATAACAGACATGCCCTCGGTGCCCCGAGTCACCAAGCGACCATTAGCATCACAGTCGTGGTTGGCGAAGCGAGCGGGTCCGAGAAAGAACGAAGGGGTCTTCCGGCGGCTAGACATCACCACGCTGAAATCCTTTCGAGTCAAGCCCAGATCCAACTCTTCTTCCTTGGTCATAGATACAAGAGTCCCGCTCAGATATTTGATCTCCTGGCCCGATTTAATGAGCTTGCGAGCGCATATTGCGGCTTCGTGTTGCGTGATGATATACCGGTTTGTGGTAGTGACCTCAAAGGGACAGTCCGGGTGGTACATCTGCACATATTTGCGGAGATGACGGCGAAACCACTCCTTCTCACGGGCACTAGGCAAGTTGGTCAAGTATTTTTTTAGTCCCGGCAATTCCAACAGCTTGCGTTCGCCTGTTTGTATGTCCTTGGCAACAACCACATCGTGTAAGAGGATACGGCCTACGTCGTCATCGTGGATGCCGCGGGCCGGGCTGTACTTGGTACGATTCTTGCGCGTAGTGGTCCAGAAATAAGCCTATTTATAGACACGGTCAGTAGATGGACACCAGATGTAAAAGGGACGTGAGGAGCCTACATGATCAACTAGCGCATCTGTTGCGACATCGTCATAGCTGGCCAGTTTAGCCAATGTCAGGCGCTCACGGCGCTCGGTCGCCGGAGATATTGACCGCGATTTCTTGGGTGGCATGGTGGATATGGCAGTCACTGGCTGAACGAGTGGAACAAGGAGGACTCGACGAGCATGAAAATACAGGGCGTTCTGCGCGATGGAGCGAGTTCGGAGCACGCGGCAGTCCGCCGAGAAGGTATGGGTGTGAACAAAGAGGGAACTAGCGATAATTGTTTTATGGAGTGAGAGAATGAATGAATACAACAATATCACAACCCCAGCATGGTGAGAAGAAGATTCATGGGGGCGCCAATTGGTGCTGAGTAGGCTATGCCCGTCACAGATCCAAGGGGAAAACGAACACTTCACTTTCCGCGTTCCAGGAACTCGGGCCGTTCTCGCCGCTTTTACAATCCGCCCCATTATAGAGGGCCTTGCATACCAGCCATAAATTCAATAAAAATAGTCTTACAATGCGAGGTTTTTTTTCAAGCTTTCATTCAATTCTTATTCTTCATCGGCTGATTCAGAGGTTCTTTGACCCATAGGATTCCAATAATATCCATACTCTCACAGCATTCCCCGGGCTGTTCTACATATACTGTAGAATCAGTGCAAGACTTCCAAGGTTGAGACTCCAATAACCACCAGTTGACTATGACTACTAGAGTATACTACATCTATGGATGTATATGCACTGAGTAGGTATGTTTCAAAGGGTAAGTCTGTACTCAAATTTTTCATGTTTTAAATGTTTATACAGACATAGTACCTAGTAATTTATATATAGACACATATCTATTAATACACAGATTAGTGTACCTTCAAAGTTATACACAGTATGTATACAATCAAGGTAAATTATATGGATATCGACTGCATGTGGTATTCAAGTATACATATCCAATACACTCTTGAATTGATACCTATAGGTACATATGAGGATATCCTTCAAGTTAGGACCGCTGCGTGACTGCACACGTGTGCACATATATATCCTCCAAACACGGTCATCTATAAAATTTGCCGCCAAAAATCAATCGTATCGTTATGCGTAAGAGACAAAATTTAAAACTGAATATTACGCAAGCTCTGGAGAATGAATTTCAAACAAACAACATTGAAAAAAATAACTTGAAGTAACGCAAACATAACAGTGTTCCTGAATTGGGTTGTCAATAGCACTTGAGCCAACTTGGTAACTCCGGAAAAACTTTCCATTCGGGGAAACCCCGTCTCCGAGCTCCCGATCAAATTATGGTTGATGCGACTCCGCGACAAATAACTACCCTTGTCCAATACGCCCAACATGATCCAACTAAAGGTCAGTACCAGCCTTAAAACCACCACAATATACCCATTGCTGACTCTCTCCACACAGTCATTACTAAATTGCATCGACAACTCCGGCGCCTCAGTCGTCGAGTGCGTCAACGTTCTGAAGAAGAAGCGGCCCGCGACCATCGGTCAGTCCTGGACCCAAGACACCCCCAAATCCATAAACTGCTATGCCTCAGGAGGAGCAAGAGAGACTGGGAAAAAAGGAGTGCTGTATAGTGTGGAGCTAATGCTGGTTGATTCATACAGGTGATCGGATCGTCGTCGTCGTCCAGAAACAAAGAGCTGCTGGATCAGAGGGATCTGGTACCGCTCTCGCCAACAAGGTCCGCCGTGGTGATATTCGCCATGCAGTTGTGGTGCGCGTGAAGAAGGAACGTCAACGGGTTGATGGATCTGTGGTCCGATTTGGTGACAATGCCTGTGTTCTGGTGAACAAAGCCGGAGATCCGATCGGAACAAGAATGAATGGTAGGTTTTGTTGGACTCTTGAACCCCTAAGTGGAACATGCTGACTGGTTGTTTTTTTAAGGTGTTGTGGGACAGGAACTTCGTGATAAGCAGTGGTCGAAGATTTTGTCGTTGGCCCCCGTGCACGTGTAATACTATATATCACTATTTGGTTTTCATTTTTGTTGTTGTTTTACATTTTCTTTGGGAAAGCGTTGTTTCAAAGGCATTTTTTTTTGTATCAATAGAACTTTTCCTCTTGTCATAAAAAAACTGATGCACATGGGCAGAGAGTGTTTCCCGCTGAACGCCGAGGCATGCTGAACTCGCAAATAGAAAAAAAAAGACCGCAAAAGGGTATCCGAGTAACCAGGACGGGTCGTAAAAGAGTCATCACATAAAGACATTACCGCATGCGCAACAAACATAATAGAGTTTCTTTCGAGACAGGTTAGCATATTATCAAGTGAAGGGGGAAATCAATTCCACAGTCACTGACCATTCCGGTCTCGGCAGACCGCTGTTGAGATTGGAAAAACACGGCCTCATTCTCACCACAGCTGGGGCACAACTTGTTCGCACGGGGTAGCTAAATAATATAGGAGACAATATTGTGTCAGCCTGTTGAAGTAGACTTCTAATTGTCAATGGGCTGGGTGCTGGAATCGGAGTCGGCCTGGCCATTGATAATCATGCAAGTAACCTCATTCTCCGAGACATCCAGGTCGTCCATGAAAATCGGCTCAGCCTGGGCACAGTCGGCGCAAAGGACTGACTCGCCGCAAAGAAGGCAGAAGTTGGCAACACAAAGAAATTCGGAGAGACAAACCGTGGGGTCAGAGCCCACATCCTGGGTGACACCGGCGGTATCACCAACCTGGCTGTTGAGCTTGTTCTGGTAAACGCAGTAGGAGCTAGCGGGCTCTCCAACGTGGCAGGTGCGGCAGGTGAACATGAGCTGGTTAGTAGCTCGGTCCTCCTTCGGGTACAGCAGGTTAGAACTGTACAAAAAAAATTGATCAGTATACGTCCGGCTTCTCTCAGAAAAAATGAGATCTTGTAAGAAGGTGAAAGGGAGCTTGGCTCACCATTCACGACAGAATTTGAAGTGAATTTGATCTGCCTGCTTGTTGTCGCCGCCAGCGGGGGATGCGGGGCTCGCCGACATGGTAAAAGATTGAAAAACCCGAAGGATCGATACAAAAAGGGTCGTAGTATCGTAGTGTCGCCGTTGATACGGGATTGGAATTCGAGGGCGAAGAGTTGGGGAAGGAAGAAAGTGAAGGATAGGCGCGATTTGAGATTATTCTAGATCAGGCCACGTTTGCACTGTTTGCACTGCACTAGTACTTTCCAGGCTCCCCCGCAATTTCTCATTTGCGTGTCCCGCATTTCTTATGTCACAGTGCACTTATTTTGCTTCAATTTGGCTCTCTCCTAGGCTAGCAACATATCGTGTACACTCCTAACTCTCTACTATAATCTATTCAACATGGTAAGCTTGAATGAAAAAAAAGAATGATCAAAACGGGGAATTTTAATTAACGCGTTCCTTCTCTGTTTCTTTAAAGGCCGATACAGGATTGCCCTCCGGCTGGGAAGTCCGTCATTCCAACTCGAAGAACCTCCCTTACTACTTCCACCCAATCTCCAAAGAATCTCGCTGGGAACCTCCAACCGATACCGATACCGAAAAGCTGAAGAACTATATGGCGCAAAACCACACCCCCGCAGCTCGCAACGATGTCGGCGGACAACCCGAGGGAAAGATCCGCTGCAGCCACTTGCTGGTGAAGCACCGTGATAGCCGACGCCCTAGCAGTTGGCGCGAGGCTGATATTACCCGTTCGAAGGAAGAAGCCATTCAAATTCTTGAGGGTTACCAGCAGCGCATCCAGTCCGGCGAATCTACCCTGGGAGACATCGCCGTCTCAGAGTCTGATTGCAGCAGCGCTCGCAAGAAGGGCGACCTGTAAGTTCTTTGACTCGGATGAAATATTCAATTAAGGACTAATTCTTTTCTTCTCCAGTGGTTTCTTCGGTCCCGGCGAAATGCAGAAGGAGTTTGAAGATGCTGCCTTTGCCTTGTCGCCTGGTCAGGTCAGCGGCATCGTCGAGACTGCTTCCGGAGTCCACCTGATTGAACGGTACGTAGCAATGATACCATACAAGCTTCTCAAGATGCCCAGAAACTAATTACTCAAGAAACAGTGTCCAGTGATTTCATCGCAATCTAATCGACTTTTTTCAAGCGAAGGAGTGATGTGCTTTTTGTCTTTTCTCTTGTCTAATATTGGATGCGTTGTTTGATAAACACCCTTTGGTTTTCGTCCCCTTTCCCCAGTCCAGACGGGATTGGTATTCCAAAGTGTCCAGAGAAATAAAAAGCCACTGCCCCCATAAAGTTCGTTGTTGAACCTTGATACTCAAACTGCTTGGTGAAATTTGATTTTGCTGTTTTCCTCCTGTTTCCCTTTTGTTTTTACGAAACTGGGCACTACTGCAAAAAAAGTAATAGAGAGGCACCTACATTTCCAGAAATACAGATGCGTTTAATGACTGAGAAGCAGCGAGGGGGGTTTAGAAATATCGAAGAGTAGCAGCACCACCTACATTCCAGCCCATGAACTACAACATTCGAACTCCCCGATTTCCAACCTTGGAAGGGTTCAGCCTCAACTGATCCCCTGATAATCACCCATGGAATTCCATTCGGAATTCCATTCCAGATGACTTTTTTCATCCGTTTAAGACTGTCAAAGCTTTGTTTCTTTCAATTTATCAGAATCTTATTCATCCTAGCCAGTGGCATCTATTATCATACCTGAAACACTTTAATTGTTTTAGTGAAAGTCATTGATATCTGCCTATTACTGTAGAGACAAAGCGCTTCAATTTCAAGTGAACCTTGGAGATGGATCTGAATGCCCACTGCAACAAAGCAAACAAAGGGATCATTGTAAACGATTAGTAGGTACTTACCACTACGAGCACATGTGCATATAGCATATCTAAAATGTCCATAGTAAGTATACCCAAAAATTCCAAATTCCACATCCATCTATGAATGAATTTCCCCCAACTACAAGAGAGAAAAAATTGACCTCTACTGAAACGTGGGTAATTATCAAATAATGTGCATCTCATGGACTCGAAAGTACACGCTGTGCGGGTGTATATGGGTTGAAGAGGACATACTTTGTGAAGCGGACAAAATATGTCTTGGTCGGCGAATGGTCATTCTGTACTCGCATTTGCAGACCTGCAAGGAATGCTGGAAGAGGGGAGACAAGAGAATCGATGAGTCTATCGCCAAGATGATCGAAGGTGATAAGACAACGGGCCAGACAGGGAGCAAGGAAGAAGAAGAGACCTCCCAAGGCGCCGAAGCCCACGACAAGCCCGACAAGTGCACATGCGAAAATATGCAAAGACGATCCGACCGGACTGGTGATGAGAGAGACGGAATCATTCAGAGACTGGGCGAAGAAGATGGGACTGCAGACAATGATATAACGCACACGAATCCATCTAGACCACAAACGCCTATAACGGACTACGACCTAGACCCAGATAATCTCCCCTGGTATCTTCTCCATTATGAATACTACTGCGACTTATCCAGACCGTGTGAGCCAGTGAAACTGTCTTCAATGTGGAGAGATTATCGGACGACGCGGGAAAACAGCAATTGGGTTTATTTGGAAGGTGAGGATTCCCCCGTTGTTCGTCACGTTTTTTTTTCTCTTGCTTTCCCATACTGAGGCAAAGTTCTTAGATACGCTTGAGGGATGCCTTGAATCTGGACCCAATACAACAGATGGGAATGTTCATTTCGAGTGGGACTGCGAAAACAGGTCACCCTGGTGGTGGTGGAAAAGGGATTGTGATGACTAGCTCATTTGGGGATATGAAGCCTATGACTTTACGCTGGGATGAAAGCGAAATGCAAACTTGAAATTCGTAAAGTTTTGACGTATGTGCGAATTCAACTACTGGAGTGGCTCCGCCGTAAATGTAAAAATCCAATGGGCTTCACCTTCGCAGCCATATCCATCAGGGCGCTAGAGGTTGGTGTTGAGGCGACCCAGACGAGAAGTGATGGCGTCAATGACAGCAGATCTAATATTTCGTTAGTTTACGGCAGTTAAAAAGAGACCATTATAATATAAACTCACTCTCGCTCGACCATTCTCATCGCTTCTGTGACCCGCTGGCGCTGGAGACGCTGCGGGACCTTGGTCTGAGAGCCAGAAGATGAGTCTCCCAAGTCAGGTGAAGTGGGGGTCTTCGCAGCAATGGACTTGGTTTCGGAAACGAGGTCAAGTGCAAATTGTTTTACCTGGCAAATTGTTAGTTGATGGAATGAGGATCACTGCCAGAAAATGGAATCTCACCGTCTCTAAACGCTGGACAAGCTGTTGTCTTTCTTCCTCCTTGATTTGTCCATCCTCGAGGAATTCGGATAGAGTTTCGACCTCTGAGCCCCAAGCCTTTTCTTTCTCACTCAGAGGACGTCCGCCTGAATTGAGAACCTTCTTGCGTAGCGCGTCATAGCGTTTGATAAGTTCGATTTGTCGGTCCTTTGCGGTCTGAAGCCTCTTGTCCAAGGCCTCGCCATTTCTGGTGCCCTCCTCGCGGTTGCCGTCCTCGCCGACCTTACTGGTGACACCATTAATGCGCTCCGCAACATCTGACAGCTGTCTCAACTGATCTTTTAGCTCTCCTTGCAACCGTTCACATCTACGGAATAGATCCGAAGCGGCTCTCTCGAGTGCAGATGTATAGGTCGCGAGCTGACGGTGGGCAATCGTCACAAGATCCAAAGTTGCTGGTGACAGGCGTACGTGCTCTTTGAGAGTGTGTCGCTGCCGGTGAGGAACGTGAGTATCAACAAATGAATCCAGCGGGGAGACTGCGTAGAAGACAGCTGGAACTTGATACGGAGCACGTCGGGGGAGCACGATAGGAGACCCGGGAGTACTTGTTCGCTGCTCAATATGAATGTCCATTGCGGCAGAGAAAGATTCCTCCGGTGATTCCATGACAGCAGCGTACGGACTTGAGGGTTGGTAGGTAAGTAAAAGGTAACCGAGGTCAAAATCATAGAAGACCACAGAGCCAGCAAGGTGCGCGTTTTGGGCTGTGGCATCAGTATCAGAGACCTGTAAGATTCGTTCCCTTTGGGCAACATTTCCACTGCATAAAACCTGCAAACGGAAACCGGAACCCGAAGGATCCTCGGCCTGCAACTCGGCCTCGAGTCGTTGCACCCAAGAGGACATGGAGAAAGATACCACATTGGTAGCAGTAGTGACGAAGAAGGAGTAGCGCGAGTGGATATCTCTTGTAAAGATGGGCCATGCCACCGATTCTTCGCCATTGGTCTTAATAGTATCGAGTGACTCGACCAAGAGGAGATCCGAAGGATCTGAGAGGGGAGTTCGGAATGTATTTTTCTTAGACTTGGGAAGCCATTGGCCTTCAACGCCATCAAGCTCCAGGCAAATGTTCACACGGCCATTCCCGCTTGAGAGACAAATCACAGTGGCTGATAATTTGTCTTTTTCTGTGGCTTCGACAGCAAGCTCTTCATCTTCACCCATCATCAGATCTTCGACATTGAGCCTGGCTGCAATGACGAGAATATCGCAGATATCTAAATCATCCAAGTCGTCCCCGAGATCAAACCCGAATGGGCCTTGCAAACGTGGAATGGCGCTCGGGGCCGCCGGACGAGTAAAGACATCCGCGCCCTGTATGTTACCAGACTCTGAGGGTGGCTCTAATGGTTCTTGCTCGTCAATCTCTCGCAGCCAGTCATATTGTTGCCGGCATGCGATTAACTGGTCTTCTAGATCCTCAGGGGACTCTTCAAGAGCTGCCAACTTTGGAACAATGGCCGAAGAAAGTGAGGGAATCGTTGTAGAAGGAGCCTGCCATTTAGATGGCAACAAAGGGCAAAGGGCATAAAGATCACCTGGTCGCATAGCAACCCAGAGAGTCATAGGCGCCCATGCATCCTCTCTCTCGTTTCCACTGCCCGCGAAGCACGCAGAAGCAACTTCCATATCGATTATATCGGCAGAAAATCCTTTGTTCTTACCGAATCCCGATGGTGCGAAGTCCTGGTCTGACGAGGTTCCATCAACCAGCTTCCGGAGATCCACTGCCAGGGTAGGTTGGTCAAAAGACCAGTGGTTATTACGATCTAACTCCCACACACGCACCGCAGCATCCGCAGTAACGGTGACAATGCATCCACTCAAGTTGGTGTGGAGCCCAAGGGGATGCCATAGAGCAGATACCACGGGTGCTTCTGGAATGACATGGGTGGTCGGGCCAAGCTGATAGGTTTTCAGACGGATGGGATTTGTGTCTGTCGAGGAGAGATGCGATGAATCAGGGAGAACAGAAATATGAACAGTGTGCTCGGTGACGATGGCTAGGAATGCGCCATTCGGGGAGGGGAGGATTTGTCGGATGAGGCCGTAAACGGGCACTGACAGAACCTGTGTTTGTTAGTCGTAGGTTTTTACTTCGAGGGCAAGCAAAGGCAAGATATTTCGAGAATACCGATAGAGTGACTTACCCTGTAAGGCGGGGGTTTGGCGCTATTTGCCTCTTCCTTCACAGAACCAGTAGAGCTCTTCTGTCGAGCTTCTTGTTGCCATTGGTCCTTCAGTCGCGCAAGGTCAGACCATCGAATTTCGTTGTCAACGACGGCAAAAACTTCGTTCCCTCTCTTGGCGATTGTGCGATTTGCTGCGTCCGGTGCCGTAGTCTTTGATCCGTTTGTCAAGGCTTGCACATGGCCTTTGTCAGACGCACCGGTGAAAAGGCTGGCGCCAGGCGATGGACGACATAGCCAGGCTGGCGCGTAGCTGTTGACTTTTGGCATAGGGTCGTCGGATGAGTAGTTGTATGGCGTGGAAGTAAGATCTGGTTCGAGATTTGGAGTATAAGAAGAGGGTTCAGAGCATCGTCGCAAAAGGTGTGGTGAAGTGGAAGGAAGTGTTGATGCGGCATTGGAATTTGGGCGCGCCAAGATCTTTAGAAGCTCCGAGCTCCCTTGTCCGCCTTTCTTGCTGGTCTCACTCATCTTGACACTCTCCCCCGTCTGGAGTTCCCACCAAATTCAATTCCACCATGAGCTTAGTCGAGATTAATACCATCGATCGTTTGGATCGGCCCAGTGCTTATTATGCTGGCAAGGTGAGCGATTCCCTTTGCAGCCTCTTCAGGGTGTGCGCGTTTGCGAAAGACCGGCGCTCACAACTAAACTGAGCAGAACAAGCGCCGCAGAGATCACGATGAAAGAGAACAGGAGGACCCCAACGCAAAGCTAAAGAACGCGACAACCCTCTACGTGGGTAATTTGTATGTGACTGACTACAGGCTGAAACTTGCGACATCCCACTGATTCGATCACAGATCATTCTATACAACAGAGGAACAAATCCATGAGCTTTTCTCCAAGTGAGTTTAGGTGAAACAGTGGGATACCGAGTCAAAGCTAACATTGATATACAGATGCGGCGAAGTCAAGCGATTGGTAATGGGTCTTGACCGATTCAACAAGACTCCCTGTGGATTCTGCTTCGTGGAATACTACAACCACCAAGATGCCGTGGACTGCCTGAAGTACATTGGAGGAACCAAACTCGACGAGCGAATTATTCGGACTGACTTGGACCCTGGATTTGAGGAGGGTCGGCAATACGGGTAAGTATTAGCATCAATTAAGTCTTGAGAACGTGAGCTGATATATTCGGACAGACGTGGAAAATCAGGTGGCCAAGTCCGTGACGAGTACCGCGAGGAATACGACCCTGGTCGAGGCGGTTATGGCCGCGCAAATGATGAGCAACGCGCACGAGAGGAAGAAGAGTATGGTGCTGGACGATAGGTATTAAACATGGATATGAAGCGTTGGGGCAGGCAAAATGGCGTTATTTCCAAGGGTGTGAGATCTATTAGCAGAGAAAAAAAAACACCAGAGATTTTATGTTCATCTCATACTCTATTTGCATGTCTTCTCAGCACAGGTTTAAAAATCGGTCTATTGATGTCCCAGTTTCGTTCTTTTGCTAACAGCAGCTTGCACCTGGCGCAGCCACCATGCATGGATTCGAGCATCACCAGTCAGCTCCGGGTGGAAGCTGGTACCAAAGACGTTACCCTGGCGCACAGCGATAACATCGCCCACCTCCTCATCGGGACTGATATTTCGGCTTTGTGTGGCGATGCGGGCGGCGGGCCCTGACAAGGTGGCCAGCACCTCAACATTATCAGCCGTCGCAGCTTCTGCCACCGCATCTTTGGTGGGCCTGGACGGAGCAACCACGGTGTCTTCCCGATCCATCTCCCCCACCTGGATACCCTTTTGGTGAGGCAAGATGCATTCCACAATCGGTGCGCGAATGAAAACGGCGGGAAATGGCTCTGCGGTTTCGCCAAGGAACTGAAGATCGAGCGGGGCCTGGAAGCTCTCTGCTTGCCGGCCAAAGTGGTTGCGATTGACTCGAACGTCGAGACCTCCAATAAGCTCCTGTCCACCTTTCTTGGTACGGTTCGCCGACTCGGCGAGCAAAATCAGGCCGGCGCAAGTGCCCCATGTTGGCTTACGAAGGACCCTATACAATAGCTGCGTTAGTTTCCAGTCACATACATACACGAAGCCAATGCCAGGACCGAGCGCTCACTTGACGAATTCTCTCAGCGGTTCCAAAAGATTTGACCTCGCAGCAACCAAAGACATTGTGGTACTCTCGCCACCAGGTAAGACAAGCCCGTCGCATCGGGCGAGCTCCTCTGAAGTTCGCACTTCGATGAATTGCCACGCAGCAGAGTCCTGCTCCACAGCCTTTTTCAACAGTTCGACATGCTCAACAAACGCGCCCTGCAAGGCAAGAACCCCCACTGTAATTGTCATTTTGGTAGATGAGTAGAAGTATAGAAAATAAAGTTGCCCTCCTTGTGGCGTTGTGACTCTTCATGCACGTGATGTCTATTTTCCGCGGGGAAACACCCGTATCGGCACTATCGGCACGTGAAGATCGTACAGATAAGCTGCCGATAAGCTTATCCGTGTTGCACTCCAACGCGAGGCATCAATACTCCAAAGTGGGGTCTAGAATGATCAGGTGTCAATCAGAACATCGGCCATTTCACTGCCTGAAGCCTTCGAGATTAGTGGGGGCCGTCACCATAATAACACCTCTACATCCAATTTTACTCTTCCCCTAACTCGCTCCGATGGAAGCATTCAAAATGCGGACCAATGAGATCAGGCTGGAGGATGCTCACAATGACAATCCCAACGTCGAAAATAAGGAGTATTCCTTAACAGGTCTCCCAACAACAGCTCGCTGGTACATCGATGTCCGAGAATGGGACGCATGCGGCAAAAATCTACCATTGTTGGAATTCCTTCGCCCGGACGAGCAGAAATCTGTGATAAGGTACTATCATGATGCAGACAAACGCATGTCACTGGCCTCACATCTCCTCAAATACCTCTATATTCACCATGCTTGCGGAATTCCGTGGAAAGAAATCGTTCTCAGACGCACAGAAATGCCCGAAAACCGACCATACTATAAGTCTACCACGGACACTGAAGTTGAATTCAATGTCACCCACCAGGCAGGACTTACTATTCTAGCGGGAACCATTGCTCCAAATCACCAGCAGACGCTACACCACGCCAATGGGGGAGACCTGACTCCTCAGCCACGGCTGGGCATTGACGTGACCTGCGTTAACGAGAACCGCCGCAAGGTTATCAAGACCATGGCCGAGTACCTAGAACATGTTTCTATTTTTGTCGATGTATTCTCAGAAACCGAGCTTCGGACCATGAGAAACCCACGCCAGGCACTTGACCGGGCACGAGAATGTGGTCTCGCAAAGGCATTCGACGGATCTAATTCTGAAGACACAATCGTTCGCTATGGACTACGTCTATTCTATTCGTACTGGGCCCTCAAAGAAGCATACCTGAAGATGACTGGAGACGCGCTTCTGGCTCCTTGGGTACGTACCCTTGAATTCTTGAACGTCATTCCTCCCGATCCCGTCGAACCTCTTCACGCCCAGAAACCATATGTCCCCTCTCAAGGTCTGAAATACATCCCACAATCACCCAAGAACTGGGGCCCTCTATTCGCAGGAGTGAGGGCCACAAAGGATGGGAAAACCTTAGATGATGTCCGTTTTCAGCTCGTCGCATTTGAATCCGACTACATCGTTGCGGTGGCTGGTCGGGGGCTCCCCGTTGGCGTTTTCCCGGATGGGAAGTATAACCAGGGTTTGCACCACTTGCCTGCCCAAATCACCGTGTGCTCAGAGAATCAGAAGGAAGAACACCGTATTCCTCTCAGTGCTAAAAAGGTGATTGGAGATATGGACCCATGGGATATTCCATCCTCGATCGTGGACCCCTGGCTTCCAATGCAAGAGGTTGATATTGATATTGATATCCGGGCTTGTGCTGAGGGTCGATGTCTTCATCCTGAAAACCCCAGATCTGTTCTTTCCAGAGTTAAGGCAGAGTTACCTGATTCGGCGTGATGCAACATGTCTATGGGGCGGGGAATCAAAGTCGCTTGCCAATACTAAGTGGAAGTCATTCTCTCATGAATAGATAAGATTTTTATATAGCGTTCGGAAAATGGCATTGCATCATTGTAAGATAAGAAACAGTCACGAGATTATTAAATCATTTCATGCTAAAGATATGTACAATTGCGGGATGGGCATGAAGAGAAGAGGAGGGGCGATGAAGGTGTATAATAATAAGTCCCGAAATAAGCGATACCAGAAAGAAGGGAAAGTAGAAAAGGGCGGAAGCAATCAATTCGTGAGAATTCCCACCAGGCGAAATGTTTCGAATGGCGAGATCAAAGTTCTTCTATCCGTAGCAGTCTGCGCTTGAGATAACAAGGGGTATGTGCCGGACAAGAAAATGTATATACAGCAACAAGAGTCAGTGGCTACTCAATTGAAACGACAAGGTTCAAGAGCGCGATATTTTGGGCGCAATTAATCAGGGCATATTTGGGTTCACGCGAGGTGCCCCACTTGTGGCCTTTATGATGCACGTCTCGTAATTCGTGATCGCGGTAATAGTGCTTAAATCTCGATGGCGGTTGACACGCCGTTGGCCTGTGACTCAACCTTGTTTTCTTGGGGCTGTGCCATTTCCAGAATGGTCTCCAGCATAGAGTCGCGTGTCAATAAAGTGAGTTGATCAACATCCGCTGAGGTCATGTTCTTGGTTTCGATGGGGGGAAGAACTATTCGATACATATTAGGAGGGAGTTTCAACAGATACTTGGATCGGCAAAAGCTAACCTTTGACCCTGATAGTGCCCGAATTGAACCGCCAGGCACGAGGCGACATAATATGGGCATAATTTTCCGTTACAACAGGAACGATAGGCACACCTGCCCTGATGGCAAGGTGGAATGCACCCTTCTTGAATGGCAAAAGCATAGCTTCATCGGAGTAGCTCCGTGTGCCTTCAGCAAAGATGAAGACACTTTGACTGTGGTTTTTCATCTCATCCACTGCACCATCGAAGGCCTTCATAGCAGTTTCGCGGTTCGCACGATCAATGAAGACAGTGCGAGATAGCCACATGAACCAGCCAAGGAAGGGGATATTGCGCAGGGACTTCTTGGCAGTAACACTGCAGTAGGGTGGGAAGACGTTGCCGAGCATGAGAACGTCGAGCTCAGTCTGGTGGTTGCCAACAAAGACGGCGGGACGAGTGGAGAGGTACTCTTCGCCCTCAACGATATCGAAGCAAACACCAGTGGTGAAGCGCATCACCCACTTAAAGCTGCGGCCGGTGGCCCATTGCGAGATTCGGCCGTAGCCTGCAAGGCGGAGGACGATAGACGCGAAGACTCCATAAGTTGCACTTAGGAGCAGGGAGCCATATGCGGCGAGACAGCGTGCGAAGAAGGCTGCGCGGGGTACTTTCTGACCAATGGCAAAAAGTGAAAGTGTCACCACCACCAAAGAGCTCACGCCCGACAGGATATAGGAACTGATCGACATAGTGGTGGGATCGATACGCCAAACTGTTGGGAGATGGTTGGTGGTCAGCTTTCAGATGTCGGGAACAAGTATTATATATGAAAAAGAGTCTAGAAGTTTGATAGGGATATGATACCTCGTTCACTGAAGGTTGGTCTCAACCTAGAAGAATAACGGTGAAGGAAAGAAATCACAAGGAGCGAGGGCCATGGTGCGGGACTGCGGAGGTGGATACTGCTTTTTTTGCCCACGCCGACTCACCGCCAGCTGATGGTAGCAGATGACGGCATCACGCAGAATTTAGATATGCATGTAATACTAATAATACAAACTACTACATAGTACTATATAGAGTTTGGTGAGTATACTGGGTGTATTTGAACCTTCTAAATCCACAAGGTTCCCGAGTATGCATATAGATCCGAGAGAATCGTTTACTATCTGAATTCCAAGGTTTGATGATGGTACAACATCCATTCAATGTTAATAATGCATTGCGCTATGCCATCGACGGGTCCACCATGATGCCCTAATCTCACTAATGTACAGAACACACTGAATGGTGTCTAGACGTGGAAACAAAACTCCTCAGTGATGCTGTGTGTGCAGAAAAGGTCCGGAAACGCCGAGCTCCTAAGATATGATCCCCCCCAAGTCAAACGTAAAAAGTGAAAAAAAAGCCATGAAGGCTAGAAACATCATAAGACTATGCCATATCGTCATCCTCCATCTCATCATCTATCGACTCCATCGCATCCTTAATAAACTGTGCAGCCTGTATCGAAGTTAGAAAAAGAGAACACAGATCGAAGGTGGAATTGGGATATTGTACCTTTGGGTCCAAGTTCAAGGCCGTTGTGAAGTGCTTGATCGCATTAGGCTTGTCATGGATGATCTTGTACAACTTGCCTAAAAGATAATGCACATTTGCCTCGTCGGGGGCCATATCTTTAAGGACCTTCAGGTCTACAAGTGCAAACTTGTATTCGTGGAGTTTCATCAACACGCGAGCTTTGCGGAATCGGGCCAAGATAGAATGTGGTGCCAGAGAGCACGCGCGTTCATAGTGGACCAAAGCCCCTTTGGCATTATCACTCTTCTCTGAGACTAGTCCAATGCAGCAAATAAGGACCGCATTAGTAGGATTGATCATTGCCGCATTGCGGAAATGCTGTTCAGCTTCATCTAGCTTGCCCATCTTATCGTAAACTGTGCCTAGACCGTACCATGCGTTGTAGTGCCGGGCATCGGCCTTAATGCCGTGACGATAGGCATCGAGAGCCTTGTCATACTCCTCATTTGCAACATACTCATGTCCTTGAAGAGTGAATGCGTATGCAAATTCAGTATCCAGCTGAGTTGCACGCTTGAAACACTTGAGGGCCATGTCATGATCCCGTGACTGGGAGAACGAGTTGCCAACAGCACACCAGGCCTGAGGGGAGAGTCGATCTACCTCCACAAGCTGGCGTGCTAAGTAAGCTAATTCCACATCATTTTTCAAATGCCAAAGCACAGTCGAATAGATTTCCATATCTTCGAGCCTTGATGGCGCCAAGGCCTGCACCTTGGCGAAATACTTAGCAGCATCGGAATACATGGCCTGCTCAAAGAAAGCACGGCCAAGCTGAGCTAAAACCCAAGGCGTTTCCCGCTGACCCTGCGAAAGAGAACTGTAGTGCTGAATGGCATCCGTGCACTTGTATCGACTCAACGAAAAGTACCCCGAGGCAAGTTTTGTAAAGAGCCCCAGAAGCCAATTCAAGGCATCAAGCTCCTTTTGTTTTTCGGTGTTCTTGGGAAGAGGAGGCACTGGTGGTATGGATGTTGTACGGTGGTGATCTTTTCCATCGCCGTCATAGGAGTCCATTGGTTTTCGGTTGCCACTAACAACGCGCCCAACGGTGGAAGCTGTTCCAATCCGTGATTTTGAATTTGCACTTCTTACTTTCTTGACTTCACGTCCATCTCTACCAGCCAATGTGCTGTTGGATAATTTTGTGGCAGGGTTGATTTGATTGAAGAGCCGAACACTGCGGCGCTGAGGGGCACCTGGTTCTGTTGGTTGCGGAGGAAGAGGATGGGCGACCTGACCAGAGACGGTGCGTTTACGGTCGCCGATTCGCGGCGCTGGCGGAGGCTCTTTTTCAAACGGCGCCACTGGTGGCTCTTCTGGTTCTGTTCTAGTTTTCGGTCGAGGACGGATGCCGGTTGGGCGCATTTTTGGGGCAGTTTGGCCTGGGTGATCCAAGCTCATTGCCTGGATTGTGCGAATCTTTCTGGCTGGGGCCAATGGTGGCTCCCAGCCGGATTCTGGGTCCGTGACACCATTTGCGATCCGAAACTCATCCGATCCGCTGCTTTGGCCGGGGGTCTCCACCCCTTCATGAATAAATGGCTGAGGTGCAGATGTAACATTGACCGAACTCAGAGTGAGCTTTTCCCAGAGTGCGGAGCTACCATTTGTAGCCGCATCCTCGCTATGGGTGGTAGGAACCATAAAAGGGTCGACCCCGGAATTTCCATTGGATGACGCTGGAAACGACCCTTCGGTCGGACTGAAGTAATCGGATGATGTTTCCAAATCTTCCCGAGGAGAGGATATTATGGCTAGTAGTTCGGGACTGAGTTGGAAGATATTTGGGACTCGGATGTTGACGCCTGTGCAAGAATTAGCTTCTCCGGGCTATATCACAGGGAGGGAGGAAAGATAAATTTGAACGGACCTGTTGCGCTTAAACCCAAGAAGGCATCCCACATGAATGGATTAAGCTTGAGTGAGTCCACGTAGCAATCAATTGCTCTGGTCACGTCTTTGTGTGCATAGAAGAGCTTTCCCTGCAGACAGTAAACCGCAGCTGCATCAGGCAAATGTTGCCGCTGCGTTTCACTGTGTTTATCTGGAGCTGGGTATTAGTCTAGTCCTAGCTCCAAGCAAGGCAAATATGAAACTCACTCCAGTGGTTTTTAGACGCCCATAGATTTTTGCTTCGCTCTAATGCTGTTACACCGTCCAAATATTTCCCGAGATCAAGGCATGCCTGCGCGAAGACATAAGCACAGCCGGCGTGTAGGCCACGAGATCCTGTAGGTTGACTGCACTCGAAGGCCTGTTTGACCTCACCGTTGAGTAAGTGACAGAGAGCCAGAAGGTAATGCGCCTCGAAAGATCGTGGTTCAAAGGCCTGTAAACGACCGGCAAGGAAGAGCGCGTTCTTAATAAGGTTGTTGTCAAGTTGATAGTAGATCAAGTGTCGCAGCTGGCCTGCGATATGGCCCGTAGACAAAGCAGCCATGACGAAGAGGGAGGGGTGCGCGTGTAGCCCAGCGCGTGAAGTGGTGGATTTTGAAGTAGGGATGTTGAGGGAGAAGAAGATACGAGTGAAAGGGAAGAAGTGGTGCGATCGTTGAGTATCGGTTCTTTGGCTGTGAAAAGCGCTGTCAAGTCCGGTGCCTTTGAGAGGCACACTTTGAGACGCGGGGAGACGACGCGCGAGTTCAACTTAGAAAACAAAGAACAGCGGGCCTAAAAAGAAGCACCCTACAGACATGGAACCTGATCAGTCAGTCTGTAAGTGAAATGAGACTTTTGTCTGCGAGTGAAGAATCAACGACGACGGTGGTTTGTGCTAGCACGGAATGTAAACTGACGGAAACGGTAAGAACGGTAAGAGAAACCAGGATTGGCGAAACAAGTCAGATACAGTGTAGACTCCAGGATGAGTCTTCACGGCATCCAACTCATTGCGCTGGATCAGGAAGCCAGTCAAGGGAATAAGGAGGAATTCCAAGGTGGAGGAATTCCAAGGTGGAGAACGATTGGAGTTGTTGCTGCATTGTAATCTTATTTTGGTTGAGTAGATCAAGAGCATAATCATTCTGCCGGGCGGTGTGCGCGGTGAGTGTCGGGAGGGCAACAATCGGATTTGGACTCCACTTGCCTCTTCCCTCGTGGGTTCTGCAGTTGACAACTCTTCCAAACCTCCAGCAAGGTCGGAGATCCTGCTGCCAGAAAGGAATAATACCCTCAGTACGCCGTGTACTTCCAGCTATCTGTGACTGTGGAGACTTTGTGTTCAATATGGCACAGGTAAGCTTCAATGAGCTATGACATAGCTGATGCAAGCTGTCATTATGTGTGGGGGTGATTTAACAACCACATAGAAAGCTGCCAAAACGCTAGCGACCCGTAATGCGGCCATTCTCACTCGCACTCATCTCATCTCGGCTGCAATTCACATCCTCTTCATCATTCTTCACCAAACCTTCCAACGGCCACGTTCGCTGAAGCCCTACTTCTTACTTGCTTTCCCTACCCTGATCATCGAATTCTACCTCGATCGAGTTGGCCGTCCACAATACCATGAAGATGGCTCTTTGCGCTCAGCTGGTGAAGATCTGAATGCCACCGGCTTGACTGAATATATGTGGGATGTGTTGTATTGGACCCAGGGCTGCATTGTTGCTGCTTGTATCTTCAATGACCGTGCGTGGTGGCTGTGGACCGTAATTCCTGTGTACTCTGTATACTTAGTGTATACCACAGTCATGGGTGTGAAAAAGGGCTTTGCCGGGATGGGTGGCGGTGGTGAAGAGGGGGAATCTGAGAGCACGAGGAGCAAGAGAGAGCTGAAGAAGGAGAAGCGGGGCGATCGACCGAAACATCGGACTCGTTGATCGTATTTGGCGAGGAGTATCAAAGGAGCATGTTCAAGATCCCGGCTCACATTTTTTGCGTACAGGCAGAGCCCGTCGTACAGGGACAGGGTGATCGAGCAGCCTGGATGTACAAGTACAGGAAAGCAAGAGGTCAAAATTTATGGATCTCGACAGAGATTGTAATTACTACCGCCAGCAGAATTACCGAATAGCTGCTTGAGCTTATACAGCTGTTTACTATTTAGCCTCAGGCACAAAACGAAACGTTGCAAGCCTAGACAGGCATTCGACGGAATTTATATGATATCCACTTTTAAATGTTCCAAGGTTTACGAAACAGAATATTTGAAGAATCCCTATTATTGGAATACCTCAGTTTATTCAGGTTGCATCCATGTATCGTCAAGAAGTACAAAGTACAAAAACATTAAACATCAGCCTCAGGAGAGACGATGGCGGAACAAGGAAGCAAGAAAGAAACCGAGAGTCGAGAACGCAATAAAAAAAATACAAACATCAATGTGCATCTGGTAGGTCGTGAACATATTGCCGTCGTGACAAACTATATGGGGAATAATGCGTCCATTAACCGAGCATGATATGCCGCTGGCAGGAAGCCCAATTTCAACGCGACAGGATCTAGAAGAAGAGGGTGGACATAAGACAGTAGACGAAAGGGGAATGTATGAGCAGTATGGGGCTCAATCATGAGCTGAAAAAAAAGATTATTACAGCTCGTCCTTGGCCGAGGACACGGCGGACTTGAGACTGCCAGTTACGCTCTCAACATGGGAGGCAGCAGTCTCGACGGCCTCGGAGGCAACACTATTGGCACTGGATGCCAGATCCGCCAGCTGAGACTGAGCACCCTCGACAGCGGCGGCAAGGCGGCTGCTGGCACTTTCCACTGCACCTGGCTCTTCACCGTAAATGGCAGCACTGGCCTTTGACTGGATCTCTTCGATATGCTCCTTAGCAACATCAATGTATCCCGACTCCTTTCCATAAATGGCACTGCTAATCTGCGCCGAAGCAGTGCTGTAGGCATCGACTGCAGCCTCTGTTGCCTGCTCGTAAGGGCCCTTAGAAGTGCCATAAACGCCAACACTGGCGGCCTCCACAGCAATGTTGAGCTGCTCGTTGACATTTTGCAAAACATCCTCAACACTGGGAACGTTAGAGGCGTAGACACCGGCAACGGAGGAAGCCGATTCGTAAGTTTCGCTAACGTAGCTCGAAGCAGATGAGAATGCGGCAGCCGGGTAGGGAGTTTCATATGCCACACGGAGTTTGCTCATGACACTCTCGGTGAATGAGGGTTCCTTGCCGATGAGAAGCTCAGACACCACCTCCTGCACAGCCTCAAACTGCGGGATTCGCTCGTGCAGTTGCTGAAGATAAGGAGCAGGGGTACCATATATTTGTTCGCTGGCCTTGGAGACAATGCCTTCCCAGTTCTCAGACGCTTGGCTGGACAGAGACGCCAAAGGTCCGGGTGTAGTGCCAAAGACGGCAGAGCTGGCGGATACAGACGCCATAGAGAGGGAGGCAGACGCTGCTGACATGGCTGCGTGATATCTGGATGAGGCATCGCTAATGACTTCCTGCGGCGGCGAAGCCATAGAGCTGGCGGAGGCGACCACTGCAGCAAGGCTAGCAGAAGCCAGGGAGGAAATATGCTCGTATTGGACCCCAGCCTCTTCAATCAGTTGATGGAAGCCGAGGGGGGCCGGAGTGGGAGTCGGAGTACCATACACAGCATGAGAAGCCGTGGAGACGAAAGCGGTATAGTGATCGTGAGCAAAACCAACGGCTTCATAGTAGCGACGCTGAGCATCAAGCACGTAGGGCTGAAGGCCCACAGAGCTTGTTTGAGAAGGAATAGGCTGAATGCTGGCCAATTTCTCAGAGGCAATGCTGAGACCCTCACTCAACCGCGAGGAAGCTATGGATGAAATCTGGGCTAGAGGTCCGGTAGGGGTAGGGGTTGCCTTGACCGCAGCCATTCTAGCTTCAAACTCTTCAGTCGCATATTTGACGGCTCCAGAGTATGCCGATTCAACGGAAGAGAGAATGTGGGCATGGGCAGGTTCACTGGACTGAGCGACCTGACCCAGAATTTGCGACTTGGCAATATCGTAGAGGATCTTAGCGTTCGAGGTTGAATCAACGAAAGCTGAGCTCGCCTGAGAATAGGCATCAGAGTAAGCGTCACCCGCCTTATTTGCAAGATTACGAAGGGTATCTTGTTCGTCGTCATCAAGAATAGGATCTTGGTAGGTGTTGGCATCAGCTGCCGCAACTCCTCCCCACGCAGCCTTGACCGAACCTGACTGGTGCTCAACCGCATCAGCCGACATAGACTCAAAAATATCATCATCAGCCCCAGCTGCGCCGTCGAGAGACTCGTCGGGATTGGAGAAGTTCTCATTTATCAGTTCATCTCCCTCGCCATTGATGGCGGGGGCTGTTGATGACTCCGGAGAATCCTCATGAGATTCATCATGTTCAGTATCAGCGTTGATCTCGGAATTATCTTCGAGATTTTCCGGCTTTGGCCTTGGAGGTGGGGCCTCAGTTCTGGTCTCAAAATTATCGCTGACCTCACGGGCAGCTAGTTTCCATTGACCAACATCCTTCAATCTGATAAGCTCAACAGCAGTTTCCTGGGCAACTTCCATACCCTGATCCAGAATATCGGTCGCCACCGCCTTAGCTTCAGCAACTGATTTGTGGTTCATGCCGATATGGTAAATCTGGTTACGCCAGTCCTGGAGTTGCCCCTTCACGGTGCGATACCTTGCCCAGTCCTTGTAGGTTACACCGTCCATCCATGCCCAGCGCATGCCGATCTCCTGCAGACCAAGATCGCGAATACCATCAAGAACATCGAGAGTCGAGTTGACAGCAGCGGATACCCGACGCAGAAGTTCATCATCGAATGACAATGACCATTCACGCAGGGCATGGGCCCGATCTCTGACGGAGATGGCAGAGGCTCGAATGTCGTTAACGAGCTGTTCTCGGGCTTCTTCCTCAGCTTCCGGCGCATCCTCCTCGGGTAGCGTTTGTACAAGGTCGTTGATACGGCCCTGAATGGTGGTAAGTTGTTTCGCAGCCACACTTTGCAGAGCTGTCGAAAGGCTCAGACCGTGGCTATTGGCGCTGCTGGCGACGAGAGCACCAACAATTTCTTCGAGGCGCTCTTCAAGGTCTTCAATACCGCTATCAGCTGCGACTGCAAACTTGTCTTGCCATCTTTCAAGATCAGAATCAATCTGTTCGCGGGCTTGCTTTGCCTGTTGAGCTGCTGATAGGGTGGGCGCAACATAGGGGGTCTCGGTGGTGGTAGAAATGACTGATGCGGTGCTTGGGGTATGAATAACTTCAGCGGATGTCAGGGTAACCGACGGACTGGATTGCTCAGAAAAGCTACTAAAGGGTATATTAGTTCTATCGATTGAAGTATTGGAATAAGTCGATTATCGTTACCTATCCATTTCCTCGACAACTGCACGGAGCCGTTTGCCCTCTCGATAACTCGCCAGGCGCTGTCCGATCTTGACCAATTGCGGCTCAACCTGCTCCGAGTACAATCCTGTGATATGAGGCCACAACGAACTGTTGGCAAAGTAGACAGCGGAGGACCATGTGTATCGAACACCTGGCATAACATGTGTTACCAGTATTTCTTGGGAAGTGGCATATGTCTTGCCGATAAAAGGTTGCGAGCGGGTGTAGAAAGGAACCAGATGATCCCAATAAACAGCGAACACAGCGGTATTTGCCTTTTGATAATAAGGTGATACCACCAGGAGTCCCCGCTGAACGTATGGGTCCACCTCGGACAGATAGAGTTGATGTATTTTGTCCTGGGCCTCCTCAACCCGAGGGGTTACCTGAGCCTTCCATTGAGCTGCACCGTAGGCCTGAGTTTGTTCCCATGCCGGCGCACCGTATTTTTCATACCCAGTATGGGCAAGCTTGGATGCAGGGGTATACACTCGCTTGTTCAAAATCTCCACATATGGACGAGCTTGGTCTACATAGGGACGAACTTGGTCCACGTAAGGCGCGGCATAGGTGTCGTAGTAGGGAGTAACATATGGTTCCACATGAGACCGAGTAACCAGATAAGGTTTGCAGACTGGAGGAGATGTGTCGTTCAAGTCGGCAAGGTTCGATGGGCAGCGCAGGAAGGGCGTGAGGAGCGCGTACCATATTCCGAGTCTACATGAAGCGCAAATCAGCATCAGAACAAGTCAAATAATGACACTTCAGTCGCAATACATACCGCACGACTAGGCCTAAGAGGGTCCATCCGAAGAACTTCTTTTTCCTCTGAGTCTTCACGCCCTCATTTCGGCCAGTTGGTTTGATTGCTGCCTCTGTATGGCCATTTTCCAGTGCTACTGCCATGCTTGTCGGCAGATGTTATCTAAACCAAACTCGCACTTGGACACTTGAAAAGAGCGAGCTCTGGAGCACAAGTGCTGGATCGCTTGGAAAAAGGTATCACACAAAAATACAGAATCTCAAACTCATTGGACAATACAGTTGAACACTGCTGAGCTGCTGATGGCTGGTCGTGAACCCTGGAAAGGAAGATGAAGCTAGGCGGAATGGTCGCGTCAGTCTTGGCGCTAGCAGAACTTCACGGGGGGCGCGGTCACAGCGTGGAAACCGATCCGAGACAGAAAGCGGCTTGTTTAGAATTGTGGGAGGTGTTAAACGCTTGAACAACCGACGCGACGGATGCTTGGGAGAAGGTTTATGTGTATTAAAGAATCAGTACATATGTAAAAAGTACTTAACATGTTCAAAGCAAGGTCAGAGGTTGGCGACTACAAGAAAAAAGCAGTGAGGTCATCGGTGGCACCTGCAGCAATACATCTCCTCCTCTACTACTCGTCCGCTGTTTTTTTGGTCACATGATTTCCCGTGAGTACAATACCTATCTCAAGTACTGAAAACTAGTAGGTACTCATCTTGAGTACTGAGTAGGTACTACCTAGAGATACCTTTATCTAGAATTTTAGCTGGGCGCTCTTTACTTATATATCAAATACCTCTGATACGCGGTGATCACTGGATTGATATGGTAGCTCTAGGCATATAGATCGTCATAATTGTAATCTATGTAATTAGTACTAGTTAGTTTAGTTAGTTACGTGAAAGCTACATCCAAGCTGAGTCAGCCTCAGTGGCCCGAATGTTGAAGCAAGAACAAAGGAAGTTGCGACTCGACCACGATTGCCTGATCTGTTCAGACTCCGTTTGATACAAGGTAAGTGCGACTTTGATCTTCTCCTCACCTCACTCTCTGTTCTTATCTAAGATTATTCTCTTCTCTGAAGCGTTTTAACTCCGTGCCGAACCCGTGGACGCCCGTGAACACTACTACCTACCCGCGCCCACCAACTCCATCAACCTGTTGATGGTTTTTAGCATACATGGAATGATTGAGAAAAGGATGAGGATTTGGTGAAAATAAGTGCGACCGTCGAATCGACGAGATTTTACGCCCTGGATATGGATACAAATCCCTTCCGCGACCCAGCGGGGTTCTCTACTACGTTTCCCGACTTGATGAACGACCCGGCTTTCGATGAGAGGGACAAGGGTCTTGAGGACATGGATACCTGCCGGATATGTCACGGAGAGGCCACGGAGGAAGACCCGTTGTTCTACCCTTGTAAATGCAGTGGAAGCATCAAGTTTGTTCATCAGAGTTGTCTGGTTGAATGGTTAGCACACTCGCAGAAGAAGCACTGTGAGCTGTGCAAAACAGCGTTCCGTTTCACCAAATTATACGACCCCAATATGCCACAAAACCTCCCGACGCCCTTATTTTTGAGACAAGCGTTGATACAATCTTTCGGAACATTCGTCACTTGGCTGCGATTTGGTCTTGTTGCCTTTGTCTGGCTAGGGTGGTTGCCGTGGTCAATGCGCGCAATCTGGAGGGCACTCTTTTGGCTTGCAGATGGCCGATGGTCCACTGGTGCCGCAAGTCAACAACAGGCGGCAGCTGAGGGCCTGGTAAATGCCGTTTCAAATCATACCACGGGTGGTACTGGTACTGTTGTGGCCAACTCGTTAATCTCAACAGTCTCCAGTGCGATTCAATCTTCTGCCAGTGCCGCGCCAGTAGTGCAGTCACCAACCGAGGGCTTTTCTACTGGAGAGCCAATGATGTTCTCGTTTATCAAAAAAGTGATACCGAGTCTCTTCCTTCCTGCTTTGACCTCGCCCGTGAGTCACAATGGCTCCATATCGACCAACGTGACTGGGGTATCAAGGGCTCGGTATCCGTCGTGGCTATCTGATGTGAAGCTCCTCAAGACATTGACCCCCTATCCGACCATCAACAATATGATAATCGATACTCTAGAAGGACAGCTCATCACTATTCTGGTAGTGCTTGCCTTCATACTTCTGTTTTTGATTCGAGAATGGGTTGTCCAGCAGCAACCTATGGCCAACATCGCTGATGGGGAACGAGAAGCCGCCATGCAATTGAATGCAAATGTCAACCGCATGAATGATCAAGTGCAACCGGCCCAACCACCCCAACCTGCCCGGCTTAGGGCGAACTTTGACATCCATGAACAGCATGGCTTCGCCCTTGAGGAACAAGACGAATTTCCGATGCGTCCTCGTGTTGGATCTCCCGCTCCGTCCTGGACTGACTCTGATGATGGTCTGCCAGCCTTGGACAGACCCTCTGGGTCTCTTAATACCCTGATCGATGGTTACCCTTCAGCTAACTCAGCGGAAGGGACCGCAAGTCCAATGTCTGACCACCAGGACCATCCTTCTAATTCTGGCGTGGCTGGTTTCAGAGATATACTGGCTCGCTCCAATGGAGACCGCGATGAAATATTACGCCTAATCCGCGATGAAGGCCGCGAGGAGGAGCTCGGTTGGATCGTAAATGCGTTAACATCGGGTTCTCAGGACGAAAACTTGGCGGGACCTTCAAACCGCGCAAACGGATCTGATGTTGGTGACATGTTTGGTCATCGTGATTTGTTAAACCCGGAAGACAACGAAAATATCCACCAGCAGCAGATTCAACCAGATGGCCAGCGCTTACCCCAAGTCCAACATCTCCAACATCAGGGATCACCCTTTCAAGAGGCCGCGGCGCAACAAACCCCACAGGCAGAACTCGAAAGCCGCAAAGGTATTACCGAAAGACTGGTGCATTGGTTCTGGGGAGATATTACTGCGGGCGAGCAAGACCCCGCTGATGCAGAGACACCAGAAGCTGCGCATTTTGCTCAAGATCCAGCATTAGAAGAACCGTTCGTCCCTGCCCAGAACCGATTAGAAGACCCACTTGCTGAAGGGGACTTGGCTATGGCAGCAGAAGCTGGATTGGATGCAAACGACATGGATGCAATTGAGGGGGATGACTTTGAAGGAATCATGGATTTAATCGGCATGCAAGGCCCGATATTTGGCCTCTTACAAAACGGTGTCTTTTGTGCTCTTCTGATTGCCTTCACAGTCACCGTTGGCATCTGGCTTCCCTACCTATGGGGGAAGATTGCTCTGGTTTTATTGGCCAACCCATTGGAATTGATTGTCGGTGTTCCGATGACTACCTTGACGGTAGTCACAGACATTGCACTCGATACTTTGATCGGTGTTGTCGGATACGTCATGTACTGTTTGACATTCATTTGCAAAGTAGTGATGAGTCCTTTGGTTGCATTCGTTCCCCTGGGGGATTGGATACCACGAGGCAAATCCGTCACAAGTGCATCCCTTTCCCTTATCGACGCCAGCAGTCACCGCTTGAACAAAGTGGTAAAAGCATTCCTTGTTTTCAACGAATCTGATATCCCTATGTTCTCTGTCCTTTCCCACCAGGCACTCAGACTGCACCAAGCTCGTTTCCTGGCCTTCTTCAAATCAATGTTCTCCATAACCAAATTTGCTCTGCACGACTTTCCTTTGCGCTTGTTCACGCTTGGGGTTCCCGGAGCGCTCTCTTTCGACCTAGACCTTTCACAGGCAAAGGAATATGCGATGCATCTTCAGCAGCATGTCGGCAATTTCACCCGGTCTCAATTGTATTCGAGTACCGGAACAAAACTGCTGAATGCAAGTGCTGCCAAAGCAGTTTCAGGATCCGTGCCTGTCGACTATGATCTTGCCGTGTGGGATACCAAGGACCGTGCTATCGCCATATCCATGGGGTACCTGCTTGCCACGATTATGGGATATCTATACTTACGGATCACTGGGTTCCTGGCTGGACCCAACCGAGGGCAGCGAATCGAAGGTGTCGTTGCCGAGGTTCTTCTTCAAGCTGGGGGAGTGATGAAAGTTATCCTCATCATCGGTATTGAGATGATCGTCTTTCCACTCTACTGTGGCACATTGCTAGACCTTGCCCTACTTCCTCTTTTCTCCGAAGCAACAATGACTTCCCGTATTGCTTTTACTACAGGATATCCGCTCACGTCGCTTTTCGTACACTGGTTCATTGGCACATGCTACATGTTCCACTTTGCACTATTTGTGTCCATGTGCCGAAAGATCTTGAGAACAGGTGTTCTCTGTAAGTTTTGTTTCCCCCCCCTCTCATACTTTCTAAATTCTAATTTCACTCCGTCAGACTTCATTCGAGATCCAGATGATCCTACGTTTCACCCCATTCGCGATGTCCTGGAGCGCAGCATTACGACTCAACTCCGTAAAATCGGCTTCAGTGCCCTTGTATATGGCACGTTGGTCATCATTTGCTTGGGAGGAGTTGTGTGGGGTCTGGATTTTGCATTCGAGGGTGTTCTACCCATACACTGGTCCGCTAGGGCCCCCATGCTTGAATTCCCGGTTGACCTTTTGTTCTACAATTTCATTATGCCACACATCATCCAATCCTTCAAGCCTTCAGATGCGCTACACGACCTGTACGACTGGTGGTTCCACCAATGTGCGCATTTCCTACGACTCAGCAACTTCTTCTTTCCGGACAGACGCCCAGAAGAGGAAGGGCATTACGTTTACCGGACTTGGTGGGGCGTGTTTGCAGCCAGTAATGGTGAGTGGGAACGTCCTGTGATTGGGGCAGCTGAACAGGCTGCTGCAGAGAACGAAAACCGTGAGGTGTATTTCTTGCGCGATGGCCGATACGTCCGGGCTCCTGCCTCAGACCAGGTTCGCATACCTAAAGGAACCCAAGTTTTCTTGGATGTGACCGAGAACAATGAACGTGTTGATGGGAAAGTCGATGTGGAAGATGGACTGCATGGCCGTTCCAGCAACATGTTTGCCAAAGTCTACATCCCTCCTTACTTCCGTCTCCGAATCGCCGCGTTTATTCTCTTCATCTGGCTGTTTGCTGCCACCACTGGAGTAGGAATCACCATTATTCCGCTCGTTATCGGGCGGAAGATGATATCGTTATTTTTCTCCAGCTCTGTCCCTGTGAATGATATTTATGCATTCTCTAGCGGCCTATGCGCCGTTTTCAGTTTTGGTTACGTGATGTATTACTGTCGCGTTGCAGTACAAGCCATTCGAGGAAACTCATGGGCATACTTGCGGTCTCCAACTCGGCTCGTCAGGCTTTCTGCATCCATCGCACTCGATGCTGGGCGCCTGTTTTATATATCTGTCATCTTTGCCGTTCTGTTACCGACTCTTTTTGCACTTCTTACGGAGCTCTATGTGCTGATTCCTTTGCATACCTTATTTGGGGATGGAAAATCCCATGTCGTTCATGTCGTTCAAGATTGGACGCTAGGTGTACTTTACGTCCAGATGGCTCTCAAGTTGACTTCTTGGCATCCTCAGTCCTGGGCCGCGGCCGTTCTTAATGGCATATTTCGCGATGGTTGGCTTCGCCCCAATGTGCATCTTGCCACGAGGGCTCTCGTTCTCCCCTTGTTGCTCTTCACAGCTGCTGCCGTTGTTGTACCCCTCTCAATTGGCGGTATTCTGGGATACACCGTTCTCTACTGGGTTGAGGCGCAGCAAAAGATTTACCGCTATGCTTACCTCTCTACCCTCCTACTTGCCTTGGCCTCTTGGACTGCCCACCTCTTACTCAAGTGGGTCACCATCTGGCGTATGAACATGCGGGATGATGTGTACCTCATCGGAGAGCGATTGCATAATTTCAGTGAGAAGCGGGCACGGGACGTTGGTGTTCCGCGGAGAGTGATCACAGGGTGATAAAAAAGTGGATGAAGTCTAACCAGGTTGGAGGACATTTGTGTGACATTCAAAATATTCCCTATTCAAGTTTCATTTTATGCTTTCCCCTTCTTCCCCCCTTTCAACATAAAGTGTGTGTTAGTATTCTTTCTCTTTCTCTTTCTCTTTCTCTTTTCTTTGCAACTTTACATTTAGAACATTATTAAGGCATATTTTATGACAATGCATACTACGAGCTTGTGCTTTCAAATGATACAATGTGGATACTACTATACGTTCGAGTCCATACTGGTGCGGGTCTGGCCGCGGATCCAAAATTTCCCAAGGCCAGAAGGAACTGAGGGGTCTTTTTTTTTCGTATAGGTAATATTACCGTGATTCTGATACCACCCGAGATAACAGTCATATTTACTCCGTATACTCTCAAGTTAGTCGATTTTAGGACCGGTACTGCATACTACCCTACAAGCATTAAAGCTAAGAAATCACCTGAATTATGATAAACCTGGTTTCCCCGCTAGCCATCTGAACCCTGACTAACGTGAGCCACCAAATAGTAATATCACAATATTGACGACCGGGTATACAAGTTACATCTTTTTTTACTAATACTCTTCTCAAGTGCTTTTTTTTGATCTGTTAGTTGGGAAATACCAAAAATACATCAATTGAGATGCCTGCCACGTGACCCCACCATCTCCACTTCATTGCACGAACGGGGAACGTTGATTGGTTAGGCAACAGGATTCCCTTGAATCATCCCGCATCGGGTCTATCGCTGTAATCGCCGCGCCCAGGCACCCACTGATGGTCCATCTTCTTCTTCCCTGCCCTTCCTGCTTTGTGTGGGATTCTTGATCTTTTAACCCCTCAGCATGTGTCTGCGATAATCCGCGTCTTTTCCAATCAACTTTTAGTGATCATTTCGTCCCGACTGAATCGTTATCGCCAATATGTCCGTCATGCGCCATGGAGGAGGCGGCGGCTTCCTCCAGCGCCGCCTCACTAAGTTGTATACCGATACCAAAACCTCTTGTGAAAGTGTCACCACGGCTTCGAAGGCACTTGACGACCCCGAACTTATCGCCCTTCATCAGAGTTTCCAAAAACAACGAGATCGATTGTTGGCCTGGGGTTTGGATTGGAGCGACGACAGCGCCGCTCAGCCCAACGACATCGATGAGTCTTTGACTGCGGCGGGATTCAGCGATGTAGTTGAAAGCGTTATGTCTTCGATCCAGGACCAACTCAACGAGGCCGAACGGGTTCAGCACCTCGACCCGCCGATGCGCCCTTCGAAAGACCGCAAAATAGACCCGTCCAAAGAAGCTCTCGGAAGCGGACCCCTCAAAACCCAGTGGACAGACGATGATATCAGCCGGTCGCAAACAATTTTGAGTGACTTGACGGCCTGTATTGACACACTATACGATCTCTCCCGCTCACGGCGGACAATGGCCTCCAGCATGTCGTCATCCAAGCGCCGTGCTCGACCTATTCCGGCTTCACCACATGGCTCCTATTCTGAATCAAAAGAAAAGGTCCAAAGCCCGAAGCAAAACTCCGAACAATATACCCTATCTCCTTCTGCTATCCAGCGTGATTTTGGCGCTCCATTCATCTCATCCCACCATCTTATAATCCAACGATCCGCCTTGCAGCTATATGGGGGCGCTGATGATAACAATCCTCCGCCGTATGAACCAGTCGCGGCTTCTTCTAATTCGCGTGCCGTTGGTCGATTGAACACTTCAGCTTCGCTTGCCCTACAGAGATCTACCAAAGAATCTCATGTATCGGTCTTAGTTGAGTTCATGCCAATTATGGTGGATTCCCAGAGGAACTCGAAGAATTCCCGTCTGGAAAAGCTACAACAATCCCTGGAGCAGTTGCTACAGAATGCCAAGGTCTCTCATCTCGGCCTATTACGATTTCTGGGCTACTGCATTGATGAGCCTAACGCTCGTTACGCCTTCCTTTATCAGATGCCCGTCGATTATTTCCCATTTTTACGCAACCCGAGTGACTTGTTGAAAGAATTAAAGCCCATGCCGCTTGTATCGCTTCTGCCTTCTCCTTCTGCAGAAGACTATCGCGAGAAGCGGATGCCAAATCTGGAGACGCGCTTTCGGCTTGCCTATGATCTTTTGATGTCTGCCTTACATCTACGAACTCAAAATGCAGTCCATGGTAATATAAACAGTAGCAACATCATTTTCTTTCCTGGCCGGACAGATGCGAATAACGATGAAAGTGGGTTGGCTCCCGATCTTCGTCGTCCTTATCTGACTTCTCCGGCTCGGTTCTCTGGAGACGGACCTACCCCCGAGCCATTGAGTACGGCCATGTATCGCCATCCTGAAGACAAGAGAAATGTTGACGATGATGGTGCGTGGGCTTATGACCTCTACTCGCTCGGTTTGATTTTACTGGAAATTGGTTTATGGGCACCGATTGGTCGCCTATGGAAGACGAAGTATGACCGCACCTGGTTCAAGCACCGCGTCGAAGACTTGTACGTGAAGAAGCTTGGCGCAAAATGCGGTGGCGCATACCTCCAGGCTGTGCAGCTTTGTCTTGATGCGCCAAACTTCCATCTTTCTACACAACCAATGACGGACCTTTCCCTCCGTGTTCCTCAAATATACCATTACCCCGTCCTTGACTTGTCCGATCCCGACGGAACGTTTTCTTTTTCGATGAACTTTATGTACACCATTTGCAAGATTTTATGGTCATGCTGTCGGATTGATATCTTTTCGGCGCCGTCTGCCGAGGAATTGGATGACTACCTACCGCTAGCTCTTGTCCCCACCCCCGAGCCTACGCCCGAAAATGAGCAGGTAGCTGCATATATGTCCGCCCGTGAGACATCTCTCTTGGACAAGAAGCTGCCAACAATTCCCGGTGAACAGTGGGGTACAGTGACACAGGAGAAAAGCCTAGAAAAGCTCGCCAAGAAACGCACAGTCAAGCGGCTTCCTAATATTGATATTCCGGATGAGCATCTACAAGAATGGAATTTCCAGATGATGCCGAAATTGAGCCGACTCCTACAAAAGATTCTGAAAGAGTCAAACGAGTCCTGCGGGGCCACTTTAATGATGACCGGAGAATCAGCCGAAAACGCTCGGACCACTATTTGTGTTACATGTGCTAGTGTTAAGAAAGTTCGATCTGCCCTGAAGAAACACTTTCAGATAGGCCGTGACGATTGGGATCTTATTGTTCTTCGAGGTGACATCGAACGATCGAAGGTTCCTCGCAATAAACGCCGCAAGCCGGCGAAGACGCGTCCTAACGGATCCAATGAAACGCCTTTTCGTCAACGAGAACTGAATCCGTGTTACCAGCAACGACCCTTATGCGGAGCCTCAATTGGTGCTTTCCAAAATGAGGAACACTTACCTCCAGTTTCTTATGGTGGAGCAGTCCTAGTCGATGGAATGCCCTATGGTCTGACTGTCCATCACATGCTTGAGGCCCCAAGTGATGATGAAGGCTACGAGAATGACGATCAAGATGGCCCGGCTCGCTCCGCAGGTAACTGGCCTCGCAATACGCCCACGATCCCGCAAACGGATTTGATGTATACTCATCCGGACAGTGAACGATCGGAATTCAATCTAGACCTCGAGATCTCGGATTTTGAAGATGACGATGATGCATCACAGGGCCCGGATGGCGGCCACGATGAATACTGGCTATCTGAGGATGACTCCTCTGACGATGAATCTATCGACCCCGACAATGATGACGACGACGCTGCATCAATAGGCGACACAACTGGCATTGACCCTGGTGAAGAACCACGTCTTTTTGTCACCCAACCGGCCATTGATGATGTCCATGAGGATTTTTTTCCATCCCCCGAAGACCGCGATGATGAGCATCTTGCCTCACATTCATTAGGTTACATCCACGCCTCTTCGGGTGTGCGACGCTGGATGTGGAAAGGAATTAAACATGAGATCGACTGGGCTCTCATCAAAGTCGACGATTCCCGCATGGATCCTCGAAATATCATCATTGATAACACGACGTCCTCCCCTACCAGACCCACCCCTGGACGACTCGCCCAACGTCCACCCATATATCTCAATCAAATTGCGCGGATGGAGGAATTGGGTGGTTTGCAGGTTCTTTGTTGCGGCCGTACAAGTGGACTACAATCTGGTCTCATATCGAAGGCAATGACGCTGGTCAAGCTGCATGGTCGGCACTCCTTTTCGACCAGCTTCTGTGTCAATGGGAATTTTGGAGGTAAGAAGCGCACTTCGCAGATTAATGTTTATGTCTATACGATTCTTAATTAGATACCCTTTGCTTTTGTTTTGCCATACCCCTGTGATTCCCCTTCCTGTCAAGTCGGTAAACAATAACCATCTTAAGACCAACCCACCCTTATATGAAGTAAACTGTTCTTTGAAGCTAACCATATGCAAAGCCCCCGGCGACTCCGGCGCATGGGTATTTGACAGATCCAACGGTCGCGTCTGCGGTCATGTTCTAGCCTGGTCCGAGAAAACCAACACTACCTACATTGCCCCCATGGAAGTCACCATCGAAGACATAACCCGCACCCTCAATGCCACCCTCGTCTCCCTACCTGGCGATCCCACCCAGTCTTTGGGGTATGCATCCTCTGGCTCGCCGCAATCGGCCCAATACCGCTACCAATCGCAACAACTTCCTGGAGACTTCGGTCGCTTGACTGTTGGCGGCCCTCCCACGCCCCCAATGCCTCCGCCGCATGCTTTCCCCCACCCTCATCCGCACCCCCACTCCCATCCTCACCATCCAGGCTTCGGTCGGCCTCCACCACCACCTCCCCCTCCTCCGCGCCCCGGCTCTCGGGAAGCTCATGGTTTCCGCGGCCGGATGTCCCCTATACCACCTTCCCTTTTGACAGGACCTCGCAATGTTGAGCGTCAGCTTGCCTGATTCTGGGGCTATACCCTCACACTGTCTTTTTATAAGCAGACCGTTCTGGAAGATACACTCGGCTTTATGATTTGCAGGATTTATGATTTGATTCGAGAATACCCATTGTTGCTAACTAGAAATTGTTCTTTACCTACTTGATATTCTTACATATTGTATATTTTTGGTTTCTTCCAAAGTTCCAAGTGTTCCAACCCCATCCTCTACCTAAGAGACATCAGATTTAGAACATTTGAGCCTCGGATATATCAATAACTATATTCTAATGTTGTTTGCAACCCACATCCAGCTTATGTATCTCTCAAGTGCTCCATCCGTGGGCGTTCATGCTGGAAACATCCATTGGAATTGCCTTTGACAACGTGGAGCCCATATAATTTCCCGAGCTCTAAGTCTTATTGGACATCCATGGATGGATCAGTGTAGAATACGGGATATCCGAAAAATGACGATTGGGTCTGAATAGTATGTTGCATAAAGCAGCATGATTCGACGCAGACCTGAAAGTGGCGTTCCTAGATCGATGGGCTTGAGTCGGAATGGCCGATATGTTCAGTGCATGTGGTTTTCGGGAACTGCCAAATTCCGACCTTTAACATTCTTCTAGAAGCTGGAGTTAGACTTTTTTACGATCAGTGTATCCAGAATATTTGAAGGAAATCTAGATGTCTACAATGTCTCATGGGCTGAAGGTGAAGGGGATTGAAGTTGAATCCCCCCCAAAGCCCCACTTGACACTGCCGGGATTCCCCACATTCCGCTTCAAAAGGTTCCGCATTGCACTCCTCCAGGGTTGATTGCTTTTGTTTTTCGAAAAAAGCACTTCTACACCCCACATGTGAATATATTCTTCAGCTCTTTTGTTCTGCGCTAATCTCTTAATTCAGACTTCTAATATCTCGTCAGCAACTTGACTTGTAAACCGGAAAGCTACGCATGGCGGCCTTTATACTGCAACCCACCACCAAGCAATCCCACGATTCCCACCTTTGGAAAACCCGATCTATCCGAGCGGATCAGACTTTCTCCCCACATTTTGCCTTGGCGTCTGCGCGTGATCTTATTCTTACCTGCAGGAATCCCCGAGATCGCTTGAGGTTACCCTCGCTTGCTTTCCCCCGACCTATACCGAGCGATCTCGGCGCACGGATTCCATTAACAGTCAACTTCTCCGCACTTGGGGCTTCTTTCAGGTTGCTCCCCAAGTCTTAGTTGGACGCTAGTGAGTAAATAAGGCATCTGGACGTTTTAGAACTTGGTATTTACGCCACCTGTGGATCTATGGCAAGGTTTTGTCCTGCCGATATATTCCCGGTTGGGACTTTGGGCAAATGTGAACAGAGACTAACGCTGTCTCAATAAGCTAGATGACCGTGGACGGTATGGGCAAGGAGGAAGAGATGGAGGGGAAGCAGAAAAGGACGTAAAAGCGGGCGGGGTTTAGAGATGATGCCATCATGGTGCACAGTAGCGGTGCATTGCTTATAAAAGGGGACATTCATCCTTCGTAGGAAGGCCCTTTCCGATCAAACAAGTTCGATCCCAGGACTGGAGTCTACTGTGTTTTTTTTTTTCGTTTACCATGTTAAATTCCTGGGGAACAGCAACCCTGCTGGTGGGACTTGCCCTCAGCAACTATGCCGTAGCTGGAGATGTCATTACCAGTGACAGTTACTTCTATGGCGAGTCTCCTGCGGTGTACCCATCTCGTAAGTTCAGTGCTTGCTTTCCACCGTTGTGATCCTTTCATGGCGCGGTCATGTATGTTTTCATTGAGAATTATCACTAAGTTATGACAAAGCTATCGGGTCTGGGACTGGAGACTGGGCTGCTGCATATGTGAAAGCCAAGGCTTTTGTGGCCAAGCTCTCTGATGATGAGAAGGTTAACCTCACAGCTGGTGTGACATCAACCACCAGCTGCTCTGGATTTATTCAACCAATCGAGCGCTTGGGATTCCCGGGAATGTGTGTGAACGACGCTGGAAATGGTCTTGTAAGGAGTACTCTCCAAGTTTCTTCAATATACTGCTACACTCACTAATCATTGAATCCTTCAGAGAGGACCTGACTATGTCAACGGTTGGGCAGCTGGTATTTCCGTTGGGGCCAGGTACGTTTCCTAGATATCATTGGACCTTACTCTAGCTTGGGGTATTGGTATTATACTGATGCTCACAACTCTCCCCCCTACAGTTGGAATCGCGATCTTGCCAATTCTCGGGGCACATACATGGGCAAAGAGTTCCGCACAAAAGGTGTGAACATGATCCTTGGACCCGTTGTGGGTCCCCTCGGTCGTGTAGCACTCGGTGGACGTAATTGGGAAGGGTTCGCCGCCGACCCTTACCTCAGTGGAATTCTCCTCGCCGAGTCTGTGAAGGGTCTCCAGTCCCAGAATGTTGCAACATCTCTCAAGGTATGTTCGGATATTCAGGCCACTTGAAGAAACTGCAAGTCTAATACGCAAGCAGCATTTCATTGCCTATGAACAAGAAACCAATCGCAACCCCGCTACATCAGATGGCATCACTACTCAGTCCGTATCTTCTAACCTGGATGATAAAACCATTCACGAACTTTATCTTTGGCCATTCCAGGATGCAGTGCTTGCTGGTGCTGCTTGTGTCATGTGTTCATATAACCGATTAAACAATTCCTACGCTTGCCAGAACAGCAAATCCCTGAATGGCTTACTGAAGACTGAGCTTGGCTTCCAAGGTGAGGATTTGATGATGCAGCCTCTGATTAATGAAATCGAATGCTAATATAGATAAAAAAGGCTACGTTGTTACTGATTGGGATGCTCAACATGGTGGTATTTCTAGTGCCAATGCTGGCCTTGACGTTGTGATGCCCTCATCAACGCTTTGGAACAGTAATTTGATCACTGCTATCACGAACGGAACAATGAAGGCCTCGCGTTTAGATGACATGGTCACAAGGTAAGCGCTTGTGTCCAGAAGGTCTTGATGACTTAAAAATACTAATGCATTTTGACAGACTCATGGCCACATGGTATTACCTAGACCAAGAAACAGCATTCCCTAACCCGGGTGTTGGAATGCCACTCAGCGTCACCGAGCCTCATCAAGCTGTCATCGCTACATCGCAAGCAGCAAAACCAATCCTTCTTCAGGCTTCCATCGAGGGCCACGTCTTGGTGAAGAATACCAACAATGCTCTTCCCTTGAAGTCACCAAAGTTAATTTCGGTTTTCGGCTATGATGCCTACACCCCAATGGTCATGAACCTCGTCAGCAGTTTTTCAAACCTCAAAACCACTCGATCACCCCTCTATCAGAATGGAACCCAGTGGGTCGGCGGTGGTTCCGGCGCTAACTCGCCCGCCTACGTTGATGCTCCTATTAGCGCCATCCAGCGCCGTGCATACGATGATGGCTCGTCCGTTCTCTGGGACTTCACTTCCGAGAGCCCATCTGTGGACGCTACTTCCGATGTGTGTTTAGTGTTCCTCAACGCTTACGCCACTGAAGGATACGACAGAGCAGCTCTCTACGATGACTACAGCGACGCGATCGTGACAAACGTCGCTGACAAGTGCGCCAACACTGTTGTCGTGATCCACAACGCTGGTATCCGCACTATCGAGGCCTGGGTTGACCACGCCAATGTCACTGGTATCATCTACGCCCACCTCCCCGGTCAGGACAGCGGCCGCGCCTTGGTGGAGGTTCTCTACGGAGATTCTAACCCCTCGGGCAAACTGCCCTACACCGTCGCTAAAACACAATCCGATTACGGCGATCTGCTTGAGCCTTCCGAGCCCGAGGGTATATATGAGTACTTCCCGCAATCTGACTTCTCTGAGGGTGTCTACATCGATTACCGCGCCTTTGATAAGAGCGGAATCGAGCCCCTTTACGCTTTTGGCTATGGTCTCTCTTACACAACCTTTGGTTACTCCAACATCAGGGCATCCAAGACCTCTTCTTCGTCCTCACAGTACCCCGCTAAGGCAGCGATTGTCTCCGGTGGAAACCCCCATCTCTTTGATGCGTTGGTGACCGTCACCGCTACTGTCAAGAACACTGGTAGCGTTGCTGGCCAAGAGGTTGCCCAGCTTTATGTTGGTATTCCCAATGGGCCTGTTCGCCAGCTTCGTGGCTTCGAAAAGATTCTAATCAACCCGGGCAAGTCTGCTACTGTGAGCTTTAGCTTGACTCGTCGTGATTTGAGTACTTGGGACACCACTGCGCAGCAGTGGCTGCTTCAGCGGGGAACGTATAATATTTACGTCGGTAGTAGCAGCAGAGACCTTCCTCTTCAGACTACTTTGACCTTCTAATTTAATCTGGAATAATTGAGGGAGAACATGAAGAGTATTCTCGTTGTCTACCTTTTTTGGTCATCTGTGGAGAAAAACACCCGCTTGCCGCCCATAACCACTACGCGCTGGCTGACGCACGGCGACTGGTGTTGATGGCGGGGTTGTTCTATATTATTGTTGACATCCTGGCAAGCGAGTTCACTGGAAGAGGAAGAGACCGGCTGGAGGTTCTTTTGAAGGCCTAATAAAAAAAAAGAAACAAATATCTTGTTAGATGGCTCAACCGGGCTTCTTATACTCTGGGGGGAGGATGTGATTGAGTTGGAATATTGTCCTGCGTTTGAATACCAAGATCTTCATTGGAAGGCTTGAAATGGTTCTTATCATACTCATAGACCATTGGATTATTTTCACAGAATTTAAACTCGTTCTTCTCGCTCGAAACCATTTGTTTCAATGAGATACCCATATTTAATAGTTACTAGCCTCTGCTTTCCTCGGACTGAGAGGTGAGGTTCGTTTCCAGGGTCTGCTTAGAGTACTTAGTCAGACTGTACTGCAAGCTGACAGGGCCTGAATTCATGTACGGATCTCCACATTCCAACTTTAAGTAAGACGACATGTTACGAGGAAAATGCCCAAAGTCAATCAGATGACGGATAAATTGAAAAGGGGAACTGTTGGAAAACGTTCATGCATCTGTCGAATACGAGGAGAATACGAGATGAATACGAGAAGGCAAAGCGCACCTCCACAAGTCGCAACTCGCCCCACGGCTTTATCTCAATCGCAATTTTTCTATTCTTAAACAGATACCCACACGCTGACAATTATAAAAGACAGGAAAGCCAAGGCACTGAAGTCTCACTTTTGCAGGGTCTAGTACATGTGTGCTGTAGCTTAGCTTGATAAGGTTTACGTCCACAGGTGCCCTCCAGACAAATAGCCCTGGACGATAGATGGACAAAGCGAGATTTGACAATTTGTCAGGCAATTCAATTCGGATGTGCGCCGAGTTAAGTAAAGAGGCGTCTTTGAAACAAATTGGATAGTCGATTGACTCCACTTTGCCTTCGGCAGTTCAGCCAGCACTCGGTATTGTAGAATGCCACGGCCCACAGGCCTGCAACTGCGGCTAGAGTGGCTGAATACCTTTTCCCGCAGAGCGTGCCAACGTAGGATCAAAGCACCGAGGGCTATTTTTTGCTAGCTTACGTGGGCTTTGGCGTGGGCCAACGCCACAAGCACAAGCTTTTGATCGTGATGCGGCAGGAGAAAAATTAACTCGCGCTAATCGCTGTGAAGCCCCACAGCCAAGTTGAAAATATGTATACGGCTGGTGCCTGAACCACAGAGTAGATGTCACGTGTTTGTTTACAAACCGACAGGTAGTACGATAAAGGCAGGGACAAAGGCTCGATTTCAAGATTATCGTAATTCAGAAATTCAAAATCAATAATAATCGACTTCTATACTGAGCATATCGTAAGTACCAGAGATCTATTTGACAGGCATGGGGCATCTATGTATAACCTGTTGATGCCCAGGTCACGTGCATGGGCCGTAAACAAAGCAAAGCATAAGTTACTAGTATTATGTGTGCATAATAAAAATCCCCCGATTGTCGCTTCTTTTCCCGCTTTGCTCGCTTTTTTCCCACCAAAACAATCATAGATACCGAAATCACTGGCCAGTAGAATCGAATAATGCAATTGAAAGCCCTGCAGGGTCTGCTCCATAAAAATATAAAAGCCTTGAACAGCCAATCAAGCGATCGCATTTGAGACATAAAAACTTGTTCCTCCAGTCTAGATTCCTGTCAGCGCCCCACGTTTACCTACCGGACGCGTGGTCTGCGTCGCTGCCGCAGCTCTTCGTCATCATGGCTTGGCAAGATACGCGGCCTTACCAATGGCGAATTGGAAATCTTTATCACGCATGATAGACGTGATTGTGTTTTAATCGTGGGTCAGGGTCGATTTTTTTTCGTTGATGTTTCTTTTATACCTTTTTTTTTCCTTTTATCATTTTTTGATACCTTCTAACCTCTGTACCCCCCCGCAACGTCCGTGGTACGGCAAAAGTCTTTTCCAACCCCAACTATTGGGCAACCTTAATTGTGTTTACTCCGTTTCGATGAGTTTTGATCTATACGATAGATCACCAGTTCACAGTACTCGACAATCGGGTTTCTCAAGGATCAGTGAACCACCTGCTTACGGATCGTGGACAATGGGCCCTGAGGGAGGGGCAACGGGCGGTGCGGCAACCGCCGGATATTCTGCATGGGATCCGCGAGGATGGTCGGTGATGAAAAAGCTCGCTGTCGCAGCCGGTGCTGTGGTGATTATCGTCGCTGTTGTTGTGGGATCTGTGCTTGGAGTGCGAGCCACTCGATACCCAAGTTATACCCAACTCAGTTACAGCTTGGTGGACACCTACTCCGGGTCGGATTTCTTCGATAATTTTTATTATGCTACCTCTGATCCGTCAGGTGGATTTGTACAGTATGTCTGCAAACCTTCAAGTTGTTTTGTCAAATACCCGATCTCTAGCTAACCACCTTCTACTAGGTACATTGATAGATCTGCATCTGAGTGGCTCAACTTAACTTATGCCACCAACACATCTGCCGTGCTCAAAGTGGATACAACATATAGTGGTTCAGACCAGGTAGCTGATGGTCGCCAATCCGTTCGCATCACCTCCAACAACACTTATGCCGATGGCCTCTTTGTGTTTGATATTTTGCACACCCCATACGCATGCGGTCTCTGGCCCGCGCTGTGGCTTTCAGACCCAAGTAACTGGCCAGACAACGGCGAGATTGATGTGATGGAAGCTGTCAATATGGGTGAATGGGGCAACCAGGCAACGCTCCACACAACAAAGGGATGCAGCATGGGCGTGAAGCGGAAGGAGACCGGTACTGCTCTTTACAAGCAATGTTACTGGGATGCCAACGACGAGTCAGGATGTGGAGTGAGAAGTGCCAAGGCCAACTACGGTCCCGAGTTCAATGCAGCGGGCGGTGGTGTAAGTTGCTCTTTCGCCCACACCCACAAAAGATGAAACAATATGGCTAATCTTTGCTTAGGTATATGCGATGGAGCTCCGCGACGCAGGAATTCGAGTCTGGAATTGGATCCGTGATGATATTCCCGATGATATTACCTCGGGAAGCCCCGACCCTTCAACTTGGGGCAAGGCGTACGCCGATTTCCCGAACACAGACTGCAATATCGGGAATCATTTCACCAATCAGAGCATCATTGCAAATATCGATTTCTGCGGAGGTTGGGCAGGTGCGACGGCGTACTACACCACACAGAGTGGTTGTCCAGACACTTGCGAGACGTTCGTGATGGACAATCCATCAAATTTTACGACGGCATACTGGGAGTTTAAGAGTTTCAAAGTTTATCAAGCGAGTACATAGAATTTAGACGTATATTTTGTTTAAATAATGGCATTGGCGTTTATCGGATGTTTCTTTGAAGGTCATTCCTATATCTTTTTTCCTATTTTGTAGCATGGCCCCGAAATCTCGAGGCCTCAAACATTGATGACATCTGGATGCACATGTGTGGACATCTGGATATTTGAACGCTGCTACTTTGCCACATACCACATGTGCAGCCTCATCAACAATTCATAGCTAACATTTGTTTGAACCATTGATATTGATGTATGTACCGTGCATGTGGACTACCTTTTGAATAAGTGCGCTGCTCCTCCAGACATCATGTCCAGTCTTCAACACATTTGAATTAATCTATTAGTGCCAGCTCAATTGGTCTGGCGGAAATATATATTTACGCGATTTGAATAATTTTCAAGGGTCCTAGTTAGAGGAACATTTGAAGTAGCCCTAGATGTATCCCACCTTGAGCCAGTTGACCTTAAAAGTGTACACGTGCACATGTGTGTATGCAAAATTGAACATTCACTTTGAATCAATACTTGCAATGGGCATATATACTACTACTCAGTACTCAAGATGAGCTTCAGTACTTACTGCATGTGGGCACTGAAGTTGGGTACCTAGTAGGTATTGTACACACTACTACTCAGTGCCTATTTTCACCTCCTAATTTTCAACTGCCAATCAATTGAAGTTCCAACTGGTGACGAAACAAGCCACAGCCCCCTCCCCCCCCCTCTATGTACTCGTAGAAAGACGGGCTTCTAAAGGAGCACTATATGTGCATCCCAATCTTCACCCTGTCGAATGTTTAAACAGGTTAAATATCCTTGTCGACCCGGAGATCCGAAACCCTGATGTGGATGAAAGAATTCCCAACAAGCTCGCATTTCGCAGTGACGTTCCCTGATCCAAGAACCTTGATGCTGATTTAACTCTAATTTAGACGTCGGACTACTGCGCGTGCCCCCGACACGTGTCCCACCCGGCCCCGAGTCCCCGACACGGGCACCCACACTTATTTCGAAGGTTATCGGCACAACAAGACGGGGCCCCACACGGGATCCCCGCATTCCTCACCACATTAAAAACCCCAGCACCAACAACCCTTGCAAGCCGACCAAGGGAAATGATCATACGATGGGCTCCCGCCTCGGGGCAAGCCACTGAAATGACGATTGCGGGGGATAAGACAATAAGCAACAAGCCTGCTTTTACCCCGGATCCGCTCAGCTCTCCACGCGATGATGACCGGGGTAGAATCAGGGATATATAATCGAGATGCACAGAAGCCATTGCTTACATTTCCTGCTCACGGAATGATTTCTTGTTCAATATGTGGCAATCTTCAAAGCCCTACTTTGGCCTCCGGGGAGGATGGCTTACATTCTGGATGACTCTAGCCTGTGGTGCGGATATGACACTTTCGGGATACGATCAGGGGGTGTTCAGTGGAGTTGTCATCTCTCAAGACTTTCTTCGACTGCATGGCCTTGAGGGACCTACCAAGACGACACTTCTAGGTACGGTGACTGCTATTTATGATGTGGGGTGTTGTCTTGGCTCGTTGCTTGCCTATTCTGTTGGCGAGCGACTTGGTCGGAGGAATACTGTTCTCGTGGGCACAACGATCATGACCATCGGTGCTATCTTGCAGGCCTCTTCCTATAGCCTCGCTCAAATGATGGCAGCGCGGGTGATTGCTGGGATCGGCAATGGTAAGAGAAGTCTACTTAGTGTCCAATTCGTGTTTTGCAGATGCTGATTGCTTCCCTTCGTCTCCCCATAGGCCTCAACACCTCAACAGCGCCCATTTGGCAAGTCGAAACCTCCAAGGTGCAGTGGCGTGGGAAACTGGTTATTTTGGAGAACTGTCTTCTCCTGGTTGGCTTTTCTCTTGCCAATTGGCTGAACTACGGTCTCTCGTTTGTCGATGGTCCGGTTTCATGGCGTTTCCCCTTGTCCTTCCAGTTGATCTTCAACCTTATCCTGTTTTTAACGGTTCCTTGGCTTCCCGAATCCCCAAGGTGAGTATTTAATAATATCCGATCTACTGAACAATCTCCGAAGCTGACGGCTTCTCTGTTTCCCGCTCGCAGATGGCTTATCGCCCACGACCGTTCAGACGAGGCTGTCCAAATCATCGCCGATCTCGAGGATCAAGAGCCAACCTCCGCATTTGTCCAACTTCAACTGAGCGAAATCCAATACAGCGTCGAGTACGAGCGGTCTAACAGCGTCAGCTTCAGCGATATAATCCGCGGGCGTGCTAGCGAGAAGTCAGGCACAAACACAATTCGCCGTCTCGTGCTGGGTATGGGAGCTCAGTCATTCCAGCAATTTACCGGAATCAACGTGACATCCTACTACCTCCCGACCGTACTGACCACTTCAGTTGGGCTCAGCGAATCACTGGCACGTTTACTCACAGCATGTAACAGCGTGCAGTACTTGTGTTTCTCCTTGGTCGGCATTCCTAGCGTTGAACGCTGGGGGCGACGCAGACTGATGATGTTTGGATGCGCGGGAATGTGTTTCTGTTACGTATTCATCACGGCGCTTATCAGATACAGCGAGATGGTTGGATACTCACATCGTGAGCAGGTAGCCTCTGCATCAGTCGCGTTTTTCTTCCTCTACTACGTTTTCTTCGGCATTGGCATGCAGGGCGTGCCGTGGCGTGAGTTGAAGATCTTTAATCTTTCATTTCATTCTTATGATCCCGTTCCAGGGTTAACATGTTGCTTCCGTCTTCTAGTTTACCCAACCGAGATCAACTCGCTGACGATGCGCACGAAAGGAGCAGCTCTGGGAGCTGCAACAAACTGGATTATGAACTTCATGGTCGTCGAGATTACACCAATCGGTATTCAGAACCTGGGGTGGAAGTTCTACATTATTTGGATCGTGTTGAATGCTGCAATCGTACCCACGGTTTATCTGTTTTACCCGGAGACAGCGGGTCGGACTTTGGAAGACATGGACGAGTATTATCGTGGCAGTCCTCCTCTCTTGGCGTGTATGGACAAAGAGGCGATTTCATGTGAACGACCAGAGAGGTACCATGCGCGAAACGAACACATCATGCATGCCAAAAGTATTGAGAACACAGAACATGTTGAGAGTGTGACATGAGGCAGGTAGGAAGTTCCCAGTGCTTGCCTGGACATGAAGCTGCGATAAAGTTCGAATATGATTATGTTGAATGCATGATTGGTAATAGAGATAACCTAGACATTCCATGATTGATTCGATTCCAATGTTTAGTACATGGATACCTACTACCATCAAATCAACTTTGCAAGAAATTGAAATTCTGTCTTTTCACGAGTTGCAGATGTGCCCAGATATTGATGGCATTTTTATCCGCATGAAATAAAATCGTAGTAGTAACTACTAGTTTTCTTCAACAGATGTTATTAGTGGAAAAACAGTCAAAGGGGGTTGCCAGATGAGCGTGCAGAGAATAAACACGTTGGATGAAGAGTTGGAAGTGTTACCATAATAAACTTGAAGATGCCATAAAGTAGGATTATCTTGAGAAAATGCAAATTCCGTTGATGGGAACTCGGAATGTTTGAACTTGAAGTTGAAGTTATGGATGAAAAGAGGAGAAATCAACATTGCAAGCATTCGAAGCCTTCAAAGCCATCCATTCTTCAAAGCCATCCGACAAAAAGTTGAACACACGACAAAAAACACAGAATGGTTTGATTTTATGTACAAATGGGTTTGTCCTAGCTTCCCCGCATGTTGTGAGGCAAAGAGCCAAACAGCATGGGGTACTGGTCGCCAGCACTGCGTAGAAGTGCAGACCCGTCGCTGGCGCGTCAACTACTCCTGACCGAGTCAGAGGGACGTAGTCAACGCCCAAAAGCATATCACCGAAGCGAAAATGCGATTGGGAATCTGTTCAGAAGTAGAAAGTAGCCCGATGAACGCAGTTCACCTGACGCCGTAAACTTCCTTGGAGCTGCTTGAGTCAACAGAAGAGCAGATCCCGAGACTCACGGACCGCAATCCCGCGGAAAGACGACAACCAAGACAAACACCACATGAAACAGAGCTCACGTGTATGCGAAATGGAAAATCTGAATCTGGAGACCGTATCGCAGACCCAACCAACACCGACTTTTGAGAACTGACTCATGCCAACCCACAGGGACCGTGAGGAATTGCCAGCGTAGCAACATCCAAGGGCAGATCGATATCCAGAACATCCAAAGGCAGTTCGAATATGAAGTATGTACAAAGCTTGAAACTGCCCAGGGACCACCTGTTGAAGGGAGACGACAGAACGCATGGACAATGAGCATCAAGAACAGAGACCCTGCCAGTTTGACCTGACAGCTCTTACACCGGTCGACCGAGTCGCAGGTAGCGCAAAAGCCCAAGAACACAACACAGAACATGTTGCATCCAGGGGAGATCTCTGTCCAAGACCCCAAAACCCTGTTGAACCCTCAAAGTCGCAAAGAAGAGCAGTCTAAAAGCCTGATTCGATGAACCCAAGAAACTCAACAATCGATTGGAAAACAACAGCAAGCTGCCGAATGCCGCTTGTACTCGTCTTTGTGGAATGCAGTAAAAGTATAGACTCCACTTAAACTGTCAGATACACAGACGCACGAGAGTAGGCGTGGATGATAAAAAAAAAAAAAAAAAAAAAAGCAGGGGGAAGGAAAGGAGGTGAGTAGGGGGCAAAAGATTAGGAATTCTTTTCTTTTCCGACGTTTCATACGCAATGTGGGTAGGAGGCGCTGTCGCGCAAGGTCCAATTTATGAACACGCTGTCCATCCTAGTCATACTTTCATGAAGACCTGGCAAAGCCCAACGGAATTAAGCGATGCGAGGTACGAAAGCCCGTATTGCACTGTGGAATGTCCAGAGTTTGCTGTGCAGGGGAAGGAGTTTGTTTGCAAGTCTTTTCCGCGATTGCCACCAAGTGGGTGAAATGGAATCGTGATGCCAACGAGCTAGTAATCTCACATATGCAAAGGTGAAAGCAACGTCATAGAGGACAGAAGCTGACGGCGATGCGAGCCACTTCGGCGAGCCAGGCCCGCGGAAGCGGATGTGGGTCAGGACGCCGACAGACGGGATCCTTTGGACAGAGGCGATCAAATACTCAACGATCCTGGGAGCGACGACCACCGGAAGTCTCATGCCAATAGAAAGTCTTTCATGTGAAGGCGTATCCCAGGCAACTCTCATAGGTGGGCGTGAGTACTTACTGAGGAAACAACGAATACTGAAACTGCGGTGAGGATCAGGACGAAGAGGCAATGACAACACAGCAACGGGCGACCTGGAACAGCAGAGCTGGATCGTATGAGAGAGACCAAGGGGGGGGGAGCAAACTTAGCTGGAACTGGGGAAAAAAGAAAAGAAGAAAGGAAGAGAAGGGGGGGGGGGGGGACGGGGTATTTATGCCAGAAAACGCGAGTCGCGAGAGACGCGATTGAGACGCGAGATCACCCATACAATTTGGATCAACGAATGAGATCGCAGGATCAAAGAACTCGCTTGCCTCCCCTCTTTCGGGCTGTCACTCCTGAGCTAATTTTGGCCAATGGGGTTGCAGGATCAAGATCACACCCCCTCCCTCCTACTCCACTTGAGTTGATATCAACCCAGTCCCAAAATATTCGTACCCAGTGCCTCTTCACCCGTTGATCTCGTAACTCCCAACCTTAGTTAAAAGGATCATTTTGGCAGAATGATCAGGCTAAATTTTCTCTACATGTAGGTTTTTTTTACAGGTTTGTAGGATTTATATTGAAGATAGGATCAGAGAAAGTCTTCGCTCTCCTGACTTGAAAGTTGGGAAGGATGGAAATTTCAGGAGACTCTTGTTACCCCCTCCTTATAAATCTGGCGATCGATGTTTCTGCATTATTTTCGTTGACTCTCATGGCTACTATTGTTCTCGTTGTTTGTCCCCGCTTGCAACAGAAGCAGAGCACCCTCCCCTCCCTCCCAAGTTGGTGATTAATATTTTCTATTGTCCTCGTTGTCACTCGTGGCCATTGTTCTCGTTGTCTTCCCACTCGGCTTGACATAGAATTTGCCAAAGTTGCACTATTCAATGTCTGTTATTTTTGCTGGATGAAATGAAATGTATGTAAATTTAAGTATTGTTGTGATCGATGCCCCACATACTCCACACATTCAGCTCCAACCAGTAGTAGAACGGCTTGGCACCAGAACAGGACTAGCGTGTTAACCATAATTCAAGTACAATTCTCCGCAAGCTTACTAAGATCAAACTAGCTCAAAGTGAAGCTCAAGGGCAACTGCAAAGTTATCCTCCATAAAAGAGTCATCACTGGATTAGTGGCAACTGACTGGCATTTGCAATTATATGTTTCAATGTTTATTTTCCGTCCTGTCGGGCGTTTCACCCTGCTACGAAATATGCGTGCATGTGCTGACCTGGCATCTCAAGACAACAGAGACTTGGCGTTGGGGTTGAAGCAATTTGCCTAGATTTGGGCACTCGATGACTGAATCACTTGTACGGAGGATGGGCTACGATGATGGCAGTGACGTAGGTGCAATTTGTGGACCCTGAGACCCTGAGGGTCTGAACGGACTAGCCGTGCATGATATCCTCGATTGTGATTCGTCAATGTGAGCCCACTTCCAACGCCAGTGACGTCGATTATCATTGTTTCCATGTTTTATATATCCGGTGCCTGGGCAATTAATCTAAATCCTCGTTTAAGGATGATGAGCATCACTGGTTAAAACCCCACTGCTAGAACTTCTCCATCCCCTTAAATATCGCTAAAGCACGGTCAATCGCTGCTGGAAAATCACCACAACCACATCGGCGCGATCGGTTAACGTCAGACGTGCAATCGGCAGGCATCTCTATCTCTTCATCCACTCGTCAAGATGAAGGAGTCAACATTTAAACTCCAAGCCCTTCTACAGGCGTATCTCCTCTCTATTGCCTCTGCATCCCCCGCACCGACCGCATTCCCCAGCACCGAAGTCAACGTCGCTCCACAAAACCCAATCATTACAGCGTCCCCGGTCGTGCACCACCCCTCTCCGATCGTTGGAAGAAACCTGTTGGACAATGTGGACTCATATGTGGGCAGTGTGCTTTCTGGACTTGGCTCGGATCTTCCGTCATGGGTTGCGTCTGGCGTGCCCAACTTCTTCCAGGGTTTCCCGAGTGGTGACGCAGTTGTCAGTTCCCTCGGCCTGGACAGTACAGAGTTAGCAGCTTTGCCTACCAACGTGCTAAACATTGACCCCTATGCCAATTGGACCAATTCGGGCTGGAACGTCCGCTTCCATGGAAATGTCTACAAGCAACCAAATACCTCAGTCTCTGACTTGAACAAGTTTGCCGATGTCTTCCTTGGCAACACAAGCATCTCCGACCTACCCGAATCCCAGCAGGACCAGGCAAGAAACCTTACAGCGGAAATCCTTGTTGTGCAACAGGCAAACGTCGCTGTTAACACAATTCACCTCGAGCCGGCTCCTAGTCAGGGAGCCAGTGGACAAGCGGGTGGTGGTGGCTCATCGAACACAACGGGCGGCACGCAAGATATTACTCTGCCTTACAACACAACGGTAGAGGGTGATTTTGATACGTTTGTGCCCATTGCCAGCGATGGCCTTACAGCGGGAAATGAAACTTCCGCAATTCAGCGACTCAATACCTACGTGGACGGTGCAACTATCGGGAATAGTACTGCCTATCTCGTGCCTCCTACTGGACTCACGATCGTGTCCGATATTGATGACATCCTTCGTGTCACCAAGATCTATGAGCCGGAGCAAGGATTACTCAATTCCTTTGCCCGGCCATTTACAGCCTGGGAGAATATGCCCGACATTTACCGCAACTGGTCTGTCAGCGTTCCGAACATGCATTTCCACTACCTGGTGAGTTTTTTTCTTGCATTACCTTTCCTCTAAATCCAACGGACTGTTCTAATAAATCCATTCACTGCAATAGACAACCACCCCCGAGCAAATCACAAGGAATTACATGCAGTTCATCTACGCAAACTACCCCGGCGGCTCTTTTGACACCCGTCCTCTTAACTTCAGCGATGTCTCCGCAACCCTCTCGATCCGAAAATTCCTCTTGCAGAAAGTCTTTGAGACCTACCCCGAGCGCAAGTTTATCTTGATCGCCGATACAAGTAACAGCGACGTCATGCGCGACTACCCTGAGATGGCCACGGAGTTCCCTGGCCAGGTTCAGTGCATCTGGCTCCGCAACACCAGCGCTACGGATCCCGGTGACAAATTCCCCTACGACACATCTGGGTTCAAAAGCTTGAACCAGTCAAACTACATGTTTTTCCTGAACCCAGATGATCTCACGAACTTGGACGTTGCAAGTGGAGAGTGCTACAATACCTCCATTCCTCAGAACTTGACCTTCTCATACCAGGGTCTTCCTGATGGGCTGGGAGATACCCCTACTGCAGTCAATGCCTCAGCAACCCACACTTCGGCTGCTTTTTCTCTGTCACCACAAGGATCCGGTGGCATGCAGAATTTGCTTGTTTTGGTGACGGCCATTGTTGGTGCTACTTTTGCGTTGTTTTAAATCTTATGTTGATATTAAGAATGTCTGTGACATCCGTGCCGTTGTGTATCTACTAGTACTTATGAACACCAAGCCGAGATGCTTTGTGAGCAGCTCACATAAGCGTTTCTCGGATTGGGTATGAGAAACGAATAAATCAAAATACGAATGAACAAATAATGGAATCTAGTCACATGTCATTAAATCACCACTTCCAAGGAGTTCGAGGGAAGATACTCGAGGCATACCACTACGATATTTATGACCTTGGAGTCCTCTCCACAGCTGCCTCTGGAGTCAGAGAATCATTGGAAGGTTTGTGGAGGATGCTCACTCCTGCATGGTACACCTGGCACTGACACATAAAGTTGATCCATGGATATTAAAATAAATCGCTGATAGCTCAAATTGTAAAGTAGTTAACACCCGGAATCCTCAATAAAGCCGTAAGATTTTACTATATACAACTATTCAAAGGCAGGTTTTGATCCCTTCACTTCGAATGAATGGAGGACGTACTCGAAGGAGACTCCACAAACTTGGGCCACGTATTTGTGAAAACCAAGTTCTTGATAGACTTCTCTGCCTGATCGAAAACCCTAGACGAGAACCTCTCAGGAACAACCACAGAGTCAGGAAGCCGTGACTCAATATGCATAATGCTATGACTCTCAAATGGAAAAGCATCAAAGCACAGGGCATGCTTATCTTCCTCGACTGTGATGACGGTTGAAAACTTCTTCCTGTGCGTCGGCATCGGGTAGCCATCAGGTATATTCCTGTAGTATCGCGAAGCACCCCCTTGCGCATCACGCAAAAGCATCAGAGAGGCCTCGCCAAATATCTCTATCAAGTTGGAGTAAATTTGAGACTCGATATTGATGGGAAACTCAGCAGTGTGGAGATTGACGCAAGACGCATGGATCTCAACTGCGATTTTGAACATGTGCTGTCGGTGATTATCCGGGTCCCGTGCCCAGTCATATTCCGGCTGTGACTCGCCTATCCTTGCCCACCCGGCTTTCCAGTCGCGCACGTAGGTGAGAAAGAGGATGTTCTCGCCGCTGAACTCCTTGGCTGCGGCGAAGCGGAGTAGTGTACCCGGGTCATCGAGTAGGCATTGCTCCAGTGCGTCTCGGGAATAAATTTCGGGGACGTGCGGACCACTGATCTCGCTTTGGCTGCGTGAGATTCCGGAGTCGGGTTCGTCAATTCTTGAGGTGCTCTTTTCCTTCCAGACTTGTATTTGTTCGAGCATGTGGGCTTTTCGTCGTCTTGAGACTAGGACTTCGTAAAGTGGGAAGAAAATAGTCACAGCTTCCATCATCACGATTCCGGGGGTAAACCTATTCATACTTGTCAGATTGTGTGATTTGCATTGTAGTTGCGCTTTGCCTACCAAAGGGCTGGGACCCAGTATTTGTTGATAGCCACCCACGTTGGAGTCGAAGAGTATAGAGCTGCAAACCACATAGGTGAGCCGGGTAGACTGTGAAGATGTCAGTTCAATATTCGATGGCCTTCATATTTCCGACTTGTATTGCTTGGGCCTTTTGAGGTCGAGACTCCTTGGGCACATACCTAGCTATCAGGCAAATTGAGATCTGAAGCCGCCAATTATGAACGTCGTGGATATTGCGTATCTTCCACAAAATGTACGGGGCAAATAGCCACGACCATATTAATTGCCAGAGGATAGATGGAACCCTTCAATAATTCCACGTCAGGGCAATTCAACCAATGTATAGCGTATTTGAGGGGCTCACCATTCCGGTCCGCGTCGACATTCTGTAGGACTGACCCGCATATCCCAAGTGCCGAAGGTTTGAAATTTTCGAGAGGTGAGGAAGATACAAAGCGACAGAATGATCTATTGATAAAAGCCAGTGTCAGCAGCAGCAGAGATATGAGAAAATCGTGTCCGGCCGGGTGCGTGCGCATCGGCACATAGGTACTAACTTGAATCACCATTCCAACCACAATACCAAACTCAGTCCGTTGAACCAGGTTCCATTGCCTCCATTTGTCTAAAAAGCTTCCTGAAGAATGGTTGCGACCGATCAAGTGGGGTACATATGGGCGATGGGTCGCTAGAAGCAATTTCTCCTGGATACCGAAGATACTCAGAAGCTGCATGCTATTCGCTTGGAACAGAGCAATCCCCAGTGGAAAATATATGCTCATCACCCAGTACTCTGCCACACAAGGGTACCTGCCATTCATGGAGTAGGCGACCAGGCACAATATCCAGTAGATGTGGAGACACCCCACGGCGCTCAGAACAAGCGACAAGTTGCGAATGCGAATGCATTGTTCTTGACGATTAGCGATGAGAAGGCCCGCGCCCGAAAAAATCACCACAGTCCACACGATAGCGACCGAGGTGTAAAACTTGGCGAGCGAGTCAAAGATAGGCGCGCCCTCGTCGTCCCCTGTCAGGCTGGAGAAAGCCATGTGGCGGTATGGTGTGCAACACGCAAAACCGTCCAGAATCAAGTGGGTAGGTCTTGACCCCTGAGCCCCAGGGTTAATGACTCAATGGCACAGTAGTGTGCACGGTGGGTCTGGGGCTGAATCGCACAGTTACTCTCATAGAAAGTAGTCCGTCTGCCTTAGAAAATCAAGGAATGGGGCTTGGGCTCAGTTGGCAGCTGCAGGGAAGCGACCAGGGTGGAAAGAATTCTGGAATTCTCTCCGAAGACTTTCACTGCATTTGCTTTCTGGGGAAATCATACTGATTCCCAATTGTGACCCACCGACGGGTAAGCGAATAGGAATCGGTGGCTGTGGGGGTGGTGGAGAACTGACAGGAACAAGTGTTAATCAGCGCCACCTTGGAAGGCAATTAGATTGCCTTTTCCCACTCCAGGCACGGAATGGATTAGAAAGATTTTTAGCGCAGAATCTGCGCCCCGTGCGTTTTTGAAACTTCCAAAGGATTTCGTACGGCTCGGAAATGGAAAACGGGTGAGTCGGAGGGGACCCATCTCTTTCAAACGTTTTGGTGGCGTCCAGAGGCCTGCAGACTGGAACACGGCTAGACTCAACGGTATATGGCGTCTCATGCAGGTCTCCTTTGTATTTCGCATTAATGGTCAAGATGGTATGATGTTTTGGGATCTAGCTGCAGATAACGACAGGGGGGGCCATAACACCAGGCACATGGGAGGTTAGTGGGGCACATGGCATGTTAGCCCATGCGAATGTGTATCATAATATATTTTTATTGATAAATACCAAATTGAAATTATCTAACTGAAAGACGAAGAAATACATACGGTATCTTGAAATGAACGGGAAAAGGTTGATGAATCCGATTGGACGAGATAACCTCGACAGTGCAAGGCTCGGGTGCGGCGGATCCACGCGGGCCGTCAATCTTCCACTTAAAACCGAGAAGACACGTTTCTCCTGTTTCTCCTGTTTCTACTGTTTTTCATTGTTCAACGGGCGATAACCTGAACTACGTTAGTCATTGCGCTAATGAATCCGGACAACCTTTCGGGACTCGTGCGACAAACGGCCCATAAATCTTGCTTTCAACCTTCTGATGCCGTACAGCTTGAGAACTGTTGGTGTCTGTGGACATCAGGATGGAGTCGGATGGATACTGGGTATAACTCTAATTTCAAAGATTTCGGATTCGATCCGTTATGAACCATGGGTTTTCGTCAATGGTCGCCGTTTCTACCATCGATTTGCACGCACAAATCGCAATTTGAAATATAGTAGGTAGTAGGCGCCCCACATCCTTCCAGATGCTGCCATGCATTCGCCCCCCTCCCTAATTCTACAACAGGCTGCGAACCTTGATATACTATGTATGTATGGCCCAAAGCAGCGTAGAGCCGCGAAGAGGCGGCTGGTGACCCACCAAGCTCCGCCCCTGGGTCCGGCTAGTCAATGCGCTGTCTTTACTAAAAACATGAACTTGACAAGAACTAGAGCCAAGAGGTCTGGGGCTAATTAGCCTGGCCGGGCCTCCCCGGGTTCGAGCGGACAAACACCTGGCCATGCCCCTATGATCTTGAATGCAATGGAGATCGGTCTGGTTCCTTAAATATCTCAAGTGCTCGTCTCGTGGGTCTGAACCAACTCTATAAATATTGTCTTTTTCCATGTGCCCCAGGGTGTGATCCATTCATTGGGAGACAGTTGGTGATTCATATAAACTCGGTTCTTGTTTACAAGATGTCCTTGCCAATTGTTGAGAAGCCTCGCCCAACTCATACGAGTAAACCGAGTTTTGCCGTTTCTATCGATACCTTCCTGAGTGTGGACACCAAAACATGGGATTGGAATCGCTTCTCACCAACAAAAGACCTCGAGTCTCAGCAGTCTCGTCCGAGCCTGGCTTCATTGCGATACCACATTTTCAGCATTTACCGACGTTTGTTTACGCTTGTCTACATTGCCAATGCGATTGCCTTCATTATAATCATGGTGTCCAGCCGTGAGAAGACATTGGCCTTTGTCAATGCGGCGGGAATCAATTTGTTGGTCTGTGGCCTTGCTCGTCATCCCATGGTGGTGAACGCTATTTTCTTGACCATGTGCCGTGTCTCTGTCTCGGCCCCCTTTTGGCTAAGGAAAAAAGCTGCCGAGGCATATCATTACGGTGGCGTACACAGTGGATGCGGTGTTGCCTCTTTCTTGTGGTACACTGGACTCGTAGGGTTGATCTCTCGAGAATACTGGGCGAATGACGGGGCAGGAACCATCACCTTGCCTATCATAGTTATAGCTTATATTTTACTTGGTGTCCTGCTTGGTATCATTATAGTTGCTCATCCAACACTCCGCGCGAAAAGACACGATTACTTTGAGTTGATCCATCGATTCTCGGCATGGACAGCCGTGGCTCTTTTTCTTACCCTGCTGTTGGTCTTCTCTGACCAAGCGAGAAAGGCACAGGGCTTATCCTTCGGCCAATACCTTATCCGTCTTCCCGCATTCTGGGTCGTTATTCTGATCGTTTTGACCATCGTACATCCGTGGACTCTCCTCCGCCGGGTCCAAGTTAAGCCCGAAGTCCTGTCGTCCCACGCAACGCGACTCCACTTCGACCACGCATCTACCAATTTTGGAAAGGTCATCGGCCTCTCCAATCACCCTCTAAAAGACTGGCACAGTTTCGCCACGTTCCCTGATCCAGATAACAAGAGTTGGTCTGTGATTGTCTCGCGAGCAGGTGATTGGACGGCAAGATGCATTGCGGAGCAGCCAACGCATCTTTGGAAACGCGGTGTGCTGATGTATGGGTTCATCCATGTCATGCGCCTTTTCCGTCGGGTGGTTGTGGTCGCAACGGGATCTGGCATTGGGCCTTGTTTGTCTTTCCTTAGTGAGAAACGGAATCCCCAGTTGCGACTGATTTGGCAGACCCGGAGTCCGAAACGCACATACGGACCCGATGTCCTCAGCCTTGTCCACCGCCTCGATCCGAACCCTCTTCTCATTGATACAGGGAATAGTGGACGGATTGATATGGTTCCTACTATCCAGGAAATGGCGCGTGACTTTGATGCTGAGGCCGTCTGCGTCATAAGTAATCCACACCTCACGAAGAAGATTGTCTATGAGCTGAGGGCTAGCGGTACGCCGGCCTTTGGGCCCATCTTCGACTCTTGAGAGAACACGCAAATTAGGAATTGTGAAGGCAGATAACGCCACAGGAGCTATAAGGAAGATCTGTTTATCTCCATGTATAATGATTCAACGAACATAATGATGTACCTACAGCCTTTCAATTTTACACTTAGCCTCGATGTACACAGCATGATTATCTAAAGTTACACTGTTCTCTAACACCGACTTACATTCCCACCGCTGTTTGGTAACGACCATCTATCTATCCATAGAAAGAAAAAAATAGAATGCCCAGGCCAAAAAATAGTGAAAACATTGACCAGGAATCCTTGACTTTGAGTCCAGCGCTCCATGTCGTCATGGTAGCCGTTGAAAGTAACATCCTGCAGTCCAAAAATCAAGCGCCAAGAAAACAACAGCACACACAGCATGCAGCATGCCATTGGTGGCCTGATCTGCAGATGGCTGAAATAAGAAACACCCATGGATTGAATTATGAAGATCACCTTCTTGATACGGTGCGAGGCTTTCTGCCCCCACTTTGCATTTCAGCCGCCAAGTCAGATCAAAGCCATAATCAGATCTTCTCGAATCCACCTTCTAGAAGCGGGCCTGTTCTAAATTAAGCTCTTTCTCAGAGAGCCAACACAGCCCTGACCATATCATCCCTGCACGTTGAAGATTGGCATCTAGCCATAGATTCCCGCGAGGGCAGTCCGTTTTCTAGAATGAGGAGCCAGTGGAGCCTCGTTCATGGTACAATATAGTATGGGCCATCAATCGGAAGGATCTATACTTGACGGAATGATGTTGGGCCCGATGGAATGGAGACAGGCGAAAGACAAGGAGAAAAAGTCTACACATCAAAGGCGCCTAGTTATTGGCCAGTAATTTAACCGTGTTGTCCTGAATTCCACAGACTATTCACGGACAACCTTAATGAAACCATTTCTGGCCAAGAGCTGTCGTGCAGTGGGCCTATCTCTGGAGTCGAGTTTCATGACCTTCGACACGAATTCCTTATCTTCTTGACATATCTCTCGTGTAGTTGTGAGATGAAAGGGCCATAAGGTTTCCGGGGGGCTTTCTTTCATAACCCACAGAAGAACTGCCAGTCTCTTCTGGTCCGCAATCTCCTCGTACGATTCGGGGAAGGGGCCGAAGCATCGATGATGCTTCATGAGAATTTTAAGATCATACTCATCATGGTCTGCAGGGACGTCGGGCTTGAAAATATGGAATCCATCCCCATAAAGGAGACTAATAAGCTGCATCATAGGTGGCCGTTATTATCCCGTTTAACCCGTCTTGTCATGGATTTTAGACCTACCATTGTCCCAAATGACCAAATGTCCGTGGCAGTGTCCCATTTCATTTGAAGATGTGCTTCGGGGCTCCTGAAAATAGGCGTGCCAATTGAGTCACCATGCTGAGCGTAAGTAGAATCCACGTGGACAGTACTTCCAAAATCGGCCAATTGGACATCTCTAAACCGGACGTCATCTTGTCCATGATTCACCAACACATTACTAGGCTTGAGATCTGCACCAAGCCACCATCAATTTAGTTCATAAAGCACAAAATCTAGGACGGTTAAAGCATACCAGTGTGTACAAACCCCTCGTCGTGTAATATTAATAGCGCTTCGAGAATCTTTTTCGCAACATATTTCACCTCTGGTCGGGTTAGACGTTTGCTGTTTGAGACATGGAGAACGTCGTCATCAAGATATTTTAGTATGAGTGTAGGGGGAGCTGACGAATCCTCAACTTCATCAATGAGGGGACGAATATGGGGTGTTCGGCTTTGGAAACGAAGTAGGGTATCTCGTTCGTTCTGCAATCGGAAATGACGGACGTTCTTGGCCACAAATCTCTGGTGAAGCTGGTCTCTGTGATTATCGTCAGATATGATTTCGATTTCATGTAAATTCAATCAAGGGGCGTACGTGGCAAGCCAGACGCAGTCGTGTAGTTGCTTTGTGACGGTGTAGACTCCTCTTCTGCCTTTCAAAACCTGACCAACAGGCAAAGTATGTACCATGTTTGGATTATCTGAAGACCGATGATCTGAACAAGGAGCAGATGATGAGTTCTTCGTGGTTGAGGGCGACCAATGTAATTTAACTGATGTCGGACAGCGGTGTATACGTTGTCGGAGGAAAGATGGTCCGGTGCTCGGTGTAGTTACTGCATACTAGTACTGGTGGTTACTGGTCAGTGGTAACAATCTCCAGAGCTGAGCAACACGAGTCTTACGTACACATCTTGATATTTTTCGCCCCCACATAGTAAGCACTAAGGTAAGCACTAGAGATAAAGCCAAACGTCAATCTGTCCGGATACGGCTTTAGCCCTTGCAGCATGGAATTGGGGGCCATTCAATATGAGAGGTCATATGAGGCCCTGTTCTCCTGCTGGTGCTTCTGCGGGGATCGAAAAATCGATCATAGGATTTTGACATCGAGGAATTCAGCATTGTTGTTTACTCATATACCATGTCTACACCACAGGAACGACACCCAGACTTGTTCCGACCCGTGAACAGCGATTCTCCCCGAGGAAAGAAGCGCACCGTACCGCTAGAATGCCTATGCTTGGGGTTCAACCGTACCGGAACCGCATGTGAGCATCCCACGCGTCTCAAATCCCCCGCAACATAGAAAACAAATAGCAACCACACTGACCCACTCCACCACAGCGATGTGCAACGCACTTGAAATTCTCGGCCTCCCCTGTTGGCACTCCACCCAATTCATGGGTGCCCGATTTGGCGACATAGAAATGTGGCAAGAAGGTATTGACCGCAAATTCTTCAACGCACCGGGCCCGAAATACGGACGCGCCGAATTCGACCAGCTGCTGCATGACTACGGAGCCGTATCGTCAGACACGCCGGCAATCGCTTTTTCGGATGATCTGATTGAAGCGTACCCGGAAGCGAAAGTTGTCCTCGTCGAGCGCGATATTGATTCTTGGTACGAGAGCTGGATGAATGGCGTGATCAAGAATACTTTCGATCCCTTTGTCACAATTATCTACACTATCGATCGGTGGTTCACACGTCCACTTGGGCGCGTGCATAAGTCTAGTTTCCAGGGTTGGCTGGGGATCTCGAATCCTGAAGATGCGAAACGCGTGAGCAAGGAGAAGTATCTTGAGCACTATGCGCTCGTGCGGCGACTTACACCTGCCGACCGGCTGCTGGAGTTCAAAATCAGTGATGGATGGGAACCATTGTGCGAGTTTCTGGGGAAACCCGTCCCGGATGTGCCGTTCCCGCATCTCAATGAGAAGAAGTGGCTGGATGAAAAGGTACAGATGTCGTTGCAGCGGGGGATGAAGCGACTGGCGTGGATGGCGATCATTTGGTTTTTGGTTCCTCTCGTGGGCGCAGGATTGATTTACAAGGCATTGAAGTGAAACAATTTTTGGGCGCATTGTATAATCACAGCTAAGAGCCATTTGTCTGCCATACAGACTACGGCCCTTGAAGTTTGCCCGGCTGTTCCCGTGGACTAACTATCGACTATTAATATTTCGTGTCGCTAAGGAATTTCGTCTATTTGCAAAGCACCAGGAATTAGGCGAATCACCGAGAATCTTCTACTTCAGTAGGTTTTCAGCTTCCAAGATCCCTCTCTCGGTACCTTCTTCTGTCGGTATACCGATTCTAGACCGGGATCCCGAAAACGATACGACCGACTTGTATGTGGTAAACACGATTTTTGGGGCGTTATAATGCTCAACATAGAGAGGAGAAAATGCATTCCAAGGAATTGCTCAGATGAATTGCTGTAATGAATTTTTGTTTTCTTGAACATGCATCTGGGCAGCTACTTCATGCATCAATTGATACTATGTTTGCTGATCGATGTCTAAATCTTTCGCACCGAAAATCCATCCTTCGAAAATCCATGCTTCCCCCCGATTTCTCGAAACGCGTCTCCCATTACCAAATTCTCTCTACCGACCATATACGTCATGGGCAACTGCATAAACCTCTGGCAATCCTCACCAAGCGCAGACATATATTCATCGCTCCCTGAGAATTTCAGCCAGTCATCCCACGTGCGCACCCAAATTTCGGCGCAAGCATCGTACTCAAGGACATTCTCATTCAAGCTTCGCGAAAGCTCTTGCATTTCCGGGGTATGATGAAGCTGCCGACAATGAGATTTATATTCGCTTTGTGTACCGAGGCCCCGGCAGAGAGGCCTTTGCATAACCGCCTGGACATCTTGGGAAATCAACTTTACCTGCACATAACGTAAAACGTTACTTCGAAAAGCCGCTGTGGCTAGTACCAAATCACAGTGAACACTCTGCCAGTGGGCGAAGAATTGTTCATAAGAGATATCAGGTCGTTTTCGGAAGAAGACGGAAACCTTGATGGCATCTTGGAAATTTGGAGTTGAGGAATAATCGAACTCCGGGTTGTTAAACTTGTGGTCTTTGGGTAATGGATCCATGGCGTTCATTACAGAGACTGATGAATATGCCGTGTGCTCTTGAATGAGATAATGAAACGAGTGAAATGAGAGTCCAAAAAGGTGAATTAACGGATCCTTGTACTGTGGATATCTGGATACATCAATCATACCTCATATTTGTCATCCTGTTCAATTCTGTCCAATTCTGTCCAATTCTGGCTAATTCTGTCCAAATATGTCCAAATATGTCCAGTTGGTCCAATTTTGTCCAATTTTGTCCAGGACTCCCGGACCGACCGAGGCGAATCCACTTCCGGCATATATATTCCGCTGATCTGAGCACGGCCCGAAATGACGCCTCTGGTACCAGGTGGATCTTCAAATTGGGTGCCAAGATTTGTCCAGGAAACCTAAATGGACCGAGGTTTACCGTTTGACGACGAAACATACACACCAGCCAATTGAGCCGATGGAAATTTTGGAATTGGGCTCTTAGACGTAATGCAGTGGGGTGACAGAGAACTTTGATTTCTAATCTTAACCCTCAAGTGCTGGAACTTGGATGCACCTCTTGGAAATTTCACTTCAAAAGAACCATATAAACTGCAGGATGGTACGCAGAAAATTATATCCATAACCTACTTCATACAGCCTACATAATGGTCTCTTTCAATTCCCCCATACTCGTTGGCAATCTCCAGCTTCAAAACCGCGTGGTACTTGCGCCGTTGACAAGAAACCGTGCCCATGATGATCATGTTCCCTCCGACCTCGCTCGCAAGTACTACGGGCAGCGAGCCTCTGTTCCTGGTACGCTGTTGATCACCGAAGGAACTTTCATCACTGCTCGTGCTGGCGGTACGGCCAATGTACCCGGTATCTGGAGCGAAGCGCAGGTGAAAGAATGGAAGACGATCACCGACGAGGTTCATCAACGTGGGAGCTACATTTTCTGTCAATTATGGGCCCTTGGACGTTCCGCAAACCCCAAGATCTTGGCCAAGACTGGAGATGTTGTTGTTTCTAGTGGAAACATAGCATTGACAGAAACAACACCTCGGGCCCTCGGCGAAGATGAAATCCTAGACTGGATCCAGGACTACGTCAAGGCCGCCAAAAATGCCATCGAGGCTGGATTTGATGGGGTGGAGATCCATGGTGCAAATGGTTATCTACCCGATCAGTTCTTGCAAGACACTGCAAACAATCGTGTCGACCGATGGGGTGGTAGTGTTGAGAATCGGTCGCGCTTCGGATTTGAAGTGGCGAAAGCCGTATCCGAAGCGATCGGTTCGAAGAAGACTGGATACCGCATCAGTCCGTGGAGTACATTCCAGAACATGCGCATGGAAGGATTCCGCGATCAATTTGCGGATCTCGTCACTCGGCTCAGTCGATTAAACCTGGCATATCTTCACATTGTTGAGCCGAGAATCTCCGGTGGTCAAACTGTCGAAGATACGTCAGCCAATGATGAAACGACCAACAAGGATGATACTTTCTTGTTCGATGCATTTGGAAACTCTGGCGCGTATATATTGGCAGGTGGATTCTCCCCAGAGTCAGCGCAGAAGAGACTTGAAAAGCAGCCTGATCTGCCCATTGCCATCGCCTTTGGTCGTCATTTCATTGCGAATCCCGATTTGCCCTTCCGTGTTGAGAAAAATATCAGTTTGAACCAGTATGATAGATCTACATTCTACACACCCAAGTCACCGGTCGGGTACGTGGACTATCCATTTAGTCAGGAATTTACGGCCAGGGGTTAAATGCTCGTCTTGCAAGACTGGGACCTGGGGAAGAGATGAAGATAGAGATGAGGATAGAGATGAAGATAGCATCATCATTCACGATCATAGAAAGAACACTGTCTTTTGAAATTTGGATATTATTTCTCTAGATCATGAAGAAGGCCAATCTGTAAATTCTTGTGTAATCCAATTTTAATAATAAAAAAACTGCAATTTATCAGAGTCTTAAGAAAATATTTTTGATGAAGATTATTCCAAATTATCTCTATATCAAGCTGCTTCTGTGGCCGTTGATTGGGTAAGCAGTAATGGTCGATGACGCGCAACGCGCGACTTGGTGAGTCGTGACCGCTGCATACCGTAATTTCTCCGAACATCCACATTATCCGCTCCTCTCAGTCAAAATATGAGCCGCGTTCCCAAACGGGCCAGAACTATCGAATCTGGCGCATGTTCCCATTGTGTTGAAAAACGTGAGCGCTGCTACATTGGTGTCCGTGGAATTCCTTGTTCCAATTGCCGGCGGTTGAAAATCGAGTGTGATGGCATTGCCAATCAAGAGTGGGTAACCCCTCCAATTCCAACATTGCAACCTGCCTACATATGATGATTATTTTTAGTGCATTGCATTGACGTTAACCAGGCTTCAGAGTGAGAAAAAAGTACCATCTAGAGTTTACTGTGATGGTGAGTAGGTTTGGTATTTTAATGAGGTTTAGGGACGAATCTGACAGTAGCCTTATTCAGAAGGACTATTTCAATCCCAGATTCGCCAAGCTGAGAGCGAACGACAATCAGCTCTTGCTCGCCATATTCCCCCAGTGATCGCAACCGAACTTTATTTGGAAAATTATGTTTCCATAGTCAATCAACTACTCGGCCCTGATTCACTCGATCCCCTTGATCCACGGGCCAGGGCTGATTGGCCACGCTACGTGTCGGAATTGCCCAGCCGTTTTGTTTCCGGTGATCTTGCTTACCTGGAGAGTAAAGGAGCTCTGTCTCTGCCCACTGGTGTCTTCAGGAAACAACTTCTCAGGAGCTACATAATATGGGTTCATCCTCAGTTACCCATGATAGACCTCGAGGAGTTTCTACGCTCTATCGCCGACAATGATGGCAAGAATGGCATCAGTCTATTTTTATTCCATACGGTCATGTTTGCTGCATCTGCCTTTGTGGACATATCGCACATTCAAAATGAGGGATATGCGTCTCGGAATGAAGCCCGTCACACCTTATTCCGACGTGCGAAGGTCTGCTCGTTCCATCTTGTTTGAATTCAAGTAGACTACGACTAACAACTTTTTGAAGGTCCTTCTTGACGTAGGATTTGAAGAAGATCCGCTTGTGACTATCCAGGCAATTCTCCTGATGGTTCATTGGAATGACATACCTCGCGCTGAGAAAGATGCCGTCCATTGGATTGGTGTCTCATTATCACTCGCGATGTCGGTTGGTCTCCATATTAATCCCGACCCTTCTACTGTCACGGTTTCTAAACAAAGAGTGTGGAGACGCACTTGGTGGTGTGTTTACAACCATTGTCAATTGATATCTGAGAAATTACTGTCTGCCCTTCACATGCATGAAGATCGCGAAGGAGAAAGTGGGCTTGAAATGCCTATGATTGACTTGAATGATTTTGAATTCCATGTCTATTCACCCGAAGCGCAGAGTACGGTGAATGAATGCGATATTCTACAAAACATGGAGTATCAGAAAATGCAGGCTGTTTTCTTTATTCAAAAGGTAAAATTATGCCGATTGTCCAGCTTTTCGACTATCTCCAATCGGATCAAGAAAATGGTGCGCGGAGAAGCCATACAAGACCTCGAAAAATATTTCACAACAGGCACAGTACCACATGGGGCAGATGCTCTTCAAAAATGGCTGTTCCAGCTTCCAGATACAGCGAAGCCGCATTATCCATTGGGTCTGATACCCTCCGAAATGAAGAAAAGCACATACCTACATCGAGCGTGGCTTCGCTTAATTTATCTTGGCTCAATTTATGCTACCTACTGCGACGGATCACACCCAATGGGTGAAGCTTTCGAGGAACTGGCAACCTCACCTTCGCCACACCTACCTAAACAATGTTTGTTGGATATGATGGATCTATTTGATGAGATTGGTAGCCTGGGGCTATCTGAACAGCTACCATGTCTAGCAACACCGTTTGCAGTGCTTGTCTTGACCTTTCATCGTCATTTGTTGGAGAATGACATGCAAAGTGGGAAGGATGTGGTGTCTCGCTCTGTGCATAAGTGTTGGAATTTGATCAAACAGTTGCAAGAATCTTCTGATCTGGCGCTGCGTATTATTCAAGCTGTCGAAAATCCCACTTCCGGCTTGTGGGAGAGGCTTTTGCCAGGGCAGGTGTCATACAAGAACCAATCACAAGCCTCCATTAACACACCATGATAAAGTTGATGAGGAGCTGTTTCGATACTTTCGATTTACCGCACGTTTATCTACAGAGGATCTCGAAAACTCAGTTTTGAACGAAAGTCATCATCTTGAAGTTCCAACACCATTGTCCTTGCAAACCTGGCGCAACTATCTGCCAAGACTAGTGCCTAGATTGATCCAAAATATGACCTGCGAAGTCATCTGGCGGTACGTGAGCATACTGCTTTACACAAATTTCGCCGCATCAGTTCAGTGATATCTTTTCATCAGCCGATGAGAAAGATATCTCCTTTCGCTTTAAATTATCTCAAGGATTATTCAACACTCCATAAATTTGCCAAGCTGAACCCGCAGTACGGGATGAAGCCGGAAGCTGAAACTACCAATGATCTGCATGCGGCGAACTCACCCCGGCGGCATCTGCGGAAACCGTCAACTAATTTCACCCCGCCTACGACCACTAGGGGGACCAGCTTACATTAATTTATTACCTTAAATTGACTGTCAGAATAGTGATTTTATGTGATAACATTTCGTTACACTTTCTTATTTTCAAAAATCCTTCCGAGGCAAAGTAGGTAGTGAGTAGTAAGTATAATTAATACTAGTTACCTAGTGGATACCGGAGAGTCGTAAAACAATATTTCCAAGGTTCCAACCTTCGTTGTTTGTTGAACAAGAAAGAGAAAATCGGAAACGGGGAATCAGGAAGGAAAGTAGAAAGCAGCTCAATAAAACAAACGAGTTTGGGTACATAGTAGATCAAGCACAAAAAAAAGGAAACAAAAAAGAAACTGCTCACGTCCAGATTTGAACTGAAGACCTCGGCATTACTAGTGCCGCGCTCTACCAACTGAGCTACGCGAGCTGCTTATGTCACCTGTGTGCAAATAGTGTTATATGTACCATTTTCATGGCTGCCAATGTTTGATGATTTAATCAGAAAACTACAGTATCCACGGATTCCAGGGTAAATTTGCCTTGTGCAGATCATTCAGTTGTCTAGTTCGCCACCAAATTTTTGATTTCAGAAACTCCCGAATTCGGCCATGGGTCTGTCTCTAGTATAGAATTGTGACTGTGCGCCTATTGAAAATTTCTTGAATGAGAAGGACAAGACCGTTGAAATTGAAGAATCTCATATAGGACTAAATATAAACTCGCTTCATTTCGCACGAAATTCAAAGCTTCATAATAACCTCCCACTCCCTAAATCAAGAACCTTCTAATCCTGGAGAGCTTTCACTGCAAAGGCGGTGGTAACCCCCCTATTCCCAACCTCTCTATTCTTTCCAGGGAACAAATACATGCATGAGGCCTCCCACCCGCCATCTTCCAACTGCATCTCAGCAAGCTTTTGACGGTCAGGATGGTTTTCAATCCCTAGATGCTTACACGCAATTACGCGCATCGCAAGACAGTATGCATCACCGGAAGCCCCAATCCTCTCAGCCACCCGTGTTCGAAGAAGACTCTTGATTTTCTCAGAAAGTGTAGGATCGGTAGAGACACGCAGGAGACGCGTCATGTAGTAGAGGAACCACTCGGCATTGGGGTAGTAGCGTGTACCCTGGATGTAAGCTCTATGGAGCAAGATATCATAGATCCATCCCATTGTTTGGGGGAGCTCATGACCACGTCCGTATTTGTGGAACAAAATCAATACATTGAGATTGATGACTGCGTCGGTTCGGGGTCTTGATTTGTCGTAGTATGCCTGTATCGAGGAGGTTAACCTATTGTCTGTTTGCAAATAGTTGGAAGCTTGTCAAATATACCTGGATGTTGCCGTCCTCATCAATGTAGTCATGCATTTCATCTAGGATTGAGTTGATCGTCTCCGTATCTGGGGGGAGGACACATAGACCGAGGGACGTGGTGTCCAGATCTTCGGGGTATGAGACGGTAGTGAACCGAGGGGGTCCTTCATTATAATCAGTTCGAGCGGGCGGGGACTTAAGGGGAAATGTATGTCTGACTTACCGCTAAAGAAATTCCAAAGGCGAGGCGGGGCTTCAATTTTCGCCAGGCTCCTGATTCCCGCCGTTAGTCATACGTGTAGAAAGAATGGCAACGAAAGTGATACGTACTGGTCATTCAAAACATCCAATATCAATAGAGGAGCGTAGTTTTCCTCAATTTCTTCGCCATACTGTGTGGTTGTAGGGAAATTTCCACCCTGCTGTCGAAGAAACGACAGCCCCCTCTCCACGGGGTCACCAAGAAAGTTGGTAACGGTTCGGTAGAGCCCTGAGGTATCAAATGTTCCCTTCATACCGACCGACAGAGCCGCAAGTACATTCTCAGGACGATCATCAACCAAAAAGGTCAGATGAGGCACTGCCTTCGTCGCTCGGAGAACGAGTCGATAGAAACGCAGATTGGGCTTTCGGACACCGAGAGCGGAGGAGGTGAAGACCCCGTCAAAGATGGACCAAAACTCCTTACCCCACAAGCGCTGCAGTGCTGCATAGTCTTCCTTGGAGATATTGGAGACTAGGAAAATGCGCGCTCCTGACTCTTTTATATTTCTGAAGGCTGAAGTCATTTCCTGGTCATAGGTGATAGTCTCACGGAGATGTGCGATTTTTGTCTCCAATTCGGTTTTTTGAATCTGGTACTCGCTAGCCAGCTGTGCAAAGCATTGCTTGTCGCTCAGAGTTCCAGATTCATAGTCGCTCCAGGTTGAGGTTAACATAAGTCGTCGCAGGGAGACGGTGGAGTCTTTCGTTGCGAAAGTGTGTTCATCTGGTGGGTGCATAAATATACCTCCGAGATCAACCAGGATTGTTTTTGGGGTAGGCTTTGCCCCGTTTTGAACCGTCATGATGGTGATCCTGGCCAAAACAAATTAGACAAGGAGAAATATTTTTTTGCAAAGTGCAAGAAACCAAAATACGCATGTGGATGTGTAAGAACAATTTCGATCTTTGAAAGGGTCACTTACTGAATCGCAGTTTACAAGCAGAATAATTCGGGATTCCCTAATTCCAAGTTCCGACGCGTTCCTTCAAATGTTTAAATACTACAACATCAATTGGATGTTGAGCACTGGCCATCTGGTGCAGATTTCTGTGCATAAACCCTAAACGACAGCGTATGGCAAATTCCAATATTTTCGTGAACTTTAGCCCACCTAAATCATACACATCGCCTTTCGGAAAATGCGGTGTGACAAGTACGCTCGATGTTACCATGGTGTGGGTCTGTCACCTTGGTAGAAGAAATTTGATGGTATGTCTCGAGGCATAATACAAGCTTGAAACATTCGGTGGGGTACTGCCTCTACTTATGAATTGGGAGACCAATTTCTTACGTAGCGCAGAATGGAGCATTCATGTTTGAATCAACTTCAATCAAATGATGCAGCTGGATAATTCCAATTAGTGTACATGACATCCTACTGTACAGTCAGTCTGGACTCTGGATTCTCATAAACTCTATCTTGCAGATATGGGGATCATACATACCAAATGTACGGAAAAGTATCACCGAGGTACATATGCGTGTGTGGTGACAGAAGAATGATCAGTTTTACATACGTCCAATAACCCCACTGCAATGCTTAACATCGTACCTAAATATTGGGGAGCTATCTCTAATTGAATACCGATTCTGCGGCTACTAGTCGTATATGCAAGTGTTACATATGCCGGGCCCGTGTCGCCTATCGTGCCGTATGTGATTCATCACGTACCCATTACCTGTCACCAGCGCAAAATAGCGGTGAAAAGGTGAAGTACCAGTCACAAAATCAGGCAAACATTCGCTGTGGGGATCAATACTAAGCTAACTAGCTTTTTCGAATTAATCAATATCGTCATATTCATGAGTGGTCTGAATCTTTTGCATTTTTAAAAAGTCTCAAGCTCAAAGAAATTGGAAAATTCGGCGCCCGATAAATGACATTCCTCTTGCCAATATCTCAAACGAGGCCTTTCGATCTCTTTTGCAATGTAACCATTCTTGTGAGTTTCAACTTCCTATCGTCAACAAGATAAGCGTTATCTGACTCGTGGTAGCTTGGCCTCTTCTTAGTATTGAAGGTTCTATATTCACGACACGTTCATCCGTTGGCCTACTACCCCGGTCCATTTCTGTGGACCGTATCTAGAGTCCCCTACGCAACGGCCTATTCACGGGGTATACTTCATAAGAAGATACAAAGTTTCCATGACCGGTATGGAGATGTTGTCAGGGTCGCTCCAGACGAGCTGAGCTACCGCAACGGACAAGCTTGGAAAGACATACACGGTCATTCACGAAATTTCTCGAAAGATATGCGATTTTACCATGCATCAAACAAGAAAGCGCCTAGTGTCGTTGTCGCCCCAGATGGCGTTCATAGTCGACAAAAGAAGGCCATTCTCAGAGCGTTCTCGGAGTCGGCCCTGCAGGCTCATGAGCGTCTTTTACGACCCTTTGTCGATATCTCTGTTGGAAGGCTGGGACAGATCAGTGTAAAGAAACAACATGAGTTCGTGGATCTGACAGAATGGTATAACCACGTCATGTTCGACTTCATGAGCCTCGAATTGTTTGGTGAATCACTAGGCTGTCTTGAGAACGAAACAAACCATGCCTGGGTGGATATTTTATTCAGCTCAATAAAGGCGTGGGCGGTGCTCAGCCAGGCAAAGTACTTCCCGATGTTTTCTTAGGTTATCCAAGCAGCAGGGTTGATTTTGTACCGCGATATACACAGAAATCGCAATGCTAAATATGTTTCTATTGCCAGTAAGGTTCCAGCGAAAAGGGAGTCTGAGTTCGAGTCAGACCCCTCGACCTTCAGCGCTTATATGCGAGCCAGCAAAGACCCCAAATCGACTCTCTCCCCAGAAGAAGTGTTATCTAACCACAGCTTCATGATGATGGCGGGAAGTGAAACCACCGCGACACTTCTATCTGGCTGCACTTTCTTTCTTTTGAAACATCCAACAGTCTACGAGAAATGGTCGTGTCAAATTCGTGAACGGTTTCCCTCAGCGTCAGATATATCATTCTCTTCACTAGCAGGCATGGAGTTCTTACGAGCTGTGATCAAGGAGACTTTACGGATGTACCCGCCCTTGCCGCTAGGGATGCCTCGTGTTGTGCCGAATGGCGGCTCTATCGTACTGGGACGGTTTGTTCCAGAGAAGGTAAATATGGAAACCATACAGTAATTGTTAAAGGATAGCCCGAAGGCTAACCGTCCTCTTTTAGACCTCTGTTGCTGTCGCTTCATGGGCGACATATCATTCATCATCTAATTTCGTGGAGCCGAACACATTTGCCCCCGAACGTTGGCTAGATGATAGTAAAGTCGACGGGAATCACGACATTGACTGTGCAATGCAAGCCTTTTCAGTAGGCCCGCGGGCTTGCCCAGGAAAAAAGTGAGTCCAATAAGTTTCACGATCCGCTTTGAAAGCAACTGATATTATTTTATAGCTTGGCTTTTGCGGAGGCAAGCCTGATTCTTGCCCTCTTATTGTGGAATTTTGAGCTCAAGTTATCGCCCGACTGTTCGAACTGGGCAGATCAACGTGCCTTTGTCATATGGGACAGGAAACCACTATTAGTCAAGCTTACTCCTCGCTCTTGAAAATTTCGGCGATGGAAATATAAAATGATCGGTCTCGACATAGACAATTTAATCAAATTTTATCTGTGTTCAGCTCATTTCAAACTTATTTTATTGCATACAAAATACCAGAGCATTCTGGCGGTGACAACTGTGGCAACCATGGACGGAACCCCAAATTCTTCGACGAAGCTGATTGGCATCAACACGTTTGTCTTGACTGGCAGCCTCAGTGCTGTGTATGCAAACCACGGCAGAGTGCCATAGAACCAGCCAAATTCCCACGCGAAGCTTAGAAGCCTTACTCCTTTGAAGTGAGACTCTTCAGACACTTGAGATTTGAAAAGGTCTTCCAACGTAATGCTGACGGTATTCATGACAAAGAACAGAAATATCGATCCCAGATGGTCAGGGACGCCTGCATACACCGCGCTTAACACGTGTAAGACTCCAGAAAGAGAAAATATAAATAAAAGGTCTGTCGTGTTACGAACAAGCCGAGATGAATTGCAAGGCCCTATGTGCTGTCTTGCACTTGTGCTAAGAGCGAACAGGGGAAGCCGCAGTAGCTGATGCCAGTATTTACTAAGAACAATGGGATTGGAGTTAGGTTATCAATGGGCAAAGAGTATGTGGACGTAACTTACCCCCAAAAACTCCGAATGCTGAAGGATTCTAATTCGTGATAGCTCCCGAATAGTGGAGGCCAAGCATTCGGTGAAGTCAACTGTAAGAACACAGAGATCATGGCAAGAGCCTTATACACCATCGAAGAAAGTAAGCGCAGATTGGTCGCTAATATGCAACAGAGCGGAAGTCGAGCTATCAATTGATGGGTGGTAGACCCGGAGTTGAGGAACTCGGTCCCTTCTGCTAACGCATCGGGCCAATTCCGGTGAAAGTACTTCAATGCTCCAAAGTTCAGAAGATCTAGAACCAGATATTGCCATGCCAGGGTGATTGCAGCCTTCACAATAAATGCAGCTTTTCCGTTGGTTGGTTCATCGGAATTTGATACATTTTTCACCTCCCAGGGGGTGCCAATTCCGCGGGTACTCGTCACGCAGTTCAATCCAGCACAAAACCGACTGAATGAGGAGCTTGATTTTACTTCTTCAACCAATTGATTGATCTCCACACGGAGAACCAGAAACAGGCTAACAAAGTGCAGAAGCTTGATGATGCATGAGAATGCAATAACTCCTCGTAGTAATTCAGGCTCGGGCAAAAAGGAGAGGAGTCTGACTTCGAAACCTGCGAGGCCAAGGATGCAGAAAAGCAGAAAGTTTCGAGAGTTCGATTTGCTGGTAGTGAAAGCCAAGGCAGTTGCAGAGATCAGATACTCAAAGAGCATGATAGCCCCCAGCATCAGAACACACCCCATGGCGATGCAGGAAAGCTGTGAAAATAACGTATAAGTATCTGAGTTCACGTTGATAAATGGTTGGAGAGAGATTAGATACTCGGGGGGTATATGGGGTACGACAGGGAAACCTTAATAGGTCAAGTTCTGTTGAAGAGAGACGCGGCATGGAGGTGACACAGCTTAAAGGCTATCTGACAGTATATGGGACTGCTGTATAACAACGAAGATCATGCTGCATCTCTCAATTATAGGACTCCCCCTTGCTTGCACGGCATGTGGATCCACAACGCTAACGCGTCATAGCTAACCCCTTGCAAGAAAACGCCCTGTGAGTGTTGACTTCGAGACAATATCTGTTTGCTTACTGAGTCGAAGTCAAGGCAGATTAAAGAAGGCGAAAAAGTGCGAATAACGCCAAATGGCAGATGGGTTGAATAGTACATGTGTTTCCGGCGGGCAACCGATCCCCTTGTCTTCCACTTCGACATGTCTTGATGGGTTTTATTGTATGAACACCACCCTTCGATTTGCTGCAACGCACCTTGATAACATATTTCAGGCCCCTCAAATATCGCGCAGCATAAGCCGGAGTATTGTCCCCCAACACCAAAATGTCTTCTCACGAGACTCCAGAGTGATAGCAATATATGTGCAGTCCCCCAAGGAGATTTCGAGCCCATGATATGTTCACCAGGATTCTTTTGTTTACTTGGCACGGGAAAGCAAGTCAAGTGTCCACAGGGTCACTTTTGCCCTTTTGGAACGGTGACTCCATTCAAGTGCACATCTCTGTCAATATGCACGGCAGGCAGCTCTTATCAGACCCCGCTCCTGGGCTTGTTCCTCTGTCTTATAATTGATGCGATGGTGATCGCGATATTGATGGCGCTGCGATTTGAGTCTCCATTCACCAGGAAGCTAAATCGATACCTTCACTTATTCCGAGCTCTTTTTCGCCTCCAGGTTGATAGGAGCAGTCAAAATGCGAACCTACCTCGTTCCCAGCAATTCCGAAGAATTCTGACAGAAGAGCAAGGTCCTTGTTCTAATTTAGATCTTGGCTTTCACGACATATTTTTCACTCCGCGTGGATCGAAGCGCAGGATCTTGTCCGGTTTACAAGGAAATGTGCATTCGGGATCAATTCTCGGGATCATAGGGGCTTCTGGCTCCGGGAAATGTGAGAACCACTCTGTTTCGAAGATTCCCAAATGTTAATCCTTTCCCTTGCTCTAGCAAGCTTTGTCAATATTTTATCGGGGAGGACACGACCCACGCGAGGATGGATCTCCATGAATGGCCTGAAATTTCAACCGGAAGAGTAAAACCCCCCTCCCATTTTCCTTTGTATCGGAACGGCTTTCTTGCTTACCACTGAACTGTTGGCTGATATGGTTGCTGCAGACTGAGAGAATTGATCAGATTCATTCCCCAGCACGATACAGTTCTTCCGGAATTCACGGTGTTTGAAAACATCCTATATTCTGGTCGTGTACAGCTGGGTGGACAAATGCCAGACCAGAAGATTCAACGATATGTGGATTATCTGATCTCTTCATTGAACATTGAAGGTATTCGTGATCAATTGGTTGGAAGCCTCCTTAGGGACGGAGGGCAAGGTATATCTGGAGGTGAATATAAGCGCGTATCTATCGCCATCGCTCTAGCTGCCTCACCAAAGGCCATGATTCTAGACGAGCCAACCTCCGGTCTAGATGCGACGGCTGCACACTCCCTTATGAAGCTTCTGCATTCCATATCCCGCCAGGGAGTGATGGTTATTTGCGTGATTCACCAGCCACGTATTGAGATCTTCAACTTGCTAGATGACGTTCTTGTACTGAACGCTGGGTCGCAAGTGTACCACGGCAAGACAAGCCAGGTGCAGGAACATTTTGAGAATATGGGCCATAAGTTCCCGATGGCATCAAATCCTGCAGATGTGATTCTTGACACATTGTTGAATCACTCACATAATCCACCTGTGGATGAAGTCACTGTGAAGCCATCACCCGGAGGCGATCCTTCACCTGGGACTGGAACATCGGAGGCGCTAGTCGCGCTTTTCGAGAATGTTAAGCAAAGGAGAGCATCCTGGCCCCGCCAGCTTTGGCTTGCACTTTCCAGGAGTATAGCTCAACAGAGTCAACAGACTATGAGCCTTGCCCTGGAGATTTTGTCTAGTGCGATCATCGGTCTCATGATTGGATTGGCGGCCTTCGAGTCCAGAGGCCATTTCTTTCAGGGTATATATCACCAACCGTTCGACATGCTCTCCAGTGCGGTAGAGTACCGTCTTACAGCTGAACAGGGTCTCCTGTGTTGTCTCGCCATTGGTAAGAGTCCCCAAAATTCCTTCTCGAGTATTCTTTGGCTGATAAATGATTATGGTCCTAGCTTGTGCAGCAGGGCCCCCAGGAGTCAAGGTATTCGGAGAAGAGAAGCTCACATTCTATCGAGAGTGTCATTCCGGTCATTCTCGCAGTGCATATTTCCTAGGGAAAAACTTCGCGGTTTGTCTGAGAATGTTGGTCTCATCTCTGCATTATACCGCATTTTACTTGCTTCTTGCCGCTCCCATGATCTCGTTTGGCTCCCTGTTCGGCCTTGTCTGTTTATACTTTTACTGTGAGCTAAGACATCTATAACTTGTCTCTTCCCAACTACCCATTAACTGTCATCTCAGGTATCTACGGGCTTGGGTTTGTTGTGTCGGCCGTAACCCGACGCGAAGATGGTCCTTTACTGTGCATGTTACTGAGTCTGATCATCTCCGCTTTGAGTGGGTGTGCCCCTCGGCTCTCCACCGTTCGGAGTTGGCACATGGAATGGTTTTGGTATTCGTGGCCAGCAGTGAGTGAGCCTTCAATTCCGTAGACCTATTTGGATGAAAGCTGAAATTGCGCCTAATTTCTATTAGACTTGGTTCTCGGAGGCTTTCTATCAGGAGAATACTGCGCCATTAGCTTATCTATACAACATTGAAGACGCCTTTGAGTTCACTGGTTATAAGATGGGTAGACTGAGCATGGACTTCGGGTATGTACCTCGCCTTTCAATCTTGACCTGAATACGCTGACTCTGCAGGGTTCTCTTTTTGATTGGGACTGTTTATCGCGCACTATCATATTTCCTGCTTGTTTTCTGGGGATGGAAATCACAGCGTTGATTCAACACCAACAATGCCTAGTTTATATTCTGCACTGCGACTGTTTTAAAATTTTTGGAGGAAGTAAGCGTTAGTAATCGGCTCTCCAATTTCCAGCGCCTTCAACAATATTGGATATGCCCATGGGCGCCAACTCCAGAAAGAGAATGCCAACACCCAAATATACCCAACCGTTCTCCTTCCAATATTATCTCTTGTCATCACACCATATCTCTTCGATAACCATTCGGCCATATCCTCTGCCATGAAGGCAATCGGTTGAACGAGAAAAAACGCCAGAGCACCTGAGTCGGCGAGTGATATACCAATTGCATGATCCAGGGAAAGGTGAATCAGACCGGAAATAATAAAGCAGAGAAAGAAACGCACGTAGCGGACAATGATATCATCCGGGGTAACATGGAGGACAGAGATGACGAAGTCGGCATTTGAAGAGAGTAGACTGCGCAGTGTTTGATGCCAAAATCGACTGGGTGTACACATTCATTTGTTAGCATTCATCGGCAATGGAAGGGATCGAGGAATTATGAATACTCACCCCCAAAATCTTCGAACGGACCAAGCCTCTCTAGCCGAGGCTTGAAATGGAGGCCATTGTTGGGGAGACGAGAGATACAGTGACACAGTGGCGATTGACAGAAAAGCGTAAATGCATTTTAACAAAATGAAGAGGGCGACAATGAAGAACAGGACCAGATGAATATGCGCGGGGAGGGACTCCCACGGTGGATTGTCCAACAGATGGCTCTGATCAAGCAGTTCAAAAAGCTTTGTTTGTTTGGGAACCAATTCCAGATAGAAGGAGACGAAGAACCACAGCAATGCCACACAACAAGTGCACAGAATGCTCCGGGATGTCTCCCAAAGGAAGTCATTTCGCGATGGAACAGCCCCTTCTCCACAATCCTGGAATCGATAGACATGGTTTATTTGCCATTTGGTACCGAGGCGGCGGGCGTTGAAAGGAATGGACAAACAAAATCCAATCTTATCTCGGATTGTGTGTGGTGTCTTAGGCTTCTTATACTCAAGATGCTTTTTGTAATCAATGCGGCTGTAGATAAGCATGTCCAGACTGTTGAAGACTTGGGTCCACGAGGCCATGGCGAAAAGTCCACACCAAAAAACGAGTAAAATGGAAGTCTGTTCAACCGCACAGTGACCAGATACTGCAAGTCCCACGATAATCATAACAGCTGGCAAACGCAAACTTGAATCGTCTGATGTGATTGTAGCAACAACTCCAAGAAGAAGATGTATGAGCACATAGTGACTGGCGATCTTCGTGGCAGCTAGGACGGGTTGGAGTTGCGCCATGGGAAAGATGCATGTGTGAGGGAAAGGCGAGGAAGTCCAGACGAAGCACAAGCTTTGGCTTCCAACGCCGCACTAGAGTGGTACAGTCGTATCTTGTCAAAACATCAGCGGTATCTTCAATACACAACTTGAAAGCTTGGTTATCGCGGCGATCTTCGATTTGTCATCCCTTGCATATGCAAACCTGCGTAAATCGATAGGATCTGCTCAAGCCACGTCGCCACGGTGCCGATGCCGTAATTAAATCGAATACTATAAGTTGTGTTAAGAACGGGTCAGTCCACTTCTCTCCTCTAGTGGAGATCTTCTAATCCCCTTGTACACAAAGTCAATGTCAATCATGCCAGGTTCCTCATTGTACCGGACGTTAATATTTTCCACCCTCCCGTGGATCACTGTGCTTTGGGTGTTTAAAATTACAAATGATAAATTACCATATGTTATTTTATTGCTGTTGGGGTGCATAACTGCTCTTGCATATCAGTTCCACATCTACCCTGTCTATATCACGCCTTTTCGATCCCTGCGTACCCCAAAGGTAAGCTCCCCTGTATGAAACTTAGCCTATCGAGACGTGATGAAGAAAGCTAATAGAGATGAGCGCTAACGGTAGTCTCGGAAATATTGGCTGGGCAATCATTCTAGCCCTGTTAAGCTAGTTGGGCAAGAACTCCCTCGGCTTTGCTCCGAGTTCCGTGATGAGCAGATCATCAGATATTACACGTTCTTCAGTGTGGAGATGATTCTCATTATTGGCCCAGAGGCTATCTCCGAGCTTTGTCTTTCCCGCTCTGACAGCTTCTCTCACTCCAAGGCAATTGAGCTTCTCGCAGAAGCCGGGTTAGGATACCCCGGGCTGCTCGGTGCGAGGGGAGAAACACATAAGGTGAGTTTCAAATTACAGTAAGAACTTGCTCCCGTTGATTTCAAGGGGATTTGCCTTCAACTCGACAAACTAGCCAATAACACCCGAATAGCGCCTTCGCAAAATGTTCTCGCAGGTATTCACGCCCACAACATTGTCCAAAATAGCCAGCCCAATGTGGGAGAGCTGTCTGTCGATGGTGCAAGACCTCAACCACGATGCATCATCTATCAACATTAGCCAGTGGGCCTCACAGTCCGTTCTCGAGCTTTCGGGTACTGGTGTATTTGGTCAAGACCGCAAATGGTTGGCTCGGTACCCTGATCTTGCTGGAAGCTTGAAGCGCCGAGTGGCAAATGGCCAGATCAAAAAGATGGCTCTTTCTATCTTCCCTCGCCCCATCCGTTCGCTCGTTATGTTGACTTTATTCGGTCGACAAGAGCTAGCCGACCTCGAGTATGTGGAATACGTCGCGCAGGACCTTTTGAAGGCCGAAATGCAGAATTCACCAGATACCACTGAGCCCGATCGCGCCATAAACCTCATATCGGTTATGTTAGAAGATGGCAGCATCTCAAAAGAGCAACTGCTAGGCCATATCTTGATCTTCCTCGTTGGAGCATCGGAAACCACCTCCGCTACATTCCAGTGGATGACCATTGAGCTTTGTAGACATCCAGAAGTCCAGAAAAAGTTGCTGGACGAAATACAACTGCAATGGTCTTCAATATACGAAAGCGGTGATGATGGGAAGCTCTTTTCTCAGATCAAACGCCTCCCGTATCTGCGGGCGGTTGTTGAGGAATCACTGCGACTGTATCCGGCAGTCGTTCTGACGGAACATGAGGCGACAGAGAACACAACAATCATGGATGTGCCTATTCCCAAGGGATCGATACTATTATGTCCTCCTCTCGCGGCAAATTCAAACCATCGACTCTGGGGTGAAGATGCCGCGGTGTTTAACCCAGACCGTTGGCTGTTTAGGAAGTCGGCAACTCAAGAGACTATCAACCAGAATCCCTGTGCAAATATGACTTTTTCTCATGGTCCACGAAGCTGTCCTGGTCACTCACTTGCAAGGATGATGTTGTCGTTTTTGACGGTTGCCTTCATCAGCCAGTATGAGATTTCTCTTCAGGATCCACAGCAATCGTTTGTGCCAGCCGAAGCAGTGTATGCGAAACCTGTCCCGGAGGTTACAGTCAAACTGGTGGAAGTGTGCAAGTAGTATGTAGTACATCCGAGATTTTACTTTCGGAGTACAAGTTCTAAGCAGAGAGAAAAGCTGTCACATATGGTCTGCCCTCATTCGTGACTTGAGTTTGGGTGAAGCAGGGCGGATTTTGCGAAGTCAATTATGTCACTAGGCAAACTTTATTCGGGACCCTTCGTAGACTTCATTTTGGCTTCCTCTCGCATTTCCAAAAAGCTTTACAAAATGCATAAAGCCGAAGCTCAAGGAAAATAAAATGAGCAGGCTATTGAATCCCAGTGGATTCAACTGAAGATTGGTCTCATGAATCATGTCGAATCAAGATGTGGGGGAGGCTCCTCCGCCCCCCGGCGTCACCCCGGATTTCCATTCCAGGCCCTGGCTACTGAACGCCAACCGCATCGCGGTCGCTGTGGGAGTGACGGTTTCCACGTTGTTTTTAATTATGCGAATTTATACCAAGTCGTGTGTTATTAGAAAGTTTTGGTGGGATGATGGTGAGTACGTCCACTGATCTTGATTAACTAGCTGCTAATTGTCTGCATCTAGTTTCAATATGTCTTGCCTGGGTATGATTTAACAACGAGAAGATATGGAGACCGCTGGCTGATAGAACCAACAGATCTTCAGTATCGGCACCCAAGCAACGATTTTGTGTGAGATTATCCGTTTATTACCACTTGAACGCCAACAGCTAACAATGTTGACGTAGACGGCTATGCACATTCGGGCTTTGCAATCCACGTCTGGAACATTACTCTGCCTCTTACAGTTGAGTACCGGAAGGTGAGACTTCAAAATATTCTTGTCATCTTTCACAATGAATTGACACAAAGAACAGACCATTCTCGCCGTGGCAGTCCTATACCTTCCCGCGCTCGCATTCGCCAAGCTCGCCGTCCTAATGCTCTACTATCGAATACTAGAATCCATACGCATATGGAGATATGTCCTCTGGTCTATCGGTGTCGGTATCTGTGCATATAGCGTCGCTCTAATATTTGCGCTCATATTCGCCTGCCATCCTGTCTCGGCGGGATGGCATGGGTCAGCCCCAAAAGCTTGCAGACACCGATCGGCAATATATCTGGGAACGGCTATCTCTAACACCGCCAGTGATGTGGTATTGATCATAATACCAATCACGTTCATGTGGGGGATGCATTTGCCGCTCATGCAAAAAGTTGGAATATTGTGTTTATTTGGAATTGGCTGTCTGTTAGTCAACCCCTTTCCATCTGAGCAAGAAAAAGAAGTTGAGATCTTTGCCAGTGGGAAAGACACATACTGAACATCATATTTTCTGTCTTAGCACTGTGATCACTAGCATCGCTCGCTTAGTGACTTTGGTCCCTTTACTCGCGTCGCAAGACCAGTCATACAATCTAGGCCTCGCCTGCCTTTTTATGTAAGTGGCATTCAGTTGATAGACGGGGAGACTTTCAATTTATAATTCTAACATGATGTTTTTCTTTCTCTTATAGAGTCATTGAGGCTAATTTCATCATTCTGTGTGGCTCTGTTCCCTACTCCCGCCAATTCATCCGCCATCACGGCCCGGGATCGACCAATGAAGATGGGAGTGGAAGAACGCGTCTTTCTTCAAATGAGACTCCATTATGCAAGCTACAAACTAATGGTCCCAGGAGATTGCCAGACGATATCGAAACGGCAATGGCAGGGCCTTGTACCATTCGTCACTCGCAGTATGGAGGCGCATGAATGTTGGATCAACTCCCGAGAGCGGGCATTGCTAGTCCTAGCAGATATACCCAGGGGTTACTACTGGTGGAAGCAGTCAATTCAGTCCGATTTTGATTCTATGTACGCAGAAATTTTTGTGAGTTGGGCGGTTCGCACCTCTTGACAACGCAATACCCAACCCCGTCATACGAATGATCAGGTGTCGTGGCCGAATAGGGTGTATATCATTATAGGCGCTCTTTGACGGGCTGAGTACACCTCCATATGCAAAGACGGAACATGATGGCTGGATACGTTTCGGATAATAACTTTTTGGATCCCATTGCGAAGAGAATGTCGTCTTTCAGTTCCTGCTCAAAGACTTCCCAGGAAACACGCTCAAGCCCCTCCCCCTCAACAGAAGAATTTTGGCGATCATGTTCCTCCCCGAAGGCGTAAAAAGCATCGAGTCTCTCCTCGTCGGACACAGAGACAATTTGTACGGTCGCATCACCTAGCAACCCAAACAAACCAGACTGTGCGGCCTCCCGAAACCTAGCATGGATAATAACGATACGCATAATAACCCACTAGCGGGGCACCTGTTCGAAGACATCAAACCGCTCTGCTTCCTGGTCGCATATAATAGTACGGTTCGTGGAGCTAAGGGTGGCACCGTGGGAAGGATCGGGTTTTCTCCTTTGTGGTGAACTCAGATGTGCCCGGTGGTAACGATTATGGAGATGGAAGGGATAAAGGACTAGTTATAAGACCCCTGTATTTAGTTTAAAGATACCGCGGTAAATTATTTCAAATTCTCGTCATTCGTAAGGGAATTCTTACGAAGCAGCTTGACAAGGCTGTCTTTGGTAGGCCCTAAGCGGATGAAGGTTGACCCATCACCTGTTACCGTAACGCGCAGCAAAAAGAAATAGCTGCCTGTAACTCGTGCTTTCAGGGTGTGGTGGAAAGATTCTGTGGGTATCCGGTGTTGACTGAGGATTGCGTCGATCTCAGGCCGAAGATGTCGTGATAGATTTTCTTCTGCAGTGAGAAATTCCGTCTTCATTTCTGAGTTGTCATGTCCGTGGAATGTGTTGCTCCGAAAGGTGTCTGTGCGATAAAGGAACTCCTCCAGCCTCATTTCACCTTGATTGTTCTCTGACTCCCTCAAAGCCGACGCCTCTTCCGCGGGCTTGGCGGGCCCGAAGAGGCGGGACTTGGAAACTCGCGGGGCTTGTAAGTGGACATTCTGATCTGAAAGAAAACAAATGGATGAACTGAATATCTCTGCTGATGAAGTTGGGAGAGGAAAAAAAGAGAAAAGAGAAAAGAGAAAAGAGTTGAGTGGGCTTCCAAGGTGAATTCTAGCTTCTCGGACCGCTCCTCAGTAGGGCGTAGGGCGTAGGGCGGCCTAGGCATGCGTCCACCATGGCGGCCGATAGAGGCCACCCCTTTCACATCCCAATTTCAACTTTCCCGACCGGCAGAAAGTAAATTACGAGTAATTCCAAATTCATATTAGTTTTTGAACTCCATTATGTTCAGCGCTGCATTATACAATAAATCCTTGGCATCAATTCTAATATATATAATGCTATATTATATTGCTTCTCTTTCTCCAGGTAAATCATCACAACAAATGGCAAGAAAGAGAGGCTGAGGTCCTATTTGTGCATATAATCCATTCTTAAGTCCCTTTTCAAGACTACTCCTCTCAAGTCTACTCTCAATTCTAATCTCAAGTCTATTCTCAAGTCTATTCTCAAGTCTATTCTCAAGTCTATTCTCAAGTCTATTCTCAATTCTAATCTCAAGTCTATTCTCAAGTCTATTCTAAAAGTGACCCGTATTTAGATCAAATCTCTAAAGATATTCCTAAGTATGATAAATACAATACAGGCGGGAAACACGGCGGTGAAGTTAGCACTTGAGAAATTGAAATTGGGATGTGACCTAGGGGTGGCCTCTATCGGCCGCCATACACCCTTCTCAGCTTCTCAGTCTTGTGCTACTGCTGTGCCTTCTTTTGTACCATATAAATCATTTTAATTGTCTTTCAAGCACATACGACCATAGGGTGTGGAAAACAGGGCTTCCCGTCCGCTCAGCCGTACTTAAGCCACACGCCGGTCAGTTAGTAGTATGGTGGGTGACCACATGCGAATCCTGACTGTTGTATGTTTTTTTTTGTTAGTTGAAACTTGAGACTATCTTACGTCATTAAATATGATAAGGCTAGACTCACATCATCTTCTGGGTTATAGGTCTGGTTCTATCTTTGTCTGGATTCTGGAATATAGTATTTATTTGATGGCTTAGTTGAATTTGCGTCGGATGATTACTATAATCACTACTAGTATACACAAAAACGAAGAATCAAACAGCTCAAAATCAGTAAGAGACTACTATGTACTTGGAGATGCATAAGGGTTCAAGTTAGTACTAGTGCTAGTGGGGTGGTGGGAAAAGCTGGAGGGAGAGTAGAAGGTTGGGATATGACCCACTTCGCAATCGAAATCAAACAAAGAATATTAGTAGCGTTGGGCCAAACTTCAAAAATACCCATAATTATGAAGTACCCCCCCCCCCCCCCCCCCTGCTAATACAGAATCCGACAATGGCCCCCATCTTATTTCCTTTATTTAAGGAGCATCTTCTACCCCGCTGTCTCTTTCGTTTTCCTCCTCTCGATCAAGTCCATCTCAAATTCATCTCAAGTCTTTTATCCAACTCAATCTCTAAATCATGTCTGCCGCAAAGCCCGAGATCGTCCTAATTCCAGGTGCCTGGCACTACCCTGAGTCATATGCCAAGTTTCGCACTGCTCTTGAATCTCAAGGATTGCTAGTCCACATCCCTCGGCTCACGTCAGTGAATGATGAGCGGCCTCCGACCCAAGATCTCTACACGGACACGACTGCTATTCGTGAATTCGTCACAGGACTAGCTGATGAAGGCCGCAAATTGTTTGTTCTTATGCATTCATACGGAGGTCAAGTTGGCACCAATGCTCTTGCAGGCCTTGGAACCGAAGCTCGCAAGCACCTCGGCTTGTCTGGTGGTGTCGTCGAATTGGTTTATCTTTGTGCACATGTACTCTCGGAAGGTCAAGCTATCTTTAAAGTCATCGAGGAAAGAGGACACGGAGAAATCATACCCTTTATGTTCAACTATGCTGAAGATGGCACCTGTCTTCCGGCGGATCCCAGAAGTCTTACGGGCCCCGAGATTTCAGAGGAAGAATTTCAAAGCTACCTCGCAACCCTGGGGCGCTGGAATTCCAAAACCTTTGGGCAGCCATTGGAGCACTGCGCTTGGCGTGATATTCCAATGTCCTATATTCATGCCTTGAATGACGCTATCCTACCCCTTGCCTATCAGAGGGCTTTCGTGCAGGGAGTAGAGGCCACCGTAACAGGCCGCCAGGTCAGGACTTTTGACATGGAGACTGGCCATTGTCCAACAATCACGGCACCGGAGGAACTCGCTCATATCATGCAACAGATTATTGCGGGTAGCAGTGTTTAGACCTAAATTTCATATCTACATGTAGCTAACAAGAGCTATGCAACATGTAGGCCTTATTTCAGAGGTTTGGAGTGAAACATTTGAACATAATTGCATACGCATATCTTATACAACTTATATAGATTACGCATGGTGTTTTGTAACTACAATACTATATAATACTCAATGGTTTGAACGGCTATCTCTGAAAGCAGAAGCCCGACTCAAGCGTCCAGGTGTTGTCCATGGGTCCACTCAGTGATATCTGGAGGTTCCCGAGATCGGCATTCCTCATGTGGTAATACGTATGTACATACAATATTCACCCCCAAGGTACCAGTACTGGTCATGCTATGTCTAAGCGATTGATGGATTCGTTAGCGCTCATGCGGGGGGTCTCCTCCCGCCCCAAACACGCTCAGGTGGAGGCCTAAATGCTCTGTCGATCGTCTTCCTGATGGGGTAGTATCGTAAGTGGAGCCTTATTTTGTATGTATAATTGCATGAGATCTTTTTGTATAGTCTTCCGACCCCGCTCCAAGCATGACGTACATATCCATGGACCTTGAAATATGGAAACAACGAGTGAATTTCGTGCAGGCGGCCCTGGTATTGCCACCGTCTTTTGACATTGGCGACAACAGCACACCCTTTCAATCCACGTCATGTGCATTTTTAATTATGCAATGCAGACTCGTAAATCTGTTCAATACAAGTTTTGATCTTGGGGGCTAAAATACACCACCCACGCTTATCATGCCTGTTCATCAGTGTGGCTTGCTGGTCCAGGAAAGACTGGCCGTTAAACTCCAATGTTTTGAATGGGCAGAAACGATCAAGAATCTTCTTCCTAAAGGTCATCGTGAGACTCAAGCTGGAGCAGCCTGGCATCTTACCCGAGTTATGGTGGTCGGAAAGAAACCGCTTGAATGAGCAGTAGATCAATATTCTATATCTATTCTATTTCTACCCCTCTACTACGCGCGAACCTGTGTTTTTTTTGCAGCCCCTGATTGGCTGAGGGGCCCAAAGTGGGTCCAAAGACAATGCTACAGCTGGGGACTCTGATTGACTTTAGGTTCAATCGCCGTGCGTAGCGCGGCGACAATACTTGTCTCATGTTACATACCGATGAATACATACTGAGAATATGTATTGTATTGGAATGGCAATGCCGCAATAGTAGAAATAATTGCAGGCGGGAAAAAGAAGGGGAGGTAAATGTGGATTCTGGAAGATGTTGAACCAGCATGTGACCTTTAACATTGCTTGGTGTCAATCCCTTCGATCTTGAAGCTATCCGGGGCTGCGGGCATTAAGACACCCGTGCACGGGGCAAACCAGTGGACCCCGCACTTAGCCGCTGTCGACTGGCAAAGAGGTTGTCACCTGCGATTTCTTGGAAAAGCCTCACGCGCTTAAGTATTGTGATAGGAAGAAATCCTCACCGCTCCAGAAGAAACTCGGTCACTATCCTCAGAGGACATTATTTAGCAAATCCACCCTCAAAGTGCTAACCAAATCCAAAGAACCCCCTCCTCATTCCTCCTCGTTACTTGGTGTGGACTATTATTTCTTTGACAATGGGCCCTATTGACCAGCACTGGACTTCCTTTTCGAATATTGACCCCGAGAGTGACCATGCGAACAGAATACATACCGTCATCGACAACGCAAATCTCGATTATCTTTGCACCCAAGCTCTTCAGCTTCGCCAGGAGCAGCTTCTCCAGAAACAAACAGAAAGCTTGAATCCACTGGCCTGTACTGTTGACCCCAGCAAGTTCGCAAGTGGTGCATGCAACGTGGTGATCGCATTAAACTTCTCTGATGGACTCCAATGGGTAGCCAGAATTCAGCTTCCTGTTAATGATGGGCATGATGATGAGAGTGTCACAACATCATTACTAAGCGAAGTCGTGACAATGCAATTGATCCGCGCTCGGTCCACTATACCTATACCCACCGTTTTTGGATATGATGCATCGACCAAGAACATTGGATATCGGTATATTTTGATGGAAGCTCTTCGTGGTCATGTCCTCACTGGCCGAATGTTATTATCGGTACCAAATATACACCAAGAAAAATTCATCTCCCAGCTGGCTGGTCACCTACATGACTTGAGCACAATTCGCTTCAGTCAAATTGGCCGTCTCGGCTACTCCGATAAGCTAGGCAAGCATGTAATATTACCATTTTCTGTCCCAGGATCTTCGAAAAAAATCAGTCCTAAAAACACCTCGTTTGAATTTTTCTACCAATTCCGGAAAGAACATACCAATTTGATACTTCGGGACCATATGGGAGATCAAGAATGGGAGGCAGCAGCGCGACTACTGGAGAGATCCGTAATGATGATGATTACGGAAGAAAACATCAATGGACCATTTCCACTTTGCCACATAGACTTACACTACAACAATATCCTTGTCGATGATGAATACAACATAACCGGCTTCATCGACTGGAGTCATGCCCAGACTATGCCTATCGAGCGATTTGCTATAATCCCAGAGTTGGTGATACCGCCAGCTGCACCAGTGGAAATCAAAAAGGCAATTGCCAGCTTTCGCGAAATGTTCGTGAAAGCCATGGCGAAGGTTCAAATTGAGCGTGAAGGACTGCAGTCGACAGAAGAGGCGACATTGTCACATCTCTTTGCATCTTCACGATCGGAACTTATTGTCCGATGTACCTATAGCTATCCCTGGAGGGCCGTTTTCGATGCTCAACTGATTCTTCCTCTGCTGTACGGGCCAAGCGCCCGTTGGGTAGATTTCCAGCGCTATTACTCAGAGGGCTCTTTATAGGTTTTCCTATGAAAGTATTAGTCTTAATAAAATCCTCTATGACCTGATGGTTTTTGAAGAAGGGAAGTGAGCCAACAACGGTAATCTGCCATTTATGTACTAGCTTGCGGGCATGTATCTTGCAGAAACAATTTCATCTATTTGAACATTTATAATTGACTCTTATTCAAATCAACGGTAAGAGGAGGATTGAGATAATTTCTGTCACCAAACATAATGCAAGTTTCTTTTGACCTTTCACGTTGGTACGCCAATATTTTGCGAGCCCCTCAATCACTGACGTGTCTTTTACCCCTCACTATGCTCACTCCTTCCTATATTCAGGTCGCCCCACTCGCTAGAGACGGCCTGGAATGTGAATTCAGGCACACATGTACGAGTTTGCACCACTACGTATTACCATCAAATCTGAAATGCCATTTCCAACTTTACTGAGCCAGATGACCCCTCAAACAATTGTTTGCTTCGCACTTTGACACCCAAAACCAAAAAAAAAACCATGCATCACAGGTGACGGAAATAACCCACCACGAAGCTTTCATTATTCAGCCGTTTATCACAAACATTATCCTATGTTTCTGTCCAAAATCTCGCTCACGCTTGCGTTCGGGATCCTCCTGATAAAAGTCGCTAAGGCGATTCCTGTGTCCGGCGAATCTCATTTTCTGATTCAAAATGTGGCGATCAGATCGCATGAGTGTGCGAACCAGGGAGATAGCGATGTTTACGGGCTAGGTGTTCGTGTGGGACTTTATCTCCAATGGCTTGCTGGTTTTATTCTCCGCAACATCGGGTCCTGGGACACAATGACTAGGGTCCGGACTGCAAATAATGCTCTTTGCATTGCCTTGGCACTGGCAGAGGCGATCAAAGTTGTTGATGGCAAAGCACTTGCCATTGATTATTTGCTTTCCTATTACTTGACGGTGATTTTGTTCTACTCCGAGTCTTACAGAATACGCCTTAAAGTGGGGGAAACAATTCCAATTTTTGAGCACCGAGACCTCCTAACCAAGGCCTCCGAAGTTAGGGAGAGCAAAGAGATGAAGCACAAAATCAAGTCATACACCTTGGTGCCAGATCTCTCGCTAATTTTCCAAAATGTATTTTTCGCCGCATATACGCTCTTCGGGGCGTGGTTTTGGTTACGGGGTATCAACCAGATTCCGGAGTCAACTTGCTCAGAATACGCTGCTATTGTTTTGATATTTCACCTGCGCAACAAGTCGTGGCAAACTGCGGCCACAGTCTTTGCTATATTACTTGGCATATTTTGGGCGATTGTATTTGCAATCAATTTCTCCTTATTCACTCCGGCAAAAGGGAAAAATCCCGGCCCTGTCATCATTTCCACCTATCGGGTGCTTCATTTCTTCAGGTTTCAGTCCGCCAGAACTGAGTTTATGCCCGAAGAAACCGAACGTGTTCCGCAGCCGCAAGAAATAGGTGCCAGATTCAAACGCCCTGTTTCGAGGAATTTCTTTCATTACATCTGGCTAAATCTGTTGGGCCCGTTTGTCGCGATTATATCAGTGGAAAGAATTATATCAAGTAATAAGCTCTCCACTTCCGACGTAAGCGGATCGACCGGCCAAATGATTTCGCTTGTCACAGGCATCACCAGCGCACTGTGTGCCTTTTGGGAACTTGGCATGTGGCTTCAAAAGGAGGAAGATGTCACCACAAAGCGTTCGGACAGCGCAAATACTTCAGATCCCTCTGTACCAGATAGCAAAGACCTTGCGAACACATGTCAGCCATCTTCAAAAGATCAATCCCTTCAAAGGAACGAGCCCCAATTGACGAGGAAGAGAAAGACCGATGCATGATAATGCACGTTATTTGCCTCACATCTATGAAATATGGATAGCGCCTTGGGCCTACGAGGGGAGGCCTATCTGTTTCCCCGGCGCGACCGTCTAACAACTTTTACATATAACATTACCCCGACCCTTCATTGCATGTGGCAAAAGACATTGATTATAAAGTCAAGTGAAGGTGCCTGCGGCTCGGCCCAAGTAAGCTTTGGAGTAAGCTAGGGAAACTCCTGGTTCTGAATTGCTCCCTCCAAAGGAGGCAACCAATTTCCTCGATATTTCACCCACAGCTCCCTTTCGGGTTTCGCCTTTTCCACCCCTTGCCCTTGATCCACCGTTCCCGCTGCCAGAATAATCACGCCTGCAAAATCCTTCGCACTTGCTGTCTTGAAAATGGTCGTTCCACAGTTTTCGCAAAAATTGACCGTGAGATCCATCCCGTTCTCATGTTTTGCCGTACACTTGCGGAGTATGCCGGAAATCTTTGAGAAGTTCGTTTCGGGGATGATGAAGTTAGTGGTATAGGTAGAGCCGGTAATTTTACGACAGCTTAGGCAGTGGCAGATGCTCTAGTCAAGTTTAGTATCATTGGAATTGATACCAGTTGATACAGTTTGAATATATTGACGCATCTTACCTTGGCGGCTGGTTCTCCAGAGAACTCGTATTTGACATTTCCACAAAAACACGATCCGGTCGTCATTTTGAAACGATTGGCGACTAAGTCGGATTGATCAGATTTTTGGAGTGTCAAGCTATTGCTTTTCTGAGAATTAAACATGTGAGGTCAAATGGGGCGCTCGGTCGCGCTTTAAATACGCAGCGACATGTTTTGACTTCCGATCGACCCAGAGAAAGCCAAACCTCACGACCAATTATTGTTCAATTTGAATCTTTGGTTACGCAACTTCGTTTCAACACTCGTATCCCTGTTATTTCTGGTTTTATACGAGATAATCTCGTGATACATAGAAGGGGTAACCGCCAGCAGTTCGGAGCCGTCCAAAGTGTTCATTTGCAGGTACTTACATGGGCATTTGCCTCGACCTGTCCATTTTTTAAGACAAAAGCCACTTACATAAATATTGGTCAGAAGCGATAAGTTGAATGGTTTTACTGTTATAATGGGTTTTTTGGTCATTGTAGGCCACTTCCACTCACAGTCTGCATGTGCCATTCGCCGGAATGTTCATATGTTAACAAAGCGAGCTGAAGACAGGTTCCGCTGACAAAATCCAACAATGGTGCCCATGGGTAGAGCTCAGAATATGACATGACCAGCAAATTACTCCTTGAGTCTATTTGCATATGATAAGGCCGCAGAGTTGCAAGATCTGGAATGGTAAAAGACCGGTCTTTGATGGTCACGACGAGAAAAAGTCTAACTTTAATTACTATATAACAATTATAAATTTGGTTCAATCTGCTTTACCTATCAACAGCGTGCGAACACGGATAGATCCACATATTGGGGATTCTAGGTCAAGGTATCGGGAGTAACAGGGTAGGTGTCTTCGCCATAAGTCCCGTTAAGTGAAACAGAACCCACGATATCTCCAGACTCCAATCGAATCCAAGTATCGACTTCCCGTCTGCTAAGCATAGCTTCTGTGACACGAATCTGGCGAGATCCACGAATCCAGCTGCCATACCCACCATATCCAGAGTGCTGACCGAAGCACAAGTTGATTCCATTGCCCTTGACTGACATGCCAGCAAGCAACTTGTCCCACTTGTAACACCAGGTGTCACCGTGGTCGTGGCCGGAGAAAACACCAATCACACCATCAGTGTTGACAAGAGCTTCCATGAACGGCACATCCTGACCACCGTAGGTGCACGAATCACTAGTTGTGTCATTTGCACACCATCCTTCTCCCTGCTGAGCTAGAGTGTAATCGTCGTTGATACCAGGCTCGTGGGTGGTGCTGATTCCAACCTCAGTCTGCGCGGCAAGCGATGCGTTTGTAGGGATGTGAACAAACACAAGAGAAGGGATGGTTCGGTGGTACTTGTTTTTAATCTGGGTATTGGTCTCCTTGAACCAATCCACGACGCTGGTATCAACCCAGTTGGGCTGAGCGATTTCATCGCCAGACTCATCAAGCTCTTGGAAGTAATAGCCACCTCTGCTATCGAAGAACCACAGCAGCATGGCAGGGGCGCCGACGAAGTCGTTGTTATCAGCACCAAACACGGGGAGGTAATAGTTGGAAACGCCGGAGTCCTTGCCGAATACCATTTGCTTGGTGCGGGAATTGGGGTATCGACGCTCACGGTCAAACAGAGCTTCACGGGAGAGATTGTATGAGCTGTCATGATTGCCGTAGGTGGAGGCCCATGTCAGACCGCGCTCCACCAAGGGGGCAACAATCTCGTCGACGTAGACAGTCGCGTTCTCGAGGAAGGCGTTATCGCCGGTGATCAAGTCTCCATTGAGGACAACAAGATCTGGGAACTCCTTATCGAAGATCTCGTTGATCACTGCGACGGAATCAACGTCCTGCTCAGGACCCCACGTATCCCATGCATCTGCTTTGGTGTCAGCAAGGTGGATCTGCACGTCTAACAGGTTACTTTCTCACTTTCTCCAAAGTGCAGATCTTCAAGAATGGAAATCTGAAAGCTGCCGTCCTTGGCAAACTTCAAAGGGGAGAAGCTCTTCGAAAGAGAAGGCAAGGCGAAGAGGGCAATGGCAGTGAGAACGCGCGCCATTTTGAACAAGCTTGTGTATCCAGAAGATTGAGAATCTTGGAAGCCCTGAGGACTTTGATTCCAGGACCTACTCGGAGAATATTTATACCTGTGTTCTGACTAAATTCGCTATCCTTGTCATTGTGTTTTGAGCCTAGTGCTATATCCTAGCGCAAATTACATTTTATGTGCAAATCAATGGATTTAATCCAGCCTCTATAATTTTTCCCCCGTGCGCAAGGGGGCGTCAGTGTATGGCTCGGAAGGAAAGGGGAAGTGGGCCTAAGGAGGCCCGAGCGATCAAAACACCCTTCAAAACACCACGTGCAGTCCATGCAATGCCAAAAGCTTGATCAAAAATAACAAAACCTTCACGGCAAACGCTTCATACTTCATTCCCGTGGATCTTAATGGGACAACGTTGAACGCTATCAACATGAGGAGATTAATGGCTTCTGATTCCCGAAGAATGCAAGATTTTAAAAATACTATCCCTGGAGCTGGGCAACACCAGAAGTTCTTATCTACTACGTATAGATTCAATTTGATATCTTTCAATAGAGTCCTGGAGTGCTGGCTACACGTTTCATACATATGCACTCCCGACTAAGTTATTTGAGGTTTATTCCATGATTTTTATTAAGAGGGCGACAAGCCCAAATATGACAATTGTATTATTAACTTGCCAAACACTTGAATGCGACTATATGTGTACACCTTTATGTACCCCGACATCATAGACGACGACTTAGTTCTCTGAAAGAGAGATTACTTGCAAGCTTCAAAGCTTATCCACACAGGGTGGCGATGTCATCGGGAACATAGACATTCAAGATATCGATCAAGTCCTGGAGAGGAACCCAGTCCATGACACCGTGAATGGTTTGAACAGGCTGACCACTGTACAAAACGCGAGCATAGAAGGGGTTCTTCTTGGCCTCGGTTTCCCTATTTGAAATTAGCATCAGAATCATACTTTAGAGCGCAGATAAGCGTGTCTTACCAAATCTCAAAGGCAATGTTGGATCCCATGGCGGGCCAACGGAGGGCATTGATTCCCAAAGCACCCAAAACAGGGCCAAGGTCACCATCGTGGATGAAGATATGGCTGTAGTCGAGAGTCGACTTGCCGTTCAAAACAGCCTGCAAGTGAGTGACGATTTCGCCGATAAAAAGACCCTCGACGACCTGGATGTACTTAACCACATCCGGGTTGGTACGCCAGTAGTAGTTCCACTCCCAATCACCAGCACGGAAGACCTCTTCGGCCATCTCCATGGTGACACAATCGGAAGAGTTGGTCATGCTGCAAGGCAAATCGTAGCCATTGCACAGGCGACCTTGGAAGTTGTCAGAGAAGTGGTCGAAGGTATCCTGCCACGAGCTTGAAGTAGCACCGAGCATGGAGCCCAGGGTAGAGCGGAGCTCTGCAGTGACACTGAGATGAGCGTTCCATTCGGTGGTTGACTCAATGGCGTCAAGGGTGGTGTCGATAGCAGAGCAAGAGTAGCCCTCGTTGACGGTGTCAACAGATGACTCCATCTGGTGCAAAGGCAGAGCGCCTTGGTAGTTAGGCCAAACTCCACGAAGCACAGCACCTGCAGAGCCCTGTGTCAATGCCGACTCACTGGAGCGGAACCAGACACGGCTGTTGGGGGTCTTCGGGATAAGGCCAAGCTTTTCACCGTAGACGGCCCAGATATCTTTGCCGTGCTGGTAACCGTCCTGGACACCGCCGACAGTGATCTGAGGGTACTGGCAGGTGCCATTCACCTCGTAGACAAAGGGGTTAGACGGATCCGTGTATGTCTGGGCATACATAGGAACTGGCTGAACACCACTTGCGCTGTCGGGACCCGCATACAGATAGGGACGAACATTGTCACATTCGTAGTCTTGGTTCTATATGGAGATGATTAGCTTGGGTATCGCAAGGACTTTTGAGCCTAACTTACCTCTCCACCTGGCAGAATGTTGTACGGGGTGCGTCTCTGGTGGCGCTGGAGATACTCCAGGTACACGAGCTTTCCCTTGGCAGAGCCGTTGGTTAGGGCTGCGGGCATCTGGTATTCCTTCTCACGGGGGTGAGGCATGGAGCAGTAATCATAGGTTCCATAGGGGGAACCAGCGGCTGGGCCGTCGGTGGCAGCCTTGTAGATTCCTCCATAGGTGCCAATTGAGGTGTCATTGATGTACGACGTCTCATTCAGAGTAGGCGGGTAGAAGGTCTCCAGAGGCGTAAGGCCAAGGGCGGGGCCGACGAGGCCCAGAGCAGCAACACCGATTGCAAGCATGGTGACTAAGCAGCACAGGAGTCTGAGGAAAGGAGTTTGTTTTCTTTCTTGCCTTTCCTTCGTATCCCAAGCGCGCCTCGCAGCATTTAAAGATCGCATTCAAGCGACTCTTAACTGTGCAAAGTAATTTAGACGCCGCCGACCCCCTCGACATCTGATGGGTTTCTCCACCCTGACCAGTCGCGACACCAACCGAGAGCCACGTGCCCCCGCGTGTTGACAAGTTGACATTCCTGGAATCAAAAATAACACTACCACCTTCCTTTTTTTTTCTAGTTAATATTCAGCCCAGTGATACTGATGAATTAAAGCGCCACTTAATCTCCTCAATCTCGGCTAATTCATGTCAATTGCCGATTGTTGAAAAAAAAAGGTTTTCGGCATCCTTCCGCAAAACGGCCGGTTCACGGGCAGCCGATCGCAGGGGTGATTGGCGCACAGGGGCCCAGACCTCCCGAGAAGTGTGGACTATATATTGTTGATATCACTGCACCGCAATCACCGAGCCATCTTTCAAGAATCTGACGCCTCTACTCCTCAAGTGCTCTTGTCCAGACTTCCCAAATATGTGGGCCCTTGCAAGCTTCCTCGCCGTAGCACCCCTTTGGGTGTCTTCGGGATCCGCCTCCTCCCTGGCTGATTTGGCCCTCTCCAAAGTTCTCGACACTGCGTCGCCAATTTTCGGAGACTATGTCAAAGAAACCACAGCTAACGCTGAGTGGATGAAGAATTATGCCGACAGCACGTTGCTGGTTCACATGAACATCCCAGGCACCCACGACAGCGCCACATGGAACTATACTCAAGCCACTCAGGATAGCCTTTTGGGTATCACTGACCTCAACCAGGTCACTGTACCGGCTCCAGAAACGTTCCGCTGCCAGGAACTGTCATTCGTCGACATGCTCAACCGTGGTATCCGGGCATTTGACATCCGTTATGCCTTTGATCCAACCAACACCACACTGGTCTTCTATCATTCCGAGGCCCTCCTTTCCGAGATCGCTACTGTCGACGATGTCCTGTATGGATTCTACCAATGGTTGGATGACCATCCTTCCGAGACCCTCTTCTTGTCCTTCCAGTACGAAGGATCAACCGCACTCTACGCGTCGAACGACGCAGCGGTTCAATTGAGCTTGTTCAACTCCTTGACTTCTACTGCCGCTCGAAAGTACTTTGTCCAGACCAAGGGCGAGCTGGGAACTCTCGGTGAAGCTCGTGGCAAAATCACTCTCATGCGTCGATTCGATCTGGACCAGCTGCCTGCATCCTACACCGATGCCATGCCCGGCCTGCACTTTTCTCCAAGCCTTTGGACCGATGACTCCGCTGATATTACTTTGGTATACAATACCGAGAAGAACCTCACTGCCTATATTGAGGACTACTACGAGCCTCTTACCCCAACAGGCTCCAACGCTACTGAGAACATCCAGTGGAAGTACAATGCAACCGTTGGAAACATTCTCAAGGCTACCGCCGAGCACCCTTCTAGCTTGTTCTGGACTTGGGCCTCCAGTGAAAACACCGACAACACCCCACCGGACTGGCCTAAGATCATGGCCGTCGGAAATGGTACTGCCTATACTCCATTGGGTGGTGTAAACCAGCGATTGGTCCCTTTCCTGCGCGAGCAGAAGGGCAAACGCCTTGGAATCGTTATGTTTGATTTCTTTGACCAGCCATCTAACTTGATCGATACTTTCTTGAGTGTTTAGGCCCTCGCCGCCCCGGTCCCGGGTAGATGGGCCACGCTTCTGTATTTAGGGTATTTTGGTAGATATTTAATAATGGAAAGATTCGTTACAGTCTTGTAACAAAATTTCTATTCCATTTATTGGCATTCACAAATAATTTGTCTGGAATTCATCTGTCGGGGATCGAGGAATACAACTGCCTTGGAACATTTGAAGCCCGGCAACTCTTCGCCACTACTAGTTGGCGCTCAAACCCGCTCACGAGTTAATGATAAGACACACTCCAAATTTTGATGCCATTTTCAAGACCGGCAACAGTAGTTCCATCCTCATATTGCAGAGAATAGCCCTTGCCATTCCCAAGGAAGGTAATCTTAATATTGGCGGCATTACTGCGACCGGAAGCAAGAGAACCATTGGTGCCAATCCACTTGCTGTCAACCGCACTGGAGATCTGGAATACTTGACTTTCTTCGTCCGAGGTGTAGTGGATGACCCAGCGCTGATGCTTGTCCGAGTGATCGGCAAGAGCTTTGGTGCTGCTCACGCGGCTAACGTTTCCAGCGTTGGTAAGAGCCTTGCCAGAGCTTTCAAAAGTGAGATAACGACCCTCAGTCAGATAACCGACAACCTCCTTGTATCCATCCTCGAACCACAAAGCCTCGGTCTTATTACTCTGCTGACCATATGGCACAGTGGGACGCTGAACAGGGTACGTGGCCTCACAGTTGGATGTTCCAGTATACGAGCTACCAGACATATCGGGGGTTTCGGCGTCAGGGATCGTAGGCAGGCTCATATCCGGATTATCCAGATCCAAAGCATTGACCAGGTTAGACATGTGCTCACGGCGCCAGTTGACCATCTCGGGTGTTTGGACGTTCTTGTATCCGCGGGCCTCCAACCACTGCTCGACAAAGAGGATTTGAGAGTTGTGATCGGCGCGCTCGGTGAAAACACGACCACCACGCGTCCAGGGAGAGATCATGTAGAAAGGTACGCGGACACCGGGGCCGGAGTAAATGTTGCCGAACAGTCCATAGGGATCTTCCATCCATTCACCAGCAGTGCCTTCGGGGGAGTGGAAGGGGACGACATGATCACCCCAACCACCAGATTCGTCGTAACTGATCATCAACAAAGTTGAGCCATATTTGGGGCTGCTGGTCACGGCATCAACAACCTTCTTTTGAAGCCATGCTCCATCCTTGGGCATGTAAGGAGGATGTTCGGACAGCTCAGCAGGGCCAACGATGAAGCTGACTTCTGGAAGAGTTCCGTTCGCCGCTGCCTCGTAGAAGCTGTCAAGGCCGACATATGACAGGCCCTTCTTGGCAAGAGGTGAATCAGAAGACGCGTTCTGGAATTGCTCAAACCACGCCAAGGGGTTGTCGTCGAAGTTGTCGGAGTCTTGCCAAACTTGCCATGAAACGCCAGCTTCCTCGTAAATCTCGTAGATAGTCTTCCATTTCAAGGGGTAACAGTTGATATCGTTATCTTCGCAGCCTGGGGTCTCATTGTTGTCCAAGTAAGGGCCACCCTGGTCGGGGCTCTGGGGACCTCCCGGTACATTGATGGAGCCACTGACCAGTGTGACGCGATTGGGGTTGGTCGAAGTAACTTGAGATTCCTGGAATACTGTTAGCACATCCTCTATCAAGGCCGGCCGGGACTAAAATCACTTGATACATATCCCCCGCAGTCCAGCCCTCCGCAATACCAAAATGAACAGGGATGTCGCTTCTTTTGAGATATCCCCAGCTCCAAGGGGTATTGTTGCGTGCCCACATGTTGTTAAGACCGTGGTTGATGGCGGCCTGGTTATCCTCATAACCGTTACTTCCGGCAGTCATGCACTGCATAGCATCAACTGTGGACCCACCCAGGTAGCCCAGATACCAAGGGAGAAGAGTCTTTGTCTTGGTAGACATAGAAGAGTCAACTTGTCTATAGGTCGGCGCGGGTAAGCTTTCGGGCAGGTCCTCAAAGTCCCTCTAAACGCTATCAAGGGGGTGCTTACTGGTAGTAAACCGGCAGCCCGTCGGAGTTGACCTGAACATTAGGGTCATTGAATCCTCGAACACCAGCCATGGTCCCAAAATACTGTATTCTCTCAGGATTAATTTATTTTCCTTTGTCATGAAGTTAGGCACTTGGACCTTACATTGTTCCATGATCGATTCTCCTGCATGAATATCACCACATGCTCGATATCCTTCAACGATCCAGCGACCACTGGTCTGCTCGCAAGTAGCATCAGAAGGGCAGAGCCCAGTAGAGCAGTCATTTTGAAGCCAGGAGTTTCGGGGAAATTGCTTGAATAGCTCGAAGCCTGCAAGTATCCGGGTTGGGGCGATTGGAAATATATATACTACCGACAATTGTGAGAGGTCGATTGTGCAATATGCCGCTAATACATAGTCCCGATCTTTCCGATATCAGGATGCATGTTGTAACTCGATGTTAGTGCAAAATATGCGCCTGATCATACCGCGATGTAACCGGAGCGAAGACCGACTGGAATGCACCACTGGGATGCACCCGATCATTCACACTTTTTTAACCTTCCAGGGGCGCAATTTCGGGTGCAAGGTTCGGGCGCACGTGGGGAGCGTCCGATAGAGAGATACGGCATGTTTCCAGAGACCGCTGATCAATTCAACCTTCTTAATTTCTGGAGGTGCAAGCATTCCACGCTTGTGACTATTCCAGTCGGCTGCAGCCGCGCTGCATGATGAAGTGGAGAAGCCGCTACCCCGTGCGATAAGCATTTCAGTTCATTGGCAGGGGCCGAGGGGATTCTCAATCTAACGGCAGATTTCACGGAGAGCTCCGAAATGGCGGGAGAAAGGAATCAAGGAAATCAGCGAATCTCGTATTTCCTGGAGAGAATTTTGAATTTTGGAATCAGCCATAGAGAGTCGTTTGGATTGTTTGGGGAAAATCGACTTGTTTGAAGTTGTGGTTATTGGCACCTTCAGGGCCCGCCCGGCCAGCCACACCCAGTGACCCAGGTAGCATCGCTTACCTCACCCCGCCCCACTTCACCCCAGGCACAGGAACAAGTTCACAACACGTGCAGCTGATAGATAGTGCGTGCAACCAAGGGAGTGACAACTTCATGTCCTTCATGTTGACTGAGCTGGGAGCATGAAACGCCCTTTAGGCCACGAAAAACTCGCCCTTCGTGAAAATGAGGTCAACGCGTCGCAGAAAACGCAGAAATGGCAACGTTCGTTGGTCAAAATGAGCAAGTCACACGGAATTGTACTCGGTCCATTAGTTACATGTCTCTTTATTCTGCTAGCTTTCTGGCGCCAGTACAACATCCCGGATCCACTAAGATCGATAAATCCCGGGAAATTATCACATTCGCATGATGCAACTTCGTTCCCGGGCGTCCAGCTTCATCCTGAGGATCACGCTCGTCGTGGCCCGCAGATTCAACACTTGGACTGGGTGCTAAGCTCAGAGAATCTTCGTCCCGATGGGGTTTTGAAGAGGGTTTATACAGTTAACGGTATCTATCTCATCTTTGAATGGAGTTTCATTTCGCGCTAACTTGAAAACGGCCACTTCCCGGGACCAACAATCGAGGCGCGATCTGGCGATACGTTGATAATCAATGTTACCAACACGATAGAGGAGTCGCTTTCAATCCACTGGCATGGAATGCATACAGAGAGTAAGTAAGTTTGATATCGTCTTGATTTTCAATACTAACTGGAAATAACTCCATCCAGACCAAATGGATGGTGCCTCCGGCGTCACCCAGTGCCCAATTTTACCAGGATCTTCTTTCATTTACAACTTCACAATACCAAGTGATCAGTCTGGGACATTCTGGTATCATGCTCATACTGGATCTGCTAGAGCTGATGGGTTATATGGTGGCTTCGTGGTCCATGATGTGGCCGAGTCAACAGTGCCTGCCTCGCGTTCATACGACAAAGAGGTTTTGCTTCTGGTAGGAGACTGGTATCATCGTTCAGCAAGTGAAGTCATGTCATGGTACATGCGCGCTGGATCATTTGGAAATGATGTAAGAAAGCCGTACGTCCCATTATTTATGAACGGGTACTGACTTAATCCAGCCTGTTCCTGACTCACTTTTGATCAATGGTGCCGGACACTTCGAATGTTCCATGGCAGTTCCTGCCAGACCCGTGGACTGCAATGAGAAGCATGTCAGCCTTTCTTACTTTGATATCCCGACCGATACTTCTTACCGACTACGAGTTGTGAACACTGGGTAAGTCTTATAGCGTACAGATCACATGGCGGCTTCTCGGCGTACATCAGCGTGTCCATTGATGTTTTCATTTGCCATTCCCAATTGGCTTTGTCTTTTTGCAGGTTCAGCACCTACGTGTACCTTTAAACCAGCTCTAACCCCTCGTGTCTGGCAAATCAGTTCTCTAGCGGGATTTACGCTTATCTCGGAAGCCTATCCAATGTCTATCATCGGAGTGGATAGTGTGGAGGTGGATCCACAAGAGGCTCACTCGGTAGGAGTCCTTTATCCAGGCCAGCGCATGGATCTTATCTTGCATGTGCCTGTCCAAGGGAAGCCATCTGCTTTAACAATCAAACTGGACACTGAGTAAGCATCTCTTTCTTGACCACATTACCATAAACCCGCTAACTATACTAGGTGCTTCAAATACCCTAACCCGGCTCTTAATCCAACTCAGAAATTCTCGATAAATCCAGACAACAATGCCTATGATCAGGCTAGCTACCCAGTCAAGACTAACGACACAGATCTCGATATCCATAAAATCCCATCCCCGGAGCACATCTTAGCACTTCTTGAGCCTCACGCAAATCTAACTGAAGTTGTCTACTCCAAAACCCAGAAGCTGTCCATCAACCACAACGTACCTTTTGGTTTCTTTAATCACACTTCTTGGAAGCCGCAGAGCGATCCGCCAGCACCTCTAAACCGCCTTCCGAGTGATAAATGGGACAAGAATCAGCTTTCACTCTTTGTCCCAGATCCTGAGAACATGGGTCCCGTATGGGTCGACTTGGTTGTTAACAATTTAGATGATACTGGCCATCCTTTCCACTTGGTGAGTTTTACTCATTTTCTTCTCATTGGCCTATTGTTGACGTTTTTCAATGAACTCAGCATGGCTACCACTTCTATATCTTGAATGTATACAAGGCTCCTATCGGCTGGGGCTCCTACAATCCCTTTACTGAATCATATCCTCCCGGTACCGACCCTGAGACGTATTCAGACACCCACGGGCTCAACCTTTCACGAGCAATGCTGCGAGATACAGTGTACATTCCCAGTCGCGGGTATGCAATTCTACGCTTTCGTGCAGATAATCCTGGGGCGTGGTTATTTCATTGCCACATTCTGTGGCATCTTGCCAGTGGAATGGCCATGGTAGTGGATGTCGCAGGTTACTTGAGCGATTCCAGTGCAGCATGCCCGTTGCAGACCATAATTTGACAGTCACAACACACAAACTCAAACATGTACATTAGAGAACGTAAACCGAATCAGTCCATCATTCACTCAGGAATAGCGCAGTGTCGGCCTAATGTGGTCCTGAACCATCACTCCAACGCAGAAACTCTTCCTCTCGCCCAGTATCTGCACATTCACGTATGTAATCACACGAAAGCCAAGTGATCTACAAATTTTCCCACCCAAAGGACTACTCAAAACGGTGACCGGAACCGAGTGTGCCTTCGCATAGCGTACTCCCCAGATACACTGTTTTGTTCCGATTCCGTGCTTTTGATAGTCTGGGCGAGTCCCCAAAATCCAGAGACGGATCTGTTTGTCGCCATAAACTGCATTGAAATACTTGTTTGCCGCCGCCTCGGTCACTTTATGGAATGCCTTCATGTGTTTTCTGCTGGCGTCACGCCGGCCACCACGTTGCCCTAAATATGAATAGGTCTCAGAAATATTCAATGAGCAGGTCAAGTCGAAGATGTTCACGTACATACTGGTGAATCCTCATACTGCCTACTGTCCTTCTCCAAAAGAAGCTCCCATACAGCCACAGACACTACTTTCCTTGCTATAATCCCACCTTTCTCTCCATCTGTGACAACATTGACAACAAAGTGATCTCTTTGAAGAAGATCGGCCATCATGCTACGTGTGTGCTTCCAGTTATCCTCTGGGAATTCTCTCCGGCGAGGGAAGCAATAATCCCATTGAGGATCCACCGGGTATGCAGAGATCATCACATCGGTGATGGAGTCCAGGTCATCAGGAGTTGCCTGAGACAGATTCATGGGGCCGAATGGTGGAAATATTAGGTATTAGTATATAGGGATAGATAAACAGAAGACCGGGTCAAAGGTGGTGGTTAAGCGAGTACAATTAGGCCGAAGGAAAGAAAGAAAAAGGTGCTAAGAAATTGATCACGTACCTCGTCGCTAAACTGCCCAGCTGACCCCGCGATTGCTGTAATACCAGAGATAATCGGGCTGGTAAATTGCAGTGGCGCCGCCTTGCTATAAAAGGCAATAGCACCTACGTCATTCCTTGCGGCTGAAACCCCACATCGCCCGTGGTCTAGGCCCGGCCCGCCTGGAACACTTGCTTGTCGGTGGCAGTTGCGCTTCACTATTACTTAAAGTGTGAATCAAGTTATTGCTCAGCAATAAACTTGTCTGGATCCTGCCCTTTCCAGACGCCCTCCAGAAATACTCAACTCTACTCTGTAAGCAAGCAACCTTGAAAGGCTTCAAATGCTGCTAACTGGGTAGGCAGTATGGACGTGGATCGCGCTTCTTAATTCAATAGGGACACATGTAGGCTCATAGTAGTAAATAGACAATAGTTACAAGGACGATGTAAATACCGTGTGAGGGCTCCAGAGGCTATTTCCCACACCAGATACTACTACCAAGCTGCAAGCACGCACTGAAGGCGGTGAGTACAGTAAGCAACTGAGTCAAATCAATATCCAATCAAAATGATTCTTTCTGCTAAATCTGGAAGACGCCTTGCTGCCTCGTGAAGCTTATCGGAGCTTATCGAGCGACGAAGAAAAAAAAAGAGAAAAAAAAAACTCAAAGCTTGAAATTGCTACCATTCACTCTGCGATCGGTGCTTCATCCGCCGGTATTCAGTTCAATTTTCATTTATATAGAGCACCATGCAATGCTTTCCATAGTCTAGTTCTCTTTCGCTTTCATTGAATGTCGTAGGCTTGAAAAATAAAAGCAAAATAAATCTCAAAAACTCTCGAACGAGCCGTAGCTCACATTCTAGTATTCTGAACATCAAACCAGCATGAGTAGTAGAAATCGACACCCTACGAAGAACATTCAATTCTCTCATTATAAAAGAATAGACTTAGTTCAACATTATGTTCGTCGTCGATACGATGTATCACGTGGGACCTCGCCGTTCTTTTCGTCCTGTTGTTTCCCTTTCTTCTCCTTTCTCCTTCACCACTCCTGCTGGAGCCTCCTCATGAACTCACACTTGCACTGGCAAAATCGATATCCTATTGCACTCTCTTTTCTTTGGGCTCATTAAACCAAACACCTTGGTTTTCCCTTTGCCCTGCTCTTCCCTCCGTTTATGGCTTCAACATGGAATCCTTACCTCTAGAAATCTTCAACTGGATTATCTCCTACCTCCCACTAAAGGATGCGGCAGGGTGCGCAAGCGTTTGTCGAGATTGGCAGGCAATCATTGAGCGAGAAACATTTGCTTCGCTATGTTTGACCCCATCTCGTCTCAGTGGATTTCGCAAAACTCTCGGTTTCTCTGTTGATTCAACTCACCTGCAAAGAAGACGCTCTTACGTCAAGCACATTTTATTCTATGCCATACTCCCGGAATATGATGTGAGCATGCCTGAGATGCCAGAGGACAGGCTTCAAAACAACAAGGCCTATACATTGGCAATCAAGTCCCTTTTTGAAACTTTGTCCCTTTGGCCAGACTCCGACAATTGCGAGGTATTGCTTGAACTCAGAGCCCAATCTCCTAGTGACTGGGATGCGGAGCCAGATGAGCTGAAACGAAGGCGGCGTCTGAAGTCAGTGATATCTGGCAACACGGGCGACTTGCTAAATATCAGATGGGCAGATTCTTTTCTGGATATTGATGGAGAAGCGGAAAATCTCTGTCTGGCTCCTGTGGTTAAGCATCTCGATCTGCGCCCTGGAGGCTCAGTTACGGACCTTGACCAGACTCCCGGGGAACATCGAATGCTTTCCCAAGCAACTCATTCAAAGATAATATCTCGCCTACCACAGCTGCGATCTGTAGTCATGTATCCAGATGACGATGAAAGAGATGACCACGCTCAGCGCAATAGTCTCCGTGAAGGTATTTATACATGCCCCTCTATCGATCTCCTCCCCACCTATGTTCTTTTACCTTTTTTATGCAAATAATTTGTATACTGACTCATGTGAAGAATTTGCGCTCAGCCTCTCAACATGGCCTAGCTCTCTGAGGTCCCTAACAATGGAATACCCTGGCGAGCCACCAGAGAATCAAAATTTCCCGCCGCTCGTCCGCTCAATTCCCGGAAAGGACGCATTGAGTCTGGCTCTGAACGTTCTAAGTCAGCAGCTGGAGAGTATCAAGCTTACTATGATGATGACATGTCCTGAAATCCTCTGGCCACAAAGCACAACAACGCAGCCTTATTGGCCCAGATTAACGCAGTTTCATTTGTCTTATACAGTTGCTACACCATCTGGGCAGTGGTTGTTTGAAAGGGACCCAAGATGGAGAGACCAAACGCCAGATAAAATTACTTCAGATGAAGGCAATTCGGATGACTCAGAGAACAACTCAGAGGATGACCTATCAGACCACTCTTCAGATCACATTTCGGATGACTCGTCGGATGGTTCTTCGGATAATGCTTCGGATGACGCTTCGGATGATTCTTCAGATGACGCCTCGGATGACTCTTTAAATGCCCTTCTCGACTACTTCAGGGATGACCCTGGTGATGAGGGTTTGGATGATGAATCGCATGAGATAGCTGATGGTTTTCTTCCGCCGCAGGATGCTGATCCCAATTTGTTTCGCACCAAGCCCCTTAACATCCTCAACAACCTTTATTTAGCAGCTGGACGTGCAGCACGTCAAATGCCTCAGCTCAAGCTAATGAAGCTTGAAGCTTGCATTGACTTTGATGAGGGCCTGAACCATGTCATCACGCGGGGTGACCCCCTCCACGGCTTCCGATATCATAGACCAAGTGGGGTGGCGAGCTGGGTTAGCACATCTGAGTTTCACGTAACGAAAGAAGTACGCGATGTTTGGGACGCAGCTGCGAAAGGTCACGGCCACCGTGCAATAATCATCGAGGTTCGTATTTAGTAATTTCCCGCCGTCGTCTCATTTTGTGATTTTTGCTGATTTTTTCGTCCAGAATCTCGGCTTCCCCAAAAGTCAACCCGATTTCAATGATCCTCGCGTCTTTGATCAGAGTTTTAGAGAAAAAGCGGAGGTTTTCTCATGGGACTGATGAAATCATAAAATACGATCATAAAATACGAGTATCATTTAATATCTTTTTTTCGGGATTGTACTGTTTCCTGGAAGTAGGGAGTGCGAAGCCGTTGTAGCCCCGATATCCCCGGTACTGCCGGGCCAAATGCCGAAGTATGCAGGTTAGTAACCTCGGGTGACGAGAAGCTTAACGAGATCAACAAATCCAAACCCTCGAAATGGAATTATTCCGTATTCACCCCACACACCCCGCAGGTTTTACTTTAGGTGGATCAGCGCTCCCAATGGTAAGTGATATACAGGTTGTGGGGGCCACCATGTTCTCCCGAACAAGGGTCTCACACCCCGGGTCTAGCCCTGGAAGCTCAATCGATACCCCATGGGGTTCATCATTTCCACACGGTTCCCTGTGTATAAATATTCTCCACTGGCTCTGGATTGATCTTTGAGATCATCATTCAATTCCTATCACGCCCAATACCATTTTCTTGTCTCTTCTATCCAACCGCCGTGGAAAATCTCCCCATTGGCACCTTTTTAAAACATTTCTTTTTTATATTTCAGCCCTGATATAATTCTCGGCACACTCACGCGTCTATATCTCTTGCAACATGAAGGGTAGCAGCTCTGAGGATTCTATTCACCTTGAGAATGCGGCGTCCCCTCCGCCAACATCTGATTCGCAAGGGGACGAGATATGGGTAACCGAATCATCTCACGATCCTTGTAATTGGCCACAATGGAAGAAAAATGCACAGATATTGATGGTTGCTTTCCACTCTATGATGTGGTAAGTGCTTCTGGAGAACCTCCAACCGGCTTACAGTGATTACAATGAACGTAGTGTTGGAAGAAGGCCACCAGCTAACCTACCTTCATTACTCTAACAGCACATTTATGGCAGCTGGAATTATTCCTGCCTATGAGACCTTTGCGGAGCAGTACAACATCACGGTGGAAGATGCCAGCTATTTGACTTCCTTCCAGGTAAGTGTTTTGTCCTCGAGCTCCATGCCTTCGCTAATCATCAAAGTTTTGAAAAAACAGATCCTGCTTCTCGGTCTCTCCCCATTAATTTGGAACCCCATAACTGCTGTGTATGGTCGATACCCCGTGAACTTGTTCTCGGTCTTCGCCAGTATGCTTTGTAATATTGGCGGTGCAAGATGCACATCATACGGTACCCAGATGGCCACTCGAGTCCTCACGGCTTTCTTCATCTGTCCCCCGATCGGCAACGGAAGTGGAATGATCAACCAGCTATCCGAGCCCGAAAAACGTGCGCAGAAGCTGGGCTGGTGGACTCTCATGACAACCATCGGCACACCTGCAGGCCCCTTCTTCATGGGCTTCGTTATCCAACACATTGGCGTTCAATGGATTTTCTGGATCTTTGCTATCATCAACTTCGTCCAGTTTGTTCTGTATATTGCAATTGGCGATGAAACTATATTTGATGAGAACACTCCTCGTGAGAAATCTATGTCTCAAAGAGGAACTTGGCAAAAAATGATCCCCCGACAAATCACTGCCCGTGAATTCCACCTCCGTGATATCCTAGCACCATTCTCCTTGGCCAAGCACCCTCACGTGTTGATCACCGCCTGTGCGCACGCCATCACCTTTTGCTATGCTAACATCGCCCTGATTGTCGAGATGCCCATCGCTTTCGGTCAGAAATTCGATTTCAACGCCCAGCAGATTGGGTTGCAGTTTATCGCCATTATCATCGGATGTGTTCTAGGCGAACAAGTTAGCGGGCCCATGTCTGACTTGTTCTTGAAACGTGTTCGTCAGAGCAGAGGACACTCCTGTCCAGCCGACCGTTTATGGCTTGCTTATCTTGCCTTCTCGACGATTTTTGCTGGTCTCTTGACCTGGGGCTTCCAACTGCAGCACGCAGTAGCATGGAATGTCACACCCTGCGTTGGTGCGGCAATAGCCAGCTTTGGCAACCAGATGCAAACTACCATTCTTACCACTTTTGCTGTGGAGAGTAAATGGGAGAGAGCAGCTGAAGTGGGCGTTTTTATCAATGCCTTGCGACAGGTTTATGGATTTGTAAGACCCTCAAAGTGACAATGTTGATTTTTTCAAATATCCTAATCTGTTTTTTTCCAATCTAGCTCGGTCCTTTCTATTTCCCCCATATGTTCTCGTCGCTCGGATTTGGTGGGGCTGCTGGGGTAATGGTCGCTATTATAGCTGGATGTTCACTCTGTCCTATTATCGCTGTCCAGGTTACAGCCACTCGACACGCTACTGGCCCGTAAATACTCGGTTTTTTTCTTACTTGGTATATTTTTGTGAATTTGATGACCCTGGGATGCATCGATGCTGGTTCGTGGTGGATCATTCTAAACTGCGACTAATGCTCAAGGATACATTATATAGCACCCATCCAGAGACGTCCTGAAGTTTGGATGCAGGTGTGGTATTTCCGTTGATGCTATAAGTTCAAATGTTCGGTCTGTGTTTACAGGCCTGGTGACCTCTGTAAAAGTGATCTCTGGTTTGATATACCGATGTCAGGCAACAACATAGAAATTGGATAAAGATGCTCATCAGCAACGGCAGCCACTATATAGCCTTCCTCAGTATCTACTCAACCACATACGACCATAGGGTGTGGAGAACAGGGCTTCCCGTCCGCTCAGCCGTACTTAAGCCACATATATCCAGGTAGCTAATTGTCTCTATAGCCCTATCACCCTAGAGCGGCAAGAGAGAATATTTTAGTTTAGTATGGGTGATATGGGTGAGAATTTTACAGACTGGGTGATACAGGTGAGAACAGGGTGAGATTTATCACCTAGAGGGGTGATCGGGATTCGGCTCGCACGAGTTGCACCCATGCAACCCTCTGGATTTTTCTTTATAAAGCGGAACATTGGAAGGCTCCTTCATCACTCTTCCATAGTATTTTTCAAGCAGATCGTTCAAAATGTCATCGCAGAAAAATATCCAGAAAGCCCTTGAGGAGAGTATGACACGTGCCAAGTCACGTGGGTTCACACTCGAATACCAAGAACGGATTGAGTCTGAAGATAATATTATCTCACTCCGGACTCTTGCTTCCCCGACTGACAACAAGTATGAATATGTTAAGTTTACTTGGAATATGTAAGAAAAAAGATTGCTATTCTTCAAAAAGTTAGGACCTGATTGCTAACTTGATGGATAACTAGATGGAGGCTTTCCCGCGGTGAACCTGTGGATGACTTCTCAAATCTGAAAGAGCAACCCGACCCAACGCCACAGCAGCTCAAAAGCTTTGCCGAGTTCTATATCACATCTCGGTGAGATCTTCCTGTTAGGTCAACAGTCTGTGATAGACTTTATATTCTAACTTTAAGTTGGGAACGAGGTTCGTCACGAACCTTTGATGAGAAAGTCAAACAAGATGTTCTTAATGTAAGTGACCATACTGTTTTTATCAGTTGTTATACATAGAAACTAACAAGATACTACTAAAGTATATCTATAACCATCTGATATAAAAATATAACCTTGAAACAAAGCCTCGAGAGCGCTTTACCGTGAATGCAAAAGATATTGATTATCTTCTCTATCATCTTTTTGATGGTGACTGCCATGACTTTAAGTATGAAAGAGCACGTATTCAGACTGCTAGTTCACTTTCAATTTTTGCAGGCTCTGGGTCTCGCGCAGGTGCTATTGTGGAATCGAGTTCATATACTGGCTCTAATGAATGTCTATACTATCAGGTTTGTATACTTACTACCCTTTAATTTTGAAAATACTAATAAATATTATATAGGATATATCATTTAATGTGAAGTGGAGTGAAAAGGATGGCCATTTAATGTGCTGGGTGACCATTGACCCTAGGTTCTTGAAGGGTCATTGTACTCAAAGTAGCAAAGTTGTGTAAGTTATTTTGAAACTCTAAATATATACTTATGAAACTAAAGTTTTCTATATAGACCAAAGAACTGGTTTAATGAACATCCAGTCCTTGGGAAGAGCTTTGTTTTTTGGGTTATTGTTCATGGGATAGCTGACAGTGCGTTTAAAGACCTTGATACAATCGAAAAGGTTCTTAGTATGAAGCCGCCTAAAGGACGAGAATCATAGACACTTGAGTGGACTGAAAGTGCAAGAGAACTTCCATTCTTTCGTGTAGTCACTATCAATGGACCTGAGAAGCTCAAAGCACTATCCTTCTCCTTATTATATTACAATAATACTGCCCTAGCCAAACGTGATGGCTTTAGAGATACATTACAGGTCCATGGGATTAGGGGTGGAGTTGCAAATATGATTGACTGTTAGTATCGACTTAGTACTATTTTTGGCTTTATTACTAACTATCTATAGCTAAGGTATCAGAGGCTACTCGCGGTCAGGCACTTAACCACCAAAACCACAATACCTACCTAAAATATCAGTTAACACTGAAGGCCTTAGATATATAGGCTATATTTTATAACCTGGAGCCTGACTACGAATGCCGCTCTATAGAGCAGAGTATATCACATCATCGTGATGCAAATGTCCTATAAAGACTTAGTGCAGCCTCGAGCACTAAGTTTTAGAAACAGGAAGAGATCATCAATATCAACAAGGAAATTACATCCTTAACCAAGATAATTAATAGGAATCCGGCCAAAAATAGTAGCTTAGCTCTTCAAAAAGCAAAGCTCTATAATAAAAAAGCCAAGCTCTTATATATCTAGAAGGATAAGTATATCAAAGAATAGTGGAATACCTCCTATAGTAAGTATATTACTAGTAGCACATTTTCCGAACGTGATATAACCCGACTTTTCGACATCTACAAAAAATACCTACCTAAATGTGCTCACCTTAATACAAACCTTTTTAAAGAAGCAACTCTGGATAGCCTTGATGGCCTAAACTGTCTTCATGATATAGTTGCTCTGTGTAAGTCAACAGAGCATGTTACATTCTACCCTAGAATGCTACCTAAGGACGACAAGTGTCCAATTTACTTAAGAGTCCTATCAAGGTAAGTCTATAAGTATAATATACAGTACTAGTATATTATCCTCCTCTAACAGTTTATATAGTATTATGTTACAAGGGCAGGCAAAACATATCTTGCAATATCACCGAAAGTCCTTAAATGGACCACCATATCAACAACAGTACAAAAATAAAAAACGAGCACATCGACGTGTCCCACGCACATTTCTTCAATTCTGTTACTTATGCGCTAAGCTGTTTGACAACGAGGAGTCTTGGCGAGCACACTGCCAATCTCATCTTGACGATCTCCAGCCTCGATGCGGCATTCTCACCTTCCGCTATACACTAGTTGCTCCGGGGTTTTGTCCAATCTGCCTAGGAGATGACAGCAAGAGCCCAGATGAGCGATTTAACCAATGGGTCACAAAGGCAACACTTTTGAATCACATCGACGCGCATTTAGAGGGTATAGAGTCTTCAAGTATCATCATCTGCTCACACCCATGTTGTCAAAGTACGCAGTACTTAAGCATTTCTGACCTTCGCCGCCACTTTCATGATGCGCATTCCATCGATGAGCCACGCTCAAATTGTCTTACACGTAAGCGAAAACCCCAATCAGAGCTTGAACCTTCAATTCATGGCAATGAATCTACAAATTCTTGGCCGCAGAAGCGACTTTGTGATCCCGAGAGAGAAGTCGGTGCCCAACTATGAAGGAAAGGAACGATGAGCTCGGAGTTAAATTTCTTGCCGGTGTAAATACTGCTTCGCTTAATCATACTTCATGTTTTGAAAGTTATCTTTTAGTATTTCCTATGACTTAGACTGTCTTGTCATTTCCCTTTAATGATTATCAAGCCGGGCGTTTGCATGCACGAAGGCCTAACTAAGGATAAAATGCTATCCTAGTAATTTTTAGGATTGCCTTTCAATCACATTTCATTTCAACTCATAACTCTTAGCTTTGTATAACTTACAGTTAGGTCATGGTGAAGATTAGTAGACCTTAGTCATGACTGTAATTATTCTATATGTATATGTATGTATTATGGTTCATTTAATCGTTTGGCTTTATAAATGGCCTAAGCCAACCATGAAACTCAAAACTAGAAATCCCGAGTAGTGCCTAATTCTATTTGTAGTGCGACATCGTTTTGGGATCCAACCAACATTTGAACACATAAACACCCTTTTCTTCCTAGTTTGTCAGGGCCCAGCAGGCTTAGTCTAGTCACTATACAAACACCAAATAGGTGTTGCAAAGCCCTGGAGTAGTATATATAGTATGAATGGTTCAGCAATTGAGTCAAATAGATCAGGCTAGGTACTTTTATGTTTGAAAAAATGTTTCTCTCCACTTACATCTTGCTCTTTAGCATATATATACACACATCCTTTGGTGGTTCTCTTGGAGTTATTGATTATGATAATGAATGCGTTATCTGGTCTAATGATAATGATGGATGTACCGGATATTCAGCACCATTTGCCGTGCTAAATGGCACGGACTGCTCTGGTAGGACCCAGATGTGTCACTTTTATATTCTATGACAAGCAAGAAATGTTTTAACACGCTTCTAGTACTCAGCCAGACCATTAAAGGAGTCTTCTGGTATGGGTATTCAAGCCTTGTGGTAGATGCCTGTGGCACAGAAAACGGAGATCCAGCTGCTTGGATTGATATAGAAGATACCGGTCTTGTCACTTTTCATAATAGTGGCAACAACATATCGTGTAAATTAAGTGATTTAACGGTAGGAAGTTGGTGTATTCCAACTTCTACGTATACGTCAACTACTACTTCTACCTCAACTTCGACTTCGACTTCAACCTCAACTTCAACTTCGACTTCAACCTCAACCTCAACTTCTACTTCAACCTCAAGTTCGACCTCAAGTTCGACTTCAACTTCTTTGACTTCGCCTACTACTTCGCCAGCCACTTCCACCTCGACTCACACTCCTTCCGCGCCTGCTACTAAGACCTCTACTCCTCTCACTTCGCCTACTATTTCCACTTCTACTAAATACACCACCCCTATTCCAACTTCCACTTCCACTGCATTAACCACTTCAACTCAGAGCTCATCTACAGAGTCTTCCTGCAGCTGCCCATCGTGAATCTGAGGGTTTGTTGCATCCTATAATTACTCAAGCTTTATTTTTTGTTCTATTTTATTCTTTGTGTCTTCTGTCTTCTGTCATCTCTGTTCTTGGTGCTTCTTATTTAGGTATTTTCTCATCAGCATTATATTTGTTATTCAATCAATTTGTGCTCTCCTGTTGGATTCTTTTTACCTGATAACTACCAAATCCCCCATATAAACGTATGGATTGCCCCGCCGAATTCATCAAATGATTCAACGATCTAAAAGCGTTTTCGAAACGATAATCACATCCCTATTACCCCAGCGACGAGATCTTTGACAATAACCCTTCTCTACATGATGTTGGTGACTACAAAGCTCTAGCAATTTTGTAAAATCCTGAGACTTCACCTGTTAGCACTAGATCAAGCAACCTAGATTCACTGCTGAGAGAAACCAAATCTTCTAATTACCAGCTTTAACTAGCGCACGATGCTTCAAAAGGCATAAATCTTGAATTATAGTTCTGATTAATAGGCTTACGATATATTTATGTTGCAGGGAGTTTGGCTACCTTTTCAGATATCATTTCTGAGCAATGGCAGATATAAAAAATTAGATTAGCTACATACCCCATAATCATCTTTTCCGTAACCTATACAGTCTTTGAGTCTGCTATATCTTCGTCCAAGGGCCGCTTTATCCTATCCAAAAATATCTAACCTTTCTTTAGCTGATTTCCCCTTCAAAACTAGCTAGTTGTCCAACTACTTCGGGCTGAACAAATGAGAACTCATTCATGATGACGGTCGGAATGAGTTCCCATTCTGGTTGCATTACGATCGGATCTTTGTGGCCTGAAGCATATGCTTTTCTTATGTGAAAGGCCCTAATAATTATTAGCTTTCGATTTTTTTCTTTATATCTTTTTGAAAGAAGAACCAACAAAAAGAAGGAAAAATTCCGCTTCTTAGAAGATTGACTAGAACTTATTGATAAGTTATACAATTTTATCAAGAGAATATCTCAGAATTTCATGACTTACATGTATTCCATTGCACCGACCAAGATCAACCGGCCAATAGATGCAGATTCTATGATTTTTTCAACAACTATTGGCTCTTGCAGTAACCAATGATGGGATTTTGATTTTGACATCTCAAGGACACCCTTTTGCACACGCGCCACAGTCGAGTGTGCATTATTGTCCCTTGACCTAGATCAGCCCCGAGGCGAGGTCTTTGAAGAATCAGAGTCACACTTACAGTGGTCGACCGTACAGGTCAAATGTTTGCCATTCAATGGTGAATTTGTGATGAAGTTTCGGCTTTATATATTTGCAATTACTTTTCACTGCACTGGTGCACCATGCATAAGAATTGCTCGAGTGTACCGACGACGGTGATTGCGTTTGTTCTGCTCCAGAGTGCTGCTCCGGTGCTAATGAGCACGCTATTTGGCCCCGGCGGATAAGAAGAATCCCAAGAAGAATAGTTCGACACCACTCTTGTTCCGCATCAAGTTTGGCTAAGCGAACTACACCCCATAGCTGCTTAATAGCGCTATTATCACAGATATGGGAATAAATAAATTGCGTAAACACTCCCAATTTCACTAGATTCTGTTAGCAAGTGGTTACCAACATAGTCAAATTATACCTACTAGCTTTCGACAACTCGGCTGGGCTATCATAACCCACATCCTCCGGCCACCATTCAGGTGAAGGGGATGTGTAGTCATGTGCTGGAGTGACTGCTTTGATCCATTTGTCCAGAGTTTCTGCCAGGACTTTATCCGGAATGGAATTTAGTTTCATCATGTAATAGCTTGACAAGGTCTGCTGCGATGAAGGGGATCTAGAGGGTTCGGCCATCTCTTCAAATAGTGTAAATTTTTGATGTTGGGCAGCCTGGCCTTAAAGCTTTTCATTCTGTCGGTTGGGTTAGACAGTGATTTTATATTTATAAAATCACTGTCTAACCCAACCGTTTATATCAATTTTTAATGTTCTTCTTATATTTTCTTCTTCCTCCATCCGCGTCTGTTTTAAACTTATTTTTAGACTCTTTATTAGACTCTGCGCCTCATTAGGGAAATCTACCCTAAAATACACTCAGATGCTGCGATAGTTCTTCGAGCATATCAACTCCTTAGGCAAATTCAGGACCTTAATAAGGCTATAGACAAGATAACTCTATCTATCACTATACATTGTCGGCCATTCTATAATTGAAAAGCTATCAGCTAGTAATGAAAATTTCATTCATCGGGTAGCTTATCTAAGGGATTAAAGAACTTTGTTTGGTAGCCAATTAATAATACGGCTGGTAATCAGTCTATTGATTATACAAAATAATGATCATTCTAAAAGTCTCCTTTCGAAAGCTTACATAAAGGCCTTATATAGTGCTTTTGTTTAATAAGATTAACACATAATACATAGATCGGGATGTTTATCCGGAGAAACAAGAAGCAATCACCAAACAGCGGCGTCATCAGCAAACAAGCAGACTTAGCATCAAACATCAAGGTTATGACGAGGCAAGCGAAAAACAATGAATTATTTTAAGGTCCTAACTGCGAGGAAAACACAGATAGACAGAAAAGAAGAAGAGAAGGAAAATAAGACAGAAAGCCAACCTTAAGTACCCAGTAAGTTAAGGTTGGCGACAGGAACTAAATGTAGACCTAACCCTAACCTCCTCCTGCCGAACAAAGGAAACCTCCGAGAAAACCTTAAGGAAACCTTTTCAGCGAACAGCAACTGTCAACTCGTGACGACTGACATGATGTGTGACAAAGGTGTCAACAAGGGGATTGTCATTCTAACAACGGTTCTATCCATGATCTTATTTCAAACTCCGTGTCAACCATTATGGATGCAACAAGGTCACAACCGGCAAAATTTCTGAAAATTTTGCAAATGTCACCTTTTTCTTCTTGGGGGGGCAGATAGCCCTGCCTCAGAAGCTTCAAGACAACAGTAATACATTGTAAGTCTTCATTGAAAACTGTATCACCCATAAGCCTATCTAGTAGGCTGATGGGCGCATATTCAATCTTTTCCACTAGCAAACGCCCAAGACTTGTGGTATCATTTACTGAATGCTCAGAAAGACTTTTGAGATAGGCGAGAACGGCGTCGTAGTTGATATCAAAAATTAACGGCTGTTTAGTTTCGTGGAAGATCCGCATCTTCTGCTCCCCTATAAATAGCGATTGGATTAGATTAATATCTTAGATAAGTTTATGTAGCTCACTCAAGGGAAATGCACACATACACCAGTTCTCGAGAAATGCCTCCAAATCGTCACATGTAGTAGTAGTAGTGAAATAAGGCATTTTGAAATCTTCTGATTCTTAGTAGCAGAGGTTTGGGGCATTAGGTGCCTTTTATAGACCAATGTTTTTTTTTCATGTACATGTGGCCATTTTAGTATAATAAAAATTCAGATTGTTATAAATTGGTGAATCGAAAAGGAAGTTAAGTGGCTTCCATACATACTAGCAATGTCTCCTAAACTTTACTGCTGGAATACTTGTGCAATAAATTATGATATATAGAAGGTCTGGAACAATCAATCTGGACATTACTAACAATCAATCTTTATACATCCTTTGAGCCGGAGATCATCTTCGCCTGAGATTGGCGACCGGCCAAAGTTACAAATGGTATCTATCCAATCCTGCTCTGGCTCAACTATCACACTCGGGCATTTCCTCGGACCGCGCGTGAAGTACCATCTGACTGTATTATACCAGAGAGTGATAGGCCCTCGTCTTCTGGCCTGTCTCCAAAAAATCAATTGGGAAGGAGAGAGATATTTTCCAGGTTCAAGATGCTTTTTGTGTTTCAACTTGTAGTCCCATATGATAAGATGCTTTCCAGATGTCTGGTTGCAGTTGATCAATGCTGCAGCCCAATGATGTAGTTTGGGGGTAGGAACAGAAAATCTAGCAATTGCAACACACGCGCCGGATTTCTTTGTAGCCCAGAAACTGCTGAAGCACCTGTTGGAGGCCGGCTGGTGTTGATTTTTTTTATATCTTTTTGTTGGAAATTGGAGGGTGACAGGGTGGATATATGGAGGCGTTTGGTCAGAGGCACGGTTTTTAGGGTATTCAATGGTATAAATAGGCAAAGATGGAATATCTCGAAGGCTCATTCTTTTAGTGATTCAAGAAATAAATAAATTCCGGTATGTGAGATAGAAGGTAGGTGGTAAATTTTCAGGTCCAACCCCCAACATTGAAGGGCCCCGACCGGCTTCTTATAGGGAGCAACCAACCTTAGGCACCAACACCTTCAAAAAACGTTTCTCTAGCATAAAGTATCTGCCGAGCCGTTTCTGTGACCCCCGGGCTGCGGGGACCTTCGGTGATGACACCTTCGATCACAGGGATCGGAAATCCTGCAGGGATTAGGCCTGGTTTGAAAGCCGATTGATTCCTTTGCGGGAAAAACCTTTTTCCATACCAAAGAAACATGCGGGAGAACATGCGGATTTTTGTTTGAACTGTAGTGTTGTTCGCCTACCCTGGACAACTACAGTTCGAGGAAAAGAAAGAAAAGGCACGGAGAAAATAATACTGGGTTTCTCTGTGTAAAGCGGGATGGAGAGGAAAGGAAGGAGAGAAGGAAAGGAGAGAGAAGAGCTCTCACTTACCTCCAAACCTGACTTCCTGACTATCTATCTATCTACCAAATCCGGACTAGTCGCACGCTGAAAACTCAGGCATATCCTGTGACCCGCAGGGTAATCTACCTCGCACCTTGGGAATCCACATGTCCTAACGACTTTCACCAAGCACATCAACATATTCTCCCATTGACGTAAAAGGACGATGTAAAGGTTTTTGTGACCTCCCCATTATAATGATCTTCACATAGTCTCTTTCGTACTCAATGATATTGATCTTTTTAGGAGCCAAAAAGAACTTGAATAGAAGAGGGCTATGAGTCTGGTGCAAAAGGTCTTAAGCAGTAGAAAAAATCATGCCAGTTGGGCTGGTGGGAAAGAGAGGGGTTATTATAGCAAATTGGACAGTAGCGTGAAATAGAGCGGTATCATTCTGCCGCCCCCCGCCCCTTAGTTTGTGACTGACGAACAACCTTTGCTAACACATCTTGCGATCCTTACTTACTTTTTTCTTGTTTTTCTCACTTTATTCTCTTACCCGATTTTAGGGTTACTTAAAGCGCTCTTATTTTCTTATCATCCATTCTAGGGTGCTCTCTTACTTTGTTGGTGCCCTTTCTCTTCTTCATTCTCCACATACTACTCAGCACCTCTGTGCCGCGGTGTTGAATGTGATTCAGAACTCTTTCTACTGCCAATCCAACTCCAAATTAAACGAATTACACAATCAATCGCCATTTATACTCAAACAGGCCCTAAATAGGCATAAGTATTCTTCTTACAACCAAGACTCGGCAAAAGGACACCAAAGGAAGTGGAACTCAGAGGATGTTCCCCGCTGAGTGGAAGAAAGGGGGAATTCTCTTAAGGGGATATCAGTGGGAGACCAAGCATGCATTCGTTCTACCGTCATGAGGCAGGCATATTCGAAAGCTCTGCAGATGCAGCGATCAAGTAACATGATATGATCATTGGGAATCAATCCAGGAAACATGCGCATGTCCTACCAAACGGAGGGACAAACACCTCCCGCCCCGAGCATTCGCTCTTAACTGGCGAGGCAGACGTTCCTCTATTCAGACGGGAGCGGCCATGAAGCGAAGTATGGTGCCTCTGCGGTCGCGCCTGATTATGGGATCCAGGCCCGCAAGTTCCTCGGTGAGCAGGCCACAGTATATCCTGCAGAGCTTCCTGGTATTTAGTTGGCCCTTGATAAGTTCAAATCCCATTTACAAAACCAAGGACAAAGCCGTAACTAGTAATCTTTACTAACAGCTATACTACAATTCAAGCAGTATAGAATCCCAAGCACCCCTCCGGATAGTTCATCCCCAGTCATTCATTTTTACGTGGGTTCATACGGACATTTTCGGCTCCAACGGGAGAAGCACCTACATTACCACAGCTATGACTAGCTAGGTAGCATTGGGTTAATAGAATATATTCATCACCATCACCATCATCACCATCATCATCCAGATGTCAGTTGACTGCTCAGCACCTACCTAACCCTTCTTGCTTACCTATGCTTACATATTACCTCATATTAGCAGAAATGACTAGGGCACCGCTTAGTTATACTCTCCATTCATCTGTGGTCGAAAACATGCAAAAGCCTCACGCGCCCGAGCCCAACATAAGAGAATATTGATACAAACCAGGCCACTCGGGCCAAGCCCATTGCCTGAAGTCGAATTTCTTCCACATATCTAGACCAAGCAACTGCACTCACTGATGCGGCAGGTTGGGTCGTGCGAAAACCCTCGACAACCCTTTTCTCTTCTCAATTCATCCCGTTTCTTTCAGTTTACATTCCCTGACTGTCACATATGACAGTTTCGCAGTTTATTCTCTTATATACAACTTTGGGGAATATTAATAAATAGAACTTCTTAATCTAGCCTTAATCGATTGGTATTTTTATCTGCAGAAATTTGAAAATATAAAAGAGCATATCTATACAGGTATTGTTTACTAAGCTTCCTTAGGGTTTAAGGAATGATCGTAAACTACCTGTTTGACCCCATGGCTGGAACTCGGGTTCAAATAAGTCGACCCCATTATCCACTTGTACTCTAATAAGATTCCTTACTTCATGTCGAACTTCGAGTTGTGCTGCGACTAAAGCTAGAGTCAGCTACTTAAGTTTAGCATTTCCGTCCATGGAAAAGAAACCAACCCGTTACTAATAGTCGTCCAATTCGATCTCGGATTTTTAAATTGATTTGATCCT